AATATACAAGTATAAATATTAGTTTATTTTTCTAGATGACAACTCAAACTGTAAAGCCTATTTGCGATCCTAACAAGAAAACAACGGTAGACAATGAAAAAACATATTCTTACTCACAGACGGTAATAATTTTAGTTTATACGGTGTTCATTATGTCAGATTGAATTGATAGAGCTTGTTCTTTAAATATAGAATTGTATTAAGAAATGTCTTTCAGACGAAATAATTCGTCAATGTCATTGTGCGGGAACACAGTTCTTACTTGATATGAAAACGTGTTCAGCAGACAACAAGACAGAAGGTAAAAACATGTGATTAACGGCTGAAAAGAACTTAAAATTTTACAAACTTACTTGTCTGTTTAGCTCTATGCATTGAACGCCTTGAAAGTCTAGCAAGAACGAACAACTTGCCATGCTACTGTCCATTGGCTTGCAAGTAAAATAGTCACTAAACATAATTTAAAAAAAACGTGATAGGGTTAATAGCATTAAGTTTTCTCTTCTTTAAGGTCAACAATCTATCATTCTGTAATATCTTCAGCTGTATGGCCTGCTGAAAAATATTTGGTAAATCTGCAACCAAACTTTATATAATTTCATATCCTTACATCAGACATATTAAAGAGCTTCATTTTTATAATTCTTCAGCCGTCCTTCCTTGAGGAACTGTTCAGAGCACGACATAAAGTAATCAATTTGTTTGAGAACATCTCAGATGTAAATCAATATTTTAGGTATGTGCAAGTAACTAACTTCTAAAAAAGCAGGCGAAAAGCATTCTGACACATAAAATATTTGTAGATGTTTCATGGTTTTCTTCCTCTTACAGAAAAAACTTCCTGAAGATCAATATATTTTTCCAAGAGTTGCGAGAACATAAGACGCTCCATTTTCATTCGTACGGGGTTAGTTTAAATAAATGGACACTTTTTATCTAACCACATGACAAGTTTTAGCCAAATGCATGCAGCTTATGTTTTTAGAACAAGTATGATAAAACATCAAATAGCTACATAGGTTACCCTGCGTATACTAACTATATAGTTTATAGTTGATTCTTTTAAACTGTTCATGATGCAGTGTTGACCTTTTTGAGCTAGAGTTTTAATAAAAAAACACCAACATTTTATTTTTAATTGTACATGCCTAGTGGTATTTTTTTTTATTTCCTGCAATCTCATTGGCGGCAGCTGTAGGCGACTTTTTCTTACGATATCTTAATCGTGGTTCAAAAAATTAAGTTTTTTTGCAACAATATTTTTTACTAAGTGCTATTTAAATTGTTGAAATTGATTTAAAGAATTGCTCATAGAGAAAGCAAAATATATTCAGATCGTAGCTGCGTGAGTGAATTTTACTATCCAGACGAAGTGACCTTTGAAGAAAATACTCCAATTTCAGAACAACATCGATCATATTTCTATGTCCTTAGTGCAGGAGTCACCATTTTATTATGGTGATAGCCATAGAAGTCGTGGGCGGAAGTTTTCGAGCTTGTAGGGCTATTCTTACTCGACCAACTACAGCACCGGTACGGGAACAACGTCGGCTTATACCGTGACGATGGCCTTGCAGTCATAAATACCAAATCTGGAAGACTCTGCGACAAAGAAAGAAAAACCCTCTCACACCTATTTGATGAGCTTGGACTAAAAATCACAGTGATGACAAACCATGAACGCACAAACTTCCTTTACGTAATCTTTGACCTTAGCAACGACACCTACCAACCATATAGAAAACCCAACGACGAGCCTCTTTACATTCACAGATCGTCCAACCACCCACCATCAGTATTACGCCAACTACCCACATCCATCAACAACCGAATTAATACACTCTCATCTAGCAAAGACACCTTCGAAAATGCCGCAACAATTTACAACCAAGCTCTTAAACAAAGCAGCTTCCCCACCCAACTTACCTTTAAACCATCAAACATCAGTGAATGGCTCGTGAAAGCACTACGTGCAACATGGCTCGTGTCCACTACGTGCAACAGAAAACGTAACATCACTTGGTTTAACCCACCATACAGCAAAAACGTAAAAACACACATCGCCCACGACTTCCTACAACTTATCGACAAACATTTCCCACCAAATACTATACTCTCCAAGATATTCAACCGACACACAATACGCGTAAGCTACAGCTGCGGCGAAAACATGAAAACCTTCATACCCAGACACAACTCAGAACAAGAACAACCCCCCAAAGAACTGTAACTGCAGACAGAAACACCTATGCCCGACAAATGGCAACTGCTTGAAACCCAACGTGATTTACAAAGCCGACGTGACAACGACTGACAACAACGAAACAAAAACTTATATAGGTGTTACTGCATGCGCTTTTAAGACACGATATCGAAACCACATTAAATCAATTACGAACATTAAATACCGCAACGAGACAGAACATTCTAAATACACGTGGACATTGAAAGAAAACAAACGAAACTACAACATTAAATGGGACTTCATCAAACAACTTCCACCTCCGAACAAAAACCAAAAAACCCGCCGTCTTTGCCTTGAAGAAAGACTACTTATCCTGAAAGGACGTAAAAAGAACATTTTAAATAAACGTTCCGATATTTTTAGGGCATGCCGTCATGTAACTTAACACCTTTTAATCGATGTATATAGTCAGCGAATAATAAATAATCTGTCAGTTGCCTGAAGATCGCCTTACGGCGTGAAACTCCAGTAGCGACAGCAAAACTTGTCCATTTTATTTCATTTTATGTATAATTACTATATATATATATATATATATATATATATATATATATATATATATATATATATATATATATATTAAATATTTTATTTATATTTTTAATTTTTAATTCAAATGAAAATTTCTTTGTAACTATCCTTTATTTTGTGTATTTTTTTATAGATAGGACGTTTATTATCAGACATAGGTGGTCAGTTGGGTCTATGGATTGGAGTTTCAGTTGTAACATTGGTGGACTTCACTGAAAGCCTTTCAAACTTCATGAAGGCTTTTTATCGACGGATAAAGATGAAGATGGTCAAAAATCGCACAGGAATCCAACAGTTGACTCACTCAACTACCAGAGCAACAACAAAAAACCTAAACCTAATCGTATGTAAGCCACGAACGATAAAAAAAATATATGTTTTAAGTCAAGAACAAAATAGTTTTATCAGCTAAAATATTATGACACGATGTAAAAAGACAAAATCCGTGTAAAACAACTCACCAAAACCCGATATCGTTTGACTCCTGTCTTATATTCTTTTTTAAATATCCCAAGCAGACCAACAATAAACCAAGCCATACGTCATTTACACGAAATGTGTGATGAAGCGTCATTCGTGAAAATCGCAAGTTTCTGTGAACAAAATGCGAGTAGTCACGATGGATTTACACAGTTGTAACACACGAGGCCAGTATGCAGAAATGCAAAGGCATAAAAACGAATAAAACAAAAACTAGGCCAATAACACAGCTAGCTGAGTATTGTGTACCGAAATTCTATCTGGTGTAAAAGATAACCAGCTTGACGCGCAGGCTATTGAACACACGCAAGAATTACTTTGTCTAAGCACAGTGAATATACATATCACCATCAGGGATTCTGATTTAGCTATTAGGGAGAATGAGCTGAATGAAACAAAAGAATTATCACTATGTATTTTTATTCTCAAATATATTTTTATGTCTAAATGGTCAGAAGGAACTTTAATCTTGTCTATGCATGATGAAACTTTTAGATACGAAACTAAACATTACAAGGTTAAATAGTTGGAATGTTATTAAACAAAAAGAATGATAGCACAGCGCTATAACCAACAACTACAAACAATAACGACCTTATCTAACAACATTTGAGAAATTAACCAAATGTTGTTAGATAAGGTCATTATTTCATTTTTTTTCTCAAATGTTGTTAGATAAGGTCGTTATTGTTTGTAGTTGTTGGTTATAGCGCTGTGCTATCATTCTTTTTGTTAAACTAAACATTAATATGTTTAGCTTCAAAGTTAGACTGCTTGACATATGTTGAAGTGCACGGGACAGAACTTTTATCAAAACTATATAGTTGTCGAGAAAAAAGTATCTTTGCAAATTATTAACTCGACCGACACATTCTCCTTTTACGTAGAAAACTGCATCACATTCAGCAACCTCATTGAGAAGTGCTCGATTCGCTCCCAGGCTCTCCTTCACTTTTAGCAGCCTAAAAAAATTGAAGACAAAGGAATTGAAGAAAAAATAATAAAACGTAGAAAAAATTGAAAAGAATTAAGGAAAATTGATGACATAATTCACATCTTGCATGTCCGACGTCCCTTGGTCAATACCTTTAACTGACGATTTATTTCCTCTTCCGCTTCTTTTATCATACCTAAAGGGTAAAGAGAGTCTAACGAAAAAAATTCCACATCACCTTCCTTACAGACTTATTCACTGTAACAACACTAATATGTTACATTACATGTGCAGTTCCTCAGTTCAGTATTAGTTGTACAATATGATGACCAATGTGGTAAATAATTATGTAGAGAGTGGCCATGAGCAGACAAGGCAAGTACTTGCATGGAAAATGGCTATGGACAAATCATTGATCTCTAAGGTTTTATGGTATACTACCTGATATTCTTGTATCTGTAACTTGTGGTGTTAACTTGAAGCCATATGTCATGAGTTGAAAGTCTTCCTTTAAATAATAAAAACAGGTTGATTAATCATGATACCTTTAAAATTGTATTTACTTAAAGGACATTCGAATAGCACTGCAACTATCACTAAAAAACTTTATACTAATAAAATGGGAGCACACATTTACAGGATATTATACCCTTTTAGAAAGAAATTTTCACAAGAACTATGTTCTGTGGAAAATCATAGTTGTATTGAAGAGTGTGAAGGCCAATTTGAACGAATAATTAGGATCAGAACTAACTCAAGTATTTAACTACTAAGTAACTATTATTCTATTTTAGTACTTCTATAACTTACTCATTGTAGTCAAAACGACTGACCCATTCTCTTCATTACACTTGTTCAATGGTTCTGGTTCCGAAGACATACTAGAAGAAAAAATAACAACAAATGGAAAAATTACATTTAAAACTTATCCAATTTTCATGTACTTGCTTATTCGATTTCCGACATTTTGAATATGTAATGTGAAATACTTTATGAAAGTATAAACGTAACGTGTTAGAGCCTCATCATCGTTATGGAATGATTGTGTCATTTACTATGAAGTCTTACAAATTTCATAATTGTAAAATGTAAACATAAATCTTGAATCTAGAAAGACAGGGGAGCTCTCCCAACGTCTGCACCACTATGAAACACAGGTGCCGGTTGCACGAAGCCTGGATAGCGTTATCCATTTGATAGAAAAAATTTTCAAACTTGCAAAAAAGGTGTTTATATTTTTCTTACGGCAATGAAATTTCGTAATCTTCGAAACAATATTTTATTTTAGTGATTGTTCAGTTCGAATCTTATACTTTCTGCTTTTTGAAAGATTTATAAAAGTTGAAAAAAAATTGTTATCCAATGGATAACGCTATACTGGCTTCGAGTAACCGGCCTCTGGTCTATAAAGTCATAAAAAATAAAAACATTGCGGCAGAAATATAAACATATATACACCAAAAATTGAGAAAACCATTAAGAGCAAAAAATTCTGCTGTTTTAGGTATAGTGAAAAATGGACAAAAAATTGAAATTAAATTGAACCAGCGAAAATTTTGCCTATAATTTGTGACGTCATTAATGAAAAGCATTTCAAAGTCAACGAACGAGAGAATGCAAAAGACACACAAACTAGTATGGCAGGTAAAACTATAAATTGGAAAAGTAATGTAGCATAAATATTTCAAAGAAATGAAAATTTGCAAAAACCTTGACTAACTGCTGAATCTAAAACTGTACGTATATTTCATTATTTGTTGTAGCATGTCAACTAACTCAATAAACACTGTACACGTTGAAAGAAAGGAAAAAGCGACCAAGCCAGCATTTTTTAAGTTAACAGCATGCATTATATTCTTCTTGTCTTTAACCATGTGTGTATATCAAACGTACCTTCTTGTCCTCCACTACCTAAGTGGTCCCATTGAAACACAGATAAAAGTAACGATGCACACCACTTTACGGTTTCCTGCAGTAACAATATGCAACATTAATCCAGTGAGAAGATCACGGTAAGTTAGAAATAATAACATCATTCATGTTCTCGTCAAAGAAATTCTCAAAGGTATGGTCCACAGAAGTAAATGACTAAACATATTCTTTGATAAAGATGGGAAAAAAGAAAGAAAAGCGAAAGAGAAATGTCGGATTCAACGCAGTGGATTCAAGAACCACATAAACGCTATCGTCCAGCCAGTATCGATAATTTTACACACAGAATAAAACGAAATGCGGAATTGAGAAAAAAATTGCATTATGTATCATCAGAAATGAAAACAGAATAAATCAACTAGAAAACAGAATCAAGAAATATATAAGTACAAAGAACGAAAGCAAAATTAACACAAAACCGACAAAAGTTAACATAAAACAATCAAAAGAGTTCATGGCTCATGTGATCACAAGCAATATGAGCAACATAGAAATGAAAAAGCGACTTAATGATTTGGAAAAACGACTGAAAATTACTGAGCTGACAACTGATGACATAACAAAGCAAATATCCGAGACACGAGGCTACTTAAACCAATTAAAAGCAAACATTAGTCAAGCAGAGAAAGAACCAGAGAAAAATAACACGGCTGGTGATATGCAGAAGGATGGCATAAAAAAATTACCACCAAGCAAAGATTTACAGGCGTTTCAAAACTATCTCAAGGATATCGGTGAAATGACACGAGAGGATTTCCAAGATTTCGGAAATCAGAAGAATGATTTTATTGCGAGTTGTATATGGCAGGGGACAACATGTGATCCAAGGTGACATAGAAGGATCATGCGTGACAACTTTTACACACATTTTATCATTGTGCATTTTTCTAGTTATTTTGAAGTATTTCAAAACTATATGTATGGAAATTGCTTTACTTTCAACACAAGTAAAGTCAACAGTAGCGTTAGCGGTACAGGACCTTACAATGGTGAGTACGACCGAACAGAAACATCACATGCATTTAAAATAAATCGCATGTTTGGAAATTAATAAATTTACTTACGTAGGTCTTAGTCTCTTCATTTTCCTCGAGCAAGAAGAATACATGGATCGTATAGCGTCAGCAGCCGGAGCTCGTGTCACAATTCACGAGTTTGACCATGAACCACAGCCAGAAGAGAAAGGATTTTACGTTGCTCCAGGATTTACAACATCCATATCTCTTAGAAAGGTAAGAAGATCAAACAAATAAAATACAGCGTCATACCAACAATTTAAAATGTTGCGATAAGTAATAATTAAAGTTTAGACATAGTAGACAAATCTATAAAGTGACTTCAGTGACATTACTTTAATATACAAGTATAAATATTAGTTTATTTTTCTAGATGACAACTCAAACTGTAAAGCCTATTTGCGATCCTAACAAGAAAACAACGGTAGACAATGAAAAAACATATTCTTACTCACAGACGGTAATAATTTTAGTTTATACGGTGTTCATTATGTCAGATTGAATTGATAGAGCTTGTTCTTTAAATATAGAATTGTATTAAGAAATGTCTTTCAGACGAAATAATTCGTCAATGTCATTGTGCGGAACACAGTTCTTACTTGATATGAAAACGTGTTCAGCAGACAACAAGACAGAAGGTAAAAACATGTGATTAACGGCTGAAAAGAACTTAAAATTTTACAAACTTACTTGTCTGTTTAGCTCTATGCATTGAACGCCTTGAAAGTCTAGCAAGAACGAACAACTTGCCATGCTACTGTCCATTGGCTTGCAAGTAAAATAGTCACTAAACATAATTTAAAAAAAACGTGATAGGGTTAATAGCATTAAGTTTTCTCTTCTTTAAGGTCAACAATCTATCATTCTGTAATATCTTCAGCTGTATGGCCTGCTGAAAAATATTTGGTAAATCTGCAACCAAACTTTATATAATTTCATATCCTTACATCAGACATATTAAAGAGCTTCATTTTTTATAATTCTTCAGCCGTCCTTCCTTGAGGAACTGTTCAGAGCACGACATAAAGTAATCAATTTGTTTGAGAACATCTCAGATGTAAATCAATATTTTAGGTATGTGCAAGTAACTAACTTCTAAAAAAGCAGGCGAAAAGCATTCTGACACATAAAATATTTGTAGATGTTTCATGGTTTTCTTCCTCTTACAGAAAAAACTTCCTGAAGATCAATATATTTTTCCAAGAGTTGCGAGAACATAAGACGCTCCATTTTCATTCGTACGGGGTTAGTTTAAATAAATGGACACTTTTTATCTAACCACATGACAAGTTTTAGCCAAATGCATGCAGCTTATGTTTTTAGAACAAGTATGATAAAACATCAAATAGCTACATAGGTTACCCTGCGTATACTAACTATATAGTTTATAGTTGAATCTTTTAAACTGTTCATGATGCAGTGTTGACCTTTTTGAGCTAGAGTTTTAATAAAAAAAACACCAACATTTTATTTTTAATTGTACATGCCTAGTGGTATTTTGTTTTATTTCCTGCAATCTCATTGGCGGCAGCTGTAGGCGACTTTTTCTTACGATATCTTGATCGTGGTTCAAAAAATTAAGTTTTTTTGCAACAATATTTTTTACTAAGTGCTATTTAAATTGTTGAAATTGATTTAAAGAATTGCTCATAGAGAAAGCAAAATATATTCAGATCGTAGTTTAGTGAGTGAATTTTATAATCCAGACGAAGTGACCTTTGAAGAAAATAATCCAATTTTAGTTTTCACAACATCGATCAACATCGATCATATTTCTATGTCCTTAGTGCAGGAGTCTTTTACTATGATGATAGCCGGGAGGGCACATTGTAATACACTTATATATATATATATGTATTACTATTATATATATATATATACACTATATATTATTTAATATTATACCCTGAAGAGTGAGAAATCACGAAACAGGCTTGTCGGGATGAAATTGTAGTTTTTGTGATTTTTCTTCTACTTATCAATATTTACGCTCTGCTCTTAAGCATCGAGCACTGTACTTACGGAGATTCAAATAAACAAAACTTCCTATATACACAATATATATATATGTTTAGTGGTGTTGAGAAAAAATCACAAAAACTACAGATTCCCCGACAAGCCTGTTTCGTGATTGCTCACTCTTCAGGGGATTTTTATTCATTAAATCTTTTATTTATTTTTTTATTTTTTAATTCCAATGAATATTTCTGTGTAACTATCCTTTATTTTGTGTATTTTTTATAGATAGGACGTTTATTATCAGACATAGGTGGTCAGTTGGGTCTATGGATTGGAGTTTCAGTTGTAACATTGGTGGACTTCACTGAAAGCCTTTCAAACTTCATGAAAGCTTTTATCGACGGATAAAGATGAAGATGGTCAAAATCGCAGCTATGCTAATTCTCTAACAACGAACTCATCATTCGATAAAGATCTGTTTTAGTCAACCAAAACCCTTCACTCGAATTATGCAGGAATCCAACGGTTGACTCAACTACCAGAACAACAACAAAAAACCTAATCGTATGTAAGCCACGAACGATAAAAAAATATAGGTTTTAAGTCAAGAACAATATGGTTTTATCAGCTAAAATATTATGACACGATGTAAAAAGACAAAATCCGTGTAAAACAACTCACCAAAACCCGATATCGTTTGACTCCTGTCTTATATTCTTTTTTAAATATCCCAAGCAGACCAACAATAAACCAAGCCATACGTCATTTACACGAAATGTGTGATGAAGCGTCATTCGTGAAAATCGCAAGTTTCTGTGAACAAAAATGCGAGTAGTCACGATGGATTTACACAGTTGTAACACACGAGGCCAGTATGCAGAAATGCAAAGGCATAAAAAAAACGAACAAAACAAAAAACTAGGCCAATAACACAGCTAGCTGAGTATTGTGTACCGAAATTCTATCTGGTGTAAGAGAAGATAACCAGCTTGACGCGCAGGCTATTGAACACACGCAAGAATTATTTTGTCTAAGCACAGTGAATATACATATCACCATCAGGGATTCTGATTTAGCTATTAGGGAGAATGAGCTGAATGAAACAAAAGAATTATCACTATGTATTTTATTCTCAAATATACATTTATGTCTAAATGGTCAGAAGGAACTTTAATCTTGTCTATGCATGATGAAACTTTTAGATACGAAACTAAACATATCACTTCACAGTTAGACTGCTTGACATGTGTTGAAGTGCACAGGACAGAGCTTTTATCAAAACTATATAGTTGTCGAGAAAAACACCTTCACGTACCGCATGTACAACACACTAACAAAACAGGGACCAGCTTATCTTGTTAAGCAGACCATTTACCTGAACCAAATATTGAAAAGTCAAATAAAATACAGCAAAGAAAATATATTTCGTCAAAACAGACGTCTAATGTTCATCATCAACGCTGGGTATAAGCAATCAAAAATGACTACGTCAGATACGTTGCATTTCTAAAACTGAACATGTTTGAAATTTAAAGCAAAATGGTCAAAAAGGGATGAAAAAAGAACAGAACTATCTAATTCACAATTATTTACTAAAATGTTCGAGAGAATCAACTAAGAACTAACAAACAGTTGTCCAGTTGATAAAACCAAATTCAGTAGACAGTCGCTAAAACAATCACTTAACATAAATTTACGTTATCAGTAATCAACAGATAATTGTAGAAAACAACTTAATCAAGCAATAATATGATTGTCTATTTGTGACGTCATTAATAGAATAAAATTTTAGAAACTGTTGTAATGCATTAAAACATACTCTGTTCATACATACGTGGATGACAGGTACATAAAATTTCTTTTGTCGTAGCAATGCAAAAGACATGTATTAATAACAGAAATTTTTGCTCTTAGGTATTTCAAGAATTGCATTTATTCTTTCGAGACTATTTTATCTGTTACAGAAATTTGGCGAGCTCAATGGATGCGAGATCCAGTGAGAGTGATGAAAAGAAACCAAGTCGGTATTCTTCAGGCTAATAACATCTATAATATTCTTCGTGTCACTGTCTATGTGTGTATATCAAACGTACCTTCTTGTCCTTCACTACCTAAGTGATCCCATTGAAACTCAGATAAAAGTAACGATGCACACCACTTTACGGTTTCCTGCAGTAACAATATGCAACATTAATCCAGTGAGAAGATCACGGTAAGTTAGGAATAATAGAAAAAACATTCTTACATTCAAACAAAAAATTGTCAATGCAATGGTTCTCGAAAATCATCAAACATTTTATTTGATCTAGATGGGAAAAAAGACAGACAAAAAGTGAAAGCGTATCCCCAAACTTGACATCTTTCATGCAAGTGCCGCAAAAACTCTATCGTTCAGCCGGTGGTACTAATTTTGGAAATTCATTGAAGCGGAAAAAAAGATCACTTGCAAATCAAGACCAGATCGATAAGCTAAGGCAAGAATTAAATGAAAGGATTGATACACTTGAAAAAACTTTAAGCAAACATATAAATGATACGTCCCTTCAAAAAAAGGAAGCTGGCTTTGAACTGTCAGAATCAGAAGAATTCGTCGCTCATGTAAACAGAAGCAATACAACCAATAAAGAAATGGAAAAGCGACTAAACGATTTTGAAAAACGACTAAAAATCACAGAGCTGACAACTATTGACATAACAAAGCAAATATCCGAGACACGTGGCTACTTGAATCAATTAAAAGCAAATATTAGTCAAGCAGAGAAAGAACCAAAGAAAAATAATACGGCTGGTGATATGCAAAAGGATGGCATAAAAATTACCACCAAGCAAAGATTTACAGGCGTTTCAAAATTATCTCAAGGATATCGGTGAAATGACACGAGAGGATTTCCAAGATCTCGGAAATCAAAAGAATGATTTTATTGCAAGTTGTACATGGCAGGGGACCACATGTGATCCAAGGTGACATAGAAGGATTATGCGTGACAACTTTTTACACACATTTTATCATTGTGCACTTTTTCTAGTTATTTTGAAGTATTTCAAAACTATATGTATGGAAATTGCTTTACTTTCAACACAAGTAAAGTCAACAGTAGCGTTAGCGGTACAGGACCTTACAATGGTGAGTACGACCGAACAGAAACATCACATGCATTTAAAATAAATCGCATGTTTGGAAATTAAATTTACTTACGTAGGTCTTAGTCTCTTCCTTTTCCTCGAGCAAGAAGAATACATGGATCGTATAGCGTCAGCAGCCGGAGCTCGTGTCACAATTCACGAGTTCCATTTCAAACCACAACCAGAAGAAGAAGGATTTTACGTTGCTCCAGGATTTACAACATCCATATCTCTTAGAAAGGTAAGAAGATCAAACAAATAAAATACAGCGTCATACCAACAATTTAAAATGTTACGATAAGTAATAATTAAAGTTTAGACATAGTAGACAAATCTATAAAGTGACATCAGTGACATTACTTCAATACACAAGTATAAATATTAGTTTATTTTTTTAGATGACAACTCAAACTGTAAAGCCTATTTGCGATCCTAACAAGAAAACAACGGTAGACAATGAAGAAACATATTCTTACTCGCGGACGGTAATAATTATAGTTTATTCAGTGTTCATTATATCACGAGGTTGTATTGATTGAGCTTATTCTTTAAATATAGAATTGTATGAAGAAATGTCTTTCAGACGAAATAATTCGTCAATGTCATTGTGCGGGAACACAGTTCTTTCTTGATATGAAAACGTGTTCAGCATACAACGAGACTGAAGGTAAAACATGTGATTAGTTGCTGAAAATAAGCCCCGCTTTGGCAACTTATTCATATTTGTCTAGCTCGATGCATTAAACGCCTTGAAAGTCTAGCACGAAAAAACAAGTTGTCATGTTATTGTCCATTGGCTTGCAGGTAGAATAGTCACGAATTAAAATTATAAATAACGTCATGGGGTAAAATAAATCTTTTTTCTTTAAGAACAACAATCTATCATCCTGTATTATCTTCAGCTGTATGGCCTGCTGAAAAATACTTGGTACATCCATAATTTAAATACATAATTTCCTATCCTCCACTCACAAATTAACGATTTTCATTTTTCTTTAGTCTTCCTTGCTAGAAGAACTTTTCAGAGTACGACATAAAGTAGTTGATTTGTTCGAGAACATATCAAATGTAAATCAGTATTTTAGGTGTGTAAGCATGATAGTATAGTAACAACTAAACTAGGACTTTTACAAAGTGTCTACTGAACAATCTTCAAGGATGTTACGTGGTTTTCTCTCTTACAGGAAAAACTTCTTGAGGATCAATATATTTTCCAAGAGTTACAAGAACAGGAGACATTGCAGCGTCGCTCGTATGGGGTGTGTTCAAAAGAGGCAAACTTTGTCCGTATTTTGAAATAAACTTAGCAACCTGTTCACTGAATCTTAATACCAAATAGTTTTCGGTACTTTTTACTTTTTACTCTCAAATTAATATTTCTAAATGAAACTTTCTTTTATTTTGTGCATGTTTTGTAGATAGGAAGTCTATTATCAGACATAGGTGGTCAGTTGGGTCTATGGGTTGGAGTTTCAGTTGTAACACTGGTGGACTTCAGTGAAAGCCTTTCAATGTTCATACAAGCTATTTATCTACGGCTAAAGGGAAAAAATCGCAACGGCAGTATTTTCATGCTATCTCCAGCAGAACATCGTTCAAACAACAGAGAGCATCAATTGAATAGGAAAAAGGACTGTGTTTTGGTTTCACCACAAACCTCATCTGATACCATGTCTCCAACTGTTGATTCAACTGACAGTATAACTATTTATACATCACCGTATGTAGGTAAACACCGGAAGAAATAAGAATTCAACAAATAGACAAAATACTAATTTCTCTTATATGACAGTGTTCATGAAGAATGAACTCGTGTAAAACATGAAAATGAAAGTATCTGAAGCCAGTCTAAAACAACAAAACTTATGAAAAAACAAAATTTGTCATATTTTAAAGCTATTTACGGCAAGCGAACAACAGATGAAATACAATCATAAAGAGGAAATAATCCAAATTAAAAACGGAAACTTCTGTCATTCCATAATGATTTCCATAGATTGTTCTCCACGACGCCAGGTACGCAAATCTCATCAATGTGAATCACATCTAAATAAATCTCATCACTCGCGCGAGCACATGATGAGATTTGTGCAGAATGCTGTGCAAAGAAACACGTGCATTTTTTGTGCGGAGAAATTGCAAAAAATGCCAATCTCAATAGATGTGGGATAATTTCGCGCACAAATTGGTTGTCACTCATCGGGAAGTAATACATTCCCTACCAAACATTCGAAAGAACGATGCAAGATTTAACATCTCCATACACCTTATTAAAAGGGTAAAGACTGACTTACTTTACCATTAAGTGAAAATTATTGCAAAAGCATTTTTAAAAAGCAGCCAACACTGGGACAGTCATATGGTCCATTTATGACGTCATCAATAGAAGAACATTCTAGAAATCGTCGAAGATCCGAAACTTACTTTTGAACATACATACGGGAATCACAGGTGTCTTGAAAAAACAGTGATTATAAATTTTGAGTGTGAGTAAATCAAAGAGGTTTGTTGATCTTTCAGATAGATGCATTTATCTGCTGTACAGTCAACCAACTCGATGAGTACTGATCTTGGTGACAGCCGTGTAAAAAACACAAGGCAAGCATTCTTCAAGCTAACAGGATGTATTGTATTTTTCTTGTCTTTAACCAGGGCGGATCTAGGATTTTCATGTTAGTCAAAATTTATGACGTCATATGTGGCCTCAAATATGACGTCATAGATGACATCATACATTGTATCTTATGCAGCGATTTATAAAACTTTAGCGATCCTAAAATTGCGAAAACTAAGATGAATTCCCTTTAATCAGATGATGACAGACTGTTTCGCCCAATATCAGGGCTCTTCAGCATGCCTAGGATGACGCCCCAAATTTCAAAGCATCATCCGACATGGACAGCCCTTTAAAGAGCCAAGCCAGCAATCTGGTTATTGCATAGAATTAAATGCATGTCCTTTATACATAGGTACATCAACAATTTTATCTATAAACTAAAAAGAATTTAGATGTAGAAAGACAAAATTTAAAAAATTCTCATGATTTCAATTAAATTTAAATCTAGTGTTGCCAACAGAAAATTCATCAATTACGCGTTGCACATCTGGAAGAATTTCCTGATGAATTTTCATTAGAGCAAGACCATTTAACCGTTCCTCAACCATAGTACTCGCTTATAATCTTTAAGAATTCGCAGCGCTGAAATCGAACGTTCACATTCGCATGAAGTTATGGGAAGGGTTCCTAATATTTGAAGTATGACCTTTATGTTTTGAAAACCATCAAAATTTATAGCTTTTAAAGTTGTAGCTACATTACATGGATAAGGACCTTTACGATGTTCCCAGAAGGATTGCCATAATAACAACTCTGCATCTAAACCTAACTGATTGGGTAAATCAGCAACATAAAATTTTGAAACAATCTTAAATTTATGTCTCCAGTCAATCCCATTTTTATAAGAAAAACATTTTTGTTGGAACAATACTTAGTCCTTGATAAACATTTACACTTTCCGTGTAAAATCGCGCATCAAAGACGAGAGAAGATGGTCAATTAAAGGAATCGTATAGATTCGTTTGTAATACTCGAGATAGAACGATAAGGAGCGTTAGGCCTTGTAGTTTGCCTTCCAATTGTCCTACGTTTACATTCTTCTACCCCAACCTTTGCCGCTAACGTCAAAGCAATGTCGTACCATTGATCATGATATGAATCAATAGAATTCCTCACATGTGCAACACTGCTTTTCAAAGAAGAGATCAACTCAATCCCGTCCATAACATCAATACTCTTTCCTTGCAAAAGCTGAGTAACAGGAAGCGTTAGATCAAAACATTTCTGGTAATAACCAAGAGGGCGATAAAATGAAACTCAGAAAGACCTTCAAGCAAAGAGGATGCATCAGCAGCGAGAGAGGGACTGCCACCTTTGCCATGTTATCCAGTGTGTCAAAAATTTGAACAAACAATTCTTCGAAAGTGTCTAAACCTTTAACTCGTTCTACCCATCTGGTTCTACAAACATCTGGCAATCTAGTCTTTTTTGAGTCCGTTTCTAAACAGGGGCGGATCTAGAGTATGTCAAATCCGTCGCGCGACTGATGTTTGAAATTCAAAAATTACCTATTCATATTAATTAAAAATCATTAATTATTCTTACTTTATTATCGCATTTACTTCGTGATAAAAATCCAGCTTTATTTATTATTGAAAACTAATGACTAATGCAATGAATATCTCCTTGGTAACCAGATCAGTTGAATTTTAATTGACCTGGAATAACCATTGAGTTCTATAATAGAACTCAATCTGGTTATTGAGTTATAGAGCTCAATGGGAATAACCGACTGATAAGCGGGGTGGCTTGACTGGTTCGACTTATAAAGGAGTCTATGAACGCCAGAAACGCTATTTTATTGGTCAATGGCCAGATCAGTGGACAGTCTGGAATAATCTCGACCGATAATAGGGGTGGCCGGACCTATAAGGGAGTCCAATTGCTATCTTACAATTGGTTCATTTGAATTTTGTCTTACTGTGATTGGTTTGACCGATTTCGACTGATAGCCAACTGAACTAACATAGTCAAGCTCAATGTCTGAATTGAATGTTTGATCGTTCATAGTAATTTTCTGAAGCATGATAGAAACTAAACTACAATCAGATGGAATTTATGGAAATCTTTACAAATTCATATGTTGACATGAATGCTGCTTTCCAAACTGGGAATTTTTCAAGAGGGTGAAAAATTTATGGATGAATTGTAAATGCTTGGCAAAGACGATCTCGCGAGCGACATTTCAGTCATTGATGTTCAAAAGAAAGCCAACATTGTTTTGAGTTTTATCAGCAGAAATTTACATCGAAAATCGTAAGTAAAGGACAAGTGAAGTGTATGCATGAATGCAATATATCAAAGTCAATTTATGCGAGTATGTGATGCGATTTATGTTAATATGGCGTATGGTAAGCAGATTGATGCTTCTAAAATTGTTGTTGCCGAAGGACTTTTAGCTATGATTTCTTTAATGCTTGGTGAATCGTGGCCGTTATATGGCAGCGAAATCCTACATTTCTGCAAATATATTTCAATGGACAAAAAATCTGTAGCCATAAGGTGCCATACTATTATTTACTTTATCATAAACAAATGTTTGGGGCTTTTCAGTTTATGATCATTGATCATTCAATCATTGGACAGTTATACTACATATTGTTTAAGATTTGAGAAAACTAACATTGATTACATGAGAAGCTGTTTACTATAACCTGTGATTTTGAGTCTTATGATCCATGAAGCTTTTATTTTGACAATTTGACTGGAATGGTATTAAACCTGAGTATTTCACATACATGAAATGTTGTCCCATGTCACATATTGTCCCCTTTTCTAACTGAACACCTCATGTAGAGATGTAAAGGTGTGTTAATCTACGGCTCATACCAGATTGTTGCCATAAATTCCAAAGGGCTATTGATGTATGAAAAGCATTTTCTATAAAGTAAAATGTCTTCCTATGTATGCAGATAAACCTTGAAATTTGGCAAAACAGCAAAGTATTTTTCATGATCACTAGGTAATTTTTCTGATGATCATTATAATTTCTAAACTAAATTATTTTAGTTTTACATTTAAACAAGCTTTGATCATATGAAAAGATATTTATCATAACCAGTAAGCATGACACATAAACCATTTTAACATTCATGTAATTATATAATTAAAGACATGTTGGTTACATTCTGTTTGTATTTGATAATACAATGCTACTAGTGATTGCTATATAGCACACCTTGCAGAAGATAATAGTCTAGTGAAATGCCTAATAAACATTTATGGCATTAAGCTAACCTTAACTGCAAATTTTCACTCTGATAATTTTTGCTTAATCTTTGGCAGAAAAAAATTTTGAGTTTTTCTCAAAGGGTGAATTTGCTGGCACTGATGTGGAGATGGGTAAAGAGTTACAATAAACTTGCATGGTTTGAAGTCTGAGCTTTTCTATATCTATGAACTGTCACTTGTAGTACCAAATTTCTAACTTAACTTATTACATAGAGGTTTGAATGGGGGGCTCTCGGGGGGTCTATGCCTGACAACTTGGTAGAAATTTTAAAGAATATATCTGTTTTTGAATAGCATTATTGTAAAATAAATTTACGTTCCTAGACATGCTAATGAGCCATATATTTGGCATGATAATGAGCCTAAATATTTGGCAAAACATTCAAGTATTGTTCACTTTATTTTTTTTTTTGAAAAAAAAACGTAAGAAAAATGTGTTGTTTTTACGCAAAAACGATGCCCACAAAATACATTTTGTATTGCTCTAAAACGCTGAAAATGGCATTTTCAAGACTCTGAAATTCAAAATTTCTCAGGGGAGAATGCCTCAGACCCCCCCAGGTGCGGAGCGCCTCCGACGTTTTATGACTGATGTTTGAAAAATCCTAGATCCGCCCCTGTTTCTAAACTATTGCGTACAGTCTCCTCAAACGGTATATTGCATGTTTGAGAAATATTGATAAAATTTGTCACATCTTTTATTTTGTTAAGTACTTTCTTAACCTCAATATCTGACAAAGAATCACAAACTGACAAATTAAGCCTATGACTATAACAGTGGGTATATAATGCTTTCGAGTTGAGCTTCAAAATTTGGGCAGCCAAACCTTTAACACAACCTGCAACAGCACCCGCACCATCATAACCTTGTCCGCGACAGTCTTCAATTGGCAAGCCAAGGTCTTTAAGTTTATCTAGAATTAATTTAGCAAGGTTCTCTCCACTCAATCCCCACTTACATTGAAGAAAGGCAATAAACTCCTCTCTTATGTCCATATTCTTATCAATAAAACGTAAAACTAGAGCCATTTGCTCTCTATGGGAAGAATCTGCAGCCTCATCGGCTATAATAGAAAAGAACCTATTAACCTTAATGTCGTTGACAATCTGTTCAGTAATAACCTCTCCAAAGCACTTGATCATTTTATTCTGGCTGGTCTTAGAGATGTAACTTCTATTTTTCCCACAAGATGTTAAGTGATCCCTTAAAACACAATCCCCTGAACGAACTTTAAAATTTAGTGTCTCCACAAAATTTCCAACACCCCCGGTAGAATACTGACCAACCTCTGGATGATATTTAGCATCATCACGGTGGCCGCATAAAGGCAAACCTAAACGACCACAAAAAGAATGCAATCAGCAATAGAAGACAGCTTACATTTGTTCTGATCGATTTCCTTTTTAAGATTTCTTTCTAACATGAGCTCTATTGGTTGCGCAGATCCTGACATTTGAGCACGTAAGGCAAATAAAATTGGATTTGTTTGGGCATGCAACCCCACTTCTCCTTCATCATGGCGTTTAAAAGTAAATGCAGCATCATTCCAGCGTGAAACCGGTTTAGAAAACAAATTTGTAATCTTAGAAGCTTTACCAGGGAAGCGATGACCAAAAAGCACGCATGACAAACAAAATGCACCATCATCACCAAGCAGAGACAAAGACACGGAACTGTACAAGCAATTCCCTGAAGCTTCTGATCTAAGAAAATACATGAAGCTGATGATGAAAGAATTTTTGGGTTTGGTTCCACAATGTTCTATATATGACATTATTTGATAAATGTATTATATAATCATGTTATAATCTTATTTAGTTTTATTGAGTAATGAAATAGCTAACTGACAATAAAATCTCGCGTAAATATGATATTTACTTTATGTTTTTATATTGACAAAATCTACATTCTCTATATGAAATGTGTAATAGTGCTGACAACTATAAGCAGGGAATGAATATAAGTAATTCAAATAGGATAGTTAATAGTAGAATTATAAAGAATCAAGGAATAATCAACAAGCAGGTTGAACTGAAAATTTGACAAGTTTATCTCACTGTACATTCATAAAGTTTTTAAAATGCGAGTCTAAAACCACAAAATCAGCAAGTTGAAAGGTTGATGAGATTTACACAACACAAGTGACCTGTAATATACAACCAGACGTTTTGCTGGCAACTTATAGCAAGCAGACTTTGTATAGTGCTTTCGTTTTGAAACACAGCACAATTAAGCAAAATGCTTAACTTCCCTTGAGATTTATCTGCCTGCCAGCAAACCGTGCGAACGTAAACAAGGCAAGTCATCAATACCGTTTGTATGCATATTTACATTCTTACATATTGTTAGTGAAATATGAGAAAAATTGTACAAAATATAGTTTACCTCAAAGCTATGCACGATTTTTCCTTTTGATTTCGAACAGCCAAAGGAATATAAGTTTCCGCGCAATAATTTCTGCTAATGCTGTTTGACGAGCTACTTATGGCACCCAATAGTTGCTCAAGCGATATCTCATCTTGCTCATTCAGTTGCCTGGCAAGATCAACATAAAAACCTGCCAAAATTTTACAATCATCTGCCGCAAAGGCAGCTTGAACAACACCGTAATCCATATCAGATACAACTGAAACTTTTTAAACAATGCGTGATTGCAATTTTGCGATGTAGCGAAAGATAAGACCTTCAAAATAAATGACCCCCCGCTGTGAATCAGTCAAAGTATCAAATAGCGTAAAATAACAAAGTAAAAATACTAGTCGATAATATAAAATATGATTGTTAGAGCCCTTGAAAGTCGTCAATCCATCAGGCCTCCCCACAGATACATCAAAACTGCAAGTTTCCATGGCAATAGGCGAATTGACCAATGAGAAGACTAAGATTTGACTTTTTGATGGTCTGTGGGCTTGAAATCATATTTGAGGCTAATTACATAGCTTTCCTTAAAAAAACGGCTGTACACTCAGGCCATTAATTAATTCTGATCGTTATGCTTTCGTTTGGCTTACGATAAGTGATAGTTGACTTAATTATTTATTAATTTTAGTATGTTGCATGAATAATTAATCACCATTTCATACGTTCGTCGCGTGATGGATTTGATGACCCTTAAATCCGCCCCTGTCTTTAACCATGTGTGTATATCAAACGTACCTTCTTGTCCTCCACTACCTAAGTGGTCCCATTGAAACTGAGATAAAAGTAACGATGCACACCACTTTACAGTTTCCTGCAGTAACAATATGCAACATTAATCCAGTGAGAAGATCACGGTAAGTTAGAAATAACAAAATTTATGTTCGCATTAGAAAAATTCCCAAAGGTAATGTTCACTGAAAAAACACTTTACTTTAGTTGGGAAGAAAGACAGAACATAAGTGGGACAGTATCTCCAAAGTCAAAGTCGTTCATTCAAAAGCTACAAAAACTCCACCGTTCTGCCAGTAGTAACAAAGTTGAAGATGCAATAAAACTCAAGAAACGTATAAAAAGACAAGGGGTAGCAATTCAATTAAATACCGATCGGGACAAGTTCGTAGCAAGCGTGGATAAAATCGAAGCATTAACACAACAGCACCTGAATTCATCATTTCACAACAATAACAAAACAGAAATAATCCTGTCTGAAGTAAAAGAGTTTGTGGTTCATACAAACGAAAAGAATGACAATCATAGAGAAATGAAAAAGCGACTTAATGATTTGGAAAAACGACTGGAAATTACTGAACTGACAACTGATGACATAACAAAGCAAATATCCGAGACACGTGGCTACTTAAACCAATTAAAAGCAAACATTAATCAAGCAGAGAAAGAACCAGAGAAAAATAATACAGCTGGTGATATGCAAAAGGATGGCATAAAAAATTACCACCAAGCAAAAATTTACAGGCGTTTCAAAAATATCTCAAGGATATCGGTGAAATGACACGCGAGGATTTCCAAGATCTTGGAAATCAGAAAAATGATTTCATTGCAAGTTGTACGTGGCAGGGGACCCTATGTGATCCAAGGTGACATTAAGGGATCACCACCGTTTAGTGCATGACAAATTTGTGCACTTTTTCTAGTTACTTTGAAGTATTTCAAAACTATATGTATGGAAATTGCTTTACTTTCAACACAAGTAAAGTCAACAGTAGCGTTAGCGGTACAGGACCTTACAATGGTGAGTACGACTGAACAGAAACATCACGTGCATTTCAAATAAATCGCATGTTTGGAAATGAATAAATTTACTTACGTAGGTCTTAGTCTCTTCCTTTTCCCGAGCAAGAAGAATACATAGATCGTATAGCGTCAGCAGCCGGAGCTCATGTCACAGTTCACGAGTTTGACCATGAACCACAGCCTGAAGAAGAAGGATTTTACGTTGCTCCAGGATTTACAACATCCATATCTCTTAGAAAGGTAAGAAGATCAAACAAATAAAATACAGCGTCATACCAACAATTTAAAATGTTACGATAAGTAATAATTAAAGTTTAGACATAGTAGACAAATCTATAAAGTGACATCAGTGACATTACTTCAATACACAAGTATAAATATTAGTTTATTTTACTAGATGACAACTCAAACTGTGAAGCCTATTTGCGATCCTAACAAGAAAACAACGGTAGAGAATGAAAACATATTCTTACTCGCAGACGGTAATAATTATAGTTTATACGGTGTTCATGTCATCAGGTTGAATTGATAGAGCTTATTCTTTAAATATAGAATTGTATTAAGAAATGTCTTTCAGACGAAATAATTCGTCAATGTCATTGTGAGGGAACACAGTTCTTACTTCATATAAAACGTGTTTAGCAGACGACAAGACAGAAAGTAAAAACATGTGATTAACGGCTGAAAAGAACTCAAAATTTACAAACTTACTTGTTTGTTTAGATCTATGCATTGAATGCCTTGAAAGTCTAGCAAGAAAGAACAACTTGCCATGTTACTGTCCATTGGCTTGCAAGTAAAATAGTCACTAAACATAATTTAAAAAAAACGTGATAGGGTTAATAGCATTAAATTTTCTCTTCTTTAAGGTCAACAATCCATCATTCTGTAATATCTTCAGCTGTATGGCCTGCTGAAAAATATTTGGTAAATCTGCAACCAAACTTTATATAATTTCCTATCCTTACATCAGACATATTAAAGAGCTTCATTTTTTATAATTCTTCAGCCGTCCTTCTTTGAGGAACTGTTCAGAGCACGACATAAAGTAATCAATTTGCTCGAGAACATCTCAGATGTAAATCAATATTTTAGGTATGTGCAAGTAACTAACTTCTAAAAAAGCAGGCGAAAAGCATTCTGACACATAAAATATTTGTAGATGTTTCATGGTTTTGTTCCTCTTACAGAAAAAACTTCCTGAAGATCAATATATTTTCCAAGAGTTGCGAGAATATAAGACGCTCCATTTTCATTCGTACGGGTTAGTTTAAATAAATGGACACTTTTATCTATCCACATGACAAGTTTTAGCCAAATGCATGCAGCTTATGTTTATAGAACAAGTATGATAAAACATCAAATAGCTACATAGGTTACCCTGCGTATACTAACTATATAGTTTATAGTTGAATCTTTTAAACTGTTCATGATGCAGTGTTGACCTTTTTGAGCTAGAGTTTTAATAAAAAAAACACCAACATTTTATTTTTAATTGTACATGCCTAGTGGTATTTTGTTTTATTTCCTGCAATCTCATTGGCGGCAGCTGTAGGCGACTTTTTCTTACGATATCTTGATCGTGGTTCAAAAAATTAAGTTTTTTTGCAACAATATTTTTTACTAAGTGCTATTTAAATTGTTGAAATTGATTTAAAGAATTGCTCATAGAAAGCAAAATATATTCAGATCGTAGTTTAGTGAGTGAATTTTATAATCCAGACGAAGTGACCTTTGAAGAAAATAATCCAATTTTAGTTTTCACAACATCGATCAACATCGATAATATTTCTATGTCCTTAGTGCAGGAGTCACCATTTTATTATGATGATAGCCGGAGGGCACATTGTAATACCTATATATATATATATATATATGTATTACTATTATATATATATATATACACTATATATTATTTAATATTATACCCTGAAGAGTGAGAAATCACAGAAACAAGCTTGTCGGGATGAAATTGTAGTTTTGTGATTTTTCTTCTACTTATCAATATTTACGCTCTGCTCTTAAGCATCGAGCACTGTACTTACGGAGATTCAAATAAACAAAACTTCCTATATACACTATATATATATGTTTAGTGGTGTTGAGAAAAATCACAAAAACTACAGATTCATCCCGACAAGCCTGTTTCGTGATTGCTCACTCTTCAGGGATTTTTATTCATTAAATCTTTTATTTATTTTTCATTTTTAATTCCAATGAATATTTCTGTGTAACTATCCTTTATTTTGTGTATTTTTTTATAGATAGGACGTTTATTATCAGACATAGGTGGTCAGTTGGGTCTATGGATTGGAGTTTCAGTTGTAACATTGGTGGACTTCACTGAAAGCCTTTCAAACTTCATGAAAGCTTTTTATCGACGGATAAAGATGAAGATGGTCAAAAATCGCAGCTATGCTAATTCTCTAACAACGAACTCATCATTCGATAAAAGATCTGTTTTAGTCAACCAAAAACCCTTCACTCGAATTATGCAGGAATCCAACGGTTGACTCAACTACCAGAACAACAACAAAAAACCTAATCGTATGTAAGCCACGAACGATAAAAAAATATAGGTTTTAAGTCAAGAACAATATGGTTTTATCAGCTAAAATATTATGACACGATGTAAAAAGACAAAATCTGTGTAAAACAACTCACCAAAACCCGATATCGTTTGACTCCTGCCTTATATTCTTTTTTAAATATCCCAAGCAGACCAACAATAAACCAAGACATACGTCATTTACACGAAATGTGTGATGAAGTGTCATTCGTGAAAATCGCAAGTTTCTGTGAACAAAAATGCGAGTAGTCACGATGGATTTACACAGTTGTAACACACGAGGCCAGTATGCAGAAATGCAAAGGCATAAAAAAAACGAACAAAACAAAAAACTAGGCCAATAACACAGCTAGCTGAGTATTGTGTACCGAAATTCTATCTGGTGTAAGAGAAGATAACCAGCTTGACGCGCAGGCTATTGAACACACGCAAGAATTATTTTGTCTAAGCACAGTGAATATACATATCACCATCAGGGATTCTGATTTAGCTATTAGGGAGAATGAGCTGAATGAAACAAAAGAATTATCACTATGTATTTTTATTCTCAAATATACATTTATGTCTAAATGGTCAGAAGGAACTTTAATCTTGTCTATGTATGATGAAACTTTTAGATACGAAACTAAACATATCACTTCACAGTTAGACTGCTTGACATGTGTTGAAGTGCACAGGACAGAGCTTTTATCAAAACTATATAGTTGTCGAGAAAAACACCTTCACGTACCGCATGTACAACACACTAACAAAACAGGGACCAGCTTATCTTGTTAAGCAGACCATTTACCTGAACCAAATATTGAAAAGTCAAATAAAATACAGCAAAGAAAATATATTTCGTCAAAACAGACGTCTAATGTTCATCATCAACGCTGGGTATAAGCAATCAAAAATGACTACGTCAGATACGTTGCATTTCTAAAACTGAACATGTTTGAAATTTAAAGCAAAAATGGTCAAAAAAGGGATGAAAAAAGAACAGAACTATCTAATTCACAATTATTTACTAAAATGTTCGAGAGAATCAACTAAGAACTAACAAACAGTTGTCCAGTTGATAAAACCAAATTCAGTAGACAGTCGCTAAAACAATCACTTAACATAAATTTACGTTATCAGTAATCAACAGATAATTGTAGAAAACAACTTAATCAAGCAATAATATGATTGTCTATTTGTGACGTCATTAATAGAATAAAATTTTAGAAACTGTTGTAATGCATTAAAAACATACTCTGTTCATACATACGTGGATGACAGGTACATAAAATTTCTTTTGTCGTAGCAATGCAAAAGACATGTATTAATAACAGAAATTTTTGCTCTTAGGTATTTCAAGAATTGCATTTATTCTTTCGAGACTATTTTATCTGTTACAGAAATTTGGCGAGCTCAATGGATGCGAGATCCAGTGAGAGTGATGAAAGAAACCAAGTCGGTATTCTTCAGGCTAATAACATCTATAATATTCTTCGTGTCACTGTCTATGTGTGTATATCAAACGTACCTTCTTGTCCTTCACTACCTAAGTGATCCCATTGAAACTCAGATAAAAGTAACGATGCACACCACTTTACGGTTTCCTGCAGTAACAATATGCAACATTAATCCAGTGAGAAGATCACGGTAAGTTAGGAATAATAGAAAAAACATTCTTACATTCAAACAAAAAATTGTCAATGCAATGGTTCTCGAAAATCATCAAACATTTTATTTGATCTAGATGGGAAAAAAGACAGACAAAAAGTGAAAGCGTATCCCCAAACTTGACATCTTTCATGCAAGTGCCGCAAAACTCTATCGTTCAGCCGGTGGTACTAATTTTGGAAATTCATTGAAGCGGAAAAAAAGATCACTTGCAAATCAAGACCAGATCGATAAGCTAAGGCAAGAATTAAATGAAAGGATTGATACACTTGAAAAAACTTTAAGCAAACATATAAATGATACGTCCCTGCAAAAAAAGGAAGCTGGCTTTGAACTGTCAGAATCAGAAGAATTCGTCGCTCATGTAAACAGAAGCAATACAACCAATAAAGAAATGGAAAAGCGACTAAACGATTTTGAAAAACGACTAAAATCACAGAGCTGACAACTATTGACATAACAAAGCAAATATCCGAGACACGTGGCTACTTGAATCAATTAAAAGCAAATATTAGTCAAACAGAGAAAGAACCAAAGAAAAATAATACGGCTGGTGATATGCAAAAGGATGGCATAAAAAAATTACCACCAAGCAAAGATTTACAGGCGTTTCAAAACTATCTCAAGGATATCGGTGAAATGACACGAGAGGATTTCCAAGATCTCGGAAATCAGAAAAATGATTTTATTGCAAGTTGTACATGGCAGGGGACCACATGTGATCCAAGGTGACATAGAAGGATCATGCGTGACAACTTTTTACACACATTTTATCATTGTGCACTTTTTCTAGTTATTTTGAAGTATTTCAAAACTATATGTATGGAAATTGCTTTACTTTCAACACAAGTAAAGTCAACAGTAGCGTTAGCGGTACAGGACCTTACAATGGTGAGTACGACCGAACAGAAACATCACATGCATTTAAAATAAATCGCATGTTTGGAAATTAAATTTACTTACGTAGGTCTTAGTCTCTTCCTTTTCCTCGAGCAAGAAGAATACATGGATCGTATAGCGTCAGCAGCCGGAGCTCGTGTCACAATTCACGAGTTCCATTTCAAACCACAACCAGAAGAAGGATTTTACGTTGCTCCAGGATTTACAACATCCATATCTCTTAGAAAGGTAAGAAGATCAAACAAATAAAATACAGCGTCATACCAACAATTTAAAATGTTACGATAAGTAATAATTAAAGTTTAGACATAGTAGACAAATCTATAAAGTGACATCAGTGACATTACTTCAATACACAAGTATAAATATTAGTTTATTTTTTTAGATGACAACTCAAACTGTAAAGCCTATTTGCGATCCTAACAAGAAAACAACGGTAGACAATGAAGAAACATATTCTTACTCGCGGACGGTAATAATTATAGTTTATTCAGTGTTCATTATATCACGAGGTTGTATTGATTAAGCTTATTCTTTAAATATAGAATTGTATGAAGAAATGTCTTTCAGACGAAATAATTCGTCAATGTAATTGTGCGGGAACACAGTTCTTTCTTGATATGAAAACGTGTTCAGCACACAACGAGACTGAAGGTAAAAACATGTGATTAGTTGCTGAAAATAAGCCCCGCGACTTTGGCAACTTATTCATATTTGTCTAGCTCGATGCATTAAACGCCTTGAAAGTCTAGCACGAAAAAACAAGTTGTCATGTTATTGTCCATTGGCTTGCAGGTAGAATAGTCACGAATTAAAATTATTAATAACGGCATGGGGTAAAATAAAATCTTTTTTCTTTAAGAACAACAATCTATCATCCTGTATTATCTTCAGCTGTATGGCCTGCTGAAAAATACTTGGTACATCCATAATTTAAATACATAATTTCCTATCCTCCACTCACAAATTAACGATTTTCATTTTTCTTTAGTCTTCCTTGCTAGAAGAACTTTTCAGAGTACGACATAAAGTAGTTGATTTGTTCGAGAACATATCAAATGTAAATCAGTATTTTAGGTGTGTAAGCATGATAGTATAGTAACAACTAAACTAGGACTTTTACAAAGTGTCTACTGAACAATCTTCAAGGATGTTACGTGGTTTTCTCTCTCTTACAGGAAAAACTTCTTGAGGATCAATATATTTTTCCAAGAGTTACAAGAACAGGAGACATTGCAGCGTCGCTCGTATGGGGTGTGTTCAAAAGAGGCAAACTTTGTCCGTATTTTTGAAATAAACTTAGTAACCTGTTCACTGAATCTTAATACCAAATAGTTTTCGTGACTTTTTACTTTTTACTCTCAAATTAATATTTCTAAATTAAACTTTCTTTTATTTTGTGCATGTTTTGTAGATAGGAAGTCTATTATCAGACATAGGTGGTCAGTTGGGTCTATGGGTTGGAGTTTCAGTTGTAACACTGGTGGACTTCAGTGAAAGCCTTTCAATGTTCATACAAGCTATTTATCTACGGTTAAAGGGAAAAAATCGCAACGGCAGTATTTTCATGCTATCTCGAGCAGAACATCGTTCAAACAACAGAGAGCATCAATTGAATAGGAAAAAGGACTGTGTTTTGGTTTCACCACAAACCTCATCTGATACCATGTCTCCAACTGTTGATTCAACTGACAGTATAACTATTTATACATCACCGTATGTAGGTAAACACCGGAAGAAATAAGAATTCAACAAATAGACAAAATACTAATTTCTCTTATATGACAGTGTTCATGAAGAATGAACTCGTGTAAAACATGAAAATAAAAGTATCTGAAGCCAGTCTAAAACAACAAAACTTATGAAAAAACAAAATTTGTCATATTTTAAAGCTATTTACGGCAAGCGAACAACAGATGAAATACAATCATAAAGAGGAAATAATCCAAATTAAAAACGGAAACTTCTGTCATTCCATAATGATTTCCATAGATTGTTCTCCACGACGCCAGGTACGCAAATCTCATCAATGTGAATCACATCTAAATAAATCTCATCACTCGCGCGAGCACATGATGAGATTTGTGCAGAATGCTGTGCAAAGAAACACGTGCATTTTTTGTGTGGAGAAATTGCAAAAAATGCCAATCTCAATAGATGTGGGATAATTTCGCGCACAAATTGGTTGTCACTCATCGGGAAGTAATACATTCCCTACCAAACATTCGAAAGAACGATGCAAGATTTAACATCTCTATACACCTTATTAAAAGGGTAAAGACTGACTTACTTTACCATTAAGTGAAAATTATTGCAAAAGCATTTTTAAAAAGCAGCCAACACTGGGACAGTCATATGGTCCATTTATGACGTCATCAATAGAAGAGCATTCTAGAAATCGTCGAAGATCCGAAACTTACTTTTGAACATACATACGGGAATCACAGGTGTCTTGAAAAAACAGTGATTATAAATTTTGAGTGTGAGTAAATCAAAGAGGTTTGTTGACCTTTCAGATAGATGCATTTATCTGCTGTACAGTCAACCAACTCGATGAGAACTGATCTTGGTGACAGCCGTGTAAAAAACACAAGGCAAGCATTCTTCAAGCTAACAGGATGTATTGTATTTTTCTTGTCTTTAACCATGTGTGTATATCAAACGTACCTTCTTGTCCTCCACTACCTAAGTGGTCCCATTGAAACTGAGATAAAAGTAACGATGCACACCACTTTACAGTTTCCTGCAGTAACAATATGCAACATTAATCCAGTGAGAAGATCACGGTAAGTTAGAAATAACAAAATTTATGTTCGCATTAGAAAAATTCCCAAAGGTAATGTTCACTGAAAAAACACTTTACTTTAGTTGGGAAGAAAGACAGAACATAAGTGGGACAGTATCTCCAAAGTCAAAGTCGTTCATTCAAAAGCTACAAAAACTCCACCGTTCTGCCAGTAGTAACAAAGTTGAAGATGCAATAAAACTCAAGAAACGTATAAAAAGACAAGGGGTAGCAAATCAATTAAATACCGATCGGGACAAGTTCGTAGCAAGCGTGGATAAAATCGAAGCATTAATACAACAGCACCTGAATTCATCATTTCACAACAATAACAAAACAGAAATAATCCTGTCTGAAGTATAAGAGTTTGTGGTTCATACAAACGAAAAGAATGACAATCATAGAGAAATGAAAAAGCGACTTAATGATTTGGAAAAACGACTGGAAATTACTGAACTGACAACTGATGACATAACAAAGCAAATATCCGAGACACGTGGCTTAAACCAATTAAAAGCAAATATTAATCAAGCAGAGAAAGAACCAGAGAAAAATAATACAGCTGGTGATATGCAAAAGGATGGCATAAAAAATTACCACCAAGCAAAAATTTACAGGCGTTTAAAAATATCTCAAGGATATCGGTGAAATGACACGCGAGGATTTCCAAGATCTCGGAAATCAGAAAAATGATTTTATTGCAAGTTGTATATGGCAGGGGACAACATGTGATCCAAGGTGACATTAAGGATCACCACCGTTTAGTGCATGACAAATTTGTGCACTTTTTCTAGTTACTTTGAAGTATTTCAAAACTATATGTATGGAAATTGCTTTACTTTCAACACAAGTAAAGTCAACAGTAGCGTTAGCGGTACAGGACCTTACAATGGTGAGTACGACTGAACAGAAACATCACGTGCATTTCAAATAAATCGCATGTTTGGAAATGAATAAATTTACTTACGTAGGTCTTAGTCTCTTCCTTTTCCTCGAGCAAGAAGAATACATAGATCGTATAGCGTCAGCAGCCGGAGCTCGTGTCACAGTTCACGAGTTTGACCATGAACCACAGCCTGAAGAAGAAGGATTTTACGTTGCTCCAGGATTTACAACATCCATATCTCTTAGAAAGGTAAGAAGATCAAACAAATAAAATACAGCGTCATACCAACAATTTAAAATGTTACGATAAGTAATAATTAAAGTTTAGACATAGTAGACAAATCTATAAAGTGACATCAGTGACATTACTTCAATACACAAGTATAAATATTAGTTTATTTTACTAGATGACAACTCAAACTGTGAAGCCCTATTTGCGATCCTAACAAGAAAACAACGGTAGAGAATGAAAAAACATATTCTTACTCGCAGACGGTAATAATTATAGTTTATACGGTGTTCATGTCATCAGGTTGAATTGATAGAGCTTATTCTTTAAATATAGAATTGTATTAAGAAATGTCTTTCAGACGAAATAATTCGTCAATGTCATTGTGAGGGAACACAGTTCTTACTTCATATAAAACGTGTTTAGCAGACGACAAGACAGAAAGTAAAAACATGTGATTAACGGCTGAAAAGAACTCAAAATTTTACAAACTTACTTGTTTGTTTAGCTCTATGCATTGAATGCCTTGAAAGTCTAGCAAGAACGAACAACTTGCCATGTTACTGTCCATTGGCTTGCAAGTAAAATAGTCACTAAACATAATTTAAAAAAAACGTGATAGGGTTAATAGCATTAAATTTTCTCTTCTTTAAGGTCAACAATCCATCATTCTGTAATATCTTCAGCTGTATGGCCTGCTGAAAAATATTTGGTAAATCTGCAACCAAACTTTATATAATTTCATATCCTTACATCAGACATATTAAAGAGCTTCATTTTTTATAATTCTTCAGCCGTCCTTCTTTGAGGAACTGTTCAGAGCACGACATAAAGTAATCAATTTGCTCGAGAACATCTCAGATGTAAATCAATATTTTAGGTATGTGCAAGTAACTAACTTCTAAAAAGCAGGCGAGCATTCTGACACATAAATATTTGTAGATGTTTCATGGTTTTGTTCCTCTTACAGAAAAAACTTCCTGAAGATCAATATATTTTCCAAGAGTTGCGAGAATATAAGACGCTCCATTTTCATTCGTACGGGGTTAGTTTAAATAAATGGACACTTTTATCTATCCACATGACAAGTTTTAGCCAAATGCATGCAGCTTATGTTTATAGAACAAGTATGATAAAACATCAAATAGCTACATAGGTTACCCTGCGTATACTAACTATATAGTTTATAGTTGAATCTTTTAATATACACGACAACTTTTTTGAAAATAAACATGTTTCGACATCTCATGATGCCATCTTCAGTATGAATGAAATAATAGGTGATACAGGGTTTATATAAAAGTAATATGATACATAAATTACAACAATAAAAAGGAAATAAGATAATATAATGAGGAGCGTCCGAGCGTATTATAAACTAAATATTGTATTGAATTTAAAAACTTGAACATTGAGGTCAGGGTTAGTTTTGTTAATATGGAGTGCTTCTTTGATTTTAAGTGTGAATGAGGTGTCGGCAGTGTCGATGATTTTGAAACAAGAGGGTGAATAGTTGGTTTTGCATGAGTGTGATTTAAGAAGGTGTCGGTAGATGTGAGAGTTTTTGTCTGTTGTGGTATGTTCCCTGATTCTGGTGGATAAATGGCGCGAAGTTTCGCCAATGTATCGGGAATTACATCCCGCGCAATTGAATTCATATACCACCATAGATTTATGTTATTTTGGAATTTTCATTTGTGTTGGTTGTGAAAATTCCAAAATAACAACTCTATACTTCAAACTACCATACATCGGACATTACTCACGACACACACAACGCAGACTTACAAACATTATGAAACGCTTCTGTACAGATATTGACATTCGACTGATTTTCACATCATTCAAAATCAAAAACCTTTTTTCATTTAAAGACCCGATCCCTGATTCAATTAAATCTATGGTGGTATATGAATTCAATTGCGCGGGATGTAATTCCCGATACATTGGCGAAACTTCGCGCCATTTATCCACCAGAATCAGGGAACATACCACAACAGACAAAAACTCTCACATCTACCGACACCTTCTTAAATCACACTCATGCAAAACCAACTATTCACCCTCTTGTTTCAAAATCATCGACACTGCCGACACCTCATTCACACTTAAAATCAAAGAAGCACTCCATATTAACAAAACTAACCCTGACCTCAATGTTCAAGTTTTTAAATTCAATACAATATTTAGTTTATAATACGCTCGGACGCTCCTCATTATATTATCTTATTTCCTTTTTATTGTTGTAATTTATGTATCATATTACTTTTATATAAACCCTGTATCACCTATTATTTCATTCATACTGAAGATGGCATCATGAGATGTCGAAACATGTTTATTTTCAAAAAAGTTGTCGTGTATATTAAATGTGTATTGGCAATAGTGCTTTTACGAAATTATGAATCTTTTAAACTGTTCATGATGCAGTGTTGACCTTTTTGAGCTAGAGTTTTAATAAAAAAAACACCAACATTTTATTTTTAATTGTACATGCCTAGTGGTATTTTGTTTTATTTCCTGCAATCTCATTGGCGGCAGCTGTAGGCGACTTTTTCTTACGATATCTTGATCGTGGTTCAAAAAATTAAGTTTTTTTGCAACAATATTTTTTACTAAGTGCTATTTAAATTGTTGAAATTGATTTAAAGAATTGCTCATAGAGAAAGCAAAATATATTCAGATCGTAGTTTAGTGAGTGAATTTTATAATCCAGACGAAGTGACCTTTGAAGAAAATAATCCAATTTTAGTTTTCACAACATCGATCAACATCGATATTATTTCTATGTCCTATGTCCTTAGTGCAGGAGTCACCATTTTATTATGATGATAGCCGGGAGGGCACATTGTAATACACTTATATATATATATATTACTATTAGGAAGTTTTGTTTATTTGAATCTCCGTAAGTACAGTGCTCGATGCTTAAGAGCAGAGCGTAAATATTGATAAGTAGAAGAAAAATCACAAAAACTACAATTTCATCCCGACAAGCCTGTTTCGTGATTTCTCACTTTTCAGGGGATAATATTAAATGAATACAAAAGCATGTGCTAGATTATATATACAAGAGGAAGTTAGGGTAAAAATTGAGATAGAATTACATAATATATTGAGTGTACGATTACAAATTACATAAAAGTGCCTTGTGTCTATGGCGACAAGAGGAGATAAGTTCGTTTTGTTGAGTGATGATAGTTGTGGTTGGTAGGTGATGAAGAATTTTCTTTCAGGCATAGGTTGCATCTTTTGTTGGCGCTGTTGTACGGTTTGCTGTGAGTAATGCACCACAACTATCATCACTCAACAAACGTAACGAACTTATCTCCTCTTGTCGCCATAGACACAAGGCACTTTTATGTAATTTGTAATCGTACACTCAATATATTATGTAATTCTATCTCAATTTTACCCTAACTTCCTCTTGTATATATAATCTAGCACATGCTTTGTATTCATTTAATATTATCCCTGAAGAGTGAGAAATCACGAAACAGGCTTGTCGGGATGAAATTGTAGTTTTGTGTATTTTCTTTTCTCATCAATATTTACGCTCTGCTCTTAGCATATTACTAGATTAAATAAACAAAACTATATATATATACACTATATTATTTAATATTATACCCTGAAGAGTGAGAAATCACGAAACAGGCTTGTCGGGATGAAATTGTAGTTTTTGTGATTTTTCTTCTACTTATCAATATTTACGCTCTGCTCTTAAGCATCGAGCACTGTACTTACGGAGATTCAAATAAACAAAACTTCCTATATACACAATATATATATGTTTAGTGGTGTTGAGAAAAAATCACAAAAACTACAGATTCATCCCGACAAGCCTGTTTCGTGATTGCTCACTCTTCAGGGGATTTTTATTCATTAAATCTTTTATTTATTTTTTTATTTTTTAATTCCAATGAATATTTCTGTGTAACTATCCTTTATTTTGTGTATTTTTTTATAGATAGGACGTTTATTATCAGACATAGGTGGTCAGTTGGGTCTATGGATTGGAGTTTCAGTTGTAACATTGGTGGACTTCACTGAAAGCCTTTCAAACTTCATGAAAGCTTTTTATCGACGGATAAAGATGAAGATGGTCAAAAATCGCAGCTATGCTAATTCTCTAACAACGAACTCATCATTCGATAAAAGATCTGTTTTAGTCAACCAAAACCCTTCACTCGAATTATGCAGGAATCAACGGTTGACTCAACTACCAGAACAACAACAAAACCTAATAAAGTAAATGGTTTGAACCCGGGAGTATCGTTATATGTTTGTAAATGATGATCGTCCAGGTTAATAAAGTCCTGAGAAGGACTGTTTTTGTTGTTGTTGACTGACGTTTCGACAACCTTAGCGGTAGTCATCTTCAGAGTCAAATGAGGAGTAAACGTCAGGTTGGCCGTATTTGTTATCTGGTTCTTACGTCATTGTATTGTGTGTACAGGAAATGTGTATTGTCATTGTGGATTAGTGTGAAGTGAAATATTTTTTTTTTTTTATTTTTAGTTGTGATGTGTGATTTAGGTGTGACGTATTTAGTTGTAATGTGTGGGTGTCAATTGTGTATTGTCATTGTGAATTAGTTTGAAGTGTAGTGTTTTTAGTTGATCGTTTGTTTGTATTGTGAATAAGTCGTTTGTAAGGTGCCGGTAATTGCTGTGATCTGTTCACGGGGGTTTGTTCCAAGTTGGTATACCAACTTTCTAATGTAAGCCGATGTCTATAGTCAGTACTGTAAGTGATGCATTTTGCCGAATCCCAGTCAATGTTGTGCTTTGTGATTCGGTGATGTTCGGCAATGTGATTAGTTTTGTCTTGTTTCTTAGTAGCTCATTTGTGCTAAGTAAGTCTTATGTTTAAGTTCCTGCCAGTTTCTCCGATATAGGAGGCGTGGCAGTCGGAGCAGTTTATTTTGTAAACTGCACCTTGTCGTTCGTTGGGTTGTTCTTTGTCCTTTATGTTCGTTAGTACTTGTCGTAACGTTGTGATTGGTTTATGTGCGACACGTATGTTGTATGGTCGTAAGATACGCGAGATAGTCTCAGACGTACCTTTGATGTAAGGTATCGTTGCTGTTGTCACTGAGTTGTTCGTTTCGTTGGGTTCGTTGGGTTTGTAAGTGTTGCGTTTGATAAAGTCAGAGTTATAGTTTTTGTCAAAACACGTTTGAGATTGTTGTTTTCGTTTTGTAGAGCGTCCGGTGAATCACATATGATTTGTGCACGTCTTGTTAATGTTCTGATTGTGGTGGCTTTGTGTGATGTAGGGTTGTAAGATGATTGGTCTAGTAGTCGGTCAGTATGTGTTGGCTTGCGATAAACTGTTGTTCGTAGTTTTTGATTGTCATGTTTTACCAAACAGTCGAGAAAAGGAAGAGTTCCGTTTTCTTCGACATCTTTGGTAAATTGTATGTGGCTGTTCTGTTTGTTGATGTGAGTATGAAAGTCATTAATGTCGTCTGCATGTAGTGCTGTGATTGTGTCATCTACGTACCAAAAAGGTAGTGCATGTTTGTAAGTCGTGAGCGCCCGTTCCTCTATAGATTGCATTACAATTTCAGCAACTACAACAGAAACGGGCGAGCCCATTGCCGTCCCATGTAATTGTTTGTAGTGTGTTCCTTTGTATTGGAAGTAAGTCGAGGTGAGGCAGAGCTCCAGTAACTCCATAATGTCTTCTGTCGGTAATGGCAGTACGTCCGTGGTGTTTGTAATGAGGGTTTTTGTACAAGTAAGTGCCAGATTAAGTGGAATACTGGTGAACAGTGATTTCACATCAAAAGACACTAGTATATAGTTGTCCGGTATTTGTATAGTGCTCAGTTTTTTAATGAAAGTTTCAGTGGATTGTAGCTTGTGTTTTGATTTGTTTGTAAGTGGTTGCAGTATGTTAGTCAAGTACTTTGAAAGTTCGTAAGTAGGCGAACCACAGAATGATACAATTGGTCGCATGGGTATTTGTGGTTTGTGAAGTTTTGGTAGTCCGTATAGTCTGGGTGGTCGTGGACTTTATTAACCTGAACGATCATCATTTACAAACAAAAAACCTAATCGTATGTAAGCCACGAACGATAAAAAAATATAGGTTTTAAATCAAGAACAATATGGTTTTATCAGCTAAAATATTATGACACGATGTAAAAAGACAAAATCCGTGTAAAACAACTCACCAAAACCCGATATCGTTTGACTCCTGCCTTATATTCTTTTTTAAATATCCCAAGCAGACCAACAATAAACCAAGACATACTTCATTTACACGAAATGTGTGATGAAGCGTCATTCGTGAAAATCGCAAGTTTCTGTGAACAAAAATGCGAGTAGTCACGATGGATTTACACAGTTGTAACACACGAGGCCAGTATGCAGAAATGCAAAGGCATAAAAAAACGAATAAAACAAAAAACTAGGCCAATAACACAGCTAGCTGAGTATTGTGTACCGAAATTCTATCTGGTGTAAAAGAAGATAAGCAGCTTGACGCGCAGGCTATTGAACACACGCAAGAATTATTTTGTCTAAGCACAGTGAATATACATATCACCATCAGGGATTCTGATTTAGCTATTAGGGAGAATGAGCTGAATGAAACAAAAGAATTATCACTATGTATTTTTATTCTCAAATATATTTTTATGTCTAAATGGTCAGAAGGAACTTTAATCTTGTCTATGCATGATGAAACTTTTAGATACGAAACAACATATTACTTCACAGTTAGACTGCTTGACATATGTTGAAGTGCACGGGACAGAGCTTTTATCAAAACTATAAAGTTGTCGAGAAAACACCTTGACGTACCGCATGTACAACACACTAACAAAACAGGGACCAGCTTATCTTGTTAAGCAGACCATTTACCTGAAACAAATATTGCAAAGTCAAATAAAATATATTTCGTCAAAACAGACGTCTAATGTTCATCATCAACGCTGGGTATAAGCAATCAAAAATGACTACGTCAGATACGTTGCATTTCTAAAACTGAACATGTTTGAAATTTAAAGCAAAAATGGTCAAAAAAGGGATGAAAAAAGAACTATCTAATTCACAATTATTCACTAAAATGTTCGAGAGAATCAACTAAGAACTAACAAACAGTTGTCCAGTTGATAAAACCAAATTCAGTAGACAGTCGCTAAAACAATCACTTAACATAAATTTACGTTACCAGTAATCAACAGATAATTGTAGAAATCAACTTAATCAAGCAATAATATGATTTTCTATTTGTGACGTCATTAATAGAATAAAACTTTAGAAACTGTTGTAATGCATTAAAAACATACTCTGTTCATACATACGTGGATGACAGGTACATAAAAATTTCTCATGTCGTAGCAATGCAAAAAGACATGTATTAATAACAGAAATTTTTGCTAGGTATTTCAAGAATTGCATTTATTCTTTCAAGACTATTTTATCTGTTACAGAAATTCCACGAGCTCAATGGATGCGAGATCCAGTGAGAGTGATGAAAAGAAAACCAAGTCAGCATTCTTCAGGCTAATAACTTCTATAATATTCTTCGTGTCACTGTCTATGTGTGTATATCAAACGTACCTTCTTGTCCTTCACTACCTAAGTGATCCCATTGAAACTCAGATAAAAGTAACGATGCACACCACTTTACGGTTTCCTGCAGTAACAATATGCAACATTAATCCAGTGAGAAGATCACGGTAAGTTAGGAATAATAGAAAAAACATTCTTACATTCAAACAAAAAATTGTCAATGCAATGGTTTTCGAAAATCATCAAGCATTTTATTTGATCTAGATGGGAAAAAAGACAGACAAAAAATGAAAGCGTATCCCCAAACTTAACATCTTTCATGCAAGTGCCGCAAAAACTCTATCGTTCAGCCGGTGGTACTAATTTTGGAAATTTATTGAAGCGGAAAAAAAGATCACTTGCAAATCAAGCCCAGATCGATAAGCTAAGGCAAGAATTAAATCAAAGGATTGATACACTTGATAAAACTTTAAGCAAACATATAAATGATACGTCCCTGCAAAAAAAGGAAGCTGGCTTTGAACTGTCAGAATCAGAAGAATTCATCGCTCATGTAAACAGAAGCAATACAACCAATAAAGAAATGGAAAAGCGACTAAACGATTTTGAAAAACGACTAAAAATCACTGAGTTGACAACTATTGACATAACAAAGCAAATATCCGAGACACGTGGCTACTTGAATCAATTAAAAGCAAATATTAGTAAAGTGGGAAAAGAACCAGAGAAAAATGATACGACAGATGATATACAGAAGGATGACAAGAAAAAATTACCACCAAGTAAAGATTTACAGGCGTTTCAAAATTACCTCAAGGAAATCGGTGAAATGACACGCGAGGATTTCCAAGATCTCGGAAATCAGAAGAATGATTTCATTGCAAGTTGTACATGGCAGGGGACCCTATGTGATCCAAGGTGACATTAGGGATCATCACCGTTTAGTGCATGACAACATTTTACACACATTTTATCATTGTGCACTTTTTCTAGTTATTTTGAAGTATTTCAAAACTATATGTATGGAAATTGCTTTACTTTCAACACAAGTAAAGTCAACAGTAGCGTTAGCGGTACAGGACCTTACAATGGTGAGTACGACCGAACAGAAACATCACATGCATTTAAAATAAATCGCATGTTTGGAAATTAATAAATTTACTTACGTAGGTCTTAGTCTCTTCCTTTTCCTCGAGCAAGAAGAATACATGGATCGTATAGCGTCAGCAGCCGGAGCTCGTGTCACAATTCACGAGTTCCATTTCAAACCACAACCAGAAGAAGAAGGATTTTACGTTGCTCCAGGATTTACGACATCCATATCTCTTAGAAAGGTAAGAAGATCAAACAAATAAAATACAGCGTCATACCAACAATTTAAAATGTTACGATAAGTAATAATTAAAGTTTAGACATAGTAGACAAATCTATAAAGTGACATCAGTGACATTACTTCAATACACAAGTATAAATATTAGTTTATTTTTCTAGATGACAACTCAAACTGTGAAGCCTATTTGCGATCCTAACAAGAAAACAACGGTAGACAATGAAAAAACATATTCTTACTCGCGGACGGTAATAATTATAGTTTATTCAGTGTTCATTATGTCACGAGGTTGTATTGATTGAGCTTATTCTTTAAATATAGAATTGTATGAAGAAATGTCTTTCAGACGAAATAATTCGTCAATGTAATTGTGCGGGAACACAGTTCTTTCTTGATATGAAAACGTGTTCAGCAAACAACGAGACTGAAGGTAAAAACATGTGATTAGTTGCTGAAAATAAGCCCCGCAACTTTGGCAACTTATTCTTATTTGTCTAGCTCGATGCATTAAACGCCTTGAAAATCTAGCACGAAAAAACAAGTTGTCATGTTATTGTCCATTGGCTTGCAGGTAGAATGGTCACGAATTAAAATTATTAATAACGGCATGGGGTAAAATAAAATCTTTTTTCTTTAAGAACAACAATCTATCATCCTGTATTATCTTCAGCTGTATGGCCTGCTGAAAAATACTTGGTACATCCATAATTTAAATACATAATTTCCTATCCTCCACTCACAAATTAACGATTTTCATTTTTCTTTAGTCTTCCTTGCTAGAAGAACTTTTCAGAGTACGACATAAAGTAGTTGATTTGTTCGAGAACATATCAAATGTAAATCAGTATTTTAGGTGTGTAAGCATGATAGTATAGTAACAACTAAACTCGGATGTTACAAAGTGTATGGTGAACAATACAATCTTCAAGGAATTTTCGTGTTTTTCTTTCTCTTACAGGAAAAACTTCTTGAGGATCAATATATTTTTCAAGAGTTACAAGAACAGGAGACATTGCAGCGTCGCTCGTATGGGGTGTGTTCAAAGAGACAAACTTTGTCCGTATTTTTAAACTAAACTTAGCAACCTGTTCACTGAATCTTAATACCAAATAGTTTTCGGGACTTTTTACTTTTTACTCTCAAATTAATATTTCTAAATTAAACTTTTTTTATTTTGTGCATGTTTTGTAGATAGGAAATCTATTATCAGACATAGGTGGTCAGTTGGGTCTATGGGTTGGAGTTTCAGTTGTAACACTGGTGGACTTCAGTGAAAGCTTGTCAATGTTCATACAAGCTATTTATCTACGGCTAAAGGGAAAAAATCGCAACGGCAGTATTTTCATGCTATCTCGAGCAGAACATCGTTCAAACAACAGAGAGCATCAATTGAATAGGAAAAAGGACTGTGTTTTGGTTTCACCACAAACCTCATCTGATACCATGTCTCCAACTGTTGATTCAACTGGCAGTATAACTATTCATACATCACCGTATGTAGGCAAACACCGGAAGAAATAAGAATTCAACAAATAGACAAAATACTAATTTCTCTTATATGACAGTGTTCATGAAGAATGAACTCGTGTAAAACATGAAAATAAAAGTATCTGAAGCCAGTCTAAAACAACACAACTTATGAAAAACCAAAATATGTCATACTTTAAAGCTATTTACGGCAAGCAAACAACAGATGAAATACAATCATAAAGAGGAAATAATCCAAATTAAAAACGGAAACTTCTGTCATTCCATAATGATTTCCGTAGATTGTTCTCCACGACGCCAGGTACGCAAATCTCATCAATGTGAATCACATCTAAATAAATCTCATCACTCGCGCGAGCACATGATGAGATTTGTGCAGAATGCTGTGCAAAGAAACACGTGCATTTTTTGTGTGGAGAAATTGCAAAAAATGCCAATCTCAATAGATGTGGGATAATTTCGCGCACAAATTGGTTGTCACTCATCGGGAAGTAATACATTCCCTACCAAACATTCGAAAGAACGATGCAAGATTTAACATCTCTATACACCTTATTAAAAGGGTAAAGACTGACTTACTTTACCATTAAGTGAAAATTATTGCAAAAGCATATTTAAAAAGCAGCCAACACTGGGACAGTCATATGGTCCATTTATGACGTCATCAATAGAAGAGCATTCTAGAAACCGTCGAAGATCCAAAACTTACTTTTGAACATACATACGGGAATCACAGGTGTCTTGAAAAAACAGTGATTATAAATTTTGAGTGTGAGTAAATCAAAGAGGTTTGTTGATCTTTCAGATAGATGCATTTATCTGCTGTACAGTCAACCAACTCGATGAGTACTGATCTTAGTGACAGCCGTGTAAAAAACACAAGGCCAGCATTCTTCAAGCTAACAGGATGTACTGTATTTTCTTGTCTTTAACCATGTGTGTATATCAAACGTACCTTCTTGTCCTCCACTACCTAAGTAGTCCCATTGAAACTGAGATAAAAGTAACGATACACACCACTTTACAGTTTCCTGCAATAACTATATGCAACATTAATCCAGTGAGAAGATCACGGTAAGTTAGAAATAACAAAATTTATGTTCGCATTAGAAAAATTCTCAAAGGTAATGTTCACTGAAAAAACACTTTACTTTAGATGGGAAGAAAGACAGAATAAAAGTGGGAAAGCATCTCCAAAGTCAAAGCCGTTCATTCAAAAGCTACAAAAACTCCACCGTTCTGCCAGTAGTAACAAAGTTGAAGATGCAATAAAACTCAAGAAACGTATAAAAGACAAGGGTAGCAATTCAATTAAATACCGATCGGGACAAGTTCGTAGCAAGCGTGGATAAAATCGAAGCATTAATACAACAGCACCTGAATTCATCATTTCACAACAATAACAAAACAGAAATAATCCTGTCTGAAGTAAAAGAGTTTGTGGTTCATACAAACGAAAAGAACGATACTTATAGAGAAATGAAAAAGCGACTTAATGATTTGGAAAAACGACTGAAAATCACTGAGCTGACAACTGATGACATAACAAAGCAAATATCCGAGACACGTGGCTACTTGAACCAATTAAAAGCAAATATTAGTCAAACAGAGAAAGAACCAGAGAAAAATAATACGGCTGGTGATATGCAGAAGGATGGCATAAAAATTACCACCAAGCAAAGATTTACAGGCGTTTCAAAATTATCTCAAGGATATCGGTGAAATGACACGAGAGGATTTCCAAGATCTCGGAAATCAGAAGAATGATTTTATTGCGAGTTGTATATGGCAGGGGACAACATGTGATCCAAGGTGACATAGAAGGATCATGCGTGACAACTTTTTACACACATTTTATCATTGTGCACTTTTTCTAGTTATTTTGAAGTATTTCAAAACTATATGTATGGAAATTGCTTTACTTTCAACACAAGTAAAGTCAACAGTAGCGTTAGCGGTACAGGACCTTACAATGGTGAGTACGACCGAACAGAAACATCACGTGCATTTCAAATAAATCGCATGTTTGGAAATGAATAAATTTACTTACGTAGGTCTTAGTCTCTTCCTTTTCCTCGAGCAAGAAGAATACATGGATCGTATAGCGTCAGCAGCCGGAGCTCGTGTCACAATTCACGAGTTTGACCATGAACCACAGCCAGAAGAGAAAGGATTTTACGTTGCTCCAGGATTTACAACATCCATATCTCTTAGAAAGGTAAGAAGATCAAACAAATAAAATACATCGTCATGCAAACAATTAAAAATGTTACGATAGAAAGCTATTGACGTTTAGAAAAAGCAGAAATATTTTAAAGCAATAATTCATTATCTTATACGTGACACTTCTATTATACAAGTATCAAAAACAGTTTTTTCTAACACGAATGATGGATGATAAATGACCACTGAAAGAGGGAAGCCAAAAACAGTTAAAATTTTGCAACAAAAATATTAAAGTTTAGTAATGAAGGCAAGTCGCAAAGAGTTACAGTTCACATTTTACTTTATCTCCGCATCAATAGCTGAGATATACAGGGGCGCCGGAAGGAACATAAAAAGGGGGGAGGCTCGTTGTAGAATTATGGGTACCAATTTGGCGGTATACTACTGCCAAATGGTATAAACTAATGAAATAAAAGAATCAACAGTTTCTGAGCGATTCTTTAAAAGTCCACTCAGCTGCATTGTATATATACAGATGTTCTATCGTCAAAATAGACAAATAGCAAACATTCTCTTTTATATTTTGCTATTTAAATGGAAAATGGAAGCCACTGCCCTCTTGTACGAAAAACTGGGGGCTACCCCCCGTCTCTGGAGATATATTAATATCGTGCGTAAATGATAGATGACCACTAAAAGAGTGAAACCAATTTGTGATCCTGAAAAGGAAACAGACGTAAAGAAGAAACAAACATATTCTTACTCTCAAAAGGTAATAAACACGTGATTATTGAATTGTTTATTATATCGAGTTGAATCAATAAGACAATATTCTTTAAATATAGAGTTGTATTAAGAAGTGTCTTTCAGACGAAATAATTCGACAATGTCATTGTGCGGGAACACAGTTCTTACTTGATATGAAAACGTGTTCAGCAGACAACGAGACGGAAGGTAAAAACAATCAGTTCACAAGTAAAAAGTAGGGTATAACGAATATAATCATAGTATCATAGTAGACCAAACTAAACGTAACATATTTGTTTAGCTTCATGCATTAAACGTCTTGAAAGTCTAGCAAGAATGAACAAGTTGCGATGTTATTGTCCATTTGCTTGCAAGTAAAATGATCAATAAATAAAAATTCAATCATGGCAAAGGCGTCACTAAATAAAACTAAATTCTTTCTTCTTTATAAGAACAACAACATACAATCATGTAACATCGACAGTTGTATGGCCTGCTAAAAAATATTTGGTAATTCTGCAACCTAGCTGTATATAATTTCCTATCTTTCACTCAGATATTAAAGAGCTTCATTTTTTTATAATTCTTCAGCCGTCCTTCCTTGAAGAACTGTTCAGAGTACGTCATAAAGTGATCGATTTGTTGAAGAACATCTCCGATATAACTCAGTATTCAAGGTACAACGGCAAGATAATATGGTCACACAAAAAGGCAGACTTTACGAAAAGCATTCTGACACATAAAATATTTGTGGATGTTTCATGCTTTTCTTTCTCTTACAGAAAAAACTTCCTGAGGATCAATATATTTTTTCAAGAATTACAAGAAAAAAAAACGCTGCAACGTCATTCGTATGGGGTGAGTTGAAATTGCTTGACTATGTTAATCGCTATGAATACTTTAGCCAAAAGTATGCATACAGTCAACAAGCCAGATCTTTGCATGCTATTATTTGGTGAATGAAGCATAAAATCATATTACATGCATAGTTTGCGCATTATAGCGAAACCCTTCACACTGCATTGTCAATCAATGTACACCAGTATATGATCGATAGCAAGGAAATCAGCGTACCTTCATAAATCATAAAAGGTTTCCGGATTTTCTTTCATTAGTGTGATTTAGAATTCAAAATTACAGATCCTTCATTGGCTAATAGCCGTATTGTAATAATGCATGCAATGCAAACAGCAAAATCTCTCCGCGCTCCGTTGAATTCGACAGTTTTCACAAATTCTATTATAAAGTTGATTTGATTTAAAATTCCGTTTTCTTGCGCCATATAAAGATACCTCCTTTTCAAATTCCAGCTCGTGTAGTCGGCATTTCAACGTGGAAAATAATTCATATGTCTGATTCATAATCATCTGTCAATTTTTTAACTGATGCTATTTTTGCTTGTTCATTATTTCTAGATAGCAAAGTTACTATCGGACATTGGTGGTCAGTTGGGCCTATGGGTTGGAGTTTCAGTAATGACACTGCCAGATTTCGCTAAAGCATTGACAAAGTCCATACAGGCTTTTTATCGATGGATAAAGAAAAATATTGTCAAAAAACGTTACAGTTTTTTCCATTTGGCTCCTCCAGAAAATTGTTTGAATGAAAAAGAGCAACAGTCCTCGTCTACTAATGACTGGCCAACTGTTTATTCAACTGGTAGTGTAACCATACAAACCTCTCCGTCTGTAAGCCAAGAACATTTGAAACAATAACAGTTTTAAGTTATGAAAAAATATGTAACAATGAATATTGATGTTGCTATGAAAGGAAGCACAAGAACTCCAAATCTGAGTAAAAGAAAAAGCAATAGGATTACAATTGCTTAAGAAAATTCTCCCGAACAAAAGACAGATTTCACTAACAAGTGTTCCCCCTGTCGATGTTTCTCTGTAACATAGAAATGAACATAAAATTTACATGAGAGTTTCAATACATGTGCAAGCAGCCGAAATTATTATGAGAACTACGGTTTCATCTTGTTATGATTTTCATGAATTTATCGTACTTCTAACCCGACGTTAATGCGTGCTAGAAAAATTCATAGTTTGGAACACGCCAAGATAAAATATCCAGTCTGGTAAACTTGATTTTTTGTTGCATGCGAAAAGATTCCCACCGAGCGAGCAACAAGCGCAGCCGACAACTTCAACACAAACATACAGGTGTAAATAACGTAACAAATTCGTGCATGATAGAAAATCCGGAAACTTTTCAACAATACCAAATGAACATTAAGCCTCGATGTAAATGTCTCTTATGGTAACACAATGAATCGTTCGTGTTGTTAAGATTTATATTTGTTTTGTAAAGGTAGATAAAGACTACATCTAAGAGATTCATCGTAGTCAACATTTTCATTGCATAATGACTGTAACATTACGCGATTTCATTTAACTGGGCAACCAAAGCACAAGGAATTGTCAGAAATTAATGAAAACTATCAGCAATATAATACAACGATATTAGCCATAACGCTATCAAACTAACCGGAGAACAACGCAAGAGTTAAGATTTGTATTAAATGGGAAAAAGACGGAGATATATTTTGATTCGTCATGACTTAAAAATTAATCAATAATCTAAAAAGAAAGTTTACAAAGGCTGTCAACAATGCGACAATTGCATGTCCATTTATGACGTCATAAATGAAGACCATGGTCCATTTATGACGTCATAAATGACGTTGAAGATCATTAAAAGCTTACTTTTGTACAGACATACATGGATGATAAATATTTTGAAGAAACTGTGATCATAAATTTTGAGTGTGAGGAAATTAAAAAGTTTTGTTGATACTTTCGATAGAAGCATATATCTGCTGTACGTCAACTAACTAAATGAACACTGGACTCAAAAGAAAAAAACACAAACAAGCTCTCCTTAAGCTAACAGCATCTACAGTATTTGTCGTGTCGTTAATCATTTGCGTACATCAAACGTACCACCTTGTCCTCCACTACCTAAGTGATCCCATTGAAACTGAGATAAAAGTAACGATGCACACCACTTTACAGTTTCCTGCAGTAACAATATGCAACATTAATCCAGTGAGAAGATCACGGTAAGTTAAAAAATAATAAACATCATGTTCTCATCAAAGAAATTCTCAAATGTATGGTCCACAGAAGGAAATAAGTAAAGCTTTCCGTTTATTTAGATGGGAAGAAAGACAGAATAAAAGTGGGAAAGCATCTCCAAAGTCAAAGACGCTCATTCAAAAGCAACAAAAACTCCACCGTTCTGCAAATAGTAACAAATTTCGGGATGTAATAAATCTCGAGAAACGTATAAAAAGACAAGTAGGCGTCCATTTATTAGCACCATTGTTATATGTGATAAAAAAATTAAACGAATTTGAGGCATTTGTAAAAGAACATACGAATGAAACACATCACAACGATAGCAAAGCGGAAATAATCTTGTCTGAATTAAAAGAATTTGTAGCTCATATAAATGAAAACAACAATGTCGATAGAACATTGGAAAAGCGACTTACAGATTTGGAAAGACGACTAAAAATCCGTGAAATGACAACTGCTGACATAACCAAGCATATGACCGAGACACGTGACTGCTTGAACCAATTAAAGGAAAACATTAGTCAACTAGGAATAGAACCAGAGAAAAATGATACGGCTGGTAATAAGCAAAAGAATGGCATGAAAAAATTGCCACCAAGTAAAGATTTACTGGCATTTCAAAATTACCTCAAGGATATCGGTGAAATGACACGAGAGGATTTCCAAGATCTCGGTAATCAGAAGAATGATTTTATTGCAAGTTGTTCATGGCAGGGGACAACATGTGATCCAAGGTGACATAGAAGGATCATGCGTGACATCTTTTTACACACATTTTATCATTGTGCACTTTTTCTAGTTATTTTGAAGTATTTCAAAACTATATGTATGGAAATTGCTTTACTTTCAACACAAGTAAAGTCAACAGTATCGTTAGCGGTACAGGACCTTACAATGGTGAGTACGACCGAAAAGAAACATCAAATGCATTTAAAATAAATCGTATGTTTTGAATTGAATGAATTTACTTACGTAGGTCTTAGTCTCTTCCTTTTCCTCGAGCAAGAAGAATACATGGATCGTATAGCGTCAGCAGCCGGAGCTCGTGTCACAATTCACGAGTTTGACCATGAACCACAGCCAGAAGAGAAAGGATTTTACGTTGCTCCAGGATTTACAACATCCATATCTCTTAGAAAGGTAAGAAGATCAAACAATTAAAATTCAGCGTCATACCAACAATTTAAAACATAATTTTAGAAAATTATTGAACTATACAAACAGCATAGCTAAGCATTTCAAAGAAATAATATCGTTACTTGAATGTGACAACCGTTATTAAACTTAGTATCAAAAATATTCTCTAACAAATATGATTTGAAATGAGCGATGCCACTGAAACAGCGAAATAAAAAACAGTTATACAATATATTAATCCAGCAGAACGTGAATTCCATATATTAATATCGTGCGTAAATGATAGATGACCACTAAAAGAGTGAAACCAATTTGTGATCCTGAAAAGGAAACAGACGTAAAGAAGAAACAAACATATTCTTACTCTCAAAAGGTAATAAACACGTGATTATTGAATTATTCATTAAATCGAGTTGAATCAATAAGACAATATTCTTTAAATATAGAGTTGTATTAAGAAGTGTCTTTCAGACGAAATAATTCGTCAATGTCATTGTGCGGGAACACAGTTCTTACTTGATATGAAAACGTGTTCAGCAGACAACGAGACGGAAGGTAAAAACAATCAGTTCACGGGTAAAAAGTAGGGTATAACGAATATAATCATAGTAGACCAAATTAAACGTAACATATTTGTTTAGCTTCATGCATTAAGCGTCTTGAAAGTCTAGCAAGAATGAACAAGTTGCGATGTTATTGTCCATTTGCTTGCAAGTAAAATGATCAATAAATAAAAATTCAATCATGGCAAAGGCGTCACTAAATAAAACTAAATTCTTTCTTCTTTATAAGAACAACAACATACAATCATGTAACATCGACAGTTGCATGGCCTGCTAAAAAATATTTGGTAATTCTGCAACCAAGCTGTATATAATTTCCTATCTTTCACTCAGATATTAAAGAGCTTCATTTTTTTATAATTCTTCAGCCGTCCTTCCTGGAGGAACTGTTCAGAGTACGTCATAAAGTGATCGATTTGTTGAAGAACATCTCCGATATAACTCAGTATTCAAGGTACAACATCAAGATAATATGGTCACACAAAAGGCAGACTTTACGAAAAGCATTCTGACACATAAAATATTTGTGGATGTTTCATGCTTTTCTTTCTCTTACAGGAAAAACTTCCTGAGGATCAATATATTTTTTCAAAAGCTACAAGAACAAGAGATGTTGCAACGTCACTCGTATGGGGTGAGTTCAGATTTATAAATTTTAGTATGAATTTTCATTTAGCAAAGTGTAGCTGTGTTGCTGTCCAGCACATCTACAACAACTTAAAGTTTAACAGTGTAAACGATAAACTTAAGCTTTAAACAAACAATCAAAGTACTGTAGCTACATCTATCTATTATTGCTAAACAACATTTCCTATTATTGAATTTTAGGATTTTTATTTTTAGATAGTACGTTTGTTATCAGACATAGGTGGTCAGTTGGGTCTATGGGTTGGAGTTTCAGTTTTAACACTGGTAGACGGCAGTGAAAGCTTTTCAAAGTTCATAAAAGCTTTTTATCGAAGGATAAAGATGAAATTTGCTAAAAATCGCGTTACTGATTTTATTGAATCGAAATGAGAATAAACAGTTCAAACGACACGAAACGTAAATAAAATAGAAGAGGACGGTGTGTTTTTCTTTTACAATGAATAAATTGTCCAACTTTTGATTGACTTGGCAATATAACAATACAAACTTTACCGGATAGGACAAAGTCCGGAAAAATAACTTTTGAAATCATTAAAAAAAATATACAACCGTTTTGATTTTTATTGTCACGACAGGATGTAAAAGAACTGAAATAGTAAAATAAGGTAGAAAGAGTAAAAGCGGAATTTCGGATAGATTTTCTCTAAAAAGACGACGTTTACAAACATAATTACCGCAATCCTGCCTGTTGTGTTTGTCGGTAAAATGATAATGATCATTGCATATTGCAAGGGATAGTTTTAATCGTTATAAGCAAGTAGCCGAAATGAGTAAATAATTTTTCAATTTTTCACAAGTTTCCATATATATATATATACATATATATACATTGTGCTTCCAATACAACGTTTGAAGCGTCTCTATAAGAAATCATAAAAGCCAGTACAATAAACTTTTGTTGCATACGAAAAGATTCACGGCAGCAAAGGAACATAATTAGCAAGCCACAAGTTAAATTAAAATTGGATGTCCCAATAATCTCAAATTGTCGGAATAATAATCATCAATAATCTAGTTTGAACATCGTGCAATCACGAACTGGACACCTGTCAAATGGTCGACGATTTTGAGCATTTATGCGATTTGCATAACCGACCTAATTACGTTATTGACAATTAGATGATTCTAATGAAGTAATAATTTCAAAATCTAATTAATCAGTTACGAATCCTGCTATGAAGCGTGCTATGAACATCGCACGCATCTCTGTCTAATAATAGGTTCTACATTGATTGATGGATTTCCAGTTCATGAAGCCAAGAAAAAAAACCTAATTACTGTATACACGACGAAAAATTCAATCACATCAACGGGCAAGGAATACCATTATAATATACAGTGACAAACTCGATTCAGGTAAAGCAGACATGGATAGTTGTCAATTTAAAGATAAAATATGCTTTGTATTATGAAGAGAAAAACACCGCTATATACAGTTGAATGCATTGAAGATAAGATAACTTAAGATAAGTGTAAAGTTATTCGAAAAGCTGCAACATTAGATGAACGATATCTGTCACGAGATCTATAAAAATAACATGGTTTCTTGACCTCCGATACACGACCAAAAAAGGCCATGGTAATCTTGAACAAACAAGCATTTAATTCGTCTGAGATGCGATGAGCTTTCGACAGCCGGAAATAGCAAAGAACACGGGGTAATATGGCAATATACTCTTCACAATAGAGCTATGCAGGAAGCAGGATGAAATTCATGCGCCATCCATGATGTTCGGGCTTCGAGTATCATAAATTTGGCTACGATGGTGATGTATGAAAACAGGTGGACAAATTCATTCTATTTAACAGTTAAAAATTAAATAATGCCAGAGGCTGTCCGGACAACGAATTATGATACATCAACGAAACTTTCGATTCATTCACACGTTTAAAAAGGTGGAATATGTAAAATAAATGGATTTAAATTGCATGCGCACATTGCATTCCCCTTGAACTTCACACGCACGCAATAAAGTCTCTAGAAAAATTGCGCAGATGATATATACACTATTTTACACTGGTTTCATTTAGCAGAAAGTTCCTCCAGATGTAGGAAAAATCACCTCACTTTAATAAAAAGTTCTATCAAAGTATGCAACTGGAGTCAAGCAATTTGCTTCGTGCAACAGTAAATATGGAAATTTCCATGCTTTCCTGTAGTTGTGCGCGAAACGGAAGGGATAATTTCAGTTCATTTGTAGAGATCGTTGACACGAAAAGAAATATCTATACCAAAACTTTCTTAAATCAAAGTGATCACCATGTTAAAATCGACGATGCCCTCAGGGGAGTAATTAAAAAGACATGTAAGAACGTTTCACTAGGAAGCATATGTAACTCTGCCACAACCATCAATGTAGGTGCGCTTCGATAGATGGGGCTGGCCACAGTGGCCAATTCGCAGTAGGTGGCATTTGCATAAAATGCGTGAAGCGAACTGAAACAGACGTTTGAAGAATCGACAGAATGAGAGAGTTTGGAAGCAACGCGAGTGGTAATAGGATCAAATATTGTCCAGGATATTAGAAAATTCATCCGCCGACTCCGGTTACACGTCATATATAAATGGAAGCAAAGCATTTTCTACAAGAATAACGTGTGTGAATGACGTTAGCACAACAATCAAACCATTTTATGTCGCCGGTTTTCTTTACTTCATACAGACAGTTTTAGTCGGAGTTGAACATCAAGCATGGAAATATACATACGTGCACAATTGTTTCTGTGTATCTTGATTTCTATCACATATGATACAGAATCAATACACCATGGAATATTATGGAAATACTACGAAAACATAACAGGTTTGTTAAACATGTTTATATCTTGTAAAGTAATTACAACGATAAAAATAGAGCTTATGTTTTGAAAAATCATGATCGTTATTCTTGCTACATTGATTGATTGCTAAAATAAGTATATTATAACAAAAATGCACATTGGATTACGCGAGAGAGCTTCGTGAAATGTTGTATTTATGTTAGCCATCTACAGAAACGTAAACCCATATTGTGTTTAAGTGGAAGGCGTATCTTGATGTAACCTACAGACAGGCAAATTAAGGAACTCCTCAAAATCATCGCCAAAGTTATACAGGGCAATTCTTTTCTACACGTTATTCTAAGTTTCCTGAACATGCTACAAATAGGCTTTCTTTCTCATCAAAACTACATGATGTACGCTTCCGGATAATTTTGACGCATATCAAATGAAAGAAGCTTAAAATTATTGCAAATATATAATGAGATCCCCACTGTGTCCAACCTATTGAAGTCGATAAAATAAATCAAATTTCATTATTAATTTAGCATCAAGTTCTGCGGGAGTGAAAAGCTACAAATTTTCGTTATCGAAAGAGAACATAAACTTTTCAAGTTCGACACAGCTCATGACATACCATATTCAAACGTTTAATAAAAGTATTGCCGTAAAACTACGAAGGTTGGAGCAGAAAGATAGAAATGATGCATTCCACAAAGTAATTCTGGAAAATCGTCATCAAGAAAATCTCACATGCTATTGGTCGATGAGCTCGGCCAATGCGAAAGCAATTTTCAGTAACTGCAAAAACCAATTGGTAAGGCTGGAGTTGTTATTAAGGTAGCAACCGTTTAATCTTTCTGCTTTGAACAAACAAAAAATTCAATCCAAAGAAATCTGTAAATCAGACGATTTTTTATTTTTTTTATATCAATGACAAGCAAATCGTTTTATCTTTTTTTTATCCTAAGGTTTTTACAACATGATCGACCTTGAAATTAAACCGTTAAAATTAGCCGGGGGCAATATTTGTGCTTTTTTCAGCAGTTTATAATTATTACCATATGATGATGGTGAATTAAAACACATTTTAAGCATTATTGCATTGTGTCAAATGCTCGCTGCTCGTGAAAAATGACTGTTTTGAAATTCGACACTGTCTTTGCCAGGCAAATCCTAGCCATCTGCCATTGAAAACAGACAGATCATAATTCCATGACCGAAATTAGAATCATTGAAAGAGGCTCAAAACTAAAGAATCTAACGAATTGAAAAAATAAACCACAACATTTCTTCCAGTCAAAAAAGCTCCATTTAGCCTACCATTCATTTCCAAAAACAATGGATTTGCCGTGATGAATCAAGAACTGAATACCGAGCTTTAAGGCCAAAAACCTGTATCATTTTGTGTGAGCGTCATTTATACTAGTTTCATAAGAAAAACCTGTAGTCCTAAATACATATCATGCCTGCTTGACGCGCGTTACAATTTTAGCACGCGGAAATTTACTTTGGCTAAACAAATAGAGAAAGCGTGGAGCTCGTTTCTTAGAGAATATAATTCTCAAACAACTGTTCTTGCCGCACGTGCTTGTTATTGGAATAAACATTGAAGAGCACAGTTCCCTCTTAGCATAAATTGTGACCGTGTAATGTGATTAGGCACATTAATGAAATGCAACCATGGCGCCTAAAATATGGAATGTGTAAATTAAGTTGAACAACATTACAGAGGATAGTTTGGTGAATAATAGACACATTATAAAAAAAGAAATTCTTTGTTTTAAATGGTTATAAGTGATTTATGGGCTTTGTGATAATTTTCTCTTCTGTTGCATTTTTTACGAGGTACATTGCAATTCATCATATTGACCACAAACTGTGAAAACAAGACTTCTGGCATTCCAACAATGTTCTAATCGACAGACATCCGAGTGCCAACATTGCTCTTAGCTGGGTGTTAGACGTCTTGATTGAATAATGTTTACTTTATTAATAATACATGCATTAAAATGTTTCACATGTTCGCCATAATAACAAACGTTTTTAGAGCTACGAGAAATGAATACATCGCAAATGCACACGAGCTGCGTTATTTGATATTGAGCAATATAACTTACTGCAATAATTTTCCATATAACAAAATGCATAAAAATACCAGAGCACATTGAGTAGATTTAATTTTGCAGCAACCTCAGTCCATAAAATTCATTATGAAAATGCTTCACGCTCGGCAACATTCAAATGATGATATAATTTATACTTTTATTTGGAAATATATTACAACTCTAATTTCAGCCTCATTTTAACTGCTAGTTCGGATACCAAATTTATAGCACCATACACCGTCGACTTTCGATACAGAAACATGAGAGGAAATTAACCACATACATTTCAAAATGTAATCAATGAAAAGATATTGACGCCCTAACGCGCTTCCTCTTGCAGCAAACCCATACAATGGTGGAGGAATGGGGGCTCTAACTTTATCCCACCCAGTAAAGAAAATTTACGCTTTGCGCGCAAAGTGACCCAAAGTATATCATGAAATAAAAAATGAAATAGCAAGAGCGATATCGTGTTAGCTGTCACCTGATTAGTCCAAACGGAAACGTGCTGACCTCTATGAGTCATCGCTATGACACACAATGTTGGGGTAAATGTCTTTCAGCCCATTTAAACGAAACTCTTGATTGAATGAGCGAAAATCGCAAATACTAAAACTCTTTCCTGAATATAATTCAATTGCTTCCTCCATTGAAGAGTAAAAACTGAATAAGTGTGAACGACACTTGAGAACATAGTAAAATATTCAAGCTTTTGCGAAAACGACAAATATTCAGAGTGTTTAAATAGCCACGCACGCCCTTTCAAAATGTTGGCAATGTTTGCGATGAAAATCCACGACAAACTTTCCCTTTTAAAACGAGCAATAAACTGCTCAATTTTATAAGTGTGATTTACACTTAACGATTGTACTTTAATGATTGTGGGAAAAAACAAACACTTGAAAAATTCACGGAACCGCAAATTTCCCAACAAAATTACGACGTTCAAATGACTAAAACGATTATGTAAATTAGCAGTCTAAAGCAAAGCTGTGCAATATTAAACAAATATTTCTTCCCCCTCTCTAGTGTAGAGGCGATTTTAATAGTATGTTATGTGAGCAATTCTTCAAATTCTTCAGTTTCTCAATTCAGGGGGGGCATATTCATAAATATTTGTCTTCAGCACACTTAAATTCCGTTGAAATTGATTGTTTTTACGAATCGTGAACATAGATATAGGAGTATGGGCTCCCAAATCATAAATGCTGGCCATGAAACTGAATGTATACACTGATTTTATAGTTTGTCATTGTTAATGAATCAATGGGCCAAGACACATACCTTATCGAGCCTGTTATGACGTCAAAGGGTGTCGATCATGTGGCTTACAAAATATCGAGGCAAAGATCCATGTATTTCACTATATGGTAAGATAGAGAAACAACATTATTCAAAAATACATTGCAGGGTTAGGCTGATACAACATTGGTTGTCTTAACATAAGGTGAAAAAAGAACCTTGTTGGTAATATAAGACTCAATGAAGTTGACAGTCTAAATAATATGGGTTAACAAACGGGTTTACGGAAAAAACAGTGAGTCAACTATAGTTGAAAAACCGGCACTGAAGGCTAGACTAATTGAATATAAGATGTGATGTCAACCTTCACTATTAGCATTAAAGAAAGCAACAATGGTTGCGAAACAAGGAAAGAATGTTTTAGGAAGGAAGCCGATCAAACTTTTTTGAAAACCAAAAACACGACACACGATATAGAATTATCCACAAACAAAGTGTATAAGATAGAAATACCAAGTGAATGCATGACGACAGTCGAATGAAAGGAAAAATATACGACAGAAAAATATAAGATTTTGTTGACGGGTTATGACAAAGTTTTAATAACAAACCAATTAAATAAAACCAAGAGATCAGCAATATCATTTAAGTCTACTCTTGAAATAGAACTCATCAATTTTCTTTCAATACACCACACACGTAGATGCAAGTATTAATAACAAAATAGATAATATAGTAATGCAAGAATATCAATGATGCTCGTGCATCAAGGTATCAATCAATCAACATCGACGGGCGCACAATGCTTTTTGCTAATCGTACAAGAAATCATCCTTTTTAAATCCCTTGTCGAACAAACGTTTTTACGAAGTAACTCCAATGCTAGAACCTTCGGTGTATTCAAAAAATAAACAACACAAGCAGATTGACTTATTCAATAATATTTGTCTTGAAAACATTTAGGTCGGTTATTCTCATTGTAGCTAGTATTTAACAGAATAGCTACGTTCACTGTCGTTTATAACTGTTTTTAACTGAAATGACACAAAAAGAATAAAGCTTGAAATACGGTATAGACCGTTGAACCATAGCATTGACTAACTGCATTGAAAAGATCATAGATCATTAAGAATTTAACATATTTAATCTACCAAGTCCAATTAGCCACAAGACTATATAATATAAGGCTGCAAATTGAACAAAACCGTCAATCTAATACTTTTAAAAAGCAGGACAGAGAAACGATATGAAATACTAACAACTGCTACCAAATAAACAGTATACTTTCGCTAAAAACAACTGGGTCGAATTAGACTAACAAAGCAACAAACACAGCAGGTCAATGCAGCAAAAGTGTAAACTTATAGGTGTTAGTAAAAACAAAGACGATTTAGAGAATTTATCCTCTCCTATGATTAGCGCAATCAATTATCTAAGCCGGCTCTGTAAGAGAACATGATATTTGTTGTTAGTTATTTTTGACGTAAGAAATGCATCATCTCTCAAAACAGAAGACTCAAGCTACATAAAATTAGAGTTACTATTTTAATTTTCCAAAAGGAAGTGATGAAAATCACGTTAGTCCCTAAGACTTTGGCACTTTTTAAGCTATCAATTAAAGCTTTATCAACAGTATTAAGCCTGCTAATAAAAATAAGTTTTATAACATTAACACCTGCTTAGGAAACTACACCTATAGCTTAAAACAAGGAAATAGCGGATCTTCATGTATTAAATCGAAATGAAAACAAGAATACGAAACAAAAAAATAACAGAGGATAGAAAATGTCAGAAATTTCCTTGTGTGCTGACCTTACTCCAAGTCAAAATGTTTTGTATTGATTATTTTATTTTACGATAAAGTTTTTTCTCACAAATGAAAATGCTCTAGATAAGCATATCACAAGTACACTTCACGTCGTGGCCACCACGTTGGATGATTTTAACATGATTTTAACACATTACAAGGCAAATGTCAACCAATATGGCAAAAATTCCAATGTTTTCTCGTATTCAGGAGAATGGTTGCACACCACCTATATCACATAAACTCTCCATTCAAGTAGCTAACAAAAAATAATTAAATAATACTCATAGACAAGCTAATACACAATCCTAGATGTGGTAGTGAAGCAACTATTGTGAAAACAGTTGGATTAAAATTACCTCAAAATTGGTTCAATTTTCCAAGTTTAATTGGCTACGACGTACATCAATGGGTCATTTTCAACCCATCTGATTTTAAAATGTACTGAGTTATGATTAACTACACAAATTATCCAAATTCTCTCCATAATGTGTATAGAGAAACCCATATATTATATGTAACTAATGCAAGATATGCGCAACGAACTTTTCTCGTTATTTTCTTTTGTGAAAAGAAACGTCACCCATAGACGTTGGAATCGTGCATCGACGCAAAAGATTGTCGCGTTCCATCTCTGAATCACCAAAAATGGAGGTGCTTGTTGTAGCTGATGAGTCAATGGCGAAATTCCATGGAAAATCAATACGAAAATACATTCTCACGATTATGGCCGAGGTAGGTTTACAGAACGTCAAGACTCTGCTCACATTACAAATGATAGAAAATCTTTGATACATTGCAAATGATAGTCAATCTTTGTGTAATGCAAACTTGTATTTTAAGAGTTAAGTGTATTTATGTTGAAGCATCAATCTTCATCATAGGTTCGAAAGATATTTCAACACAGTAGTCTTGGAGTACGCGTGGACCTGGTGGTATCGGACCTGGTTATTCTCACAGGTGAAGAGGTTCGTTGAGTACGTCTAAAGTCGCAAGTTTTATATACAATGTAGCTATATACTCCAACAATCATTACACTCTCCTTGTATACATTAGGAAAATCTGCAAGTAAGTCGCAATTCAGATACAACGATGAGAAGTTTTGTGAATGGCAAAGTGAACAGTTTGATCGTGACGGCACCGACCACGACGTCGCATTACTTTTGACAAGGTGCTCAGAGGTTATTGATGTAAGGACGAGAATACTTATCCTTACATCGATAATAATATCCATGACTAAAACAATGGTCGAAGAAACATACAGTCTTAATATATGTTCTATAGTAAACTGAACAATGGTTTCTTATTTATTTAGACTTAATATCTGCTCTGACCAAGACCACCCTTGTAATACAGTAGGTAATACAAATCACCTAACAAAAATAGCAAAAGCATGGTCTTATGGCTTCCTACAAGAAACATTTCATTATTGCTACTTGGCTAGATCTGTTTTATCATAGTGCAAGTGATAATAACTACCATGACGTTAATATTTTAACTGTACAATGAACTAGGCATGGCTTATATATCGGGTATGTGTCAATCTCAACGTCGATGCAGCATTGCAGAAGACTCTGGTCTGGATGTTGCTCTGACTGTTGCACATGAACTGGGACACAAGTACGTTGGAAGAACATTCTTATTCAAATAAATATCGTGCTAGCATACAGATAAATTAAAGTGGCACTAAAGTGAGAAATACTAATTTAGCGTATAAGTTTTATTAAAATACCAATCTCTCGATAGTTTAGGCATGCGTCATGACGGCTACGGGAACGAGTGCGCAGAACAAACACGTGACATACCTCACGTGATGTCATCGACAACACTGAAGGCAAGCCAAAGAGGTTTATCCCAATGGTCAAAATGTAGCAAGAGAAAGATCCACTATTTTCTAAGGTAAACATTGACTATTGTCTGTGAGGCAAAACAAATTACCGCAGCTCAATAGTAAAATCAGACTGCATTCACAACAACGGGATTGGTTCCTGATCCAAAAAACAAAATCGTACCAATCGAACTCCTAAATAAATGTTCAGAAATTTAATTTATCGAAGAATGAGTTGTTGCAATTTGTCGTGCCCATATATTCTTTTCCAACTATTTTTATAACCCAATGCTTCCAATGCCTTTCGTTGATGCCCTTGTATAGCACGTCAAACAGCAGGTGCCTTAGGGAGACTCAAAGTAAAAGAACTATCCCTCTACCTAAAGACCTGCCTGGCGTGACATTTACAGCAGATGAACAATGCCGTCATCAATATGGCAACCTCGCCACACAATGTCGACGATATCAGGTAATAATCGAAACATATCCCAGGAAGTGGAAAAAGGATGGAACAGAGAGGAAGATACTGTTTGACACTGTTTTATAAAGTGTAAACTGCGCAGGGGAAAATGGCAACGCCTTCAAGAACCTATTCTTAAAATTCACAAGGCTGTTTTTTTTTGTATATAGGTTCGTCTTTGTCGTGAGCTATGGTGTGAGATAGAAGGGAACATTTCTGCAGAACTAGACTGAATCCAGCTGCCTATGGGACAAAATGTGGAGAAGGAAAGGTAACCCATAATCTCGAGGATCTCAAAACAACTAAAACAATTAATTGTTCATAGAAATACTAAAGTGAGTGCTGGGTATGAATAAATAAAATACGATTAAACCAAATGCTTTCGAAATTCTATCACTCAAAGAGTATTTTATTATTTTTCCCGTCTATAGTGGTGTATGTATGGAAATTGCATTTACAACAAATCTGTCCTTGTGAAAAAAGATGGAGGGTGGAGTTCATGGGGAGTATGGAGCGAATGCTCCAGATCATGTGGTACTGGCGTATCCACCAGATATAGGAGGTGTAATAATCCACGGTAAGAAAGAAAAGTACCTAGTAAAGGACTTCACAACATAACAATCGTTAACGTTGAGATATGATTCCAAACTAACGATCACAAAAAACTCCTTCAGCCCAAAGAATGGTGGACGATTTTGCCAAGGGAAGCGAGAGAGACACATATTGTGCAATCAACATGTAGGTGTGACAAATTGTGAGGTAAAAAGCAGTAAGCTAATCCAAGATCTTGATTATGATTAGTTGTTTAGGCGTGTCCTCCCGATTCAAAAGAAATCAGAAGAGAGCAATGCGAGTCGTACAATGGGCAGATGTATAACGATATGTTTTACAACTGGAAACCTTTACTCAGTAAACGTAAGTCACATACATCGCAAATGCTAATCAAGCACGAACGTATTAAAGAGATGATTACTTTTGACGCAAATTTGTCCCAAAATTCCAACACTCCGAAAGGAACTTATAATGAACATCATCTATATGTTAATAGACAAACCATGTGCGTTGTATTGCACACCTACAACAGAGGAAAGATTCTCTGTTCGGTTTTCCAGCAAAGTTATTGATGGCACACCATGCATGCCTGGAGGAACAGACTTGTGCGTCAATGGGAAATGTCGAGTAAGTATCACTAACGATATTACCATGATGATTAACTGGGGTCTCCAGCATAATAATCATATTAGCATGAGAAAGTACTGAAATTGAAGACCACTAGTTTTGTAACACAAATCACATCAAAAGTACATTATGTCATCTCTCCATGGTTTTCTACACATATAGAGAGTTGGCTGCGACAATAAGATAGGTTCAAATGCTAAAGAAGATATCTGTGGTGTGTGCAAAGGCAACGGATCAACATGTAGCAAGGTCGAGGACATTTTAACCAACTTTCTGGATCAGGTTAGCCATCCAGAAACTCGAATGACTAGCTTACGACAGACTATAAAACGTACCATTTCAGAACGCTGACAAAGAATCAACAACAGTTCATGCCGATTTTCTTGTTTTACAAACTTTAATATCAAATTCGTTGACGAAGAGCGTTTTGTTTGAAAATAATAAATAGATGTCTATTTCTACAGGATATGTAGAAGTTGCCGTTATTCCAGTGGGTGCCAGAAATGTCCAAGTCATGGAAACGAAACCGTGTACCAGCTTTCTTGGTAAGTATACGAAAGCATAAGATTCTTCATTACTTATGGAAACTTGAGAACTAGAGCTAGTACATTTCAAGAACATAGCAACTATGTTGATCACCTCGTTTTGCATACACGGTGGTAACATACAACATCCAGTACATTACAAGAACATAGCAACTATGTTGATCACCTCGTTTTGCATACACGGTGGTAACATACAACATCCAGTACATTACAAGAACATAGCAACTATGTTGATCACCTCGTTTTGCATACACGGTGGTAACATACAACATCCAGTACATTACAAGAACATAGCAACTATGTTGATCACCTCGTTTTGCATACACGGTGGTAACATACAACATCCAGTACATTTCAAGAACATAGCAACTATGTTGATCACCTCGTTTGCATACACGGTGGTAACATACAAAATCCCATGGATAAAACACCATGTTTTTGCTAGCTCACACAAGTAACAGCAAGAATAAGAATTGATTTATCTCTAGAGATGTTTGACTCAAAGAGAAATACAAACAACGGAAGTGGGCACCACTAAAAATAGCAAAACTAAACAATTTCGCTCGGCCCTCAGGTGATAAACACTAAATTAAGTAAAGACATTTGTATAAGCTAAGACATACACGAGAATGACAGCCCTTACCAATCTTTCTCCATTACTTCCTCATATGATTTAAACATTAAAAATGTAATAATTGAAAATACATGACGACTTAATGTTTCATTGCATGATACAGCTTTAAAAGGTAGATATGACACATATTACGTCAATGGCAACTGGAAAATCCAGCTACCAGGTCAAGTTGATGTTGAAGGAACGAAAGTAATATACGATCGCAAAGGCACTTGGGAGAGACTTATTGCCAAGGGACCCACAACGGAACCAATGCACGTGATGGTAAGAGAGATGGCTTTTTACGGTCGACAATAAAAAAGAACAGTGACGAAATAACCTACGTACTTGTCGCACACTATAATTATAAAAGGGCTTTTTTAGGTATTGTATCATGGCTACAACCTTGGTATCAAGTACAAATATTCCATGCCTTTACCTAACCAAACTCACGACAGACGTGCCGAAGATAAACAAACGTCAGGCACAAGGAAAATCAACTACGGCTGGATCAGAAGAGGATGGCAGAAATGTAGCGTCGTATGTGGAACAGGTAAAGTAACTCACATGAAGACTACAATCACTACGTAATGTAAAGGTTACTTTGCACTAAATAACACAGTCATGTATTGTGCACATTTACTTTACACACTTCGGTCAAGCCTTGACAAATGAATATTTTCTTTTGAATGATAAAAATAGGAATTCAAAAAAGCAGTAGAGAAGAGTGCGTGAGATTCCTAAATGGTAAAATAGAAATTGCTAACGAAAGGTATTGTCGTGGAGCGACGAAACCAAGACAAGATATTCGAGTGTGCAATGAACATCCTTGTCCAATATGGTAAGATACTTAAACAACACATATATACGAATCATTCAATGAACATACACTGAATGTTGTGACATAAGACCACTCATGATGAAGATAGAGAACGACTGGAATACAGCATCGATTTTTAACGATAAGATCATAGACGATAAGATCATAGATTCATTATAGACGAGATTATTTCAACACCAAAAGTTGACGCTTTCGGTGACTAATCAACTTTTTAGCGATGAGATGAAGTAAACTTAAAGCGTTTGACACATTTTCGAATTAATCACGTATTGTATTTCTATTATGTACTCAGTTATTTCCCTCGCTTATAGCTGACCGTTAACTACATCCACTCTAATAGATGTGACCGTTCAATAAAGGTCACCAACAGCATTTATACGACGAAATCAAGTAGAATATGCTGAATGTCAAGCAAAAAAGTCATTCGTTTAAATTAACGTATTGTTAATTCGTTAAATCGAAGGTGGTCGGTGACGAGGTGGTCAAAATGCAGTCATAATTGTGGCTCAGGACGACAACATCGACAGGTATTTTGCATGAGGCAGGCTCCCAATGGAAGCATTCAGAAAACGTCAACTCACATGTGCACCAAAGACAAACCATCATCAAAACAAAATTGCTATCAAAGGAGTTGTAGTGTGAAGTGGAGAACGAAACCATGGACAAAAGTAAGACGGCATTAACTATGTATAGTTCTTTAAGCAGAAGCGCAAGCAGAAATTATGAAAAAGTAGGGGAAGGTCATTCAGAATGTGCCAAATGGAAATGTACATAAAGATGTACAGATGTACATGTAATTTAAGATCTGTTTGGTTTAAACTCGACAACTTTAAATTAATCCCAACAACCCATGAGAAGACGCAGTAACCATGCAATGTAATAATAGCTATAATCCTACCTGACTATAGTGCTACACGATCTGTGGTAAGGGATATCGATACCGAGAAGTCTACTGTCCACTTAAAGATCTTTGTGATTCAGCAAGTAAACCTGCAAGAAAGAAGACATGTTACGGGGAATCATGTTTTAGCTGGAGAGCTGAGGACTGGAGCAACGTAAGTACTGACGATTGCTATCTAGAGGCATAAGAAAGTCATGTTCAAGTGCTCGAGATTTTATCTAAATTTTCCAGCTTGTACGGGCAACAATAGTCTCAAACATTAAAAAAGGCACCATAGCTAAAGTGGAATTTAAATACTAAGTCCTTGGACTTCGTTTTTTCCTTTAGTGTTCCCGTTCGTGTGGCTATGGTTATCGACTACGGAGAGTGACATGTGAACATAAATTGAGCAAAAAACAAGGAACGCAATGCAATCGTTCACGAAAGCCTTCAGTAATACAGCTTTGCTTGAATAGATATTGTAATTAGGTGGATATCATTTACACAAAAAATGTACAAAGTGCTCCAAGCTAAACCCAATGTTTGCAATGAAGACATAGTCTTGTCAGGAGAAATGAGGATGATCTCCTTCAATCTACCACGAAAAGACGTAGACGTAGAGAAATGTTTAAATATTTATGGCCTGCTCAAAGCCCCGTGTGAAATGGCTTGCTTGAACACGAAAGTAGTGCCATAACTTTTTTCCCTCGAAGCCGCTTTTTTCTTGTAGAATCTGTGTACATAATAGTTGGTCTTAGAGGAATTATTTCAAGCGAAATAAGTAAACAAGATTTAAGCGGAAAAATGATTTAAAGAGATAATTTAAAAAAGATGTACAGTCTACCTAATGTACCGCATGATACAAAAAGTTTATTTTATTTTTGCTTCATCTTACAAGATAATTCATAGTTATATCAGAAATAAAATATCATTTAGTAAGACACATGCGTTTTTCCTTGAAAATCAAGATATACATAGTCATTAAAATTCGTAATATAAATTAATACAGTTTCCACTTCGCAAAATTTGATGAAGACATTTCTTTTTTTGTGACGAGCTCAATCTTCAAGCAAGGAATCTTTGATTATTTCTTTCATAGTATGCCGCTGAGCTTTCTGTCTTATATTTTCAGTGACAAAGTGAGGCAATAAGGACATGTCGTTTTTCATGTCTTTTATAGTCAACTGACAGCCATAACAAAATGTTTTTCAAAATGAAGTACATTATTGACTTTATCATTTACAAGAGCATCACAGGGCTCACAATCCGCAGCATTGGGGTTTACAATAGATAACTTCTTGGTAACCTTACGAACACTATTATGATCCTCATTCCTCATTGCATTATCAGTGGCACCTCTTTGCCCCATCCCTTCCCCATCACTCCTATCTCTTAAAGTATCATGACATACCCCACTGTTTTTGCTGTATGCTGTGTTGCACTTCCCATTTTCTCCACACCCACCATTTTCGCATCCTACCATCTTACTATCAACAGAAGAAAATCTAGCATCAACCATTAAGGGTGTTAGACACAAAGCACAATGATCCCTTTCCTCTCTGTCACAAGTTGATGAAATTTTATTGCCAGTTTTAAGAACTGTGTTGATTGTTGATGGGAAACTAGTTTGAAGGCCGTAAATAAGTTCCTGCGAAAGACGATATATGCTAGCATGACTGGAAGCCAAAGTGGAAAATGATGGTTTAGTGAAACTGATAACATGATTGTAATACTGCACTTCCTCCGTCATTAGCACGACAAAGACAAATCTTAGCAACAAACTTGCAATACTGTAAATCTGCAAAAACCTACTAAATCATTTATTTCTCCCAATGCATTTCATTGAAGGTTGCATGTACTGAACATTTTGAAAAATGCGAAACAAAGGGCAATCAAAATTTGAAATCTCAGAAAAATCTTTGTCTCTAAATTGAAATCGATAAATTACAAATGTAATTACATCCAATTGAAATTTTCATCAATATGTTTGGCATAAAGACGTTTGTTATCATCATTCAATATCAAAAAAATGATAATGGCAACTGATAAAACTTTTTTACGACTTTTTACTATGCTAAAGTTCCTATGCTACAGTTCAATAACTTTTAAGCTCAACTGCTTCCTCACATGCTCTCGGAATTAAAGGCCATTGAATTTCAAAACAGACTGTATCTAAAATGATGTACCGCAAAACATTTGCAGTTGCTACACCTTAAATTATATGAGCTTGAAACGAGCCTTTACTAACTGAATACCGTTGTGTAAGGAAGATCTGAAAAGGAAAAATTGCTTGCATCAATTTTGGGACGAGTTTGTGAGGAATAAAAGTCTTAACTCTTTCCATGCATGTCCATACACTTCTGCTGTACATATCTTACAATATGTCTAATGCGTTGGTGGATGACCTATGACCAGCCATATGGTATCCATCACACAAGTTCCACCCCATCCCTATTGTCTTGTTGCAATATAGTGAAGAAGTGTAGAATTTTCGCCGCTTACTTCAATTCATGTTTACCAACTACTTCTTACGAGTCGTTTTTCGTTTTCACCGTTTGAAACAGCAACATCTTGAACAGAACAAAAAGCTGTTACTTCCATGTTAAGTGTTATTAACAAAACATCTATCAATATTATACAAAACGAAAGGACTGTAGTGAAGACTATACTCACTTTGTTTCTTCCACGACTTCTACATCAGGTTGTGAGTTCAAATGTGTTCCATGTTTTGGCTCCAGGCCAGAATCATTTGAGGGGCCAAGCTCACCATTCGTTGAGCTGACAACCTGGACAGAACCGGCAAGCCTGTGCCCTCCTGTTGGCATAAGGTTAGCGTTCGAATTTCGCGGATTGCCTGCGATATCTGGCCATGCCCTGCGATCAGCTGATTGTCCCTACAATACAATATTTACAGCAAAACACATCAATTACAATAACAGGTACTTCAAATTTACAACATCGTGCGACATTCTTCAAAATGGTTGTGACAGGGGATATCTTATAGCAAAGGGGATAGCTTATAGCGAAGGGGATAGCTTATAGCCACGGGTGGGGCATCACCAAACACAAGTAATTATCATTTATCAATAATAGCAGTCAACAAGCACACTACTCATAACTGAATGCCAACACATAGATGACCATCAAATTAATACAGCAGATAATATATATCAAGACAGACTTACTCGATTACTCTGGTGAGGATCTCTTCCTCTATTCTGGATGTATCTCGAATCAGGGGGATGTGACGTCGAATCAAGTTGGTTGATTGCATATGGCTGAAAATGATTGTATATCATTGGTTGACATCACAACCTCCAGTATACCTCTTTAAAACTGAACTGTATAATGAGTATATTTTAAATGACTGTCTTCCGACCAGACATGTCTTCTTAACAACCTTACACATTAGCAAAAAATACACAAATCCCTGTTGTTCTGGATAGTGCTTGGTAAGCAGGCATAATAACACAAGCAAATGAATGCAAAATGACAAGGCCAAAATTGGGCCAAAAAACATTCTAAAATATTACTACCAATTGAACCGGACCTTGATATAGTAGTGTGCTACTCTTTATATGATCAGCCTATGGGGTATAGAGAAAGCTTTATTAACATGCATGTCATGGGTTTTTTACTCTCCACCTCAAGGTTTAATGCAAACTTTGGCAAGACCCAACCACACACTTACAATCTGCTTGTGCGTCCAATCAAACTCCCCGTCGTCTACATAACCCTTCCTGTCGAACAGCTCTTTAAACAGGCTACGCAGGTAGTCATAGTCTGGTGTCTCAAAAAAATCCAGTCGACGAACATATCTTAGGTAAGTTGCTAGTTCTTCTGCGAACCGAAAGATTGTGTAAGGTTAGAATGTTTAAAGCAAAGAAAGTTTAATGTTGCTAGAAAGGATGAGGAAAAAGATCTGAAATGGCAAATCATATCCAAACCAAAAGATAAAGAAATGGATAGAAAAAATGACAGTGCATTATCCTACAGTATCCTATATTTACCTGGTTGATTGTCACACAAAACTTCGATAGGTGTTGACCTCTTCGTGTCACCAATTTTTTGATATCTTTCTTTGAGTGTATCAGCCTTAAAATTGTGCAAAAGTTTTTTGTGTCAAAAATCAGTTTCAAATTAAAAGTATAGGATTTAAAACAGACAAACTTTCAATCCCTGCCAGGGTAAGCTTCCCCTCAAGAAATACATGAACATGTGACCAAGGGCTTCCAAATCATCTCTCCTGCTTTGCTCTGTAAAGTATAATAAAAAAAATACAGTTGCATAATACAAGAAATGCGTTGCATGTAATGTAGTTTAGAGTATTTTGATTTTTGCTAATATGGAAGATGAAATAGTGAAACCCAATAAAAAAGTGTATGAGAAAACAGTTTCTTTTGATGTACATAGTAATGTAAACAATAATATCAACAACTAAATTAACTTAAGTAAAGTAATCTCTTAAAATTTCTTCCAATGCATCTACAATTTCAATTGAATGATTTTCAGCTATTTTTCTAATCATAACACAATCGTACCTTTTCCTAAATGAGTGTTGATGCTCATATATCGAGCAGTGCCAGTTAAACTCTTGTGTTCACGGTATGGTATGTGCTTCTTTGTTTCAGGGTCAATATACTCCTTGGCTAGGCCAAAGTCAATAATGTGTATGGTTCTGTCTTTACCAGCTGACTTTCTTCCAATTAGGAAATTCTCCGGTTTTACATCTCTGTATATCATATTTTTTGAGTGGACATATTCGATCCTCAACAACTATAAAAACATGTCCAAGAGAATGAATGAATGAATGAATGAATGAAAATCTTTATTTTGACACGCTGGCCTTGTCAACTGGGGTTGATTTCCACAAGGGGCGTGCTTTTGTTCAAAAACAATTACAAAATTTACTAAGAAATAAATTAAATGGCAAGAAACGCAAAGTGCCAAAGCTGAGAGAATTTTTCAGAAGTCTGCATTCATTCAATAAAATGACACATCATTGCTGTGTATTTGTCAATAAATGACAGAGTGATGCCGTCTATACATCAGTGGACTTGATGATAAATCACTTCAATAGAAAGACATTGATCAATGGTGAGTGAAATCAATAAAGAGATATCAATCTATGCACACAGAAACCAAAGGAAAAACACAAATCATTGGAAATAAAATTCAAGAAAACACAGCAAGTTTAAACTCTTGCTCTACAATTGAATAAAGTTCATCAAAAGTAGCAAAATAAAATCTTGCCTATTGTGCGAGGGTAGTAAATAAGACCAACTCACTAGTGAAACCAACACAATACTTTAATGTTACCTTCCCATCGAAGCAGTATGTTCCCAAAATGAACAATAAATCAAAGCATAAATGTATTAAAAACACTATTCCTGCAATACCTACCAGCTGCATTGCTATCATTAGCACTGTTTTGAGGGTAAAAGTTCTATCACAAACATCAAATAAATCCTCCAAACTTGGACCAAGCAACTCCATTACAAGTGCATTGTACTTAGTACAGGGACCAAAATAATGAACTTGTGGTATGCCATCTGTGCAAAACAAAAACATAAAAATATACAATGTATTTTTCTCAAATATAAATGTAACTTTTACCAAAGAAACGCCACCCAAGGGGTGGGAAAATGCACATAGAAATCAATGGCAATTACATATAACTGTTCCTTGTTTCACAAGATAATTTTACTTGTTTTGAAATATTGTATTGCAGATCACATTTATTTGGAATACTAGATTTCGGCCATGCCTGGCTTATGATGAATTTTATACTTACTCAAGAACATTTTTAATGATAAAAATTGCTATACCCATGCAATCAACCATTTATTAGTTCACTAGTAATGCAAGACTTTGAAATTACAATGAATGTAAAATTCATAGAAAAGAAAACTCTTTACTTCTCAAGCAAGTTTTGACGTCAGCCCTCTCAGGCAAAAGTTCAACAAATGTATGGTTCGCTGAATGAGTTCAAATAAAACAGTACAACAAAGCAATGTCAGATAAACATATTCGTATAATGAAGATAGTTCGTGAAATTCATAAGGTATGCATTTATTTAATTTATTAGCTTTTGACAGGGAAAGATAGCGGATCTTGTTTTCGTTTGAACAATTGCATGTGTGTTCGTCAATTCAGAAATTTCCTAATATTGTCAAAAGTTCTTCACCTGCATTTCCCAAAACTTTATAAAATCGATACTCTAGATGTAATTGAGGCGCCCTGGATTTCATTGGTTCCTATAGAACAGATGATCGCTATCAGCAACGATAACAAAAGTTGACGGTCGTCATAAATATCGGTAGTTAGTTAAGTCAACAAAAACAAGAAATTTGAGTTACCAATTTTATGGCGACATGTTCGTTATTGTACAAATTTCGACCTTCAAACAAACAAAAGATAAAGAAAACATTGAAAACGAGCGAAGCGCGATCACTAAACTATTTATACAGGCGTAATACCAAGTCTCAGCTCTCCAAAGTTCCCACATCCTATCTTCTTGCCAACACGAAAATTTGGTCCGACCATTGTCATATTAGAACTGGATGAAGCACTGGTACTTCGGGGTTGTAAACCTGGTCGGTTTTGCCTGGAATGCTTTCTGTCTGAGCGTTCATTTTCCCTTTCCCCTTGTCTTCTTGAATTTTGCATCGTGTAAAACTTTACTACCAAACGAGTTGAACAGCCATCAACTCGGACGATGCTGGGTTTAACCTTGCATAGAAAGTCGACAAAATGTCAGATTTTTTCCAAGGTTTTCACCCTAATAATTTGATCGCCAACAAATTGTCATACAATAGATCATCCATCAAACTATCTCAAGCATTCTACAAACGAAGAAGTACATAAAAGGAAAACACATTCATACAGCGTATTCCTCTTGCCCAAAGTATCATTCGGACAAGTGTAAATCGCAAGGTGTTCTGGGATCTCTCCCATGATCCAACATCAAACGTGATCAGGGGGGAGGCGTTCTCCTTGACAACTGATAATTATTTTTTAAGCAAACATTTACATGAGAATTATTTACTGAAATTTTGTCGAGTACTTCCCACATCAACAACGTATCACGCAGAATTATGAAACGCTTCTTTTGTAATTCACAATGACATCATTGTCTAGAATTTTCTTCCTCCCACAAGAACAGGGGGGAATCCTGTAGAGGGCTGGTTTTCTTTATATAGACTTCCGTTAGGGAAATAGGAATTGTATGCAAATAAAACGTGAAAAACGAGTATGTCAGCGCACATAAAGTAGTGATAAATACAAAGATCTCTTTCCATGTGTTGTTTCATTCACTTGCTAATGCTAGAATAGCATTACATAAAATTGTTGCTCAAATGTTGTTAGTCGAAATAAACGAGAATATAACTGACAAAAGTCCAATTCTAAAAGTTGACAAGCACAATAATATGACATTTACGTCATGCGAAAGTCTTCAAATTCAGATCAATTACTGACGATTTGGCTCAACAGGTCATTATATGACGTCATTAATCAATGCTTGCCAGTCAGACATTAGCTAGGTATAAGACAGAACAGTGAAAGGCATAATACTTCAAAAATTGGTAAAATTCACCACACATGCCCCAGAAAGGAGATCGACTCTCCGTGTAGTTTATCATCCTTTAGCAGCCCGGTCTTTTGCGGGGATTTGAAGATAAAAGCAAACAATACATATAAGAATTGTCACTCCAAATAAGATAAAGAAAAAGCGATCTAAAACGACAGCTGTAAAATGCCATTGTTCCTTCATTACTGTTTCCATTTGTTTTTCGCGTGCTTCTTCATCGAATCTTTCTAAAATGTCAGCGATCCTCTGAACTTGATCGGCACAATTACTCAATGAATGAGATTCAGTTGAAACACCTAGAAAAGCAGAGAGTTGACTTGTGAGAAAAAGCAGTAAGGTGAAAGCAGAATTAAGGCCTTCACTAATTTTGAGTAAAGATTAATTTTCAGTGATCATATCACATCGAATATAATACACCTGAAGAGATTTGAACTTTATCCGATTTTAAATGAGGCATTGAGCGAGAATGGAGAAAACCTGTTGAGGAGCGTCTGGTGGGAATCACATGACCGTTTTGAAAATGGTGACCATTGCTACAGGTGACAATAGCGGATGTTTTCGCTTGCTCAGTTTCCCGCTGTTCATTTTCCGTAACAATCAAATCTTCTACTCTTTTGGGGATTCTAATAAAAAACGTAGGAGCCATGATACTGAATACGAGAAAACGCAACCACTTTGGCATTTCACGGTCGGTTCCGTGAAAATAGCAGCGCGATGTGAAGGTCGTGATGAGAAGGCAGGCCGATATCTCGATGAAACACGCCATAGAGAATTTCCCAATGATTGGTAGCACCACGGAACTGTTAGGAATGCTCTCAGTGAATATCAGCATATAAACGGTTAAACCCAGCAGTATGGTGATCACGAGCGAAATCCTCTCTCCAGAATCGTGCGGGAGAAGGAACGCCATAAGAGTCAGCATATTCAGGATTATGCAGGGTATGATGATGTTATTAAAATAGAATAACACACGACGTTGAACATGAACCGTGTAAGTAACAATTACAAACTTGTGTTTACAGCAATTGAACTTGACTTCTTCACGTGTCACGTTTACTGAGACTAGTTTCCACTCCGCACTTTCCGTGTAACTGGCCAAGTCAACTTCTTCTCCTTTTAGCCGCATGTCCAAAGCGTTCTTTGTGTAAGACCATGAACCAAATGTAATATTGCATTTCTGCTCGTCGAAAGGGAAAAACGTTATATCAAAGGTACAAGTAGTTTTTATTTGAGCAGGTGCGTTCCATTGTACACTACCATTGTGTTGGAATACAACCTTCGTGTTGAAGTTGTACATTTCGCCACCTCCTTCGATCCTAATTAAGTGAAAGTTGTCACTTTTAAAGAATAATATAAAAAACTGAAGAAACCTGAACTGGGTAAGAGTAGGTTATGATCAATGAACTAAAGACAACGAAAACATCTTTCTACTAACTAAAATATAAAATAAGAGAGCGTGTGCCAAAGTAAGATAGCGTGTGTCAGTGTAGGTAGTGATGAATGAACGACAGAGAACACGAACTGTGTTTACACGTTCTAAAATACAAACCATAAGATATAAAACAGGATGGGTGTCAGTGAAGACAATAGCAAATGAAGTAAATAAAACAGCAGTCTTTAGTCTTTTTCCTTTACCCAACTAGCTCACTTACGTATTGTACAGGACAATATCAGGTTTCCAAAAATACTGTGGACTTAGTTTAATGTTTTCAACTCCACCATATTTCGTTGGATCCCACATCACCTTCTTGTTCACCCATGCCTGAAAGAAATAAAGTTTTCAAGCTTATCATATTTTTTTTCAGCAAAAGCACACGAATAATGCCAATAGTTTTAGAAACTTATCTAGAAACTGCCATCATAGCATCGTGAGGACTGAAGTTTTTGAGATTACCTGTCTAACCCAGACGTTACTCGTGAGGATTTGGTTTTTACCATCCTAAAAGGAGAAATCTTTAAGAGCTAAAAATGCAGGTAAGTCATCAAGATATTGTCAACCAGAATGTATCACGCTGCAGACCCACAAATTTACCAAATGAGATAAGTCAAATGAAAAAGGTGAAATGCAACAAACTTAGCTACTTTATCGATAAGTTGGTAATAAGAGAGATCCAATACAACAAATCAACTGACTCAACAAGTTGACTCCGTACAAAGAGATCACAATATGCAACAAACTTACCAAATCAATAAGATGACTATAGGAGAGATCACAAAATGTAACAAACTTACGAAATCAATAAGATGACTATAGGAGAGATCACAATATGCAACAAACTTACGAAATCAATAAGATGACTATAGGAGAGAGCACAAAATGCAACAAACTAACAAAATCAATAAGATGACTATAGGAGAGATCACAATATGCAACAAACTTACCAAATCAATAAGATGACTATAGGAGAGATCACAACATGCAACAAACTAACGAAATCAATAAGATGACTATAGGAGAGATCACAACATGCAACAAACTTACCAAATCAATAAGATGACTATAGGAGAGATCACAATATGCAACAAACTTACGAAATCAATAAGGTGACTATAGGAGAGATCACAACATGCAACAAACTTACGAAATCAATAAGATGACTATAGGAGAGATCACAATATGCAACAAACTTACGAAATCAATACAGTGACTATAGGAGAGATCACAAAATGCAACAAACTAACGAAATCAATAAGATGACTATAGGAGAGATCAAAACATGCAACAAACTTACGAAATCAATAAGATGACTATAGGAGAGATCACAACATGCAACAAACTTACCAAATCAATAAGATGACTATAGGAGAGATCACAACATGCAACAAACTTACGAAATCAATAAGATGACTATAGGAGAGATCACAATATGCAACAAACTTACCAAATCAATAAGATGACTATAGGAGAGATCATAATATACAACAAACTTACCAAATCAATAAGTTGACTATATGCGAGATCAAATTCAACAATGATTGGTTTGCTATTCTTTTCCACGGGTATGACTTCCACTTTAGCTCTGTAATCATCTAACATCTTTTTTACAAGCTTCGTTACATCGTCATCTTCGTACTTCGATATAAAAGCCGCGGACACAGAATTTGGAAGTAGAAGATCTGCGAAGCATAAAACATTAAACACCTCAACTTCTTCAGCAGATCTATCCGATAAAAATTCGTACCTCTTCCAACAATGACAAAATGCATTAATGAAGCATATTTTACGAGAGTGCTAGGTAAGAGTCCAGTCATATTTTCAAATGAACACACAGATGCCTCAGCTTTCGTTTCATCCTAAAAATTATGACAACATCAATCATCATATTTAAATTAAAGTGAAATGTAACGACGTAGGAATCTGGTCATGCTACAAAAAATATCTTTAAGAATGCGGCACCCCTTGAACGTGATTGTTTGCAGAATTTGCGAATTCAATGCATCACAATGAAATACGTTTGTGCCTTGTCTGTTTTGTGAAACGGAGTTAGTTGTACATGATGTATTGGAAATTCTCATAGATATCAATACAAGGAATTTTGTATCTCTGACAAACACGTGTGTACTCAAAGTTCGCAAACAAGATGTTGGCAAAAGGGGAACATGATGCATCGTGATATATATGCATCTTAAAATAATGGAATAACGGTAGCCAATCAAAATCTATCGCGTGTTTTCAAAATGTTAGCAAAAGGTGAACATGATGCATCGTGGTATATATGCATCTTAAAATAATGGAATAACGGTAGCCAATCAAAATCTATTGCGTTTTTTCAAGATGTTAGCAAAAGGTGAACATGATGCATCGTGGTATATATGCATCTTAAAATAATGGAATAACGGTAGCCAATCAAAATCTATCGCGTTCTTTTTTTCATCGTGCAAATAAATCCATCAATGAAGAGAAAACAAATGAAAACTGGAAAATATTTAATAATATCTTGTTAAAAAACATACAAAGGAAAAGGTACACCACAAAAGAGACATGCAAACCTCGAGAGAGAATTCATACGAAAGAAGTTAGAATGTTTTTTTTTAATGAAAAGAACGATTTAAGCTTTCCATTGCTATAAATTTTCGACACAGACTTTGACTTTAATATATTCGCCATGTCTAAACAGTGGTAAGAATTACCAGATAAGAACCGCCAATGACGATGAAATTTTTGTGACAATAGATTTTATCTTTACAAACTTTATCTAATTTCTTAACTCAAAATCATGGACATGATGGGTAATATTTTTAGATGGCGTTCTGTGCATTTTCAATCTTTAATGACTTAATTGTTCACCAATTGTTCCCCTCCCTCTGATACACCCAAGCTCAAAATATTTTCCTTCGCAAGACACAGTGACATAGAGAAACTTGCAGCAAGCGTCGCAATATCAACGATGTGACGCTGTCAGACAGGTGATTAACAAGCTTCTTTACACACATGCATTGTAAACGAAACTTATCGTACTCTCTGCTCTCCGGTTTGAGCTTCACTTACATTGCATAATCAGGCGTTGCAAAAAAATATACTTTTGTGAAGTGGCGATTTTCGTTTTGTTGTGATTTTAAAATATTTTTATTAATGATAGACAAAAGGTGCAATTATAAAGACATTTTGGACGGAGAAATGTATCATCACATAGAAACTAGTACAATACACAACATTATTGTTTGGATCCATTAATTTGAAAACACGAAACGTTGATGCACAACATTGTATATTGTAGTGATGTACACATAAACAGAACGTGAACATTTAAAACATTCATATTATATGTCTGTATACAGTTCTAAAAAAACTTATCATGATAATATTCAATGACATCCCGCTGGCGTGTCCGGCCCGCAGAGTTTAGTCCTGCTATGTAAATATTTGAACAGTATTATTTATTTCTATGGCAATCAATTGTTTTCACATTAAGCGAATACATAAAAAATTACAGTATAACTAAATGATCGAGCAGACCACGTCAATGTTGTAGAATTACTTGCACTAACAGCCAAAAAACCCACTAATGACCAATAGTACGTTTTAAATAGACTGATGTTTGAAGTGTCTTTGAAATTTTCGAAGAAGAAATGGCGTTATCTTTTGCAAGATGTGAGTGTTATCAAGGCTCGTAAATATTCATATCGCCCACCAGCTAACTTTAAGCAGTTACAGCATGCATACAAGCATCAATAATTTATGATCATATGTGTTCCTTGGTATAATTTCAAAACACTTATCCAAATCAGTCAACATTTTAACACTTCGAGACGTGGTTTCTTTACTTAGCTTCTGAAGATAAAGTGTCTAATTTTAGACGTGGATTTTAACGGTCATCATTCACGGAAATACAGTTTAGGAGGGAATATGCAATACAAAGCCTTATAGCAACAAACGTCATAAATTACTTTTACGCCAAAAAGAGCAGCTGGTAAAAGGTATTCATTTTAAAATTTTTTGCTGCATAAAGCTTTTGTTGTTGTCATTCTTCTTTCACACAGCTGTATTTGGTAAGCATGCATTCTTGATCAGATTTTGTAAACACTTATGTATTTTGACTATAGAAAGACTTTTCTCTACGTAAGTTAAATGTAGCAGAGCAATGGATGGCCTTTATTATAACAATTGTAATCGTTCGACGTTCGTGTAGGAGAAAATTGGTGGTATGACTTTGACATGAAACAATTACTGAAAAACAAAAAGGAAACGACCTTATAATAATTCTTTTTAATCGGGCCACCAAAATCAGACCAGTTTAAAAATGGGTTTTTATTTTCCCGTCCTTTGCAACTCTATGACAAGACAAGCGTTATCAAAAACTTCACAACCAATCAAACTCTTCCTTAGACCGCTCCACGCGTGGGTGCAACACCGCATTCTACGAACACTTATGAGTAAAAGGCGTCGCTGTCAAAAAGTTGAGAGTTTTGCTATAATGTTTGATCTTTTTGGTATCACCTTCCACCAAGGCTTACCTTCATAACAAGTTTAGCTAAAAAGCACATAGATCAGACTCGGTCATGTGACTGATGATTTCACCATTCTTTAAACCAATCAAACCCTGACAAGTCCTCAAAACCAATCAAACTGTTCCACGCGTGGGTGAAGTTCATACTGCGTGTACTGCAAAGTCAAAAAATGATGACCCCGTGAATAAGTTGAAAACTTGCGTTAAACAACTTCTGATAAACAAAGTCCATCCTTTTCGTGTTAGAGATATTCGAAATTCGACTACAAATTTGCCTAATATATAAAATATACAACTCCGACTCGTTGGTACGCCGAATAAATTTACATGTCGTGTGTAAATGTGTATCTTTTCATTTTTAATGAGGGGTTTCATTTAACAATACAACGCTCAAATGTAAACCAAAGACAGCATTCCCTTTTTACTGTCTTTGAAATATCTCTTAATAAGCACAATTAATGAAGTTAACTCTGATAGCAGTGTCGGCAAAAGGGTGTTTTTTTGAGAGGGGGAGGATACTAAAAAAATTCTCTTCCTGCAGCGTCTGAGTCTTTTAAGAAAAACAATCTTGATTTCCCATTGCGAAAATCATACGATGGCAACGATAAACTTATGTTTTTATACATAATACAGGGGAAAATCCAACTGACGAACTGTGCACCTGATTAAACTCATTCGCTAGAGGCTACCTCATTTTAATTTAAAGATAACGAAAAAAAAACCACCGAGATTATAGCAGTGAACATGTGACATTATAACTATTACAGATTAAATATTAATGAGCGTGTTTTTGTGGTCTAAACTCAATCATATCATGCTGAATGAACGACAGTGAACTGTGACTCTGCAAGTCCATCATGTAAGTTGACTAGCTCAACAGTTCTCGTCGAGTGATATTGTAACTATCATGAATATTGGGTCTCGTGACTAGTAATAAAGACATGCGTATGTATGGTATAAATAGCAATGTATTTTGATTAATGCGTGCTTTCCACTGCAGGGGGCTTACTTTGAAAAGAATATCCGCGATATATCATTTCTGCCGTGCTGGGTGAAAGTACTTACCTACAATTACAAGCAAATAACGCGGAGACGGTTGATGGGCAATTTCGTTCACCTCATTCCAGCTTCAAGCAAATCAAGACACTCAATGCATTCAACGTGTTTCTAGTTATTAAACTCATTCAGAAGGATACCACGGATACTAAGGATCTTCAAGTAGCAGAAGTTTCATATCTTTGGATGATAACACTAGGTGAGCTGAAAGGAAAAAGAAAATTATAAATAACGTAGGACAGTTGCATGAAAAATGAAAAGAGACGTCAAATTGATTCAAGCATATGCGCTTGTATTAGGCAATACACGACCACACAAACAGGCGCAATCCATGAAAAAAAAAACCGGAGGCAAAATACCTTTCAGCACTAAAAAAATCAATAACGTATCTCGTTGCGATTGCGAATGAGAATTGGAAAAAAAATGAAATCGAATTTCAAATATAAATAGTGGCCATGCCTTAAGCTAATTAAAAACATCATGGGGTATCGGTAAAAAAATCTAACTAATAATACCTTGAGACTTCAAGCTTCGTCGAATTATCATCACAATTTCTTTGTCTATAGAAAAGATAACAAAGGAAACAAAACAAACCAGAAAGAAACAGAAATACGACAGAGGTTGTGCAAGAGCATCATATAAGACAACGTATACTTCATATATATGTACAGATCATGAGAGGTTTTTTTGAACTTTCCCGAATTTTTTCGTTGGTACTTTGCATCATCGTCATCAATGCAGGTAAATTAATAATCATTTAAAAGCAAGATAGTAGGATGTTTGAAATTCATACACTATATTATACACAACAAGCGACAATAAAAATCCAATAACACACCAAATGGCTGCGTTTTACGTAAAATAGTTAATACGCGACAGGAGAAACAAAAAAGCCAACGATTGTTTATCTACTTTCGTTGTCTGCCTTTTTCAATTTCGAAATAACGAGCAATATTTTTGTCCATAGCAAAAGTTAGGATGCGCCTTCTAAATTCTTCTAGACTTTACGAGATCTAAAGCGGATTATGGAAATTCTTAAACACGTCGTGCCGTCCAAGATAACGTGAAACGTGATTTGCGTTTTGAATTGCCTTTTGATAGGATGCAGGTTTTCTAATAACGTGTCGCTCGCTATTTAAGCTGGATTCAGCCTATAGTTACAGTGACTGCGTACAAATATAATTATTGACGCCATTAAATGGAATAAATGACGGTTTTGTTCAACAAAAATCATGCAGATAAGAGCAATGTTTGACTCAGTTTCTAAAAACGTTGTGCGAAAGCTTTTGAACAAAAAGAATACGAAAAACACTAAAAAGCGACGAAGCTGGTTTTGAACATATTTTGAGCATGATTAAGAAATTGAAAAAAACGTTTGACAAGGACAAATTAGCGGAGGTTTCAAAATGTTTTACATTGATCAGTTTTGATAATATTTCAGTTAGTTAGGTGAATAGTACAACAATTTTTAATTCGGCTTTCTCATGATATCAAGAATTATTCCGACTTCGGTCAATGTTATCCGGAGTTTCGCTTCGGAAGATAACATTGACCTCGGTCTGAATAATTCTTGCTATCACGCTCAACATCATCCAATGATTGTTTAATATATGAAGATTTTGAATAATACGTGACTACTTCTGATAACTGATGCAGTCAGCATGTCAAGTCTAAAAGTTTGCACATTGCTGTCTTGCCATATATAAGCTCATTATCAATAATCCCGCCCCATTTTTCTAGACTATCACAGCGTTTAGCTGAGCTACTAATTAGAAAGTAGTCGCCGCGAATCGGGTGTTGTTTTAGGCAGATGATGAAAAGAAAAGCAATGAGAAAAGCAATGAATTAAATCACAAAAAAACTGACTATGATTTGAAGACTAATGTAATACTGCATATACATTGAGCAATAACAGCGCAAGAAGTACAACCGGGCTATAATACCATAGATAATTGGGGGGAGAGTCAAATTCATATAGCATTTTATCATTATCATCCATCAAAAACAACAAATTTCAAAGAATATAGCATGCATATAAACATTACCCCCTCTCCCCACACCCCAAATTATCAATAGTACTACAGCCCTTATAGCTATATCTAAAGGAAAGGTTATCTTCAAAACAGTAAAATCGGTAAAAACCGCAACATAAAAACTCGTAGTCTCATCTTTAGCTTTAAATGAATGAAAATTTTTCAAACTTAAGATTTCGAAAACTCTTCAACTGAAGATAGATCTAACAAGACGTAAAGTTTCAATACATTTAATTTCGTAAACTATTCATCAAGATGGTTGAATGTTTTCTGTTGGATTTATGGTTGGTTCTATAAAATAGAACTGTAGCTATTCTCATTTACTCTATAGACAATACTTTGGGCAACACGAAGTTCGAAAATGAAGGAGGGTCACGTGGAGTCAAAAATTGTACCGTGGATAAGAGTCATCCGTCGGCCACGGATCCCGAACACATTCTTATCTCTGATTTGATGAAACATTATAATGCCGACGCCAGACCAATCTTAAATAAATCTGCAGCTGTGAATGTGACTTTCGATTTGGCTTTCAATCAAATTGTCGATCTTGTAAGTTGAAATGTTTTTGATGGTTGTGATAACTCAAATAATAAGTCATTGTATCGGAGCCTAAAGCGGGAAACAACATTGTGGTCCTTCCTACGTAAGAATCGGCAAATGACGAAACGTATGTCATTCAGTCATTGCATGGGAAAGATAGGCAAAAATATTTTTTTTCTAATTTTAGGATAGTAGACAGCAAACGTTGAAGAGTAAAATTTGGCTACGACAGGTAAATGTTTTTTCATCTTCACAACGCAAAACCATGAACGAAATTATGCATTTTGTTAACGGACCTGTAAATAGTTATCCATGAAGGAACGATGTAATTAATCCCATGAACGACTGCTTTGCTTTCACAGCAAACAGTTTTTATCAGCTCTAAATTGTGTAACATATATTTTCTTCAGTTTTGGGTGAACCCGTATCTCACGTGGGACTACAACGATTATTGCGGAATAAAATTTATCATTCTCAACTCGAAGAGGATTTGGAAACCGGACATTGTGCTATACAACAGGTATATTTCTAGTTACCATAATACTACGCATTTGGTGATATTTTATATAGAACTGCACTGGGAGTTTATACAGAGTTTTGTAAAAGGCAAGAGAATTAGTCTGGTTGGTACATAAAGTATTCCTCCAAACTTTCATGATGTGGAATACAGAAATATATGTATATGTAGAAGTAAAAGTTGACGAAAATTCTTACCTGATTATGAATGCTCGTTACTTGAGCAAAGATCGCCATCATGAAGATGTTTGAACAAACTCGCTTGCTATCTCGGGATTCGTGTCTGCAGTTAGAAAGGAAAACAATGTCAGTCTATTTCTATTGTTTAGCATTGGACACGATGCAGCAATTTATAACAGTAATTACATGATAAAGATACACCATGATGGCCAAACAGAATGGTACTGTCCTGCCGAGATCAAAAGCATTTGTCATATAGACATCAAAGATTTTCCATTCGACACACAGCAATGTCGACTCAAGTTTGGATCTTGGATCTATACGGGAGAGGAGGTAAGCACGTTAGAAATCATTTGAATACATCTTGAAGTAAAGTACAACTCGTGCATACTTCTCGTCATGTCGTATTTTATTGGAGCAGGTCGACATCCAGCCCCAGAGAGAGACAGCAGATTTGAAGACGTACACGGCCAACGGAGAATGGAAACTAATCAGCGCAGCAGCCAAAAGAAATTCCATTAAATACACATGTTGCCCAATCTCGTACATTGATATCACGTACACACTAAACATTAGACGTCGCGTTCGATTTTATATGAATAATCTTATCTTACCTTGTGTAATCTTGGGCGCACTAACTGCCCTATCGTTCTACCTTCCACCAGAGTCGGGTGAACGCATTTCACTGGTCATGACAATTTTGCTAGGTAGGATATACCGTCTAGTTAAGGATGAGTACCGTCAGTCAACACCAACACCAACAGTTCTTCTTAGGACTGAACTAATCGGGACGATCAACGATATTTCCGGGGTCAAACCATCAAACTTTATGTATACTTGCATAGTCTAAATTCCAATCTTCATCTAAACTTTCATTATGAACTCAAACATAATCTAAACCATTTTTTCAGTCTTACTTAAGTGACCAAAATCAGCTTCATTAAAAAACGACTCAAATCATCAGATCAAAAAATGAAATTTCAATTTGACCGTATCCAGCAAATTTCCAGCCAAGTTGAAAAACACCTTCGGATAACAATTATTTGCTTAGATGGTTAAAGCTGAAATTACACATTGAGAGGGACACAAGATGTTCCCATATACGCGTATATCATCCAAAACAGCATATTTAAACTACTAAACACTGACTAACCATATGTTGACATCACATGTACTTATTCATTACTTTCTTCGCTTCAAGGTTTGACAGTATTCATGTTACTGTACAACGAAAGCATCCCACCAACATCAGAATCGACGCCTTTGATTGGGAAATACTTTTTTGCAATCCTCCTGCAAGTGACAAGCTGTTTGGTTATAACGTGCTCGATTCTTCGTTGCTATCATCACAATCCCTTTAAAGAAATGCCCAGGTGGTTTCGATATCTTATATTTAACGTGCTGGCCCCCATACTCCGCATGAAGTTCCCCCATCGTAAGCACAAGATCGACAACCGCCGCAGACCAAAACAAACGCAGCTTCTGCAGCACAACAAACACGTCTACACTACAGAAACATATGTCCCAAATGGCAAAGACAGGTACCCGACCTGCTGGAGTGGTGACAATCGTGAAACCAGTCCACGAAATTCGAATACGAGTCTGGAGAAGGCAGCAGTCGAGACGACAAATGATGGAAACTGTGAAGGCATTTCAAATCAAGTTGATATACTCTTGGATTATTTTGATAACGAGCAAAAAGTGGACGTGAAACGAGATGAATGGCATTTTGCTTCGATCGTTTTAGATCAGGTTTTCTTTTATATGTTTGCTGCCACGATAATATTTTCTGCCATCACGTTCTACGCTATGATACCCAGCTAAACCTTCTTTCACATGTACCAAGTTCGCCTAAATGACTTATTGACATGTAAATTAAAATCAGTGACAAATACTAAACTGTGCTGAACTATAATAACATTTTATGTCTTGATACATATACTTCATGTTACACGAGAGTGAAATAAGGCGGAAAGTCAAATGGGTGGTGATAAAAGAGAATATTGTATTGTAACAAGTGAACCTCGGAATTTTTCATCTGCTGATTTGCTTTCTCGATATACTTTACTTTATTGATGTTTTATGAGAAACCAGATTGATCAAAAACCAGCTGACATTTGACAAAACTGGAAATTTATTTTAAATATATAAAAAATAATATATTATGCATGCAATATTTGAGGATTTCTACATAAATCCTAATATATATATTACTTCCTTTAAAAAACACACATCACTTGTAATGTATACAAAAATTCAGATACAAAAAAGCATAAAAATAATATCAAAGAAGGGCACCTCGATAGTCCTACGATTATCTCTTTGAATTTTGCGTTGATCGATAACTTTTCACAAATGGTTTTCCTTCGACGTTTCTATAACACAGATAAAAAATATGCTCAACATATAAGACAAGTACCATTCATAAATTGTATAAGACAAGTACCATTCATAAATTGTATAAGACAAGTACCATTCATAAATTGACGGTGAAAAACACAGAGTGTTGATGCACAGTTACCGTGAACGAGAAGATTTGTCACTTGTCTTTTTCGGAGACTTGATTTGCGAAAACGAATCATATCTCCTGTTACAAACAAACACGATGTATGAATGCGAAAAAAGTTTATTTCTGTATAAATTAAGGACATCCCACGTGTGAACAGTTCATAAGACCCGCACCAAATAAAAAGGAGCAGCTATAGAAGTATTGAAATGGAAACTTCAAGGACAAGGATCATATATCTCGGTGTGTTATAGATTAAAAATAAATTTACTATAAGATCTTCACTGCAGCAATGCTATACACATGCACTGTAGCATATGTTCAATACAAATGCATGACCATATTTGTACTTACAGTTGGCATGTACTTACATTAAAGGTCGAAAATCTTGATTGTAACTATCACTTTCATTTTGATCACGGGACTCGTTATGGCCATTCTTCTTGTCGTGAGATCTCATTGGTTCCTGGAAGAAAACACGTTATTGATATAATTTTAACATACAAGTCCCGACCCCCATTTAACGAGAAAAGTTTTCATCATTTTATAAGCTCTAACATTGCGTGCAATGGATATTCCATGAACATCCTCGTCATCACTCCAGTGTCTTTGACAGGCTGCAGTCAGTTCGTCTTTTAGAGTGTTGATATGAGCCTGACACGAAGTCACGTCTCTTTCAAGATTTTCAACCTTCAGTTGCGCGGCTTGTTTTTCTGCATCTGCCCGAGTGACCATGATTAATGTCTGTTGGTGGACTTCAAGGAAACCATTCACGACACTCTATATGAAAGACAAATAAGAGCTTTTCATAAATAGAAAGATAAAAACTCTTAAAATCGCAGCAGCTATGAAAGGAAATGTGGTAAGTTTCAGTAGATTTTTTCTTATGAAACAAAATCCCCAGACGCCATCATAAACGGGCGCAGCTCTATTCACGTACCTGACACGCCAATAATGTAGATCCCAAAGGACATCCCTCCGTCGTTAGTTTTGTGTCGCCTAACAAAAACTTCGACAGATCGTAGAAACCATCACGTGTCTGTTTTATCGCTGTCTTATTCTCGTCCAAACGTTTCTGAACGTTTTTCAAATAACGGAGCGCGGTTTCTTTTTCCCTTCGTTTGTAAAAATAGTAATTTAAAATTATAGAGAAAAGACGTAAAAATCTACTCCGGATGCATTTACTATATTATGAATGTGAGATTTATTCACAAAGCTTTCAAGATGGATGCAGATCTCTCTAAAATCTAAGTAGGATGCTTCCACTACACACATGAGATCCATTTACAGTGCTTTCAAGATGGATGCAGATCTCTCTAAAATCTAAGTAGGATGCTTCCATTACACACATGAGATCCATTTACAGTGATTTCAAGATGGGTGCAGATCTCTCTAAAATCTAAGTAGGATGCTTCCACTAAACACATGAGATCCATTTACAGTGATTTCAAGATGGATGCAGATCTCTCTAAAATCTAAGTATGATGCTTCCACTACACACATGAGATACATTTACAGTGCTTTCAAGATGGACGCAGATCTCTCTAAAATCTAAGTAGGATGCTTCCACTACACACATGAGATACACTTACAGTGCTTTCAAGATGGACGCATATCTCTCTAAACTCTAAGTAGGATGCTTCCACTACACACATGAGATACATTTACAGTGCTTTCAAGATGGACGCAGATCTCTCTAAAATCTAAGTAGGATGCTTCCACTATACACATGAGATACATTTACAGTGCTTTCAAGAAGGACGCAGATCTCTCTAAAATCTAAGTAGGATGCTTCCACTACACACATGACACCCAATTACAGTGCTTTCAAGATTCATCCAAGATCTACATAAGACACACGAAAGACGTGCCAAAAATCAACTTACCTCGCTGCTGCATTCGTTGCTTTTTCAGCATCATTTAGTTTTTCTTGTAGCAACCTCTTCTCGCTCTCAGCCAGTCTACTGTCTTTTGTGATCATACGGACACTTTGTTCTTTACGCTTGATTTCCATCCTTGCCTCGGACAAATTCTAAACGGTTGTTGCAGAAAAAACTCGCAAAAGGATAGTTTCTTATCTAAGATTTGGGTTACAAGCTAAGATTTACAGAAACTCAAACAGAAGGTTCACTTAAATAGAAGTGTTCGGGTTTTCTAGAAAAACCATTCGATAGTAAAAAAATATATCAGGGTTTCAAGGCTCACAAAATGTTTCAAAGCTCGCAAATTACATTGTAACGCGACTAAACTCTTCGCTAAAATCAGTATATAAGATTAGAATGAAACAAAAAGCACCATGCAATTTGTTAAGAAGCTTTTTGTCATAGTCTGAGAAAAAGAGAATGGACACCTTTCAGCCAATGGGCTGCATGCCTACTCCCCATTATGTGGACATGTGTAAGATGCTTACCTTGACGGCCTGCGCAAGCGTAATGGCCGTTTCCTCACTATTGTTATGAACTGTGTTTAACTTTTGCTCCATGATCTTGAGTTGCTCAGATTGCTCATTTAGAATATCCTGAGCTCGTTTCTCACGCTCAAGAGCGTTGGTCAATTCAGCATAAAGCTTATCAAACTCGCCGCGTGGAACAGCGGAAGTTAACTGAAAAGGATGAAAGACGGTTTATACAAACGAGAATAATTTTGATTTTTTTAACATAATTTGGCAAACTATTGTTTCCAATTGAATACATTGTAATGGAATTGAATAGATAGTGATCATACACAAGAACGGCGTAGGTTTTTTTAGAAACATGTTAACAATTTAAAATGTTCTCGTTTATCTAAAATGTCTTGTTGCATGCACTTGACTGTGCTTTCAAGAAACCAAGAAAAGAATGTATGTTTGAATGTACACCTACTGTAAGTGTTCTCTTTCATTAGAGTACTTAGTATACTATTGAAAAGAATTATGATTTCACGATGTAGATTCGTGTGTTATAGCTACTTAATCTATAAATTATGTACCTTGTGCCGTAAATCTTCCACATCTCCAAGAGCTTTCTCATTTTCATGTTGTCTTTTCTCAACCGATGTTCTTAGTGCTTCATTCTCAGATTTTATATCACTCGTTTTCATTCTCAAATCTCGTCTTTCGACTTCCAATTTGTGAAGACGCTGGGTTAGACTTAGGACAAAACCTTGCAGCGTCTTCACCACCTCCTGTTGTAGAGTTTAAGAATGCACAATTTAATGAATTTTCAATCAAAGTGCTCACTTTTATTGAAGGGTCACGAGAAACTTGACTTCCACAATCCTCACCTCGGGGTTATGGTAACGAGAATGTTTTGACTTGCCAGTTCTTCTCAAGCACCGTTGAAGACCATTACCAAGAAGGACCGTAAGACAAGTACTGGAATGATGACGAGACTCATCAGGTAAATGTTTACTATCGTCATCAAATATCGCCCACAGTTGCCACAATAAGTTTTGATAACAATGCTTGGCTATTCTTCTTATACCTTCATTGAACTCGGGATTCCAAGAGTAGGAAGGATCTATAACGATACTGGAACATTACAAAGTACATTACATAGCAATGGGGGTTAGGGTAAACAATACTGCAGTGATGTCTATCTCAGCTGATCTTAGGTTATGTTCTAAAAACTCCCATTGTCCTATAAACCCAAATATGCATCCCTGGGTGCGTAATATAGAAATGCAGTAGCTAATACATAATAATGTATAATAACTAATATTCTGCCGATGCCATGTTGAAATTCTGGTTAAAAACGTTCTCTCTTTCTGCAAACCTTTATCAGCGCGTCGCATAATCATTTCACAGAGATCGTTCATGCTCGTAACAACATTGGACAACAGCTGATCATCATTCACCCACGTGCTAGACATTTCCATACCACGTGCTAAAGGCACGTGATTGTTTTTGGAAATTCCTGTAGGAGATGAAAGGATGTAAGACGCACGAAGCACGGAAACTTTATCATCAAGTATAAAACTAGGGGTTTAAGGATATTGCAAAATGTAATACATAAACACCGCTTTTTGACTCGTAATTTGTACATCAACCATAAAATGTTTCATAAATTTATTTCATACCGCAAAACTACAAATCACAAAATTTTATAACACAAAAAGTGATCTATGATTGCTTATTTTAACATGAATGCATCACATTTGGCAGTGCAAACTTATTATCATTTCTATATCATGGTATGATGAAAAATAGCACAAAAATGGAAAAAAAGTTTCTTGTTTTTTTTATCCTCAAAGCGTAAATGCAAACAAAGGAATTAAAAGTGCTCCTGTTTTGGTAAACCTAAGGTTGATTTTATGCCTGCAAGACAGGAACTGTTTTTATACTTTACCAAGAAAATCTGCTCCAACGGTTTTTGGCTCTCTAAAAAGCGCAACGAGACTTGTCTGAATGCCTACAGCCACGGTAAAGCAGGTCTTTTGTCGTCTGGTAATGTTGATAAAACGATGCAATGCAAGGATGACAATCACACCAACACGAAATTTCAACAACAATGAACTGTTGGTCAGCACTGAACTCGCATTATCACTGAGCTCACTGTTTAGCGTATCACAAAGGAATATTGTATGCTTGTGTAGCTTCGAGAGACGTAAATTGACGTCGGTAAGGGATCTTTTTTGAGTTATTAAATTCTCCATTCGCTTACACAGCGGCCATAAAGTGCCAGCGAGTAAGGTACACGAAGCAAGTAAAGCTGTCTTCTCTTTAATGTACTTCTTCCGTGAATTTTTTAACGTTTTATTTTGCACTTCAAGCTCTTCTCTCATCGCGTTCAACTGTTGTACATTTTGCCAAGATTCATCAGCAACGCCCTGCGTTTTCTAAAACATAAAATTACTGTCGAGTAAGACATTTAAAGAGCAAATATACTAGCGGTTATTGCAGTTTCGAAGTTATGTATTGAGATTGGGAACTAGAGTTTAATTGAAAAATGAGCTAAAATTAACATTGAATATCAGTATCACAGAGAAACGGCCAACCCTTTTTCACACATTCTTGGGGAGACCGTTGCCAACCCTTTTTCACACATTCTTGGGGAGACCGTTGCCAACCCTTTTTCACGCATTCTTGGGGAGACCGTTGCCAACCCTTTTTCACACATTCTTGGGGAGACCGTTGCCAACCCTTTTTCACACATTCTACGGGAGACCGTGCAACCTTTAATCAATTGAAGCCAATTTGAAGAGCAGCTCACATCCATTGACATGAGTATAAAAACTGCAAGGGTATCTTTAAGTAAGCATGCTTTACGTTTCATGAAAGAAAATTTTGAACGAAAGAACCCAATCCACAATCCATCCAGTTTCGCACCTGAACTCGATTATGAAGGTCCGTAATCAATTTCCCATAATGCACCTCCATCTCACGACTTTGTGTCTTCCACGTCATCTCTCTCTCTTTTAGAGTCTCAGATAACTATGCAAACGAAAAAATAACGAGTTGAAAATTTTCACTTATAACTATCGTTATCTTTCTTCTTCTTGCCTTCTTAATCGTAGCCTCGTGTTCATCTTGAGTAGTCTTAATGTGAGTATCTTTCTTATCCAGCGCTTCTTCAAGGTATTTCACCTAAACGTTGACATGACCATGAGCAGTGACAATCTTCATCAGTTATAAATATATTTCACACACTGCATGACAGCACGATTGAATTAACCGCTTATAAAAAAATAAACTGATAGCTGACTCAATCTTTTTGTCGGTAATAATCTCTGTATTATTTTAGCTTTGCTGTTTAAATATTTTTGCGGGAGCAGTCTGATCAGATGAAAATTATGCAATGATCGTCACACTGAGGTTGTCTACCCTACGTAAGAGAGATCTATGCGAAAATCATTCAGGCCAACACGTGTCCTAAGAATTAACCAATCTGAAAATCGTTTTGAAGATCGCAAATACCATGTAAAAACGATTTTCAGATTTGCCACCACGACAAAGTCTCTATTTTATTAATGAACCAATCGCAACCTTGAATGTCGCAGTGTATATCAAGGTGTTTTTATGCTATATCATATCATCGTTTACCTTCTCTTTGTTTCTGTTAAGTTCCGAGATATGAGTGGAGACTTGATCGGACAACAATCGCATCATATCTTCCCAAGAGAATTCCTGATATGATCCACCATTTAGATTGGGTTGATGGGTCTGCCCTGCCACAAGGCATTGGTAGATCGTGTGTAGAAACGACAAGCGGGTCTGGAAATAAATGTATGGTAATAGTCAATTGATTAGAATAAGCTATCTATCTTCTTAAGTGACAACAGCAATTGCGGATGGGGCTAAATTCATATTGGATTGGATGCTATTGATGATGGCTATGTTATTTATATTATTTAGTACCATGTTCTCGTTGGCGTACTTGCTTTGCAACTTTGACACCTAATAAAAAAGGTAAATAAAACAACGTCCATTGCGGTGCGAATAGTAAAACCGCACATCTATATCTTTACTATCACATAAATTTAATACACTTGTATTTTTTGATGATGCCAAAAGAGGTTTTGATATATACGTACATGCTTTTCGAGTTCTTTATCAAGTTCTTTATCAAGTTCAAGACTGACACTCGTCAATCGCAACACCTTCCCTCACATGAAGGCGTTTCTGATTGTGTGTTTATTAACAGTAATGAGTACTGTGAACTTTGAGAATGACTATTTGAACAGTTTCTGTTAACAGTTTCTTATTCTCCAATATATTTGCATCACAAACTGTTCGTTGAGGTATAGATACAGACAATCAACACGTACAAACCTCTTGATTGTGCCTAAAGGATTTTTCACGTTCCTCATCTGACGCTTTTTTCATTTCCTGTATTTGTATTTCGAGTTTAGAGCAATCTTTCTGCTTCTCTGTAAGCTGTAATCGACTCTCATAGAGTTCTTCTTTCATTTTTTTTGCAGCTTGTTTAACGTCCTGTACATAAAAAAGAAACAATAAAACAACGATCTGTCACCACAACCGTTACGAATAATGCAATACATATCGTTTCCACACCTCGACAGCTTGATCTCTCGACCATACTAAGTTCTGATAGCCATTATTTTCACGGGTGAGGTTTTCCAGCTTTATTTTCAACTGTTTTGCCTATATAACACAAACTACGTTCAACAGAGTAAAAAAACATCATACAAATAATACGTCCCTGTTCAATGGTGAGCGATTTTCTTAACTATTTTCTTGATGAACGTAAACATCGTGAGGTCTACTTGCTTCATGCACGTATAGATTATTCATTATAAAAGAAAACATGTCATCTTCAACCTCGTTCACTGCGTTGGTTTGTGAAGTTTGAAAGTCCAACAACATTTGACGTATATCATGAAATAAATGTGTGCTATCGTCTTTATCACGTCCTTGAAACAAGCAAAGATAAAGAGATTGCATTGCATCAATAGCATATATGGACAGCACACAACTTTACTTGAGTTCTTCATTTACCAAGTTTCTTTTTTCCCGGCGATTTTGATCCACCAAACGTTGTGAGCAAAGACTGAAGTTGGCTTACACACTCATTGTAGTTTATGTCATATTCGTTTTGATGCCTTTTGGCCTGGAGAAAAAGAGAGAGAAGAGAGAAATTAAAGAAATACGTAGGAAAACGTTTGTTTAATATAGGAACACGTTTATTGCGCATCCGAAAACAACTTCCGTTAACGGTTATTTCACGTTTAACATGCGTACAGTATTATACCTGCGTTAGTTCTCGTTTCAAGGTGTCAAAATCTTGTTGATGAACCTCCAGCTTTTGAGACAGTTCTTTAATGATATTCTGTTTCTCCTCCAGATCTCCTTTTATCTTCTTCTTCTCCACGACATACTTTTCTTGCAGCTTGGTCAGTTTTGCAACTGCGTCCGCATGACTTTCTTGTTCAATTTTTAGTCTTTCTTCAAAATCTCTGCGACAAAAAGGAACGCAAATTACAATGTTCTGATTTGGATTACATAGAATATAAACAATACATCTCATTCCAGCTTGTTGAAAAATGAATCTAATTGCATTGCTGTAAGTCTTAGTAATGCGGGAAGATCAATATTGCGAGAAAGAAGACAGTTGAAAGAGAATCCAATACTTGTTCTGCTGAGAAAAGTTGTCAATGGTCGCCATCGCTTCTTTCAATGAAGTCGACTTCACTTCAGCATCGGCCTCAAGCTCACTGGCTCGAAGCTGTAAAAGAGAAGTAAATAAATCAAATACGACACCTCCATGGTGAACTGATGAAAATATCGCTATGGCGTGGTAGAAAGATTTTTATGGTAAGCTAAAAAACATCTTCGTGGTCAGATGAACATATCTTCACGTGGTGAGGTAGAAAGATCATTATAGTAAGGTGAAAATATGAAAAATTTCATATTTGGAGCTTGCTACCACATCTTTTCTCCGGTGCAGAAATTTTGCTAGCGGGAGGGGCTTAAAAATTCGCCTGCTGCACATACGTATCTCAAGCACGCGAGATGTACAACAAACCTGAATGACTTCAGAATTAAATTTCGTCTCCAAATGGGACGCTCTCTCAGCTTCAACATGCTCTTCGAGACTTTTTATTCTTTCGCGAGCTTGCTAAAACGAGTAACGTGATGACAATCATTCGAAACGACAGTTTTGAAAAGTAGTGAAAAAAAGATGGGAAAAGTTGATATATTAAGTGAGTTAAAATCTTAACCATCATTTAAAGAATTGTTAATACACGTTTTCAAGCCATTTAATAGTTGACTATAAGCACGGAGTGATACAGAAGTCTCGCAAAATATATAAAGGAATGTACATCGGCCACGTGTTCTCAGCAGGTGTGCTGGAGTGAGGTATTTGTTTCCCTGTTTTTATGAAAAGATTATTCAATTGCGGACGAATTCGTCATTCAAGTTGCTTCAAACTTGAAACGGTCACGTGTTACTTCGTCACATAGGCATCCACAGAGGCTTTGGAAGCGTTCAAGAATTAGGGGTGTTCTACATTCGTCATGTCATAACGCAAGAAACTTAGAATAGCAATAAAATTGTTTCACGGTACTTATTTTCAATCGGTTTTTCTGCTTTTTCGAGCAAACATTATGAAAATCGTTATGTTGTGTTTCATTACATACTAATGACTTGCACATTTCCGTCATTTCGTAAATGTTCAAACCATTTAAAATTTCCCTGGTTCCAGGTGCCCGTTCAATAAATTTGAAAATTTGGTACACTTATCATAAACGTTGAAGCGAGAAGCTAATTTTGTGGGTGTCCTTCGGACATTCTAACACCCACGGTTTTCCAAGCCCCTGGGCATCCAAACATTCATGACCCAAGGTCTGTGGTCGTTACTACAACTAACTTCACCGTAATAACTCCATACATGGAAGAAATCAATATATTTGAAAAAACCTCGAGTTCTGTCTTTAGCCTCTCCTCCCTTTCAACGCTAAACTCGATATCTTTAGCCTGATGACGTAATGTATTGCTTTGACTTTGTCTTTGCGCTAGAATGCAACAACAGATGCAAAACAAAGCTTTTCAGTTCAAGTAATTGCAAGCAATTTTTATTACACCATCAAAAAATGAAGTTGACAGAAGTTAAGCTTTTTACCAACAAGCAGTGTTTCAAAAGACGAGTTTTACGAGCGTGTGTAAACGCCAAGAATACTTTCACGACATTTTAAGAGACATACAGACCTTCTAAAGACGAACATTTTTCTTGCATGTCCACTAGAGCGCTAAAAAATTGAGATTAAATTCCGAAAATCGTTCCGACAAGGGATTGAGTTGTAAATGGGACATTTATTGGTATCGTTTTCGTTCATAGACAATGATTACTTTTGTTGTTGGTGCAGCATTTTATTCAAATGAAGCGATTCTTTCTGAAAATCTTCCAGTTTTTTAGCCATCTTATTCAATTCATCATCCTACACGAAGGCATGAAGTGAATTAAGTTAAAAACCTCAGAATTCATCGAAGTTTCCAAGAACGCAGATGTTGATCGTTTAGACGCAGTTCTTTAGAATAACAGTTGGCATTGGAATTGACTGACTTTCTGACATCCTAACATAGTGGTAGCCATCTTCAAAGTATATACATATTCTTCACTATTCTCTCGACTCTGAAGATGACCACCACTAAGGAAGTCAACATGAACACCAACACTCCTTCCCATGACTGCACTAAGCAGGACAATCAACATCTACATGATATTGCTACACAATACTCTTGGGTTCAAACCATTCACTTTAATGTACCTTCACTTCCAGATGTTTCTTCCATTGAATAGTCTCATTCTTCCGTGACTTTTTACAATTTTCAAGCTCCTTTTCAAGTTGATCAAATCTACTCATGTTCTCCGAGAGTTGTTCTTTCAACGAGGCCATATTGTTTAATACCTCGCCATCCTTTTCTGCAGCCAGCCTCTTCACCTGATTAGCGTTCTTCTTTGCCAAAGTCAACTCATACTCCAGATTCTGGCGAGTCGCCTCGCCCCGCTCCACCTGGGCCCTGAGGCGAACCACATTGCTTTCAAGAGTACTCTTCTAACAGGAGAAAGAAAAGACATTGTTTATCAGGGTGGCGGAGAGCTTACCACATAGATAGCCATTAAAGATAAAATCTCATGGAAAAAATATATTTTTATAGAAACTCCAACCTACATTTATTGAAAACATAGGCAAGACACACTTAAAGACTTGATAAGGTACTAGAACTGGTTTCGAGAGTTATGATTGGCATTGAATGTGAACTTCACTTCTGGATTATTGTTTTGGTAGCAACTATATCACTTCGTATGCTAACTAATCAATTATTGGACAAAATTTGAAAAGTTTCCTCCAGTTTTAGATGACTCACATTAATGTTGGAATTTTGTAGTATATTACAATAGCTAAGCCAGCCTGCAATTTTTTCTCCTGCTTTGTAAATTTCACAGCATTATCATTATTTGTTTTTTGTTTTCACAGTGAGCAAAAATTTACAAAGCAGGAGTAAATAATCGGGCTTGCTTTGCCAGGGGTGAATCCCTTTTACGCATAGTTCACGTAATTTTTTTTGATGTAGCAGTAATCAGTGGCAGACCAACTCGATTCAATTTAACTATATAATTCTCTGAGCCAATCTTGAAGTTGTTTAGCAAATAAGTAATTTAATACATATTTTACACAAGTTCTATACTCTACTAAAGAAAATGGTATTCATAAAACAAGCATGAAAATACATAAGTCACTGTAGAACTAGAGAAGAAACATTAGGGCATAATGTAATCTCAAACCTCTTCATTGAAAATTTTTATCTTGTCTAAAGCTTCGGCCTCAAGCTGAGCAATCTTCAATTTGAGACTTTCGATTTCTATAAAAAAAGCATCAAATATTTGCTAACTTTTCTCTCACAGGTCTGAGAAATTGCATAATTTGTGCTGTAAAGTGTGGCCTAAGTGTACGTAGTTGTTAAGGAAACCAAGTATAAACTATACGAGACAGTTTCACAAGTGCAATATAACCTTTCTCAGAGTGAATAGATCTTGAACTATTCATTTGAGTTTCTGCAGCGGTTTGGGGTTCAACGACATCATATGTATTTCCACCATCAAAAGTGAAATGAACGCTATTTTCTGAAATCATGTTGAAGATGGATCTAAAACAAAGGCAAAATATATGACCGTGTCAAACTAATAAAACAGCTTGCCAGTTTCTAGGTTAAAATTTGCATACCTTGTCTCATGGCAGAGTATTTAGTGAAATATAATTTTCTGTACTAAATTCCAAGTAGAATATAAAATTGGTGAACGTTTTCGAGTCGCCATGATGTAACTTCAAAATATTTTGACAGTAACAGAAATTACGATAAAACATACTGCTATTCCAAACAATGTATCATAAAAAAGAAAAAGCGAGTAAAACCATATAAATTATCATAAGCAGGAAAGCTCGATGCTCCTACTGTTAGTGTTCATAGTTTAGTCTGTTTAGTAATAAGTACATTGGTTTTTCAATTGTCGCGCGAAACGTAAATTCAACTGTTGTCCCGCGTGATGATCCCGCATAGTATCTCCTACGAACAGGTGTAACACCAATGACCAACCATAGAGCATAGAGAGATTATAATCTCTACGCCAATATCGTCAGTGGTCAGGTATTAAATGCTGGCAAATGGTAAATGCCCCGTCTGCTATGGTAAAAGTAGGCAAAAACGCAAACTGAAAGACAAAGAGAGTTATATAAAAAGCAGTGGTCTGCTAAACGAAGTCCTGCTAAATACTAAAAACAAGTTATAATCTTTGTTGAAAACAGCATGTTGATTGACATGATAAATGACCATAAGATAAGGATCGAGGTAACGTCACTGCACTCTCAAAAACAAATTGATGTCACGCAATCCAGCAGACTTTCAATTACTTTGTTTCAAAACGCGTGGTACGGTGGTAGACTTCATCACGTATGAAATAAAATAGAAAACAATTAGGACTCACATGGAAGAAGTGCTCCAGCTGCTTTATGATGGAGGAATGAAAAGCTTCCCATGGTTTTGTTTTGAATTTATTTCATGGTGATTTTGTCAAAGAGTTTCGGTGAATTTCTGATATTAATTGCTTTACAGTTTTTTCCTCTCTCTTGTTTTGCAACAATTGTGCTATATGTGCTAGTGAAAATGTGGTCAAAAGTTGCTGTACTGTGGATGATTTTCTTTTCATTATTTTCAACTGGTAAGCAGACCTCATAAACACTTTCTAAACAGAAGATAGGAAATATATTATCAACAATCAAACGTCTGTTCCTTTGAAACAAAACCAAACGTTCATTTTTGCCGAATGAGTTTAATCACACAAACGCGGTACCACTCAAATAGTGCTTTGTTTGATACAGTTTTTCTAAAATGTTTGATTAGTTCACAATAAAAACTGTTAATTAACCTTGTGTTACCTTGTTTGCAAGCATAAATCAAGCTTTCGACATCAGATAAGAATCTTGCTGTCGCCAAAGATTAAAATAATTCAAATTTTGCTATATTAATCTCTAAATCATGATCATGAACAAAAATAAACTCATTTTAAAAACCAAGCAAATCGTTTTTGTGTTATATGCTACTCTTAGCGTAGAACTAATAAAGATAATATTAAGTCTGGCTATAGAAACATGCAAACACGACAAATGACACAGTAACATATTTTATAATTCTCTAATACATTCTGTTTAGGAAAGAATCAATGCGTCAGACTGGTCAGTGGGAAGGGGCTTCCCTAAATTTGATTTTTGCAGAAAGCAGCGTCGTGACGTTTTAAACAGTTGTCTTTGCCGCGCAAATTTATCATGTCCTTCTTCCTTTTGAAGGTTTAAGTTCCTTTCAAGAGACGAAGTTAATAAAAGATCTACTGAAGAACTACGATAGGGACGCGAGGCCAGCTATCAATTACTCACAATCCGTGCGGGTGGAGCTACAAATGATCTACAAAGAGCTAAAAGAAATTGTATAAAAATCCTGTGTTGTAGCTAAGAATAGGATAATAAGTCTCTAAATAAAGACAATATCCAACTGGCCATGACTACACTATAAATGTTTACCAAATGTCATCCGATGTACACCGTCAAAATATTTTTTTCAAATTCTCTAGGACGAACCAAAACAGCAAATGACTTCAATCACTCGATTCAGAATAGTAAGTTAGTAATTAAGGAACTTCAAGAAAAAGGCTACTTACATGAAGTCTAAGTATAAATTGAATGGAAGAGATCAATAGATTAAAAAGAAACTAAAACTTCCACAATCTTACTACAAAAAGGTTAACCCAAGTGCTGTTTTTAGTCGTGGAAAGATCCTTCCTTGAAGTGGAAAACAGAAAAATATGGTGGAGTAAAAACAATTCATGTGAATCCAACACGCATCTGGATTCCAGACCTCACTCTTTATAACAGGTAAGTGTTGAAAAAGAGGGTTTGGATAGCATTACATTCAATTTTTATGATTAACTCAGCATTGCTGCTTTCTTTCCAGTGTTCACAAAGATAGTGGAAACATTTACAGCTATCCAACAAATGTAATGATACAGAATGATGGAACGATCACGTGGCTAACATATGCTATGTTGAAGACTCTCTGTAAATTGGACATTGCAGATTTCCCAGTGGACAATCAGCATTGCACACTTAAGGTTGGTTCTTGGACTTTGACGAGCAAGGAACTTGATTTAAAACTCGCGGATGATACGCAACCGAGTGTGGATCATTATAGTGACAACACAGAATGGCATCTCGTCTCAGCCAGTGCAACGATTAATGTAAAAGAATATCCTTGTTGTTCGGGGACGTACACAGATATAACTTACACTTTGCATTTCAAAAGAAAACCTTGGTTCTATATCATCACCATAGTCCTTCCATGTGTCATATTATCTTTACTTGCTTCTATGTCTTTTTTGTTTCCCGCTGGCTCAGGAGAACGCGTTTCGCTGATCATTTCAGTCCTGCTTGGGCTGACTGTGTTCATGCTGATCATCAACGAAGAGATACCAGTAAGTTCCGACTCCACACCGATGTTGACACGATACTTTAGCGCCATCTGCTGTGGAACATTCGTCAGTCTCCTGGCAACTGCTTTAATTCTTCAAATCCATCACGGATCCAATGCAAAGCCTGTGTCTGTTTTCCTTGCAAAAATGCGAAATCTTATTGCCTTTTTCGTATGCGTGAGAGCAAAATCATCATCAGAGAAAACCGTCAAAAAACCATCCTTATTAAAATCGACCCTTCTAAATGACGAACAACGACTTTCTTGGGCAGGCACAACAGCCTTGGACAGCGGTATTACCAAGAGGCGATGTTTGACAGATGCTACGCTGATGAGCAATCTGAATTCTCACACCGTGAGCAGGGTAGATGGTAAATTTGGGGAAGAATTCGAACGAGATTGGCAACGAACGGCTGGAATATTCGATCGCTTCTTTTTTGTGATTTCTTTATCTTATTTTGTCGGATTGAATTTGTACATAATTGTTTTTCTGAACTCTTGACACTGTTACGACATAATAGTAGCGCAGGCAAGGGTCAAAGGGGTGGGGGAAATCATTTCTACCACAATTATGTAGAGAACATTATCTCCATTAGTACAAGTGAAAAGTGTAAGTAAGTATGTTGTATTAGAATTTTCCAAGGATTCCACCCTCCTAATAAAAACTTCAGCCAGCGGAGTGCAGCATTGTTCAAATATTCCTTATAATTAAAAAGAGGAAAAATATATTGTATTTCTGTAGTAAAGTGTGTTATATTTTGTTCAGATGTGTTAAAGTTATTCAATAGTTCTTCAATCTGATTTTTGTTTTCAACGTTGTCCTGGTGATATTTCAATGCATACAGATAGTGGAAAGTGTCCAGCAAAGTTTTTTGGTGTTTTTTGAAGAGTATGAGGGAATTAATAGCACTATAAAAGGTCTTTCGTTTTTCTTCATCTTTTATCGCCCATAATCATTATATTACTGCATTTTTATCGCGATTTTTAAGCAAAACATTGTTTTATAATATGGCATTAAAAAAATTAAAGTTTGGCAGTTCTCAGAACGAACAATATGAATGAACAAATTTATTTAAATGCATGGAAGTATATCAGACAGGTGTTTTTGCACGATAGTAAAAACCAAGAAAAGTTTTTACAATTTTTCTGTAAATTCTATTTTTGTGTAATTACGGTGTATACTTGGGCTGCCAATATTTTTGGTAAAGTTGAGCACCATCTGTTTATTAAGAGTGGTGCCGAGTGACGCAGTTGTTGAGTTTTATTAAACTAACAAACGGCAGAAATTGTTTTAAGGATTTTTAATTATCTGACAGTATGAAATTTATTTGAGTTATCCATCCTATATACATTCATAAATATTTTATAAAAATGCAGCAAAATTTGAACTCTTTTCAACATAAATGTATAGCAATGTCAATGATATCACGTTTTTACGATCTTTGACAATTTTTTTCGACCATGCATGCGCAGCATTCTATCAATTAAAGTCCACTATCAACCCTTGCGTGATTGTGATCTCAGCTGCTTTGTTTTAATGAGGATTTGATGTTAGTGTTAAATTAATACGATGTCACAAATTTTATTAAAAATGAACAATTTGACATTTGGATTATTAATGTTGTTTTTAACGCTATACTTTCTTAATTCAGTAACCTTCGTAAAAATAGTAGTAAGTGCACATTGATTTGGTGAAGAAACTTGAAGAATTCATTTCAGCAAAATGCTAGTGGAAAATACTCTGCTTACAACTCTTATCTTCTGGTTGCCATATAAAAGTAAACGAAATAGTCAAGTTTTCCCGTTTATCTCACTGGCATCAGTAAAGTAGTTTTAGGAAGAAAAGTTGAATGATTTATTCAATTTGTTTCTAGTATCTATGTATATTAAACTTATATAGTAGTAAGAATTTTGCTTTGACATTAGTAAATGCAGATGCTGGAAAAGACGAAAAAGCAAGACTAATTAAAGATTTGTTGCAACATTACAATCGTGATGCGAGGCCCTCTAAAAACGACTTTAGTCCCCTGAAAGTTTGGTTTTCAATGTCTTACAAACAACTGCAAGCTTTGGTGAGTATTTATACATAACTTACTTTGGAAAGTTTGATTGAAGAAGCCCACTGAATTTGAATTTTATGAGACAATACAAAGTCTTAAAGCCATGCGCAATTTTATCTTCAGGACGAGCCAAGCCAAGTCGCTAGATCCTTGATTTGGACACGCACGGTACATTATGCATTTAATTGTAAATATATCATAATACAATATCAAGTGAGCAATGTGATTGCTAATCTGTTTTTTTTTTAACATTTGACATAACAATATACAACACGAATAATCTGTTTCACTTCATTTCAAAGCCATTATAAGAGAGAATAGAATATTAATTTATACTCTGTTCCACTTTCTTTCTCAAACGAAAATCGAGATCACTTTAAAAGGCAACGTAAAAAATTTAAACTTAAACTACTTATATAAAACATGTTTTTGACACTTCTTGTTACAGTATTGGAAAGATGTCGCTTTAAAGTGGAATTCAAGCGAGTATGGAGGGTATAAGCACATTTACGTCAGCCCTTCTAAAGTATGGATACCTGACTTGACACTTTATAATAAGTAAGTCTGATGCAGATGAGATAGCCTACCTGGCTCGGCTTAGAGAATCTTCTTTACTCCAATTTACATTTGCTATTTAAAAATCTTATGATTCATAAAATAAACGTCTACAGTCCTAATCTCCATCCTGATTCTACTGCCGAGATAGTAGAACATGAATTATTTTATTAAGTTTTTCTGCCTTTTTCTCTTTCTTATAATTAAAATGAACTTCTTCTCCAGGTATATCAGACTTTTCCTCAAAATCACACGTGTCTTAGTTTCGCATGAAAATTTTGGCATTTCTGGCCTTTTCAGATATTTTTCGGCGCATGTGCATGCAGTTAGATGACGAATTCTTTTTTTATTCTAGCGCCGACGAAAATGGTGGAGTGATGTTCGACTTAAATTATCAAATCAAGATACGTTCTGACGGTTACGTCCGTTTAGTATGTCCTCTCATCTTATCATCAGTGTGTCCAATCAACATCAGATATTTTCCGTTTGATACTCAAAAATGCGAGCTGAAAATTGGCTTCTGGGCATACGACAGCGAGGATTTGGATTTACAAATGCACACCAATAACATCGATTTGAGCAACTTCGAGGCAAATTCTGTTTGGGAGTATAAATCTGTGAATGCTATACGTAACACCGTTAATTACACGTGCTGCAAATTTCCATTCCACGACATAACTTATACGTTTGAATTTCGAAGAAAACCGTCATATTACGTAACAACGATAATCATCCCGTCAATTTTGCTTTCACTTTTGTCTTGTATCTCGTTTTTATTTCCTGCAGAGTCTGGTGAAAGGGTATCACTGGTGACATCAGTTATGCTTGGTCTATTCGTGTTCATGCTTATCGTAAACGAGAGGACGCCGGTCACTTCCGACGTCACACCAATGCTGACCCAGTTTTTTAACTGCATCCAAGTCCACACGGTACTTTCACTTTTGGCAACTGCTATCATACTGCGTCTAAATCACGGTCCGTACTCTGATCCAGTGCCCCGTAATCTGGCGGTGATCCGAGATTTTATTGCACGCGTTTTGTGCGTTAAAAGTCCCAAGAATTTCTCCACAAATAGTGCAGCCGTTAATTTTGGAAATACAACGATCGCTGAGCGTCAGGTACCGGATTTTTTTCTTTCCTCTCCAATGGAATTTGGATCAAATTTAATAAAATACCAAAACACATATTTCAAATCGTAAAAAATTAAATGCTTTATGAATCAAGATGCGTTTTACTCAACCTAATTAAAATGTTACACGACAATCCCTTTCGTTTTAGATCACAAGCAATGACCTTCAACAAGTTTCTCTAGGAAGCATGATGAGCAAATGGAAACAGCTTGAAGATGATAAAATCGTACAGGAGCTTCAAAAAATTACAACGCATTTTAATGAGCAATGTCGTACGAGCGAACTCGAAGCTGATTGGCAGTTCACAATGCGAGTATTTGATCGTTTTTTCTTCCACTTTTTCCTTCTGATTTGTGTTGCATTTGTAGCCTATATTGCCTCGTTTTGATTAAATTCATTTTAATCAATCTGATCTTATAGAATTTTAAAAAATCTTTTACATTCCTCAAGTCTTTTGTTCGTTCCTAATGTTGTATCTTTTAGTCATTCTCTTCATCTAAAAAATGTCTGAAAACTTTGTGATTTTAATTGCATTTGACTGATGCTTCACTAGCATATTTCGTGCCTGCATATATCTTGTCATGTTTTTCATAAAACCATAAGACAGTGAAAGATGAGGCTCAAAACACTTGAATGCGGTTATTGCTCAGATCCGATACGACAATATACCCAGTGTTTGGAGTTACTGCAACACTCTCGGGGAAAGACAGCTGACCATCACCACTCCCTTCTGAGCCAATAGTTTTCACCAGCTTCCCATCCAGCGTCAAAATCTGTAATCGATGATTGCCCATATCAGCGACAACCAAATGACCACAGACGTCAATGGCTAAACCTCTGGGATGAGTGAATTGAAGTTCACGACTTCCCTGCGTGCCCATCTTCCTTCTAAAGCGACCGCTTTTATCAAAGAACTGTAAACGATGGTTCTTCGAATCGGCCACAATAATATTACTGCTTTCTTTATGCACAAGAACATAGCAAGGTGAATTAAACTGACCATTCTTCTCACCAAATAAACCAAACTTTAAAAGAAATTTTCCATCTGGATTAAAAATCTGTATTCTGTGATTTTCCATGTCTGCGACTAGTATCTGATTAGCTTCATTTACGGCAACACCCCAAGGAGATTTGAACTGCCCGTTCCCCCCTCCCTCGCGGCCAAACTTTCCAATGAACCCACCGCTCTGTGTAAGAATCTGAATGCGATTGTTGCCATTGTCGCATACGATCACGCGGTCAGCAGAATCCACGACGACATCAGTAGGACAATTAAACTCACCTAGGAAAAAATTTCATACAGGTTGATTTTTGTAAAAGCCGCTGACAGTAACGTTTACAAACCTTTTCTTTCTCCATGTCCTCCGAAAAAGTTCACGAATTCTCCTTTAGTCCCGAACACTTGCACTCTGTGATTATAGCTGTCTGCAACATAAATATGACCGTGCTGGTCGCACGCTACACCGAAGGGAGACTTGAATTCCTTTTTTTTACTCCCGTATTGACCAAATCTCATCAGGGTAGAGCCAACCTCGTTGTACTCGCGTCTATTTATCACGAGGACGTTAAAAGGGCTGTCTTTGATTGGCTTGTCTTGTATTGTCACTGATATCTCGTGTTTTCCGTTAATCTCTGGAGTGTAGCTGATAAAGTATGTCCCGTTGTCTGCGGAGCAAATGTCATAATTGAATCCAAGAATTGACAAAACAATGTTTTGGTTTGAGCTCAAGATTTTCAATTATGAAAAATAGTTTCTTACACAACATTAGTGCTCTTTGGTGCACAACAACAAGCTTCAGGAAAACTATAATGGCTGTGGATGTTATTTATAAGTATTATGTTATATATTTCATTCATACCTTGGTCGACTACTTTGCATTTCAAGAAAGCGCCATCAGATTGTCTTATGACAACGTTTAGTTTGTCACCCCCTTCGCTTCTGTTTCCATGGCGATCTTTCGTGATCACCTGAAAATTTGCCTCCACCTTGACTCTACCAGTAAATATCCCATCACCCACAGCAAAGGATAAAGACGCGAACGTGCTGCTGGCATTAATGAAACCCAGGGACTGGGTGATAGTGCGATGGTAGTCTGGGTCTGCAGTATACTGGATTGTGTCATCTTCTTCAGGATCTAACTTCACCTTTAAAAAGACAGCATGGAATGATTATTAAAATGAGATTAATATATTAGAAATTGCATTAGACTGAATCAGAAATTTCATATGGTCTTTTATGCTGAAGGAAGGCAGGCAAAAAATCATATTATGTGTTTTACTGACGTATTCTTGCATATTAAAGTGCTAAAGAGCAGCAGTTTATCAAAACAAAAATTGGATAATGATACAAAATGATTTGAGTACCATCTACTGTCAACAATCTGGTTTTGCTATGACCAATACCATACTTCAAATGCAAAAAATCAATTAAAACAATTTCTCGATACCTTAATGTCGCAGAGATTTTTCAATTTATTTTTGATGGTCAAAATCTCCACTTCGTTTTCATATTTGATGACATTTTCTGCAAACTGACAACAGCCCGAGATCTTTCCAAGCTCCAACTCCAGACCGTCCTTTTGAAGACCCAGCACCTTTTGTTTGCGATCATAAATTAGATCAAGCTTTTTCAACAACCCGTTCTCTGCCTCTTTTAAAGCTGCAGCGCGATCTTCAAAGTTTCGTCTTATCTCTTCCACGATGGTGGCTCGACATTCTGACAGCTTTGCGGACATTTCATTCACAAGTTCCAGTGCATTCTTCAGCTCGGGGATTTTCCCCTTGGTTTTCACGAGAAGCTTGGATATTTCCTCCTTTTGTTCAGGCAACGCCTCTTTTGGATACACATATCTATACGAAAAGATATCAAGACTTATAAATCATTTCTTTTCAGAACCATGTATGATACACGACAGCATACCTGTGGTCTCGATGCTCCAAGATTGTACACACTCGACATACGGTCATGTCACACGTGATACAGTAATACTTAATGACGTTTCGAGTATGCGTCTTACAAAAGCTGATGCTGTAACGATCCAGTTCTTGCTTATTGTAGTCCGTCTCTAATGCGATCACCCTGTGGTCCAACGTAGCGCGGGCTCGTTTGTGATCGGCAACGCATGAACCACATAAAACTTTCGAGCAGTCAACACACTTAGATGTCGCCGCGTCAGCAAATTCGTGATCGTGGCACGACTCGCATTTCCTCTCCACTTTTAGCATCTCGAGTGCATCTCCATCGAGAGACAAATAATCGAGTATATTATTTACAAAGAAATTAGTGGGAAGATGTTGGACGCCTTCACGAGGGATCTCAGTCTCATGTCGGCACGAGGGACATCTTATATACGGAGATGCGCAGTTGTTGATGATACGTTGTAAACACTTCAGGCAGAAAGTATGATGACAGTCGAGTAATTTTGGCTCGCTGTACTTCTCCATGCACACGGCGCAAAGAAGTTGTTCGTTCAACTGTTCCAAAACGTAAATAGCCTTTTCTTCGTTTGTCGACGACATTGTTGACATTGATGATGATGGCTGATTGTGGTTCTTCGTATATCTTGATCAAGCGTTGGTCATACTATTTTGTCGAACAAGCTTCCTTGTATTCTGAAAACTGAGAAAAGAGTTGATCTTTTAGAAAGGACAGAAAACCAACTGAACTATTTGCTCTACGTAAGTTAGTCTTGTTTAAAGGCTTCTTCAAATCATTCCACTGTTAGTTTTCAAACCTGAGAAAATGCAACAAATTGTTCCATTCAAATTAAAAACACCAGGATGTAACTAAATCCTGCTTTCTTCCTCTAACAGTCGTCAGTGAACACGTCAAAAAACTTCAGTTTTACCAATTCAACATTTACAGATTACTCCAAATATACGTTTGATTTGTTAAAGAGATAATGGTGGACAACAGGTGAGATTCATTCTTATTTTCAAAACTAGCAAAACAAAGCCTTGTACAAAACCACCAGAAAAGAACCTGTTTTATGAACGATATAGCTCTTGAAAGTTCAAAGATAAATGTTGATGGTTGTTGTGTTGAAATAGAATGCGAGTGCAATTTGCGTTCAAAATCTCTGTGAATCGGATCATGACGCGAAGACAGTCGAAGATCTGAGATGGATCCACACTTCAATCAACAAGAATCAGGTGATCAATTATCAATAATTGATCGCTTGAGCGAGCGTGCTTAAAGAACAGCCACACCTGCAATGAAGAACCTTATCCAATTCAAGTCCCCTACATGTTATATGAATGATATATTATAGAAGCACAAATATGGCCTTACTTCATCTCCTCCTGCTGTCATCCGTTTATTTCATTCAAATATGGCAATCACAAGCGAAAGTCGTGAAAGAGTTTGCCTCCGAGGAGGAACTGAAACAAGATTTATCCAACGTCGAAGTTGCTATGGTCGACTTTTTTGCATCATGGTATTGATATTCCTTCATAGGGAATCAGTTTTGTGTCGTAAGGAGCAAAAGCTAAATGTGCAAGTAATTTACAAATCCTGATGTTCTTCCTTATCTAGGTGTCCGCACTGTGTAAATTTTGCTCCCATCTTCGAGAAAGCAGCGGAACGCATTTCCACTAATGGTAATTTAAAAGAGAAAGTACACATGATAAAGGTAACTTGGAACTAGATATTTCGGTACTTATAATGGCAGACGTATGTTTCTTGTTTTTGTTTGCTCTGTTGAATGAAAGCTTTATTTACCAAAGCTGGTATCGTCATCAAAAGCTGGTTTCCACGAAGGCGTGTGTGTAAAATGTAAAATATAATTTTTGTAAATCTAAAGATAAATGGAATATGAAAAAACGATGATAATGAGTTGTATGTACAAAACAAGTAAAAAGATGGGTAACAAATTACAACCCGTTTACACTGTTACAAATCCTCTACTAAAACAGAAGTTTATCAACGGGAACGAATCGAGGTTTTAACTGTTATTAAAGTATGTAAAGTGAACTTAGTGAAGATCTTTGATTTTTAGATCCAATGCGACATGGGCTATAAAGGAGAAAGCAATCCTATATGTACAGCACATGGCATTCAGGGATACCCAACTATTTATGTTTTTAAAAGAGGAAAGAAATTCGATCAATACAAAGGAGAAAGAACTCCAGGTTAGTAGCTAAGGTTGAACGTCACTAGAAGGCAGCCTTCTCAATAATTCTATTGCCTGCCACCCAACAGAGGCTATCGTCAAGTACATCGAAGAAATCGCGAATAACGGAAAAGCGAAATTCATCGGTACACAAATCAAGGACACGCAAGTGTGCATGGCGAAAGATTTCATGAAATATGTCTTACAAAAATCGTGAAAAAACGAAGAATGACGGTCACACGAAAATACACTAATCAAGTTCAGAAGTGTTGCTTAAATTCAACTTAAAATCTGTGTCAGTTTCAGTGCACGCCATTTTACTTAACACAATGAGATAAAGAGAAGATATCCTATGATTTGTATACGGAAAAGATCAGTTTTATAGATGGAAGCACAAGTGCAAGCACAATAAATGGGGAACTGGGAAATAAAGTAATTTTTAATGAATGTTTTATTTTTTGTGTTTTATTAAGTTCTGAGAGTTCACTATAAAGATGATGGCTTAAAACCTAAAATTTGTAAATGTGAATATTTCAATGCAATAGCTACGGAAAAGAATGGAATGGCGAAATAGCTTAGCTACAATATCTATATATAATGCAAATTGTATGACGTTCACAAGAATAGGAAAAGGCCAACAGAACAACCCAGAGCAGTCGTATCATTTTATAAATATGAATCTGGCATCATGATGCTTTGTACGGAATTTTATAAAAGAATTGTAAGTGATGCCTTGAGCAAATTCGCCATTTGCGCTCTTCCAATATGAAGACAAACCTTAACTAACTGTTCACAACAGGAATATAAAGATTTCCATACTAAGTCCACTAAAAACTAGCATGTTTAATGTTCGTCAATGATGACATAATTTATACTAAATTGTTTTGTGAAGTTTTGAACGAAGATGCACTTGGGACTTGAAAGATAAAGCCTAACTTAGCTTTAATGAAAAAACTGTCGGTATAAGAATAATTTCATGCCTGCAAAATCACAAGATCACACAAAACTTGCTTTTAAGTATTTTATATAGAGTAGTACAGTAAAGGTATTGTGTATGTTGACATCCAAATTCTATAAAATTTATTATTTAAGTAGGATAATACACACAAATTGCTAAATTGCTTTACAATTTGTCCAGATACTTATCCAATGAAGGGATCCCTTCACTCAAACCTTTTCTCTTTCTTGTTTCTGCTACAACCTTACCAGGTCTCGAACTTGGATCCCCAATATCCCCGGGCAAAGTCTGCCAGTGATCAAACACGCATTGCGGGAAGGCCTGGCCACCAGTGTTCGAACGAAGGTCGGCAGTAAATCCTGAAATAGTAAAAAACATGATTATAACATATCACTGATTCTTAATCTAACACAGGTAGGTCGAACGCCACACTTCTTATGTACGTAACATAAGAAGTAAAATTTTTAGAGTTTGTCAAATATGTTCTGTAACCGATATATGTGAATGAATAACAAAATATTCACTTATCAGAAGTAGGTACTGGCTAAGCTAATGACCATTATATATGTATCTACATATTAAATGTTCACGTGCATCTGTTTACGAATAAGTATGTCCGTTGTGTGTGAATTTTTGCCCCCCACACCATAATACTGCAGTTAAAACTCTGTAAAATCATAACTCACCAAACGACTCGTTGACAGGTAGGTATGACTTTACAACAAACATAGGAGTGCCAGCAACTTGATTTTCTTCGAATACATGACCGCGGCGCCTATTCAACACGCCATAAATTCCACCCACAGCATTTTCAGGACACTAAAATATCAGGAAATAAGGCCAAATTCAAAAAGTTTGCAAAAAGTAGATCGTGCACTCAAGATCGTAGTGTATTATCAAGGAATGCAATAACACCCCTCAAGTCGATAACAATAATGAATACGGAAATTCAAACCTGAATCTCGCACAAGTACACGGGCTCAAGAAGACCCGGTGAAGCAGTCAATACGCACGCATAAATGCAACGTCTGGCCGTGGGCATGATCTGACCAGCACCGCGATGAATAGCGTCAGCATGAAGAGTAACGTCATGAATATTAAATCGTACACCACGCAAATTCTCTTCGCACAGAGGTCCTTCCTTTGAGGCCCACTGGAAACCGCCAATCACACTGTCCTTGATCTCGTTCAAGTACTGTACTCCCTTGGAGACGTCGATGACCATGTTGGGACCACTGGTCTCGGGACCAAAGCACCAGATCTTACGGGCTTCGGAAAGGTCAAAATCGTACTTCTCAGCCAAATATCGCGCGCGAGCCTTCATATCCTGAGTTGGGTAAACATCGCCTGGTTGACACAAAAGACCGAAGAAAACATTACGTAATTCTCAATTTTGCAAATACAATATCAACAACGAATTTTATCAAAGTTAATATGGTTAAAGTTGCATCGAGAAAAATAATTCTCACAAGCAATGGGCACCACTTCCTACGTTTATGACAAAGATAAACTTTATCAAATATCGCATTCAGCGTACAAACAATGACAGGAATTCAAACTGAGTCCAGAAAAAGTTGCAAGAGCGTTAACGAACGATTTCAAAATATACTTTTCCAACAAAAAAAACACGCAGAACACGAACCTTTGTCAATATCTTCTGGAAGACCATCAGGCAACGGTGCAGCTTTCATAAACAATCTGTTGTGTTTGTTGGGAGATTTTGATAAACAAACTTGGCTTGATTCAGCCGTCACAGTCTCACGATACGAGACAACAGGGTCGGACTTCTTCAATGGAATACCAGCATGATCTTCTTCCAAATCTTTTAAACAAATCTCAAGATGCAATTCACCAGCCCCAGCAACAATATGTTCTCCGCTTTCCTCAATTAGGCACTGCAAAAGATTGGGCAGATAAACTTCCGCCAAATTTTCACCTTACTATCGTTATGTTTTAAAAATCAAAGTACTTTTCACCTTGCTCAAGGAGTATATTTAATTGAACACAATTTAGAATATCAGGTTAAACAAGGTTTTTTCTTGAACAAGCAATGACAATAGTGCATCAAGTGACCACACATTTTGAAGGGGTTTGCTACCCCACACATGAAAGGAACATTTCAATGGACAATTTTGTCATAAATAACAAGCCTATGACAATCAAACACTTATAAACTAACATAACCAACATATCCAGTAATTGGTGTACAATTAATTTTACAAAACGACTACATTACGAATTTCTAACTGTCAACAAGTGTATATGTATGTAACATACTTGGACCATAGGATCAGATTTCGCCAATCTTTTCAAACCCTCAACAAGTTTGGGCAATTCAGCAGGATTCTTAGGTTCAACAGCAACACGGACAACAGGAGATACGCTGAACTTCATCACCTAATGGCAACAAGTATCAATGTTTGTTTCAATAAACACTATACATACGTACAACCAACATTGTCCAATTATGAAGACTCCATGATGTCACTATTCATTTATCGTTCAATATGCACATTGCATTTACATTTTAGTCACAAAAAATTCCTTTGAGTCATAATAGTGATAATATATCCCAGTAACTAGATACCATGGTCACTCTATACATCATATAAATTCCCCATATCAGTGTGTGAATTAACGGTGTGCAATGTGCAATTTGCACATCGTTTTAGCTAAAATGAAAACCATTGCACGTCACTTTTTCAAAACGATGTGCAAAAATCGGCAGTTCTAACGAAAAACACTGTCGTAAATCATATGAATTTGTTCACGTTTAAAAATATTAATTTATCAATTAGCGCTATATAATAATTAACGTAATATCGATTTGATTATGCCTGTAAAGAAACACTTTTGTCAAAAAAATTGCACATCGTTTTTTCTGAACTAATTCGCACACTGCCCCATATGTATATCAGTCAGGGAAATTCAGTGGGCTAACCTCCCCATACCTTTAAATTGTGGGCATTTTCATATGTTGTGATCGTACCAGTCTTCACCAAGTATTGATCAACACCAACAAGGCCAACAATGTTGCCACATGGTACATCTTCAATGGGCTCAATATATCGACCCATCATCAAGATTGTTCTAAAGATGTAGAGACAAGCATTTGTCAACTCAATATTACTTCATCAATGCCATCATTGCTATTAAATCAACAAAGACAGAAGTTTCTGTCATGCAAAATTTTGATGCAAATGAATAGTACGTACGTATGTGATAAAGAATTTGTCATCTTACCGCTGAATGGGCTTGTTGTACAAATCTTCTTTCTTTCCAGGCACATAGTTTGGTCCCATGATGCGCACCTTTTGTCCTGTCGACACAATACCAGAGAAGACTCGACCAAAGGCATAAAAACGACCTTTGTCATTGGTTGGCACCATTTTTGACACATACATACATAGTGGTGCCTAAAAAAACAAAGAAAAATATTTCATTACATTAAAACGAAAATTTGTGCTGAAATTCGTAGAACGTTGCATATGAATGTTGATGGAGTCCATAGGTAGACTGAAAAGAGATGGACGGATGCTGAACAGTGATATGAAGGCGATGGGTATAACAAGAGATATGGCGAGATATTTCATTAATTAATACTGGCCGGTATACAAATGTTGTTTGTTTGTTGTTTGTTAAAAAACAAGTTGAACCCACTACAATGCATCAAAAAATGTGCAATTGTTTCTCACCTTGGGATCGCAGTTCTTGATGCCAAGGGCAACAGGATCATCGTGAGGTCCTTCATACAACATTTCCATACGATACTTCTGTGCGGTAATAGGTGAAGGCAAGTGAATTGTGATCATCTGAAGCAATGCTTCACCAGCTTGCAGCCATGTTCTCATCACAGCTTTCAACAATGGTTTGCCCTCTTTATCCTACCGATGCAATAAACATAGAACATGCAACTCTTCAAAACTTCAACAATGAAATGAATCATATGCGAAAATCCCACACAATCAAACCTTGTCATCGCCTCCTAATTTCACATTCAACTTCTCCAGAAGTTTTGTGGTCTCTTCCTTTTTGAAATTCATAATTGCATCAAACACCTAAACAATTTGATCAAGTTATTACAAGTGACTTGTCATAACGGCGAGCGAAAAACAAGAAGCGTAAAAACCTTGTATATTGGATCCAAGATAAACTGATTGAAACCACGTACATATCCTTCAGAATAAGACTTGGACCATTTTCTGTCCTTGGCATTGTAGAATTGATCTCCCCAGAGACGCTTCATTAGTTTTGCTGGTTCTATCTTGAACTTGGCAGAATAAAACTCAGCAAACTGCTTCATAGTGAAAGCCCAGCCATGAAGACCTGATCCAAAACCAACAGTTCCTTTGGTTGGATCAACCTTCAACGAAAAAAAAAATTCATATTCCTCCCGCATTCCTCAACATATACGTAACATCTCTAAGTGATTGGTTATTTTTATACCTGGATATTTCCCATTGGTCCATCCTCTGTACTGTAAGTTGCAATGATGACATTGACACTTTCAACAATACGCTGGAAGGTCTGGTAAAGATCTTCTTGTTCCAACTGCAACTCAAGCAGGGCACGGTCCATTTTATTCATAAACAAGACTGGCTTGATTCTTTCTGCAATAGCCTGACGCAGCACAGTCTCCGTCTGAACACACACACCTTCGAAAGTATGAAATTTGTTCTTAGTTTTATCATGAATCAAGTTTCAAAGATACATTTTCAAGTTCAAATCTACATACCACTGACACAATCCACAACAACCAAAGCACCATCAGTGACACGAAGTGCGGCTGTTACCTCAGATGAGAAATCAACATGACCTGGAGAATCGATGAGGTTGATCAAGAAGCCATTACCATCCTTTTCTTGTTCAATATAATCCATGTCCTTTTCACTTAGCTCATAGTACATGGAGATGGCCCTGTGATAAAAACCATCTGGTGAGCTTATGCTCTACAATCACATTTTACACATCCATGATAAACCTGTACTTACGTGGATTTAATTGTGATGCAACGTTCTTGTTCATCTTTACGTGTATCAGTGAACCTAGCTTCACCAGCTTTCTGAGATGCTATGATACCAGCCTTACTGACAAGAGAGTCAGTCAATGTTGATTTGCCATGATCCACATGAGCAATGACAGACATGTTTCTGATGTTGGCTTTCTTGTCCATAATTGAACGGATCTGAAGGGACACAGTCAATTGATTAGGGAAAAGTTCATTCCCAGAGATCAAATGCAAAGTGCATAGCTGCACTGTATAAATAAGGGTTGACTGAAAGGCTGAGATTTATATTTTATAATATAAATTTTTGACACTCATTGAATCTTTTAAAGAGATATTTTTACGAGTTGCTGATATATGAGATAAAACCCCTAAATATTTCTAAGGCACAAAGTTTTGTTACTCATGTATATTATACTCATAAGTTATACTATGAATAATATTCAATGGCAAATACAGATTTAAAAATTGTTATGCAAAAATCTGCTCACCTGGTCAACTGTAAAGTTCACCTATAAAAGAAAAGAAAATGCTGTAACGCATTGCCGGCAATGACATGATTTTTAATAGTGGATTATTAAAATGCTATAACAAACAAAATATACTCCACAGAAATATTCGAGTTTATAACGTATTTATAGAAAAATTAACCACTAAAACTTGTAAAATCAAACATAACACATGAATAATGCCAGATGGCAATAGATTGGGCAATGATGTCAAACTTTACCATTTTTTATCTTGGTTTAGTTGGCCGCCTTTATAATTACAAAGTGCCTAAGACGGCTAGGAATTGAAGAGAACACTCAAATGTCCAGCCGCACATAAAATCCGGAAGAATGGTGCCGAGAGTATTGTCATGCATCTCCCACGTTGACAGTTCGCAAAATCGACATGCATCTCATCTTAATCTTTGTCTCCCGGACACGACGCAATATGTCAGTCATATTCACGGAATAACAACAAACGATGAAAAAATAGGCAACACAAATGTTAGTTGCTTTTTTCCATTTATTTGGGATAAAAACTTGACACTATGAAAGTTATACAATGATACTGAAGTGTAAATAACCTAAGCAATCATACTGGTAAATCCACGGTTTACATATAGTTAAAACCGAAGCATTGAACGATATTAGGTACATCCTTATGGTTACCACCACATCAAAAGTGTGGAATTTTCTTCATTTAGAATTACTTACCATAATTACAAGGAAAAAAAATAAAATGTATTGCAACTAATTAAATCGATTATTACAAGTGAAAGAATACTATGTTATAAATATAATATTGCTCACTGTTTTAACTGATACACCAACGTCAAATCGGACGACGTCACATATCAAATGGTCGCTAATATCGAAGTTTTAGATTCCAGTAACAGACCCAAGCCAGGCGGCAAAGCTCTGAAAGGTCTTTGATGACACAACCCCTTCCTTGTAACTTTGAAACACAACAGCTATTGGAATGATTAAAAGGGCTAGTAATAACAACACAAACAATAAAGTAAGACCAGCTCTGTTCCCGCTTTCAGGATTTGGAGTTTCGATCATTGCATCAACATCCTTTACTGTGCCATTCTTCCCATTCACTTGTGTATCCACTTCATCAATGTCATGCACCGAAGTACTATGATCATCATGCGGTACTTCTGGAATATGCTCAGTTTCAAACTCTTTAACGGATCAGGAGCCGGTGTGGTGTTACTTGGGCTCTCAGCACTAGGAACAGTTTCTACACTACTGCTATTTTCTGGGGTCTCAGGTGCCTTCTTCACTAGGTCCTGTTTACTTGCAATTCGAATGCTAGGCGTCCTTATAAAAAGACAAAGGACATGATGAGTAAGAATAACGTAAAAATAATGTAGTGTGATTATCACATATTTGCAGATGTAAATCGTCCAGGCTGGTTGAGTACTGAGAAGGACTGTTGGTGTTGATGTTGACTGACGTTTCGTTAATCTTAGCGGTTTTCATCATCGAAGACAAGAGAGAGTCATGCAACGATAGTTCCGGGTTGAAACCAATCGTTTTAGTAGTGTGATTTTACTACTTTACAGTCAATCAAAAGCGTGAAACCCGCGCAAAGTGTCGAAGATCATGATTAAACATCTGATAAACACAAAATTACCTTTTTATTTCGGTGCTGATACGCTGTATGCTAAGACTTTCCTTAATCACTTGATCTTGGGTAGGACCACTGTAATCACAATAACAAAACAGAAATATTTCACGTATAGTTCATATTCTGTGAGAGGTACATAAAAAGAGTGCGGCACAGTTTATCATAAATGGTGGAGTGATGCTCGATACCAAAAAGAAATCTAATCATTGTCCAACAGTTTTCCCATTTGTCCATTACCCAATTTTAGATGATAGAGCCATCATGCTGTTCAAAAATAGATTAACAATATCCTGAGATGATGTTCAACGTGCTGTTGCGTATTCTCTGCCGTGTCGAAATTCTTAAACTTTTGACATAAATTACAATCGAAACACATGTTTTGTTGATCGTCATAAAAAGATGTGTGAGTAAATTATTCAAAGTACCATGCTTCAGACAGAATTCGAAGAAATCTACCATTGAAAAATTTTTCCAATGTTTTTGTTTAAGCCCACCCACGTATTTTAAAGATAATTCCAGTTTCCCCACACTTTTACTGACATGGAATTACATCGTATGGTTTGCGCAAAGATGATTCTTTACCTATACTGATACTTTGAATGACGTTTGAACAATCTTTGAGGAGAAAGACCAGAAGATCGATGGACTTTTCCTGGTTTAACTTCATTTCTACAAAAAAAGCACATAGAATCGTTAACGATAGCAACGCAAGAATCTACGCATTTCCATGTTGAAACATTTTAAACTTTCCGCTACGTTCTCATGATTTGTCAGCCAAACAAAACAAGACTGTTTTTATTTCATTATTGACGACTATTTGCAATACAAGATTACAGTGCAAGTAAATATGGGACATAGAGGGTTTACCTATAAAATGTGTGATGCTCAATTGCACATTTCCATAAATGTTTGCAGGCTCCGTGATCGGGAAGACGAAATCCGTAACTCCCTTTACCCTAAAAAAGAACAAAAAGGTTAGTCAAAAGTTTCCTGCTTTACGTGAACACAAATTGTTCAAATCGTACCTCTTCTTTTAGAATTTGAACGTAAAAAACCTTGCTATCGTAAGAGACTTTCAACACATCCACCCTAAAAAGAAATCACACATGCTTGTAACTAAAGACGAATTTTGGAGACCAGAGTTGTTCAAAAATGTTTATCTATTCTTTCAGATTTTAAATCAACCAAAAGCTATGTTCTGCTTTAATAAAACAAACTTTGTATATTCACTATCATCACAATTGAAATATAGTCGCACGGTTAATAATGAAAAAGTCCCTATTCATTTTTCATAACGGTATGATAAAGATTAGCGTCGAATTAACAAATTACAAAAAAAATGAACATGAAAAAGGAGAAAGAAGAAGGAGAACAAATTGTTAAAATTTAGAATTCGAGCCAAAATCCGCCCTTAATTACACCAGGTTTTTTACATACCATGGAAAACCAGAAACTTTCTTTGCTTCACGTATAATGGCAATTCCTTCCGGTGTAAGACCCAAGTATAACTGTACTCCTTCTTGATCCTGAAATTATACATAAATGTCGATGAATTGACGTGAACATTTTGAGCACGCGACACATGTGCAAGTTGCAATGAATACCAATGTCAGTAAGACAAAAAATTTTTCTTTGATACCTTGCAAGGATGGGGATCCACGCCGTACATTTCTAATAGTTTCACTTTCTCAAGAAATTCTTTCTCACAATCTGCTGGTGTTTTGCCACTGCAAAAAGAGTAAGAGCTGTGGTCTTAATTTGCTATGTAGAAAGGTCAACAGAGCCAATAGACACTGTAAACAAACTAGTAAAGTTTACTGGTACAAAAACAGTGAATTTATCTAACCTGAGAAGTTTATGATTTTCACCAATTTTTTCTTCCAGCTTTTCATTCTAGAAATGTACAATTTCAAAAAATTGCACGAAATACAGCATAGGACAAAGGAAATCAAAAAATATCTACAATGATCAAACCTGCTTTGGTACAACACGAACATCTGATAAATATCCTTCCCCATGTTCGACTGGATCATAATCTCCCAGCTCATCTGAAACATGTTTGCGATAAAACTATGTGAGTTAAGGATGGTTTGGAACATTGCTTCCAACAAGGCATGCAGATTACCTTGAACTATATAACCTCCAAGATCAGCTAGATCATTAAAGGAACAAAGTAACCTACAAAAACATGAAATGATATCATAATGGATTTCAAAACTGTATTCTTATTTCCAATGAGATGATGTAAAAATGAACCACTATTTAAGAAAAGAGAAACATGAGTTCCAATTTCTGTTCCTTGCAGAGCATTGCTCACAGGTTAAATTGCTCAGTTTGAAACAGGAAATACTGGCATGTAATTATATTATTGACCTGCCATGGAGTATATCACGTTTTACTTGAACAAAAAGATGATATCTTGTTATTTCTTCCACAAGTTTTCCAGGATCTTGTGGGTAGAATTTTACACGGAAAAAAAGGGTGTATGGTGGTTTTGCTGAAAAAAAACCAACAAAATCTTTTAATTAATCACAAATACTTGAAAATAACAAGCTCATTCTACATTCTAAAAATTTTCTATTTTTTACTCCACATGTCCATAACCATTGGTGACTGGATTCCCCATAAACCAAAAGAAACACCAATCTTTCAATTTTACACCACTAACTGCTTGCAAATAATAAACTTGACAAACTAAAGAGGTTTATAAATTTGCCTTACATTTCATTTGTTTAATGAGATTTTTGTTGAAATCCAACCAATGCTGAAACAGAAGAAAATACATGTTGAAAGGATAGAGAGTTGAAAATTATAAAGATCCCATTTCAACGCACTCTTTGTTTGTCAGCATCCACATATCTTAAGCCAAAATAGTCTTTCTCCAATAGATCAAGTTCTTTGCAACACTGATCAAATACCACTTGACCAGTGGAGTCTTTCTATGAAGTAATATAAACATAACCATCACTGGAATTTAATTAATTTACTACACGCTTGTTTAAAAATATTGATTAAATGTTTTTGTGGGTTTTTTGAAAACAATATCTCAAACATGAACAGTTTCTAAAACTTAAACAAAAAACATATAGTCTTTATAAAGACAGTTATGCAATTTGCATGAAAAAGAAAACTTAATTTAAGTTGTGTAGTGATAAATCTTTGCAAGGCAAATAATGGCAGTTAGGTAAAGAAACTGATTAAATAAAACTTGATGGATGCATCCATCCAATAGCCAACTAAAGACAGATGTCCATGTTCTTCAACAATCTTATATTTATTAAAAGCCTACTTAAGGAGGACAACATAACCCATTCATAGAAAATGCTTAATTGTTTATTAAAAATACTTACAAATTTTACACTCAGATTTCATTTATAAAAAGGCTTAAACACTTGTCTAACCAGCAGGATTTAATTTTACTTCATTTTAAAAAGCCAGGATCCCAAGCTTTTGTGAAATAATATAGGATTTTATCTATAGGTAAGTTAAAATTCTATCAGACGACGTACAACGGAAGATTATTATTAATCCTTTCTAGAAGTAAAACACATGACATACAATATATTTGAGCACTTAGACGGTTGAATTGGATGACGAACTTGAAAGTAAAAATGAAAACAATAAAAAAGTTTTGCAGGAAAAATTCGATGACTAAGGACTTATTACGTTTCCCCCTCTGCATTCAGATTTCGTTTATAATTAACACCTGACTAGCTAGCAGTTAGCAGTTCGACTAACAAAATCTAAATTGTTGTAATTTTTTAGCAAAAAAATTTTTACTTCAACGACTCTACAGTAATTTGCAGGGTCTTGAAGATCGAAGTACTTTTGAAGAGGAAATACTTTCGTCGCTGTGATAATCCGGTACACGACACGAAGTAAACAAGCCAACAAGGCTTAAAAAAAAGTTAATATGATTTCCTCATCGCTTTCTACAATAACAATAAGTTGAAGAGGCCGAGAAGCGTAGATGATGAATGGAATCGAAGGCATTTTATCACGATAACTCGAGGCAGAAGTTGCATAAATATTCATTCTATATTTATAACAACATGACAGATTTTTTATGTTAAGATTTTAGCATATAAAGAGGGATAGAGCAATAAAAGTTGATCGAAATACAACGAACGCATTTATGATAAGTTATTATCGCTCACAATAACCATTCTCATTGAAATTTTCAAATCATTAAATGCCACGAATACGCCCGCCAACTTAATAAACTTTTTCTGTTTTTCATTCTCACCGATATAACACTGCTCAATAAAAGCGAGCAATGCATGAAAAATACCTTGAATTCGCACGTTATTTCTGAATCATCCAGCAATCTGATCTTGCAGTAACAATCAGCTGCAATAACTCCTTTACTTCCTACACGTTTCATCTCGAAATCTTTTCGGAAAATCGTGAATTCATCGACTTTATTACGTTTTATGTCTTCTACCACCACAACAGTTGGAACTTGTTTGTGACGTAACAAATTGGCTGTGACATTCCTCGCCCCCTGAATATATTGCCGAGGTTACACAAAAATTTTTGAATACCAATGACCGATTACACGTAGGAAATTCAATTTCCCTCTCGAGAAGTCCGTCCTTTTATTACCAGTTTTTACTTATTTGGGAAATGTATTGAACAATTTATAAAATGCTCAAGTTATCGACTGGCTGTATTATTGAGATTTTACCGATATTGCACCAATACATTCTGTTATTGCGACATCGTACAAACAAGTACATCAAAGGGTACTCTCTGTTGGGTACACCATTCTTCGATGAAAACATGCATAAATGATGGCCGACATTTTGATTTCTCAAAAATTCAACCCTTACACACAAAAAACACAATGCAAAAGCAATTCGCATGCTTAAAATCATGATGTCAAAAGTCAATCACTATTTACAACACATATTGTTCAGAACTCTAGGCAGACAGTTCAAGTTATAAAAAAAGACTGTTATATTCTATCACATACTACTAAAATGCTTAGATATTAGAAATATAGTAAAGGATTCAATTATTACTGACTTAAAAGTGTCAGGCAGTTATCACCATTGGCCAGCAATTTTAAACAGTTGGTCAGATCTGAGGCAAGATGCTTGGCTTATCTTCAACAATTTATGGCTTGCATATTTATTTGAAACCGCATTAAGCTTTGTGTCTTTGTGATTTGCTTTTATGACAAGTTGTGCTATCCGGCAAGCACAAGGCTTTAGCTCCTTTTCTGAGTAATGGCTGTAGTATTCTAATGTGGCATCCTAAATTTGGGAAAAAGACATGAGAAAATATGATTTAGTAATAAACAGCTGCTTAAAGTTGGGAACATGGCTATACTTCTAGTTTTGTTGATGCTTACCCAGTCTCGTTGATAAAGTAGTTTCAAAGCAAGCCATAACGCACTGGCTGCACGATTAGAAGGAGTAAATTTTACACATTGGTAATCAACTAACATTAGTTCCATGAAATATTTTGCCATGGTGTGCGACTCAGGAGTGGCCTAAATTGCAATAAACTGTTAATAAAAGTACTGTGATCAAGAAGATTTCATGATACAATAATGTGTTGCAAAAACATATCTTTAGGGTCTTACAATACACTCACAGAAAACTTACACAAGCTGCTTTTGAGTTTCTTCTCAAAAAGTGCAGACACAAGGGATCACCCAACTGATAACCAAGAGTGTTGCACATTTGACCTTCGGTTTCTCTTATGGTCTGTTTGTCATAAGCCTGATCTGTGATGTAAACAAAATCGGCAATTTCTGGAGCATACATTTCTTCAAACTTTGAAGCCAAAAGCATAGCAGTGACACCCACCAATTGGAGCTCACTTCGAGGCACAGAGACTTTCTAAAACCATAATGAATAACCCTAACAGTAAGGAGGTTTTCACTTGCCAAACTTTCTATGTGTGAACTGACAAGGACACTTACAGCCAAATATCTGTCAATGTACGAGACAGTAAGATAAAGGGTTTCTTGAAGTAAGCGGAATTTTTCATGGACTTGTACGAGCCAATCAACAAGAATTGATCTCATCCTCTCATTCACATGTTTTTGAGTCTTCATGTAGTCAGGGACAATAAATTGCTTCTACATGAAGAAATAACACATATTTATTGAAACAGGTACTGGAAACATCTTCAAACTCAAAAAAACATCTCATCATGTTTCAAGAAACAAATGCATTCAACTTATGAAAAACTGTACATGCCATTAGGCTCTATCATGTTAAATTTAAACAAACAATTGTATTATTGTGTCTGCAAGCACAAAAAATTGAGCTAAGACACAATCAAAGTATTTATTAACCTCATATGACAGCAGGTAATGGTAGATTTCATTGGCATATTCAGCACAAAGTTGTGGGTTCTCATAATCATTGGCATCAATATCCATGATGTTACAGTTTTCCAATGCTTTGGACACTTCATCAACAGCATTTTCCATGTCTAATGGCTGGAAAATTCGAGTGCTTTCTTCAGGCCGGACATTCAATTCAGGTATTGTTTGAGTTAGTTGTGATAAGCCACCTTTTGATTTCTGTGAGGTTTTCCTTGTGTGTATGTTGGACTCTTTTTGGGCATTTGTCACAACCTATCGAAAAGCAACAAGCATGATGTGAAAAAATATATTCTTCAAACTAAGTTTATGTGGACTTTATGGTACTTTCAGTAGATTTTGGCTTCCTCATCTGATATACCTACATTGCCAATATCACCAAGAGTTGCTCTAGTTACACGTTGTGCACCAACTTTCCCTCGAGTTATTAAATTTTCTCGGTTATAACCAACATCATGTCCAGTTGAAATAAGCTAGAAAAATATTTCATTATCAAAATGCTATCTTAAATTTACATTCGAGTTCGACTACATTCCTACTCACATTCCCAAATTTTCGTTGCGCCATCTCAAAACGATGCCTTTTTCAGCGCTAAATGAGTTCCCAAGAAGTACTGAAGCGATAATATTTTTTTAGAAAAGTAAAAGATAGATTTCGTCTATGAAATCAAAAGAGAAAATGTTTTTAAAAGCACTTATTGTATTACTTGGCTCTATTTTGTAGTTTACGATTGTCACCAATTATCGCGTTACTACACGAGGCTTTTGAATTTGAGACTTCTTACAACTCGTGCTCTTATTGGTTGCTCCATGATGTCGTCACATAACATTAACGGCTAAAATTAGTTTTGTCTAAACGGGAACAGGGAGTCTACTCCTCGGAGATTCGTGGTAGTTGGGAACAGCTGAGTGAACAACGACAAAATTTTATTTGTTAGTTACTGAAAGAAATGAAAAACGTGAAGCGATGAATTTCAACCCCATTGCAACAAGTTTATATATGGTAAATCCGTGCAATTAATATTCACAAATAAAGAAAGTAAAAAAGTTTTCCACGTTCATAAACGTTAAATATTCCATGTTTTAAGAATTTCTATAAGCATTCATAAAATATTTCATCCACAAAAACGCTGAACGCGTTTGGTTAACAATTGAAATGGCTGGCCCAAGTCAACTTTGTTTAAAATGCTTAGATAACGCTGTTGTCGTAGACAAGTAGGGAAAGGGGGTTACTTCTTTAATCGACGAAGGACTGCTATAGTGAAATAATTAAAAGCATCTCTGCAGTCCAGACGGTCTTGATATCCCTACAAAAGCTCAGGTCTTTCGACGTTCTACATTATGCCCTCAACAACTTCAGGTCTGCCTAGGTCACTGTTTCTGCCTTGAAAGAGAAGTAAACAGAATGCAAAGGTTCAAGCCTTTGTTCAACTTCAGAACGAACAGTAATTTACAATATAAACTGATAGATACATCGTGAAAAAAAATTCAAATCAAAAGACATTATGAAACGGATGCACTAGCAACTAAAAAATTCTGTACAAAATATCCACACATGCACTCAGGTCAACATCCTTGAATAATTGTTCGTAGTTTCTTATCCACACGAGCACTCAGGTGAACATCCTTGAATAACTGTTTCTAGTTTCTTATCCACACATGCACTCAGGTCAACATCCTTGAATAACTGTTCGTAGCTTCTTATCCACACATGCACTTAGGTCAACATCCTTGAATAACTGTTCGTAGCTTCTTATCCACACATGCACTCAGGTCAACATCCTTGAATAACTGTTCGTAGCTTCTTATCCACACATGCACTTAGGTCAACATCCTTGAATGACTGTTTCTAGTTTCTTATCCACACATGCACTTAGGTCAACATCCTTGAATGATCGTCCGTAGTTTCTGAGCATCCTCTTGAAGTTTCTCGTTCTTCGGGTCAAGTTTTAGGGCAGACTCGTAATCCCTAAGAGCTGAAACATAACGCCAATAGGAAATAAGTGAGCTCACAAGCGAAAATTTAAAATGGTCCAAATCATCTTCACCATCTTCATACCTTCAACATAGTTCTCAAGTTGGGATTGAGCGGTACCCCTTCGTACAAACGCTTTACATCGCGACAGCGCGTTGGCTGCAACAGGAGGCGTGAGTAATTCCAAAGCCTACCAATATGAGAGAATGTCGAATAATCAAGAAGATCATAACAAAGACATGATTCAAGAGTATCTGTAGAAGAACAAATTGAAGCGTTATTTTCTCACACTACTGCAATCTTGAATGCATTCTTTGTACTGTTTCAACTGAAGATGACAGGCTGCTCGATTGGAATACAACGTGATGCAAAATCAAGGAAATACGCAAGTCTCAACACAAGCAAAACTTCACTTAGGTTAAACAGTTTCGTAACAAATTAATAATGTACGGTGTATCGAAATTCGAAAAGAAGACAGTTTTGAAGTGGCAGAAAACAATACATGGGATGCTACAAAAGGCAGGCATTTTAAATCACAATTTAAAGACGAAACGCCGAATTCTAGTTTATGTCCAGATGCCACAACTGTCATCGATTGACAGACATATAGGACAGAATGGACAGCTCATACATCGCTGTGAATCACAACATATAGGACAGAATGGACAGCTCATACATCGCTGTGAATCGACGGACATATAGGACAGAATGGACAGCTCATACATCGCTGTGAATCGACGGACATATAGCACAGAATGGACAGCTCATACATCGCTGTGAATCGACGGACATATAGGACAGAATGGACAGCTCATACATCGCTGTGAATCACAACATATAAATAAAATGAACAATGAAAGGATATGAGGGAATGCTTGAGTTCAAAACGATGGCAGCAGTGAAGGCATTTATTGCAGCTACAAAGTTACCAGACTTGTAGAATGACCTGTAAACATAACAGAAAAAATTCATGATGCACCCATTGACTATGGGTCATTACAATTAAATCATTAAAACCTTGCTTTATCCTTTAACCAAAACGGATTCATTTCTTCTATATCAACAGCATCCTTATTCTCAGTGTTTGTGGTTCGACTTGCTGCTGCAACTTTTGCAAGCCACTGTTTAAGGAGAATGAATTTCATTTCATGCTGCAGAAGTGAAAAAAGTCAGTACTCCAGCCTGTTCAGTCAAACCTCGTCTTCCTCAGGTGCCTTGGATTCGCGAGAGGGTGTTTTGAAAGGTCGATGAGAGAAATTGACTTGAATGGTCCCAGAGGATCTAGGAGGTGGAATATCTTTCTTCTTCTTTGCTAAAAATCACATTAAAATAAATTTTTATTTCAAACATCAAATCCACAAGCAAATCTCCTAAACCACTTACCTTTTTTAATGTACTTTTTAGGACTTTCAATAGGTTTATCTTGTATGTGACATAGATTTACTTGACTAGAAATTTTCTGTTCATCATCTTCATCATCAGCATGTACACCGTCATCATGATTAAAAATCTGTTTTCAACATTGTCTTTAAAGCAAGTGGAATTCTGTTGCACAACAATATCATTCTCTTCCGTTTCTTTTTTCCATTTTTCCAAACTTTCTGTGGCATTTTTTCGAATGAGCTTCTTTTCTTCTTCAATTCTCTTCCTTTCTTCTTCATCTTTCTGAAATATGAAATTTTTTTTCAAAAAGCTTATAATGTGAGTTTTTAACCCAAAGTAAGATAATACATACTTTCATCTGTTCTCTGAGAGCAAATCTTTCCAGCTCTCGTTTTTCCTTTGCCTTCTGCTCTTCTAACAGTTTAGCCTTTTTATGTGAGTCTTCAATGGCTTTCTGTCGAACAGAAGCCATAAATGTTTTGTCTTCTGCTTCATCTGCTTGAAGACTATACCATAGTCCAGGTTCTGTTTTTTTAAATTTGAACTTCACCAAACTTTCAACAATGCTAGCTTTACTACCTTCAACTACACTCCTTCTCAGATACACCTCAAAAATGAAGGGTGCATAGCTAACCTGAATATAAAAAATACATTTTACAGGCAAGCTGCCACAAACTTGGTGTTAACTGTTAACATCATTAAATTATAGTATCGCAAATAATGAAATACACAATTTATCAAAATATCATATTATTCATATAAATTAATAAAATATATGAGAACACCAGGGAATAAATAAACCTTGTCATTAAATACTACAGCACGCAAATTACATGATATGCTTCATAAGCTAACCTTTAAATATTGGCCAGACCAAAATATGTCTACTTTTCCAGGAGCGACTCCTTTTAATGGAACATCAATAAACACATCTTCCTCGCTCTCTTTCCATATGAAATCTTTCACAAGAATTGGCATCATGGAAACTAAATCAAACCTTCAGCTTGCCTCGTAATGACGGTCCAAAATCATGCTTTGCAAACAAAGTCCTTTCGCATAAAATAAAAAGAACAAGCGAAGAGATTAATTCAACAAACAATACGAAGATACACATGCCCGCCATTTTGAATTTTCACGTGCGTATTTCATGTCATTTTCGTGTTGAACGAGTGATTAATCAACAAAAAATAGGTACGCATAGTCTACACGCGTGTGGCATTACAGTTTGGCTACGCCAAATGCAATAAGCAGAAAATAAACGTTACATGTCGTCTATTCCCATCTAAAGCCAAATTTTTACTAACAACATAGGCATAATCACCTTATGTTAACGTCAAGTTCCTGTGCTTGTGCTTTTGCTTATGTTGATGATTGTGTATGAGGTTTCATTACACACTGCTGTAGTTTGTCTTGTCTTTACTTGTCCTGATAACGTTGTCCTTGTATACGTCTAGAATTGCCATTTGTACACTTCGTGTACACTATTATCTGCCCTTACTTTGCTCTAGACATTCACGGTACTCGTTCATTCCAAGTCTTGTGCTCAACACTGACAACACACCAAGCCCAACAACTACCTACTGATCCTAGAAGGATTCGAACCCCACATCACAACCTGAGACAAATCATTCTACACACTCGACTAGTGATGGAAAATATAGTTTATTTACGATAATAAATGCTTGAAATGTAATAAAAAATTATTTCGTAAAGTGACAATCAAGAAAACAAACCACGCATTAGGAGCATCGACTTTCAAACAATGGACATATTCACAACAGCACTGGAGATAAATCGAAAGGCATTTCGTTGTAGGAAATGATCATTTAGTGTCAGTCTGGTCACAGCGTTCAATGGTCAATTGATTTAAAGATCCCATACATATGTCTCATTTTTTGTTATCCTTCTTCTTTTTTGTATTTAGATTCGTTCTAACAGTTCCATTGTCAATAACGTCTTCTGTGAGAGTCTCCAACGATCCAGAAAGAGCATCCCTACCATCACTGAGCTTCCTTTTTCGTTTTCCGTTTGATTTTTTGTCCAACTTGTTCCTATATTAGCCAAGCAAAGACATCATTCAGACTACTAATATCTATTGCTCATATGCAAAACAATAATGTATTGGTAGGTCACATATGATGCAAACCCGTAGATTTCAGTCTTTAAACAAACTATCAGGTTTTTTAGATCATTCGATCTTCCTGCAACAGCACTTTGGAAAGCAATGTCCAAGCCATTTTCCATAGCATTTGCATCAAGCAATGAAAAAAGCTGTAAAAAAGAGTATTTAGTATCGGAGTGGTTGAATTTTCACCAAGAGCCAGAAACCGCGTTTTTCTATTCTGTAATATGGCAGTCTTGAAAAAGCCTTACTTCGGAATCAGCCTTTAATTGCTTAACAAATTGCGCAGCAAGCTTTAAGATCTGCCTCAAATGTTTTGCTTTCAATTCCGTATTTGGAGAGGAGCTATCCACGAATACCTGAAAACAAAAAAACGTGGCGTAATGATATCAAAAAAGTAGAAGACGAGTTGTGTAAATAAAGCCAAAAACCTTACCAACTGAAAGGCCTCCTGTAGCGGTTTAGCTATACTCTTTATTCTATTGTCTTTGAAATGAGCCTTAAAAAATTACATTCCAAAACTTAAAGAGAGTTTCCATGAAGCCAAAACACAAATTCAAAAAAGGAAGTAGGGAGCTATGTTTTTTTTATTAGATAAAATGAGCGAGACATACATAAATACATACCGTCCGACTGATTAGCTGAGACAACATTGCACAAGCTTGAATCTAGAATGTAAAGACATTACACCTTACATTATGTAAAAAATCATTTCTAAGGACAAGTTGCAATCGACATTGAACCTTTCTGAAGTTGTTTATTCCTTTGGTGATATATGTGACCAAATCTTCAGCCAAACCCCAGCCTATGTCCTATGATGATGATTCAAGTAAAGTGGTTGATATTTCACAGAAGAAGTTAAAAAAAGTGATTGACGTACTGGAAATCTGCTAACGAGCTCTTGGAATATGACAGGGTGCAAATTTGTACTCCTAATAAAGAGGAAATACGGCCCATTTTTTAAGAATCAACAACTCCAAGGTACCATCACAGAAGATCCAATTCCAAAATCAAAGAGAAACGTCTATAATCGCAATGAGGTACGTACCGATGAAGCATGAAATCTTCCAAGGCTTCCCCGTAGGCCTTTATCACGCGAGCACTATTTATATGTTTTGACTGGAAAGGAAAACATAAAAAATAAATATAACAGAGCCATGTAAACATCAGAAAAATATAATTTTTATGAATATGAGACAAAGTCAATATCTGACAAAGGGGGACGGAGAGATATTTGAATTATTACAGATACAATGTTAGAAAGTTAATACACAAATAATACAAAAAACACCCAAAAGAAATATCGATTCAATATGAAAAACTATACCTCGCTAAGGCGTTCGTCACTATTCTGTTTTGTTTTCTTTCCATTCGAACAGTTTGCCTCTTCGTTTCCACGTAACTGCCTTATCTTAACAAATATTTGATGAAGACTAATTGAAATGAATCATGACACCAATAACATGATTACCCTTCAATTATTAATCAAAAAATTAGAACACAAACCAAAAACAAACATCCCGATGACAAGAGTGTAACCATCGTTACAGAAGGTGCTGAAGCAAAAAAGAGACTTATGTTAATATCCTGGTATCGTCTTTTGATTCTATCTCTGGTCTTCTAATCAACGACACATTCTTCACCAATCAACTTGGTCAGTTTGTTACTAAATGCATTCTGTTATGCTTTTTTACTCGTGTTCAAGAGACACTCGCCTTTTTTCGCTTGCTCCAACAAAAATTCTATGTTCATATGAACGTTTTCAATGTAAGATGAAGAGAGATGAGGTGCCTGTATAAAGAAAAACGAAATGTAAAATATTTCTCTGTATGGTGATCGGAGGTGGAAAAAGCGATGTATATGGAATACATTCCCTTTCCAATTTAAATCTTTTACCTTTTTGATAGAGCACAACTTGTTTTTGAATATCCCTTTAGCTCGTTCACCCAACGTTTTCGAATCTCTGTCGGCTAAGCACACATGAATGACCTCCAACAAAGGTTGAATTAACTCCTGATAAGAAAAAAAATTGACATCATGCATTACACGTCTACGCAAAATTTAAAATTTTAAAATCATACAAGAATGATTTCATCTTTGGGTCGTTTTTTCACTAATATTTCAACCAAGTCCAACACTCTGCAAAAATAAATGCATGATAAAGTGACAGGCAGCTAAAATGACAAACAAATTATTTTATTCTTATAAGAGTATATGTAACCTGAGTTTAAAATGTAGTAAAGTCTTCCTTGCATCTGCAAGTAAATATTTTAGATGAATTTAGATTTTATGAGTAAAAAATTACAAAGACTAGCTTCCTCAATTTTTCCACAATAAACCAAATATAACAACTTGTCAGTTTTCAAATGAATCACTCTACCTTCGACTTTCTTCTTGTCATGTTTTGTGCGAAGACGCTGCTTGAATATTTCAGATAAAGCTTCGTCCAGTTGCATCATGTCGTCATCATCAAGATCACTTTCTGATTGGCCCGACTCGTCGCTGTCACCATCTTTCTCATTGACTGCCGCATTTCCAAGAGCAGCTTGAAGATCAATTTTCAGTAACGGATCAACAGGATCCTTTGCATCATCATCAATATCGTCATCAGACAAGTCATCGCTTTCAGAGTCATCATCAGATTCTTCCTAAATAAGGCAAAAAATGTTACTAAAATCAAACATGTACACTACACATCATATAAAGTATGTGCGATAATGGCTGTTCGTGCTGTTGCGATGTGCAGATCTAGACCTTTAGCCTTTGCTAATACACTGAAGGGAAAGGCTGGCGTATGTCTAATTACATAAGCTTAAAACACATTCAATAAACTATGTGCATTTATGTGTACCTGTAGCTGTTTTTCTTGCTCGAAATCTTCGTTTTCTAGCATTGGAATGTTCGAACAATTCTTTTGTTAGTACCTATCCAAATTACTAAATTACAAACGTATCAAAGCCATACCCTCACTATGAAGCTCAGTATCTTCATATAAACCGCTTCTAGGATGAACAGCCTGGAAAAGAAAGAAATACGATCAATACAAAAATCAACAATCGAACGTACTTCACGGCATTCGTTACTAGCCTCTAAGATGATCTTAAGGGAGGACGATGTTAGATGAGGGACAATGATGTTGAAAACTTGATCAACGACCTGACGACGAAAATTTGATGACTCGGTAATTAAACTGAGCAAGATTTCAGTTACGACATCCATCCAGTGAGGTTCATTTTCCTCTAACAACGAAAGTTACAAACAAACGATTCTGAACAAAGCATGAGGAAAGTGGAGAGATATAACTGAATAGACATCAACCAGCAGGGAAAGTTTATCAAAGCCTTTATACCTTGAGAATCAGTTGAAGTTTTTGTCGTTACATTCTCATAGCAATGAAAAAGATCCTGAAATGCAGAATTATAAAACAATGCAACCCATTACGTATGACTTCGCTGATGTTGATCGTCAAGTTAAGGCAGTCGTGACACTAGTCAAGAGTCCTCAGGAGTCACTTGACCAAAAAAATTTTCTGGAAATCTTTTCTCACAGAGATCAATCCCCGGGGTCTTTTCTAGGAAGTCTTTACGTGGAAGTCTTTTTCGCGGATATTTTCTTGTGGGTTGTTTCCTTTGGGTTTCTATAAAAGGGTCTTTATTTGTGGGCTTTTGCAAAAGCTTTAACTAGCGGGAGAGCCTTTCGGGAAAAGACCTCAGGGAAAGGGACAAGAAAGAAACCCTGGAATATATCTCCGAGAATTTAACCTCGGCGGAAGACAACAGGGTTGAAATTCTCGAGTGAGGATCACTTGACTCTAAATAAAACCACCAGTAAAGAATTCTAAAACTGACATCAACAATTCTTTTCACGACTAAACTTACTTGGACAATAAATGTTTATAAATATGTAATAATACTCCCGGCTTCAAACTACATATCATCTTTTAACGAAAATTCAATCTACGAAACTAAAACACTTGAGCTAAATTTCTTGGCAAAAATCCTAATAGCCTAAAAATAAAACAACACGTCTTTAAAAGGATGTTTATATTGATACCTCCAAGATTTCTTTAGCTTGTTTTACATCAACGAAGAGTTCAACACCAACATACAAAAACATCAAAATGAAAGCGTTTTCCTCTGGAGACAAATCATTCGTCTACAAAAAAAACCCCAATTTAGAACATCAGGATAACGACATTTTTTATTGTGGCTGGTAAATAATTCTCTTACTTTTTTCTCTAACTTTTTGACAATTTTCAGGGTTTTTTTAAAAACCTTGTGAGCCTACAACAAACGAGGATTGTAGAGTTGAATCGAATTGAAAATCTTTCCCCGTTAGCAAAGAAATAAAGTGATCATGAAAAATAATACGTCATCGACCTCGTTATCCCAAGGAATTTCCACGGAAATTGCACTGGTTCTGTTCTGTATAAGCTCCTTGGCGTGTTGCATGATGTGCGAAATCCACAGTCGTCCATCATCAGCATATCCGTGGCGTTTACCTTGAACGGTTGACTCTGAGAGATAAAAATTTGAAAGACTGTAAAACCAGCGAATAAATTCTATATAAGTACGTACTTATGATCAAACAAAGAACTTGATTCGAGAAAAGCGCAAGATAGAAAACCTCAGCAAACCCTACCGCTCGCGTATTTGTTAACATACGCTACGCGTATCATACGCGTATCATACGAAAAACATACGCGTATCATACGAGAACGATACGCGTATCATACGAGAACGATACGCGTATGATACGCGTATCATACGCAAAATTATGTTAACAAATACGCGAGCGGTACTGTAATACAATACAGTCAACTCTCAACAAAGAGAATGATGGTTTCGGCAAATAGGAACACTTACAGTCAAACAATAGAGACAGAATTTTGAAAAAAATGAAATGGATGTTTTAGGAAACATAAGCGCTCTGTGATACGAACCGCTTATTTTGCCATATAAAATTGCTTCAGTATTATTTTGTGGTAGTGAGGCAAGCTCTCCAAGGATGGCTTTAAAACGCTGCTGACAAAGAACCCGTGTGCGAGGAGATAACGGCGTGGACGATAACTTGACGAAGTAGGCGTTCTCAAACACAAAATATACCACATCCAAAACCCAGGATTTTGTATGGTTGAGCTGTTTGCATCTTATCAACGATGAAAACTACAAAAAAATTCCATCACACAAGTCAGTGAAATTATCAAAGCGACATTTTACAACGATAGAAAGAAAAAAGCACAGCTATACAGCACAATATACCAAATTTAAAACCCCTTCTCTTTTCTTCTCCATTAGAAGTTGAGTTCTGAAGAAAGAAATGAAACTAGGCATTAAAAGTGGCGAATTTCAAATATAGCTACAATAGAAATTGGAACTGGCAGAAATGTCATTTTGATGAGAAATGATTTTCAAAATTTTCTTCAGTCAATACTCTTACCCAGAATCTTCAGTATCTTCCAAGATTTTATCGGTAGTAACAAACATTTCTTTCAAACATGAAATCAAATCAGGCAAATCCTCCAAACGTAACTATGCGATAAAAAAACAGTTTAACAAACTGCTTTAGTTTCAATATTTTCGAAAAAGGTTCGTGTTTTACCTTAGGTATTAGATTTTCAACAGTTTTCGTCTTCGTAATTGCGTCGAAACAAATATTTCCATTCCTATGTTTCAAATATGCCAAAATCACAAATTTGCTAAATTTAACTCAATCCTACTAAATTAAATAATTAATATAAAACACATATACAATGCACTCACCTTGTCAGAAGTTGCATAACTACAGCAGAAATCAGTTCTTGCTTTTCTTGTTGAATGATTCCACTTCCAATGCTTTCCATCTAGAGTAATTACATAGCAATTGTCTGTCACCAAAAACTATCGCACAAGACATCTTCAACATTGATGCACAAAGGTGATTCACTAATGTTGCGATCATCATGAAAACTACGTATGCTAAACAGAAATGTCCTCAAACCATTTGCTTTGTTGCAGGGTATAGATAATTTGTGTCATGAGCCAGAGAGTTGAAGAGACAACGCATTAACTGTGGACTGAAAACGATTTCAACCTTAAAGTAAGAGGAAACTATTACGTATAAGAGAAAGATATTATTACATAACTCTCAACAGGTTCTGAAAAATACCGACTACCTATAAATGTCCAAATTGGGATTCCTAAAGAATCTGATGTCATTTGCAAGAATAGTTGAGGTACAATGACCAGAATTTGCTTGGTTCTCACCTGATCAACAGACAACATAGGAAGCACTTTTTCAAGAAGTTTAAAGCCCAAAAACTTTCGTTCGTGAGATGATTGAAAGAGATTTTCTGAAAGACAATTTAAGAGTTTTCAACATGAGAGTTGTCTTTGTCAAGATTCATGAGATAGATTCACAAGTCACCATGTAAAGCTAAATTGAACAATAATGATGTCTATGGAGTGCTGGAAGCAAGGTGCTGATACTGGAGTATTGGAAGGACAATAAGTGGGGAGGCACATGACATGTTACATATTACTTGCTAAGTAACATTTTATCAATATATGTTTAGTTTAAGGATTGCCCTTCTTTGAAAGGGACCCTTTCCTCTTTCTTCACGCTTCCAACACTCCTTGTCACTGGTGATTTCCCATTTCCCAAGCAGATCAAAATGCAACAAATTACCATCAACAACAATTAACCAGAATTTTTTGAAATCAGCTTTTTCTGACATCAACATAAAAGAAAAGACTTCTTGCCAAACAATGTGGACCCTTGGATGTGCATTATGAGAATTCTAAAACAAATTCAAAGTTGAAAATGAAAGTATTGTTACATAGTTTGAAACTTACTAAAAGCATCAAGTGCATACAACATAGAGGTTCAATACCTGCAATATCTTGGCAAGAATAGGATAGCTTTCTTTTGAATCAAAATTAGGATTCGTCCAAGATTTCTTGAAGTATTTCCCTTTCAACTCATGCTACAATTGTAAAATACAATTGAAACTGAAATATTTTAGTATTAAAATCATTTCTTGAGATAAATGAGTAAACAATGATAACTTTCAACTTGCCTTAAACAATCTCAATAGAGTCAACACAAGGAAGAGACAATCTGGGGAATACCTCTCCCACTTGCACTTTAAATCATTCTCGAGAATGGGCAAGATATGCTGGTGAAAGTCACTAAACTGCAACTAAAATAAATACAAACAGCCTGTACCAAAGTTACTGGCACATGCCTTAAAACAGATACCGCATGACCAATGAAGTTCAATGTAAATTAGTTATTCATCTAGTTTTGGCATATTACCATTGAAACTAAATCAACAATTGCTTTATAACATGTTTCTTGAAGATAGCTTTTCTTTGTTGATAATTCCTTCAAGTTTTCAATAATCAGATTAATCGATGATAATTCAATTCTTTCCTAATGGAAAAATAGTATGAAATAGGTACATGCGTTTTAAACTATATTTAAAATAAAAAGAAAAAAATAGAAATTGTAATATTTTATTTACATTTTTCTGATTTTTTGCTAAACAGACTGCTCTTCCAATGATGAAAAGCCCAAATATCTGTCCAATATAAGCATCTCTTTCTTCCTTTAAATCAGAAATCAAAAAATAATCTTTACTGATACCATTCAACATGTTTTTATGCAAATACCTGAGCTGAAGAATTCTTAGTAACAGTGAGAGATTCTTTCATCAACTCAAGAATATCCTCCACAGAGATGGAATCAAAAAGGAGAACAATTTCAATAAGAGCCATTGCAAAGCCCTGTCTTGCAGCCTTCCGTGATGATGCCAAACCTTTCACAAGACGATTTAATGTGTACTTCAGATCATCTGACTTTGAATCTTCTATTTCCTGATGAATAACCAAAACAAAAGTAATTTCCTCCATATTAAACACCAATTGATGAGTAATTTAATTTGATACAGTTGTTTACAGCTTGTCAGCTTGATATTACAGATTTTTGGAAGTAATTTATAAGCAATTTGAACAAATTGAAATCCAAATTCAAACCTTGCCAATTCAGAAATTCGAAAAACAACTGATCCAATTGCAAATGCACTATATTTGGTCATTTGTGAACAAAAAGCCAAGATAATCACCATAGGGAAAAGGGTCACATACCTCATTTTTCTCAAACGCTCTGTCACACGATTGTAAATGATTAATTAAATTTATTGCTGTATCAACGCGCGTTGTTTCATTTGTAGATGCTAGATCCCAGAAAAACGAGAGCAAAGTCTTCTCATTCATTATTTTATTTTATTTTTTTTTCATATTATTTTCACCCCTTTTCTTTCATCATGTTCAAATAAACAAAAGCACGTGTAATGAGCCCACATCACTGGATCATTTTTTTCGCAATACTTAATGTTAAGACAAACAACAAAGTTCCTGTTTGACATCTCAACAACAACGAATTTCTCGCTGATCTTTTTCGACCAGTGCACAATGTTTTCATCAAGTATTAGAAGGCTCTCCAGTCGGGTAAGACGTTCAAAAATTGATGTAAAATTTCATTAAAATGTTACCCAAAAATCACGTATTTTTTTAAAGTAATTTTTGTTTATGAAAGGGACATAATAAATTTATTTTGTATAGGATATTTACGTTGGAAAGCAGTTAAGATTTTCCTCTCGCTACTACGGCAGAAAACGACAACTTCCCGCTAATACTGTGAGTACTGTTGCAGCCTTCAATTCATGAAGATAATGTTTATAATACCAGTTGATATTTGTGCGGATAAGGGCTTGATTTGCAACATTTTGTTTACTTGAGGTCATAAATTTTGTGCCACAACAAGAGGCTTGGATCATTGAAAGATTTGGAAAATTTTCTCGCGTTTTAGATCCCGTAAGTACGTGAAAAAGGACAGGGTTTGCGCTGTTTACCAGGAAATGTTGTACATGCGTACCTATTTTTAGGGAAGAAAATAGGTACGCGCTAAGTACACTAAAATCGCTTTTCTCTTAACTGATGTTTTCAATTTTTCATACCTTCTAGGGTCTTGCAATTTTAATTCCATTTATTGAACAAATAAAGTATGTTCAAAGTTTGAAAGAGGTCGCGGTTGAAGTGCCATCACAGTCTGCTATCACTCTTGGTAAGAAAATGACGTAGCTCGATCGCAACATTTGACTAAAACTGATCGTCGTCGATTTTCTTTTGCAGATAATGTTACTCTGCAGCTTGATGGTGTCTTATATTACCGAGTTGAAGATCCTTATCAAGTACTGCCAGAGGCGTAACTAGAACGCTAATTTGGGGGGGGTGCATATTCATTTTTTCTCGTTGTGCCCTACTGAGTCTTTTGAAAGTAAAGTAACATTCAAAAGAAATCAGTGGGCATAACTGAATATATGAACATACACCCCCCCCCAATTAACGTTCTAGTTACTAAGTACACCAAATTTCATTACATCATATGTAACTTTACAACAAACCGCATTTTTCACCAAACGCATTTTTAATTAGGCATCTTATGGTGTGGAAGATTGTGAGTACGCAGTAACACAATTGGCTCAAACGACGATGCGATCCGAGTTAGGTAGAGCGAGATGTGTGTTACGAGACGAAATATTCTCATCGTCACGATAACGATTTGTTTAAATGAAAATTTTACACAGGAAAGATAACGCTCGATAAAATATTTCAAGAAAGAACGTCGTTAAACGCCAATATCGTCAGTAAGCGAGGAAAAAATGAAACAAACTATGTTTATATATGATTTAACGGTAGTTTTATGACATATTTGTTTATTCCAGATGCTATCAGTGAAGCAGCGTCAGCCTGGGGAATAAAATGTCTACGATACGAGATACGTAAGCACATAATATACTACTTTATGGCTTCTAGCAATATGATTAAAATTCATCGTTACTCACTTGACGAATTTTTCTTCATGAAAGGTGACATTCAATTGCCCAGTAAGGTCAAAGAAGCTATGCAAATGCAGGTGGAAATGTGTCAAAATAACCAATGCGGAAGCATTTATTTGATTGGTCTCGTAATTTTCCCATATTTACATGCAATCCTTTTTTCCAGGTTGAAGCGGAGCGCAAAAAGCGTGCTGCAATTTTGGAATCTGAAGGTAAATATGTATAGAAAACGTTGAAATGTTTTCAACTAAACGAGCGGCATTCGACCTAGATTGTTTCTCGTCCTGTATTAAGGGACTAAGGTTTCGGCTATCAATGTGGCCGAGGGACAGAAACAAAGTCAAATTCTTGCTTCTGAGGGAAGGAAACTGGAACAGATCAATACGGCAACAGGTGACAATGAGAACAGTATTTAATCTAATGGTACGACGGACTTATCACTCTTTCTCGTCGCCATTATTATTCAGGAGAGGCGAACGCTATCTTAGCGAAAGCGAACGCGAGAGCCGAAGCAATAATAAAGATTGCCGAGTCTTTATCACTGGAGGTAAATATTATGGACAACCGTAAAGAAATTCTTGAAATGACAGAAGTGTATTGGACATTCAAAATTTACTCTTGTAATGGAATAGTTCCTCATCACTCCCTTTGCGTCTTAATTTGGTTAAAGCCATGTCTTGACTTGATATATGTTTGGTGGAGGCCAATCATTATCTTATTATCACTTTGTCATTTTGAGAGTTCGTCAAATTCAAGCGCACGTGCACTCGTTCGAAACAGAGTAGATTCACATAAGTAAAATGTAAAGTTTCTATATTATATTCTAACTATTTCTATATTGTGTTACCAATTTCCTATTTCTTATTTCCTTCAGAGTGGAAACAATGCGGCAGCTCTCACAGTAGCTGAACAATATGTTCAAGCATTTGGTAACCTTGCCAAGACTAACAACACTGTCATATTACCTGCTAACGCTGGTGATGCTGCATCAATGGTTGCGCAGGTAGCTACGACACTTTATGACTGTTACTGCAACAACTCATGTTATTGTTTACAACAAATCAACATATGCGTTTATATGGTGCTGATCCCATCTACTGACTTATTCCATTAGTTTTTTCGATCATGTTGAGTCACTCTTTGTTAAACTACACACAGAGCAACTTTTTGTTTTCTTAAGGCAATGGCTGTATACAATCAGGTTTCAAAGCCTACTCTATCGAGTGAACCGCCATCTGACGACCCTAACGATGGAACAAAGAATCGTCCAAGTTATAATGAGAAAGACGGTCTTAAAGATAATAGTTTGGAGTCAACCCAAAATGAAAACGACTCAATAAAAATGGATTACAATGAATCGAACACTGAATGGGGACGAATGTCTGAGCCTTCACACTTTACCGTAGCGGGTTCGCCTACTCGAAAACGTGACTTTCTGTAGCATGTTTACACTAACAATTTGGAGGATTTCCTTTATGAGTATTCCAAATATCTTTGCGTTCTCGCATTGAAGTAAAAGCAATCTCCCACTACGAAATAAAAAAATAAAATACAAACGAGATACATTGCATTATATTTGAAGACATAAATGTAGAGAGAAATTTTAGGTCCTGAGTTTTCTCCAGTGGCCCATGCCATTGTCGTCATCATTTTAAATATCTGTGACTACAAGGCACAAAGCTTGAAAAGCAATATAGAAACCTTAATAAGACTTGTGAATGTACGTTATAATAACAAATATTGTTTTAGTTTTAGGTCCTCCCTCGAATCGGGGGCCCATTAAGGTTGGCGAAATGCGTCTTCAAATCTGCCCAGTCTTTCGGTGGCCTGTGGTCAAAAAGCATTATGTCGGATCATGCGTATTTAGTTATGCTTCGATTCGATTGTAGAAATGAGCGTAGTGTGATTGATGCATTGTACTAAAGCGAGCTTTGGCAAATTTCATCGCCAGATTTGGAGAAGCTAGGCCACCATGGCAACTGCTTAAGGAATGTTTTGATTCGTCGGTTATTATACCCATAGACAACTGCTACAATAGGCGAATGACAATACTGCAACCATGCTACTACAAAATCCACTTTCGGTGACAAAGAATCTTGGGAGAAAGCCGAAGCCATGTTTACGACGTAATAAGGAGCTAATAATAAACCAAATGTTACTATGACAAAAGAAACGCTACATAAAGTTTTTGATTCGACAATGGAATCACGTGAGCCTGAAATATGACGTTTCCCAACGGTCTGCGTTTCACGTGGTCGTCTTGTGATTCCTTTATGTCCATCGTCTTTAAAACCATAGCGTTTGTGATCGTCATTTTGTTGAATCTTTCTTGAGGATGGTAAAAATAAGGATTTAGGATTTAGGATTTCTTTCGTATTATATCGCGTCAGAACGCCAATCCTTATGTACATATAGACAATAGCAATAAATGGTCCAATAAATGTGCATAGCACGACCATGATGGTATATATCAATCCACTTCCGCCAGCTGACCAAGAAAGTGTACAGAATCCCTTTGCATTAGAGTACAGGTATAAATTCCAGCCGAAAACAGGGAGTATAGAAAATACAAATGAATGAAGTATCGCAAAAGAGACCATCCACTTCGCCCCTCTGATAGTAATCTGTGCAGAGAAGGTGTTTGCGATAGCCTGATAACGATACACGGCCACCACGGTAATCAGGCCATTTGATGTCGACAATAGGAACTGATTTAGAAATGCAGACAACACACACCAAGTTTCATCAAAAATCCATGAATCAACAGCGGTAGAAACGAGAGCAAATGGCATGTTTAAAATAGCAATAAGAAGGTTTACCATGGTCAGATAGAAGAGAAGCATGTTCGGGACGTTTTTCAGAGTGAAGTTCCTCACGAGTACAAAGACAACACTAGCATTTCCATAAATAGTCAACAGCAACGTGAGAGATAGTATCAGAGTTTCAATTGACCTTTCAGCCTCATTTCTCAACGATCGATCTTGAGACGACACTTCAAGAAGAATGAGGTCGCTTTGGTTACGCTTGAAGAGTTGATCCATCATGAAAAGTTTCTAAAATCTTCAATAACTGTTCTCAATGAAACTTTTAAAAAACGAATTCCTATCTCGTCGTTCTTTGTTTCCTTAATTCCAAAAGTTAAGTACAAAGATTCAGCCTAACAGAATTTTTGTCGTCACGTATGTGACAAGAAAAGTCTTATTACTTTACCTTTTAAAAACCGTCAAAGATTGCGTGCCGAAAGCCTTTTCCACAAGATGAACGTTTGAAGACTGTTGGCAAGTTAGCAAACGAAGAGGAAACATGAATAAGTACAGACCATAAGCGGGTTTATTTACATTTCGAAGCACATAACTACGCTTATGTCTACAATCAACAAGCTTAAGTCAATAATGAATAAATTAGTTGCCAGTAATTAAATTATGAGAAGAACCACTGGGAACCGACTTATGAAGGGAGGAAGAATGATAGGAAATTTCATTTTAATCAGGATTTTAAAAATTTTGTCGGAGATATACTCATTGACTTGATTAAAATACCTGTATATCAGTCGCTCCTACATCGTCAATACAATAGAAGTGAAATTCTCTGTCACGCTTTCAGTTTCGAGGCAAGCCATGAAATACTTTGATCGGGTGGCGAGAATGCTTGGCTGCGCTTCGTTAACTAAACCATCAATGTGCTCAGAAAAGCATGAAAGTAAAAAAAAACAAGCGTAAAAGAAAGCAATCACTCGGGTTCATTCTAACGTAGAAAATCTCGAGTGAATTTTGAGGAGCGAATTTTCACCGTGAAATCATTTTGAACTTTCAGTTGCAACCAGTTCTAAGCTCACGGTGTCAAAAATTCAACACCAGCGTTTGAAAAAGTGGACAAAGGCAACATGATCAAAACTGCATTATTTATGAAGCCATATAATCGAGATGCAACATAGCGCGATTCTGATTGGCAGACGCACGACATGATAAATCTTGCAGCCGTTATGACATTATCATCGGAATATTTGCTAAAGACAAATTTGAGTTTGCCAAAAGTCGAACAACAAAAAGCGACGGGGAAAGTACACGACAACATTCAATTTACAATAATTTGGAAGGTTTATCAGCAACATTTTCGAGATGCCGCGATCTTTCTTGATAAAACAAAAAGTGATCAAGAAATACTCGCGTGATGAATGCTGTTATCCTGGTATGAAATAAATGAAATATTGTTTTTTTTATTTGACTGACCAATTGAAGAAAACCCAGATGTCGACGCATACAAATGGATGATTTGTCTCTGAAATTTCTTTGAACGCCAAATATACATTTTAGCCTGACATATTCGTGGTGCACGTGCAGCACTTCAAAGAAGTTTTCATTGCAGACCTTTAGAAAGTTTTGTCAAGAAAGAAATATCGTAATGTCATGCATAGAGCAAAATAATACTTTCACGTCTGGTTGGTGGTATTGATTCACAGAAAACCCCCACCAAACCCTACAGTTTAATAAACTAAGATTTGAAAACGCATTTTATCTCTCAATACAGATAACGCCCCATATTTCTGGCCAGATGATACAACAGCAGAACTCGACAGCCCACCGTTCGGGTATGAAAAAATGTACGACCTAGGACCTAATCGCAAAGCTGCAGATGATCATCAAATAAGAGAGGATTTGGCATCATGGAAATCGCGAGAAATCATAGATCATGGGGGTTTAGAGGATAATCGGGTGCCTATGGGATCGCCAAACTCTAAAAGTCCACAAACACCATCTATGTTCTATGAAAATCATTGGATAACACAGTCGACCCTATTTCCTTTCCCTTTTCACGATTTTGAGAAGAGACAACAGGCCGAGGGGGTTGAAGGAGAGTCAACAGAAAACCAGAAGTCGCAACTACAATGTGCCACGTGTAAAGCGAAGTTTGACACGCGCAATGCATTAGAAGAACACGCGAAAACGCATTCAAATACCAATCGAAACTACACGTGCAATTTCTGCAACAAGTCTTTCTCTCGCTCCTGGAATTTTCAACGGCACATTTTGATTCACAAAGGTAAAATAAAGTGTTTATGACCTACGCTTTCTAATTGCATTGCAAAGACTTCCTGGAGATATTTAACTTAGCCATTATTCACGAGAGCAACAGTTTAAAAAAGAATACATATGTAGACAAATATGAGTATACAAAAGTTACACATCAAAACTATCCATAGAAACTACTTATTCCTAAAGCTAAATATGTAATGTGATGTTATATGTAGAGATAATATTTACATGACACAAAAGTTAAATATCTCTAAGTAGAAAAGAAAACAAACACATTTATTACGACTTTCATGATAAACTATTATCGAGTGAACTATTCAAACTTTACTGCACTTTTACTAGGTGAAAAACCACACAAATGTGAAAAGTGCCCAAAGGCCTTCGTTCTTGCCGCTCATTTAAAGATCCACAACCGCATACATACCGGAGAAAAGCCCTACACATGCGAGGTGTGTTCTAGGGGATTTGCACAGCTCACGAACCTGCAGCGTCACGTTTTAACGCATACCGGGCAAAAGCCCCACAAATGCTCTTACTGCCCGAAAGGCTTTGTGAGTTCAAGTGACCTAAGACGTCACGTGAGAACGCACACGGGAGAAAAACCCTACCAGTGCAAGGTATGCCCCAAGGCATTCACCACTTCTGGAAATCTGCACTCACATATGCTTACGCACAGCGGTGAGCGTCCTTTTCAATGTAAAATTTGTAAATGGAAATTTATATCATCCAGCAACCTTCGCACTCATATGAGAATACACCACAAGAAGTCAGCAGCCACGAGTTCATACACGTAGGGATCACACTGAGATAACATAAAGTATCGAGGCATTCGATGAAGAAACCTTATTGCATTGCTTGTACTTCGAGTACTGTGGCAAAATATCAACTAGGCTGACATAAAAATCATTTAAGCTGAATAAATATAATATATAAAACGCTTTTAGGCAATTAACGGTTAAATTACTGCCCAAAATGAGGGGGGAGGGTTTAGTTTCTCTAAGTATAGAGGCCTAAGTGATTTGAAACTATAATATTGAAGACCAGTGGGTCAAAACGTCGACAAATTTACATAAATATTTTAACTTACTATAGCAACACAGATATTTGATGAATAAAGCCACATAGTTTCCAGGCTGCCTTGAATAAATACATTATCTATATAAATTAACAGTAATTGTAAAAAGTGAGAAAAATACATAAAATATACAGATCAAATGATTTCCGTAGAAGCGACATAAAATTCTTCATTCACAATGCCAAACATGACATGACTTAATGGCAATCAAATAGAGAGAGCTTGCAGATACTTTCCCATTCTCAGTTTGGCAAGTAAGAGTCAAAAACCAGTGGAAATATATTGCTATCAAAAATCCATCACGATCTATTTCGATCCCACCTTGAATGGTAAACTACGCCACATACGAGGACTTTCACATATGCTCCTTTGAGCCGTCATGGTGTCTGATGTGAAAGTTTACAACATATTCGGCGTTAGTTCGCTGTACTGAGATGCCAAATGGAGCGAAAGGATGAAAGGTGAAGGCTACAAGACGTCTTGCAGAGGGAGGAGAAGGCCGACCCAGAAATCCTGCATGTATCTTGAACTTAAGTAAACCTGATTCACGGGAATAGAATCTACAAATAAAATGATAAGAAGTTTGGGGTTGTTTAACAAACATATGTTTACTATACGTGAGCCGTGTGAAAAATTACAAAATCCCAATTATGAAATACATCCGCTTACTGTGCGTGTGTAAATAATATCATTGCATTAATTCATAATTGTTTTAAAAAAAAATTGAATCTCTTATATCTTCACGTAAAATATAGAAAACGCTCGACTGCTTTATATGATCAAATATGGTCATCGCGATATACTAATGTTGGTAAAAAATAGTGGACGGGGGGGAGGCGACAAGTGATGAACCAACCTGATCGGATGATCTCCACAGGCCTTCGGTCTCTCCATTACCGACACCCACTTGTCATCGTAGCTAAATAAGGAGAGATCAAGATACGGGCTACTGCTGTAAGACTGAGAACTGATTGGTAGTTGCGCCAAGAGGCGCTTCACTGCCTCCGTCTGCCCACCATATTTGGCATTGATGATCGTGTGTTTGAATCTTCTGAGAATCTGCCGAGCGTGGATGTTACTAGACGCAGAGCACGTGAACTGAGCTATATTGTGTAGCATTGCATTTCTAAAATGATCACAAAACTGCTCGAATAAGTCTAACAATTCCTCGGACGTGTTTTCATACACCGCAACAATCTTCGTGCTCTTCATGTCGTAGATGACGAAAAAAGAAGGCTGCGAATTGGGATCGTTTGCACGAAGCGTGACGACGTCCTCACTGGCGTATTTGATGAACATATGATCTTCATCGAGCAGTTGCATTTTCCACATTTTCAAATTCCGAAAGAGATCAAAATGCTGATAAAATCGTCTTATTGCTAAAGGAGTGCCGATACTCCGAGCTCTTCGCCACAAAAAGACAAGCAAACGATGCTTCAAGCCATTTATGCATTTCTCGTTGTACGGTCTGACGGGGCGGTTGTCCTGCAACCTGACCATGGCCACCATCATCTCGTCATCCTCATTGCAAAAACGACCAATGGTCCTGACATCAATGAACTGACCGTCAGAGGTTACTTGGAAAATATGTATCGTCTGATGTTGAACAGATAAGACGGCTAAAAGGTCTTTATACAAGTATAAGCCTTGATTGTGCGACAAAAATATCTTATCACATTTGAATGACCGAGAGTCGGACAGTGTACCAGTATATAGATCTATCAAGTGCAATGTATAGTCTTCTAGAGCACATCGCTGGGGATGGGGTGTCACCGATTCGTTATTTCGATACACATCATAAAAAAATGGATGCGGATCCTCGGGCAGTTGAAATGCACTACAAACAATGACATATCGGCCATCATCTGTAAACAGACTACATTCACGATTGAGATGCTCATTGTTTGGCGCAATAGTAGTGACCGCACGCAACCGAAAGAATTTTTGAAACAAGTTACTGCGAAAGTAAGCAGAGTCAATACGTTGTGCAGCCAACATTTCGCCTGCAGCGCTTGCTCCTTGGAATTCATAAATTTCCAAGGAATGTTGATCGAGCGAAAATGCAACAAAGTGTCTTCCATCTGGGGAAAACTTTCGTAGATAACAAGGGGGTTTTTCGACATTAACAATAGTGAAGTTAGGGAAAATATTTTGGTTAAAAGATCTTGCCTGATGAACTTGAGTACCTGGTGGTCTGAGAGCTCCGGTCGCTCTTTGATGTAATTTCCACACAATATTTTGATTTTTGATCCGCCTTGGCTTGAAATTCAAAGTCCCAGACTTTAAATACTCATCCATGGAAAAATTCAACCATTAATTATCATCTCAAAAGAGAAATTCGCCCTAAAACAATGAAACAAAAATCACAACATAAACATTAGCCGCCATATTACTTTGACCTCGCACAGAAGCCTGGGACCTAACAACCGAACTGTAACAACAACTGGAACGATAACTCCTGTAATTTTTTCTCGTGAATGGTTGAAGTCAAAGTGAAGCAAGCAGCATAAAACGTGTTAACAACTCCCTCTCTCTCCCCCCGTTGGCATTAAGCAACTGACAACGACAGACAACCGGAAGTATTGAAAAATATTGCATAATTTTATACAGCGTTGAACTTACAAAAAATGACAAATTTGTCTGGCTGTTGTTGTATATCTTCGTAGCTTCTATTTTAATATTATAATATTATATTTATATCATTACAAATTGTACTCTACAAATGAAAAAAACTAGTTTTGTGAAATTACTTAAACATGCGTATCGGCAATGGATAAACGCCGCAACTCCATTTTATCCGTTTTCATTGGATCATATTTGAGTTCGACTGCGTCATCATTCCCTACATGCTCATCGGGGAAGGTATCCCCAGTCTTCAATGCACGAACTAGGTCATTAAGATCTTGCGATAATTCTTCTTCTTCATTTTCCAGGACGTCATCGTCGTCTCCTAGCTTCTCGCCATTGAAAGAGTCATAAAGTGGATTGACTTCGACCAATGGAGAATCGTTGTAACCACGTCTGCTGCCTTTAGGTGTAGCACCATCAAATTGATCACCATCCCATTCATTCTAAACAAGGAAGAAATCATTAATGAACAACACAATCACGTCAATACAGACAGTGTACAAAGAAAATCAAAAGAAAGTTTAAACTTACCCCAGATGGAGGTGATAGGCGAAGTTCTGATTTTGCAGCACTATTCAAACTCTGTGTATCGTACATTACTGGTCTTTCTGCATAGTAATCAGTCGGTGAAGGATTGTGTATTGAAGGGGAATTGGTATGCAGCAAGTAGGTTTTATTTCGATATTTCTCGCGACACTGGTTACGCAATACAAAGTAAACAACAAACACGTATACTCCCTAAAAATAGCAGTCAAAAATACGTTCATATCTTATCGTGTGTCAGACGTTTTAAATCAGCATCGAGATGTTAATGGCTTGCACGTATGTTGTATGAGTAATGACAACTAGAATGATGTCTATTATGTGGGAAGATTATCGTGTATGGACAAAGGTGTAGCAAGCTGCAAGTTTTGGTACTACAATGTAAATTTCAGAGCATTATCACAGTTCATTTCTTTAAAAATCTATTGCTTTGGCAGTGAGTTAAGACGGAAAAGTTTCCAGGCTGTCTACGCCACTGATTGTGCATGGATTAGGAAAGATTCACACTGTATGAATCTTGTTAAAATTATCTTTCTTTCAGAGGGAATTAGCCACTTACAGTAAACCCATCGAATGCGGCAAATAGGATAGCTAGCCATAACTTTCCATATGCCAGGTGGAGACCAGCAAAAAGCCACGTCATCGTGATGGTGAAAAAGATAATCCACAAATGCAACACTTCTGATGAAACAAAAATGGGAAGTAAAATATTCATGTTAGGAAATTACACAATCAAAAAGAAATTTACTGGAAGCACACGATGATTGAACGATAAAGTATGGCTCGTACAAAACCGATGACTTCATATGGCTGATGTCATGAAACAAATTCAAACAATACCTTGCATGTTGTGATTTCCACGGAAAATATCGTCGTATAGCTTCCATTGCAAGGTCACCTGATACGCTTGCGTCATGACGACCCCCACTGCGAGTAAAAAGAAGAGGACTGGACCCAAGACACTAGCCAACGCTCCGTATCCGTTCGAAATAAAACACCTGAAATAAATAGTTCTTATAATTTATTGAGTAAAAGTAAGAAAATAACAATCCTTCAACATTATTATTAACAAATAGAAATGCATTTTCTATTAAGGTTCCTCGGGTTGATATTTTTATTGAATGAATGAATCGCTCCAAATGATGGAGATGTGTTAAAGTCGTGTAAAAAATCATTGAAATCCAATTCCATCGAAAAAAATCCACTCACATATCGCCATTGTTATGAACATCCGCATAAATTTCTGTGATATTCCATTTATAGAGAGATCGAGTTATTATGACGTAAAGAGCGACACACAATACAGGAATACCTAAAGAAACATATAAAATAGATGGTAAAAGTTATTTTAATGGTAAAAGTAGTAAAGAAGCATTATCATGATCACTTTTTTCAAACAAGAATAATTCATCTTTTGTCCCAAAACAACTAAGATAAATGAAGAAAGAGGCAAAACAACTAAGATAAATGAAGAAAGAGGGAAAGCAACTAAGATAAATGAAGAAAGAGGAAAAGCAACTAAGATAAATGAAGAAAGCAGCAAAACAACTAAGATAAATGAAGAAAGAGGCAAAACAATCTTACCCCATCCGAGCATGAAGTAAAGAACAAATTTCCGATCAGTGTGTTCATCATTCAGCACGAGAATTCGCCATAAATTACAGCACTGTGAATTAAATGGTGTATGATTTCACAAAGAAACGTTAAAATAGAATGATCACGTGTAACTAGAAAATTGAAAGTACCAGCTACATGTAACAACATAGGACTACAGGTGATAATATAGAACTACAGGTAACAACATAGTAGTCCTATGTATGTAGGTAACAATACACGACAAAAGATAACAATAAGAGACTAAAGGTAACAATAAAAGACTAAAGGTAACAATAAGAGACTAAAGGTAACAATAAAAGACTAAAGATAACAATAAGAGACTAAAGGTAACAATAAAAGACTAAAGGTAACAATAAAAGACTAAAGGTAACAATAAAGGACTAAAGATAACAGTAAAGGACTAAAGGTAACAATACACGACTAAATGTAACAATAAAGGACTAAAGATAACAATAAAGGACTAAAGGTAACAATAAAGGACTAAAGGTAACAATAAAGGACTAAAGGTAACAATAAGGGACTAAAGGTAACAGTAAAGGACTAAAGGTAACAATTAAGGACTAAAGGTAACAATAAAGGACTAAAGATAACAACATAGGACTAAAGGTAGCAACATCGGTGTACGAGTATTAACATAGGACTACATATATCAACAAAGGACTACAGGTAACAATATAGGACTGCCGGTAACAACATAGGACTATTTGTAGCTAAATACGTGAACAAGTTGCTATAGAACATAGCGTTACGTAGATGTTACAATATAAGACTACAGGTTAAAACGCTAGACGTTGCGAATGTTTCATTTCTCAACTTATACAAAATGATTACCTGAACAAATATCCAGCAGAATTGGGCAAGTAAAAAATAATGTATTAGAATTCCTAATGTTGAACATTCTTGAAGTTTGCTAGTCAAGTTTGGACTAACATAAGCAGCGACTACGACGAGCAAATGAAGAGCAAAACCAGCGAAGAACATGTGCATCAATAACTTGGCGGAGAACGTATTTTCTCTTGCGCAAATGTGATGAGAAAGTATTACAAGGAAGAAGGAAATCTATAAAAAAGAAAGTTTTTATGAAACACTAGAAGACTGCTTAACAATCTAAAATATAAAGATGACGATTTTCGATGTGTGATGTGAAAGGTGAACAGCAAAGAACGAGAGATTCATAACAACACGGCAAAATTAAGATCTCTTTAAAAATTTTTCCAATCGTAATATCTGACCACACAGATGAGAAAACTAGTATTTGACCATAAAGTTGAAAGACCCCTAATGGTCTGACCATACAGGTGAAAGTACTTCAACATCTCACCATAAAGGTAAAACAACCATATTATATTACCATACACCTCTGATACATAAAAATCTACATGAAACAATCCCATTATCTTACCATACAGATGAAGGCAGCCACGTAAAAGTAAAATTCGTATCCAACTCTGTCATCACTTTGAGCGCGAACAGCAAAGTTTGAAAAATGTTCACACTGACATTCAACATAGTCATCTTTTTCTTCCTAGTAAAGACAACACACAAACAGATTACTTTCATCATTACAGTCATTCAGAACTCAACAGTTGATGATTTACTTTCACAGAACAAACAGTGTTATCCCATTTATTCTTTTGCCATTTCAAACACTCGGCTCCTTTTGGAGTTACCCGTCGCTCTCCAGTGTATATTCGATAATAGGAAGCGCCTTTTCCTGGATTCATTTCCGAGGAATTTTTGACTGAGGTGGACAATACACGTTTATTAAGAATACTGTCTCCCTTTTTATCCTTGAACCACTGATCGTTGTAATACTCAATGAAATGCACATCTGCGCATGTATCGGAGTTCATTGACTCGTATATGTTGGATGGATAAGTGAAAGTATTCTGAGATTGACTGGAAAATAATGAAACAACACAATTGAAAATCACACGACGCTTGCTGAAAATTTACTTGAACTAAAAAAGACTGTTTCAAATTCTTGTATCAGGCAGAGTTGAAGCTAAATATGATACGTAAATTATATGTAAAAGTTATAAAGTCTAGTCAATTGAAATATTGCAAAGGTACAAATTTGAACAAATATCTTTCGCTGATATATATATATATATAGGTGTAAGTTTGGACAAATAACTTTCTTCAATTAGCTTGCCCTAATAGCTTTTGAGGGTAAAGGCTATTAAAGTTGCATCACATTACATGAAGACTTTTGCTATTGGGCACATTAATAATGTCTTGTCCAAACTTACACCTTTGCAATATGTGATACGTAGACGAATATTTTGAGTACAAAAGTAGATCGATTAGACAAAGTATGAGTAGAATTGTTTAGCTTTGACTGAGAATATAGAGCACGGGTCTGGTCGTTTATTATTGATCAAATACGAATAAGAGCAAACGATTAAAAATATTTCCTATAGTATACACATGAAAATGAGCCATTTCTGCAGTTTCCCTAAATGATGTGTGCGAAAATTTTTAAAAATACGATTGTGTGGAACAGACAGCCCAAACGGCTGAAATTATGAAATTACCTCGATTTAATGACTAAATTATTCACATTCTTTTTCTCTCGTCTTCTTCCTTCAACAACAGCATATCTACCATTCTTCCTTACAACCGACGAGCCAGGACAACTTTCACCATGTAGCAAAGCAAAAGCATATTTCACGAACGGTTGAGTAAGATTTGATTTCCCCATAAAATCATCTCGTTTTGGATCCAATAACGCATCAAATATATTCATGAAAAGATCACTCATTTCACTCGTCATTTTTCTGTCCTTCTCCAAAGCTCGTTCCTCGATGTCCTCCAGGATCGTGTTCAGAATATTAGCTGCCAAGGTAACTTGACTTGAAGTTAAAGATTTCTGTTGGGTCAGCGTCGTGTGCAGTGGATGTAGTATGTTGATTATTGCGTCATTTGACAAAGGTCTCTTCAGGGAGTCGGATCTCAGCCTTAAGAATTGTGTTGTTCGCTCTGTGTTGGAAATGATCACCATTGTTTGTGAGTTCTCCTTGTCCAACCTTAACGAAAAGGTTGAGGACTTTTCGTATGTTATAGTGAGGATGGTACATAAGAAATCAATGTACTTGATCTCTTTATTCTTATGTCATAGTGACGATGGTACATAAGAAATCAATGTACTTGATCTCTTTATTCTTATGTCATAGTGACGATGGTACATAAGAAATCAATGTACTTGATCTCTTTATACTTATGTCATAGTGAGGATGGTACATAAGAAATCAATGTACTTGATCTCTTTATTCTTATGTCATAGTGACGATGATACATAAGAAATCAATGTACTTGATCTCTTTATTCTTATGTCATAGTGACGATGGTACATAAGAAATCAATGTACTTGATCTCTTTATTCTTATGTCATGGTGACGATGGTACATAAGAAATCAATGTACTTGATCTCTTTATTCTTATGTCATAGTGACGATGGTACATGAGAAATCAGAGTACTTGACCCCCTAGTTATTATTTCGTACGAATATCGCAATAGAAATATTTTGTTAATCATGTATAATTACGTTTCCCCCCAACAGGCAACATGATTAATTAAAAATAAAAGTCCGAAGATTTTTTTCAGCAGCAATCCACTGAGTTAAATCACTTGTATTATATTAAGCTAGTGATTAATTATCGCGTATCTAAACATTGCGTAAGCACAAAGCCACAGAGTTACCTAGCAGGAGCAGTGATGTTAAATAATGTAACATTGAAAGCTTTAGGATACGATTCATCCGAGGCAGTACTTGGTGTTAACTGGATCACAATTCGACTATCGGACGTTCTCTTCATGAAGAAAAAAACATTTCAGTCCATAAAAATTCATGTGGAAATATGGCATGTTTAACAAGGGGAATTAAACTAGTTGTACCTGTCCTTGTCGAAACATTAGTACTCCTTGTGTTTTGGTATAATCCTTGCCTTCTATAGCACGATTAACAACGAAGTCATTGTCAGTATATCTTTCTAGAAGAATTGTTGTGATGTAAGAAACGGCAATACTCCCATGAGTCCCCTGCGCTCGAGTGACGTCAAGGGTGACTGACGTACTGTCAGCATTAACGGCCAAATTCCTGAAACAAGGAAATAGTAGCATTTCAGGGGGCAGGTTGTACGAAGCCTGGATAGCGTTATCTATTGGATAGCAAGTGTTTCTAAACTTTTATAAAACCTTTTACAAAGCAAAAAATATAAGATTTGAACTGACCAGTCACTGAAATAAAATATTGTTTCGAAGATTACAAAATTTCTTCGTCGTTTTACAAGTTTTGAAGATTTTTGCTATCCAATGGATGACATTATCCAGCGGCCGCAGTTGTTGTATACTTTGTAATAAAACTGGTTGCAGAGAATTACCGTGAGACAGAACTGAAGAAAACCAAACCACTTGGATCATCGCTAGCTTTAACCCTCACTTCAAGTGTGTTTGCTTTTGGATCAATCACCGCTTCAGGAGTTTCGATTAGAGACGCAAGATTGACAATAAAACTACTCTGCAGCTCGGGAATCTAAAATACAACAACATTAAGTGGATATCCCATATGACATTGTCTTTATATCTATATAAGCATCTGTGATATTTGAAATGAGCATACGTTATCTTGTTTAAGTGTCAGTCGAAGCAACGAGGTGGATTTGTTGGTAGAAAATGTAATTATTCCCGAAGAGATTTCGAGGTTGTTTCCCGAATCTTTTGCTTCCCACATTACTCTTGCAATGCCCAAATCGCTAGTGCGGGCGATCGTTACTTCTCCTATAAAAAAATGTTCATTTCATGTCTGAAAAATATTTCAAATATTCCTTGTCACTTTCACCCATTTGAAATCCTTGTTACTCACCCGAAGGCTTCGTGTCTTCATCTAATGTCAAAACCTTATCCATGAAGTATATTCTACCATTAAAAAGGTCATTGCCCACAATCTTTATGACAATCCATCGTTGCCCTCCAATAGAAGGGTCGGCTAGCACAACTCCACCTCTAGGCTCCGAGAGGTAAAGAAATACTTCTTCGTCTGCCTCCGGTACATTATCATTAATAATTCGAAGTTGAACTGTTTGATTTTGACCATTGTGAGGAGTTGGGACTGAATTCTAGAGAAGTAAGAAAGTTTATAAAACTCATAGCCTCTCCATCCAGGTGTAGTACATTATACTGTATCATTCCTAAATTATTCAACACACATCTGACGTAAGGAACATGCTGAAATGTCTCTAAATATTTCTCACTCACCTTAAAAGTCACTCTTCTACTCAAAACGTAATAATCCTTCCCAATTACGACATCACTCGACCATTTCCGTGTACTTAGAAGTTCCGTGATACCTCTTCCTGCTGAAGATGTCCACGATTCTCCTCCACCTATTGTCCTTACAAGTACATCGACATCCCCAAACGTACCCCCAGTTCGTGATACAACAATGTTAACAACATTTACGTCTTCGTGCACAGTCATCGTGTTAACGGCAAACGATAAAACTCCGTGTGGATTATCATCATCGATGATGGTAATGGTTGATGACGTATTGCTACCTAGGCGACCGTTCCCTAGGAGAAATAGATTACAAGTCAGCTCGTTAAAAGAAAAAGTTCGATTTAACCGAAGTAAACTATCAAAGATAAAGTGTTACGAAAATGAGTGCATCACTATTATTTACTTGTAAAGGGCTTGATGGCGACTAATATACGTATTAACTCGAGAATTTGTATTACCACAAAGATTTGCAAAAAAATTCATGATAAATGATTAAAATCTTTCTATCACCTCGAGTGACTCCAGTCAACTGAACTCCAAATGATTCTTGCAGTTCAGGTAAATTATCGTCAATTATATCAACTCTTATCTCTTTGCGATACTCGCCATCCACCATCGTTATCGTTGATGATATATTCATATAATCTCTGTTGGATAACGCAGTGGAGGTCTGGTGCGTAGTGTACGAGATTCGGACTGTTCCCAAAGTACTAAAGAGTCTGTAGATGGTTAGAACAGCCTGAAAAACACAAAAAACAATAAGATATCATGAGTATGAAGATCTTACTTAAATGTTAACATACCGAGTTATTTTCTCTGACGAAGATATTCTGAGTCTCCATGGAAACAACAATGACACCACCACGTTCAACAACGCTAGTCCTTGCGGTTTCATTGATCCTAGCACCACCAAGAACATTCAATGGAGTGACAACACGAGCAATATAAATAGAATACACCATTCTTTGTCTTGGAACAAGAACAGGAGAAACCTATTGCGTATAATGTCAGTATAGTGCAATTCAGGAAATCAACTAAACTTCCCTTGAAAATGAAAATAATCTGACCTGGATATGGAATGACAGTTCTCTATAGTTACCATGGAATGTCAGTTGAGTCACAGATGGCGATACTTCTCCTTTTATAAAACCAGCAAATTCATTACCAGGGTAACCCTTTTCTATGATCACTGTCGCGTTACCATAGAAACCATCGCGTGTGATAATGACCGTGGGGACTTTGTTGTCTATTTGTACAAGAGGTTTGTTAGATATGTGGCTTAATTGATATGAATTTTTGAGATCGTGTTGATTGTTTGAAAACTTTCATGTTCCAGACATACACGATCTATTTTCAAGTCGACTGATAGCTAACGTTTACCTTGGTTTACATGAAGAGTTGTGAAATTTTTCAAATCGACTGTTAGCTAACGTTTACCTTGGTTTACATGAAGAGTTGTGAAATTTTTCAAATCGACTGATAGGTAAGGTTTACCTTGGTTTACATGAAGAGTTGTGAAACCATCTTTGAATTTGACCAATGTGTTTGCAGCTTCATCCGGTACGAGAATGTTCACCATTGAAAAGAGAGATAGAACAGTTGGAAGGATTTCAACAGCTTCGGATCCTTGATAAACTGCGCTTGTCAGAGTGAGGGTGAAGAAAGATGAAGGATGTAGGAATGTATTTTGGTCAAGAACAACCACATGGTTTCGCTAAAAACGTAAGAACACTTACACAACAATCAAAATTTAAGTGCATTAAGATAATAACATTGATAATATTAAAAAAGGTTACTATAACTTTTACACAAGCAGTCAAAAAAAAATATGCTCAGCCTTTTAGTCTACTCAAGTTAGATAGTCATGTTTATCACTCACACCAAAGCTTGACACTTAACCTAATAGACAGCATGTCTAAATAATACAAAGCTTCGAACAAAGAGGAAGATCCACTAGCTATTAAATATAGTGTTACTTTTGGTTGCGTAACTTTTATGTACTTACGGGAACTTTGTCTCAATGTTGCCCAATCTAATCATTTTTTACCCGGTGAGCATTTCTTTTTGACTGTCTGTGTAATAATACGATATAAATGATGTCAACTGAAGGGTGTCGATGTACTTACGGGAACTTTGTCCCAATGTTGCCCAATCTAACCATTTTTACCCGGTGAGCATTTCTTTTTGACTGTCTGTGTAATAATACGATATAAATGATATCAACTGAAGGGGGTCGATGTACTTACGGATCTTTCACCATTTTGTACGAGTACAAATCCATCAAGCGAGACGGGAAAATTACGTGAATAGATCAATTGAAAGTTAACGCGGACATTGCCAAACACACCATCCACTCTTTCGATCATAAATTGTAAAATGCGGGTGAGATCACTGCGAACTAAAATCTGTTCACTGCCAGAAGCAATACGAAATCGTCCATGAGGATAGTCGCTTGCTCTGATCAAACAAGAAGTAACAATGAAGTTAACTTTTGAATTTTGAAAAAGACAATAATCTTTACGACAATGTGTTTCAGTAATGAGAGATTGATGAGTGATAATGACAGTGATATATGGTATGATAGTGGCTACGTTCATAATTCGAACAGAGAAATCCTACTGGAGTTAAAATATACACTAAGGTTAAGATAACGTGAGTAGATTGAGAAGGTGAAGAATACTTAAACTACACAAAATATAAACTAAGATAACATATGTCAGTGTAGGTAGTGATGAATGAACAACAGAGAACAAGAACAGTCTTTACACTACCTAAAATATAGACTAAGATAACGTGTGTCAGTGTAGGTAGTGATGAATGAACAATAGAGAACAAGAACAGTCTTTACACTACCTAAAATATAAACTAAGATAACGTGTGTCAGTGTAGGTAGTGATGAATGAACAACAGAGAACAAAAACAGTCTTTACACTACCTAAAATATAAACTAAGATAACGTGTGTCAGTGAAGGTAGTGATGAATGAACAATAGAGAACAAGAACAGTCTTTACACTACCTAAAATGTAAACTAAGATAACGTGTGTCGGTGCTGATAGTGATGAATGAACATTAGATGAATATACGGTCGTTGAACTAAATCGACATCGACAAAACTAGAGAGGAAGGTGAAATACCTTATTGTGACAGTTGCATTTCTTGCGCGAAAGTCAATATCTCCGCCTCCATTCGCAGAGATCAATGTGACAGTAAATTTTTCACTGACTTCAGGAACGTCGTCATTTTGAATTTGCAAACTGATGTCTTTACGTTGTTCTTTCGGTTGAAAGACCAATGTCCCACGGGTTATTTTAAAATCTTTTCCATCAGAACCATGCACTTCCCATTTTACCTGTTGAATATTCCAAAAGACAACAGATTGAAAGTTTTACAAGAACAAAACTAAAAATGTTGCGCTCACTCAACTTAGGACTTGACGAGAAACAATTGAAGTGAGAATATGTATAAAAATTAAAATGCAAAAAGAAATGACAAAGTCACATTAATTTACAATATTCTATCTGCTATCATATAGTATAGACATTAACGAAATACCAGAAACAACAACAAGAAATGGAGATTTTATATGAAATAGACCATACTATAGTGCAAAATGGGCGACGCGACAAAGAAAAGAATGAAATCATTTACCCGATATCAACGTCAAATCACCTACCTCAACAGCTCCTTGACTCCCCTCTCTACGAACAACAGTAAGCAAAACCGGTCCTTTTACATCCTCACTGACGGTTTTCGAACTATCCCTTGCAAAACCGAACAATCCATTAGGCATTCCATGCTTTCGAATGACAACACTGCAATTTTGATTCAAGCTGTCAATAGAGGCGTTGCCCGAGGTACTCGCAATTGACACGAGAAAATGTTCCTCGACTTCCATTCTCTCCAAATAAGGCAAAATGATTAGTTCACAGAATTTTGGACCAAACTGACCGACTTCAAAAACGAGGTAACACATGTCTGGACTTATATCGTCTGTAACTAATCCGAGGCTGGGAAATATTTTAGACACAGTTATATGAACGCGAGAAAAGCTCCGAGCACCACCAATACGGCTCACAGCGAGTTTCAAAACTTGTGATGAATTGGAGTTTTGAAACACAAGACGTGACTCGTTTAAGAAGCCAAACAAACCGTTTGGATTGTCACTAGTTTCCAGGACAATCTCCACACTTCTTTTATTTCCCAATCGTGCGCCGCCGCTTACCGAAGTCAAGTCGACACGAAACGATTCACGATCCTCGGGAACAGCATCATCTTTTAACTGAATGTGCAGAGTTGCATGCCGCTGGCCACTCTGGAAGGTAATTTCTCCATCAAAGGATATGTAATCTGTTCCGTTCTGGGCTGTGATATTGATGACGGAATATTGTACATGAATAACTCCGAATGAGCCCTCTTTAAAGATAAAAATGTAAGGTGATGATACATGATTATTTTATAATAAAACGAAAGACATTCCGAAAAGATTTATTGCGTCAAAGTGATTTTTCAAGTACAGATAGATAGTAAATATATTTATTTGGATTCATGATGTCTGAACTATCTTTAGCAGACAATTTACTGCTGATGATAACTATCAAACAATAAAAGTATAAATTCCTTTTTGCATATATTCGTGAAACGTTACACCATAGACCTTTTCTAAAGAGAATTACTTTGTTTTGTACTTGTGTTTTAATCAGTTTTAATCAGCAGAGGTTTTTTGTGTATAAGAATAAACCAAGTAAACGTTTATTCTTAATGTATTCACTACAGATAACTGCGCACAGAACACACAGCAAGACTTACCTGAACGCCGGAGAGATGCATTCGCAATCCCATCATGCTCATGGACGACAAGCCTAGAATATTGGAACTCAACAACACCATTAGCATCATCGTTCTTCAATATTGTAAACACGACGCTACTACGAGGGCCAATTTGAGGCGGAATATCCACTTGCAGGCCATTCACGTAACCAAAGTTCGTAATTCTTGAAGTGATCAAATCGATCTTAGCTAAATTAATCTTAAATGATTCGGATAACTCTGGAATATGATCAGCCAGTATCGACACATTTAGTGAAGCATAATTGTGCTTGTCTTCGATTGTAATCACTAGACAAATTGAAAATAAATAAAGGCACTTAACGATGAGTTCACCCATCTTCTATAACACGCAAAATTGATCCTTAATCCGATCTCTTGCGAATATGTCGTTCATAGCCAAATACTTATTAAAGATTAGGGATCAATTGCAATTTTATAAAAAACGATTTTATAAAATTATTGATCACTATCATCATATTATGAGTAAGCTTCCTCACATTATCAATCATTGCCATCATATTATCGATTATTTTTTATCATATTTATTACATATTAATAAAAATAATGATTGTTTTCTCAATCACAAACGGTCCAACCTTTTGGTGATATCACAAAATCCTCATCTTCTGTGGCGTCAATTGAGCTGACGTTGATACTGACCAGCAGTTTACCAATGTGCCCGCGACTACGAACCACATTCAAGGTCACAAGACCAAACTCATTAGAAATGTTGTAATGTGTCTTGCCATCGAAGTCTATGACACCGTAGGGGTAATCACTTGACACAACGATAACAGAGGCCGTCGATGCTGATTGGTCTATACGTGCATCACGTGTTGCAACCAGTCGCAAAGTGTAACTCGCTGTCTCTTCAGGAAACGAGTCTTGTTTGACCTAGGATGCATTAAATAGTAGTTAAGGTTGATTATGTTAAAATTATCAACGTAAAATTCCACTCAACGAAGCCAAGCGAGTGACATTGATAGAGGTCTGCACACTTATTTATATCATGCAAAAGAAAATCCAATAACTGTTTCAACTCACACTGATAGACATAACAAAAACTGTTGTTGGAAAAATACAGGGAACTGGCTGGAGATTTTTGATGAAGCAATTATTACATGCACGATGTATTGTACTACAGATATCAATTAAATAAACCAAGAATTTTTCGCAAATATTTTTGTGATATGTAAACTTCATGATTTTGAATGCACGGACGTAAGTAAATCAAACTTGCAAGTACAGGGTGTCGAGATGAACACCTTCAACCATGGTCATCACTTTACTAACGTTTTGTGAATAAAACATACGAACTGCTTTTGGGTCAAAATAGCACAACATATGCAACATTACAAAAAATTCAACATTCGTGTCATGTTAACTAAGAAAAAGCCAGAGAGAACTGATTGATCGCTTAAGAACTTTCACTCACTTGTAAAGTTATATTTTTTGTTCTGATACCATCCTCAAATGTGATAGTCCCATTTGTGGCGTTGAAATTACTAGAAGCCTGACCGGTGATTGAGTCATCCGACGTTAGTTTCCAGTCCACTGGAACAGAATCGTACGCTCCACGTTTACGGATGATGCTGAAAAAGAAGAAGTTTAACACATGAGATCCATGAAAGAATGGAGACAGCATTCATGTTGGTGTTTAAAACAAAATAACTTCATTAAAATTCTTTTCAATTGAAACACAAAGATGGAGGCCATTACGTCATTTCTGTATGGAAAAACATTAACTTAAGAAAGGAATAATAATTCATCGTCGTCGTTAAAATGTGCAGCTTGTTATGTCCAATTAGTTGTGTTAGGTTTAGTTTTAAAACATCACTGCTCAAGATGTTAATTCAATAGAAGAATGCGATCATAACGTCATTGAGTTCATATAATATACAACATTTCTATTTCATGCACTCTTTCCACTTCTCCACAGAAACTATCACAGTTGTTCAACCTTAAATTGATCCGTCCATTATAACTGGAGTGATCAGCCTCGCCAACATACACCAGGGATGTTAATGGATCAACAGCAATAACGCCATAGCCATCATCATTTGCATCAATAAGTATCCTCACATTCCTGTCACTGCCAATCACACCACCATTATCAGCTGACACTAAGTAACACTCGTACAAAAGATCTCCTTCAGGAATGTCATCATCGCGGGCGTGCAAATATATCGATTGACTTGTTACGTTCTACAAGCAAAAGTCGTCAAGAAATTGAAATTGAGGATTTTTCGGGACACATTTGCAATGGAAGTTTTCAACCAACCACCTCGGAAATTACGTTGAAAATGTAAAAATTGCTTTAACTTGAGGTAATTAACAGAGTCAATTTTGTCAAAAACGTTGCTTTGTTTTGTTTGAGTAGTAGCAAAATGCATATGCTAGACAGTTGATAAATTCACCCACCGGAATCAACAGTCGTCTTATTTAATTCAGGAGGGGAAGCATCTCGCTTTAGCGCAATTGCAAAGAACATGGCGGCAACTTGCATTGATTACCAACATACTTACATTGTCAAAAGTTATGGTACCATTGACAGGATAGATATCGGGATAAGCATCTGTGGTTATATTCCACGACACATGAACTTCTCCCAAACTACCTTGCAGCCTGGTCACAGTGAGACGAACCGCGCCTCCCTCCTCAACCAACACGATTTTAGTGGAAGAAAACCTATATGAAAAGAAACGATGTTATTTTTCAGTTTTCCAACAACAGACCATCAACATTAAGAACAGTTCATCGTAAAGCCCTTCTAAAATCGTGTGCAAAGCAAAGCCATAGCAATATTGAAAAACAAATTATGATGTTGATACATGTTATTTGCCCAGAGAAGAATCATTTTATCACTTACTCAAACACTCCGTGAGGTTGATCACTAGCTCGTATTTCAAACGTCACTTCACGACTATTTCCGAGTTTTGCTCCACCAATAGGATGCGTCATTTCTAAGCGGAAAACTTCTGCAACCTCAGGCGTACGATCGTCAGTAATATTAATAATAAGATGGCGACGAGTCTCATTCGTTTGGAATATGACTTCACCTCTCGAAGGTGTAAAGTCGTCATTATTCATAGTACGCACAGGTACAACACGATACTCAAACCCAACATCACCATAAGTACCCCCTGTTCTAACAATCTCAATCACGAGTTGCCCTATATTTTCCTCAATTTCAATCTTTCCAGAATACGGATCAATGAGATGAGAGATATTGAAGTTGAGAGCACCTCGTCTGTTGTCGTTTTCTGAGATGACCACTTTGACAACTTGACTTGATGGCTCGATGCGTGGCGAGTTTTCAGGGGGGGGATCATAGAGATGAACCAGTTGAACGGCGGTAATATTTACGTAAAACACTTCGTTTACCTCTGCATTATCGTCCTGAAAATGAAGTGGAATTCGCATTGAAATAATGAATCTTCCTCTTGGCTTAAAACGAAAAAAATTTTGACCTATTTTTGCGGAAATTCGAAGGGGAAAATCATCAGAATACTGTCATTTTATCAGTAATAGTCGAACCATTATCGCAATCAATATTAACTTGTAATTCAGAATACTTTTATATATTTTTGTACATACATGAATGACTTGAAGGCTTATATTGGTCATGTTGATACCATGAGCAATGACTATTTCATCAGATACCGGAACATAATCATGCCAAGGTACAGCAGGTTTTTCATTGACGGAATCATTGCGGTTTGCCTTGACTGTGCCGTAATGCACCTTTATATCCCCGAGCGTCCCACCCTTTCTCTCTATCAATAACTGGATCGTGCTGTTTATCGCCTCGGATTCCTGCGCTAAAGCGACGGTACGCATCCATCCCACAACACCATGGGGATCATCGTTAGCCAATATGATAACGGTAAGAGTAGAGCGAGCTGCGTTGATTGTTGCCCCATTATTGGTAATGTCAGAACCGTTTCTTATTAGAGAATTCAAGCTAGAATGATGGCAAACGTATTTATTGTTAGTCAAAACATTATTTCAAAAGATACAAGAACACAAATGGTGATTTACAAGTCTTCTAAGAAAAACTCAACTGGAGATATGCGGTGAATAATAAATAAGTCTATAGATTTTGTCGAACATTTGAAAGACACGTAAGTAAGATTTCTTAAAGGTTTTCATCCAAGAAAGCTATTACACTCCGAGTCACTAAAGGAACTAAATTAGGTTTTAATGCTATATACGAGTAAATGTCGATGTTCACATGAATATTACCTCACTACAAATACGTCGTTAACTTCCGGAATATTGTCGGCAATGATCGTAAGGTTAATTGTTTTCATGTTCTCACCAGGCATGAATAATATTTCTCCTGATAAAGGGTGTACATTATCATTATCATGACGATTATTATATGTCGTATTACTGACGCAATTCCATGCCACCACAATTGTCCCGTAGGTTCCATACTTTCGTAACACTCGCAGATGCACTACCCGATCACGTGCAGGTTCTTTGACAACAATATACCCAGAAGTACTTGAAAACTCAACACGGCCATAAGGGTTACCATTGGCTAATATATTGACTTCAAGGTTGGCATTTGGACCAATCACGGATCCTCCAGTAGCGTTGCTAAGGACAACCGAGAATGACTCGTCAGGTTCTGAGATGGAGTCGTTGACAATGGTGATATAAAAGCTCAATTCAGTATCTTCGTCGTTGAATATAAGTTGACCTTTCCTGAAACAAAGATTAAGTGGTTCCTTTATAAATACCCACAAGAATATTCTTTGGTAGCTTTTAGTTATATTATCATAGTGAACAACGTACTCATTAGCTACAAGAAAATTACATTTCAAAATAAATGAATAATAGTTGTTTTTCTGAAATTTATATTGTTTAAAGAAACTTTCGATTCTTGTTCCTATACAAACGTACTTTGGGATGAAATCAGCTTGGTTGGTCACCATGGCCGGTTGGAGAACACGTGACTCACTACTCGCCGTGATAAACACAGACAGCAAAGTCATGTTGCCATTGATGGGATCCCTTATAGTGAATGGACAAACAGACTCGACTACAGAGTCATTTACTACCTAAATAACAAAAAAAAAGGAATACATCAGACATCATTCACTTTCTGTAATTTTTTTTGAATTTTCGTCTTATTTAGATGACACTTAATTTTTACTTCCTGAAATCTCGAGGGGGAGCAAGGGAGTGGGAGAGAGCAAGGGAGTGGGAGAGAACAAGGGAGTGGGAGAGAGCAAGGGAGTGGGGGATAACAGGGACTGGAGCAGAGAAATACAACGTGTCTTGGTGTTGAAGTACACAATGAAAGAGTTGAGTAAAGTACACAACGAGTAAACATTAGTGTAGCTGTTTTAGTAACTTTTGTTATAAAATCTTTATCTAAACCAAATCTGAATAAAAGCACATCATACACATAGATTTCGATGTTTGATCTAACATCATCATTTGTAATGAAATATATGCCGAGCTGATGCACAAGATTGCAAGTTTTAAAAAATACTCATTGCATAAGCACTATGAGAATGCCAACACATAAAAATATACACGAGAACATGTATGAGCAATGTAATCCGCTTAAAATCGTTGTTTTAAAGCATTTGCATTGACTTCACATGCAAGAGTGGCAATGAAGTTTAAAACAATTCTCATTACTTACCTTGAAAAGCTTAAAATTCATTGCATTATTATCCCATTGAAATAATTTCAACCATCCTTTTGACAACGTCCCAGCAAGGAAAACTTATAATGACAAAAAATGCTACAACTATCACAAACACAAAGCAGCTAACATCAAATATATGATTAAAATCTACAATGATCTTTCACTAGTAACTTTTCTACAATAAAGCCCCATGATGCATGGCGGGTATTTACTAATCATGTACTGACAGATCCGAAAAACACTTATAGTTAAATTAATGGTTGTATGTTAATTATTAGTTGTAATGATGATAAAAATTAACGATGCATTGGCTTAATAAAGAATTAGAAATACTCTCATTAGTGACTAAATAGAACATCTACAAATGCAAAGTGCTATGACAAACCTTCGTCATTGAAAGCCAGCTTCTTCAAACGTTTTGTGTCGTGAGTAGGAAAACTTCCACTCGATACAAATGTTCTTGAATTCCACTTGTACAGAACGGGCGACGACCGAGAGTTGACAAAGAGCAGGTAATGGTTAGCACCATACATGAAGTATTCAACACCAGTGGCTCCGTTTGTAGTTATTTCATGCATCGGTTCAAATTGATTATTCCTCCATTCGTATATTACGGATTTGCTTTGATGATCCTTGTTGATGCTGTCGTAGTAACTTGAGATTGCGAGATAATCCATGTTGTTTATGGTAAGCAAGGCAAGGCCCGAGGCACCTCGACATAAAAGATCAGCTCCATGTTTTACAAATTGACCTTTTGACCACTTGTAAACCTAAAATATCAGTAATATAAGGAAGGCATGGACACATCCTATCCTATAATATTCTTTCCAACTATACATCATTTTGCTCTTGGCATGTATATCACGCTATGCTCAATGCTATCCCATGATATCCCCTAATAATTCATGTTATATTTTCTTTACTGGTTTCAAACCCTTTTCTTCCCCTTATTATGTGTACTTCACAAATATACTCTATACCACTGTATCCTTTCTTACTCCCATACCCTACTCCCTCGTCCGTGCTGTCCTTTTCTATCCTATCCACATACCTTGGAAGCTATAGCAGTGTTTCCAAAATCATCCATCATGTTTGCTATTACAAGATAACCATCTCTCGTTCCTTGAGGTCTGAAAAATTTCACGTTTGTAGCAGCCTGCGTTGCAATACGCTGATACAGAGACAAACTTCCATTTTCAAACATTTTGTATATGATGGAGTTGACTGCGAACTGTTTTGTTCCATAATTGGCCACAGCAATGAACACACTCCCGTTAACAGCAAATGTTTCAAAACAGGAGACATTGTCCGTTTGAATGTCCTAATAAAAAAAAGTTATCATGAGAGGTATGTTTGAGTAAATCACAAAAACAAGTTTGTGAAATTCCCTCCCCCCCCAGGCACATACCGTAAGGGAAGACCGAATTGCTCACATACCGTTATAGGGGTGAAAACACCTTGCCATTGATAAAGTCCAGAGCCGTTCATTCCATCAGTGCCGATGAGCAAGTATTGTTGACCAAAAGCGGAAAATGAATGCGACAAACGTGCTCGTAGGCCACGAAAACTCTGAAAAACTGCAAACTTCATGATGGAACCGTTCAAATCATTAGCATTATTTGTAACGGTGTGATAATCAACCGTCACCCTGTCGTATGTCCCTTTGCGACGGGCAACCTTTATTTCAGTAAAACCCACGCTTTCCTCAATATTCAATGTTTTTGATGTGAAGGCAAACTCCAGTTCACCGTAAGGTTCATCGTTCTCTGTAACAGCCAACCAAGCAACACTAGGAGAGTGTAATTCACCGCCACCTTGAATAAGAAAGGAGATTGGTTGCCTCAAACTGAAGAGATGTAACATATGGTCAAAATAAAATGGCCAAAGACAATTATAAAATGTTTTCGTTGGTACAACAACAATACATAACAGAATTCGAATGAGTTTGTATTCTGATGAGCATCTGAAACATGAACATGACCGCTTAGGTTAATGATAACATGGCATATGTTGACGTATTTCAAAAATGTAGTCTAAACTCAATATAAATCTAATTCATTCTGGAAATGGTTGACGTAAAAAAATCAGAATTAGTTATCAGGAATATTGATAGCAAGGATTGAATAAATTTTCCTTCGAAGCTATAACCTAGAAACCCATAATTGTCATCTCTTTCAACTAATGCAAAAATCATAGGCTAGGGGAAATTAAAAAAAAATATCAAACATTTACAATTTTCATAAATGTTGTGCTATCCTACGTGTTCCTAAAGTCGATAAACACGCAAGAAAAGAAAATGAAACATATTCCTGAGTTGTCTATAAAGATTTGATAATTTTTCAGTAAAAGTTTATTGATAGGTAATATGATAATTGAACATCAAATAACAGCAAACCTTGTAAGATGGACAAAACTATCAAGAACCTTTCTTTTTTCTCGGGTGTTGTGTCAACTACAGTCTCAACAATGAACGATTTTCTAGTCTCGCCGTCTTTGAACAATACCGAGCCATTGGCTGATTGAAAATCATCACGGGCAGAGGAATTATCAATCCTCCAACCCACCACAACATCCCCCAATGTCCCGTTATCACGCACTAACGTAAAAGTTGCGCGTGTTGAACCAACATGTCGACTTCCCGGTTCATCCACAGTCAACATAAGAGATTCATCACTGAACCTAAACAATCCATTACCAGCGTCGTTCACGAGAATCGTCACGTGAGCGATAGAGTCTTTACCTAACAATGCCCCACCTGTGGGTGATTTTAGCACAATCTGAAATGTTTCGTTCACTTCGGGAATAATGTCGTCGTTAACAAAAACTGTGATATTCTGTGTTCGTTGACCTTTGAAAAATTTCAAAGTTCCCTCTCCGCCAATTTGAAGATTATCATAAACACGGAAATCTTCTTCTCCGATGTTTTCCTTTCTAATGAAATAATTCACTTCGATATCACCATATAGTCCTTGCTTTCGCCAAACGGTAACGTTAAACACAGTTATGTTTTCTGGCGAACTAATCCTAAAAACAAAGCAAAGCGATGAAGATAAAATCTTTTAGACGTGACAATCGCGCCAATAAAGTCCGTGATCATTGAACAAATGTTATTATCAAACTTGAGCGAACAAGACTTTGGAGTTTTTGCTTGTTCGTATCTACGGAGGGATTGCAGAGCATTTTTATTGGGGGCAGGGGTGCTATCAACGTATCAAACGCCAAATTTGGGTGCAATTAGAGGTACAGAGGACAAATTTCAAAATTTCAAAGCGGAGGTAAATTTTTGCGGGCTTCGTCACCAGCTCCCCACCTGCTTCGCGGTCACTGTTTTTCTTTGCTAGAATAGTATGAAAATATATCAAACCTTGATGGTGAAAACACTAATATTCCCTGTGGACCATCGTTCGCCTGAATTTTCACTTGAGAAGTCAAGTATCGACCAAGACGTGGAGGCATAAAGGTTTCGTTGATACTCTTTTGAGATGTGTCATTAAAAAGCTCAACGTTCGTCAAATTGACCATGAAAAACTCATCTAATTCTGCGGAACCATCGTCGTTGATGAAAATGGGAATCCTCCCGATGCTGACTCCATTCTCGATGAGTATTGAAGTTGTGTTGAACAAGACGTCTTCACCAGGAGAAGCAAACATTTCATTTGAAGATAAAGAAGAACGATTGCCATTGAAAATTTTGTAAAACACTCGGACTTTACCTAAAAGAGCAACAAAACATAAAATGATTTCAGTAGTTTACACATTACATCCAAAGCAACTGCATCCCATAATATCCCCAAAACCCCTCGGCACACCATCCAAACCCTAACAAGTTAACCTATGCAGCAATGAACTCACCAATATTCCCAAATAATCTCTCAACAGAAAGCACTCTTATTCCATCGCCTTCCTTTACCGTAATATCACGTGAATCACGCTGAAATTCAAACACGCCATGAGGCTCATCACTGGCTGCTATAGTGATAGTGGCAGATGACGTGTGTATGTTGATCTGCGCAGCTCCAGTGAACGACACTCCGGATGTTCGTGGATTGAATAATATCACTTCAAACAGCTCCTTAATTTCAGAGCTTTTGTCGGCAAGAACTTGAAATTGTATGTTTGTAGAATTTTGTCCCTTAGTGAGAAAAACAAAGTTATATCAATGCAGGAGTATTTTGTTGTTAACACGTTGTTTTAGTTTATATTTTAGATAGTGCAAAGACTATTCTTGTTCTCAGTTGTTCATTCATCACTAACTACACCGACGCACGTTGTCTTAGTTTATATTTTAGATAGTGTAAAGACTGTTGTTATTCTTTGTTGTGTATTAATTAGTACTTACACTGACACACTTCATCTTGGAGTATGTTTTTGATAATGTAAAGACTGTTTTTGTTCTTTGATGTTCAATTATCTTTACCTATCTAGTTAGGTACAAATATATGACTAACCTCATGAAATATAACCGTTCCAGATGTAATATTAAAGTCCCTTGAAACATTTTTTCCACGAATGAGCCAATCAACAGAAACACTGCCAGCATTGGAAAAAGTTCGAACGACGCCCAAATTAACGATCTCACCCTCTTTGACAACGACTGCGCGTGAGATATCACTAAATCCGACATATCCTGCAACTACATCATTTGCTAAGATGACCACCGTCACGTTGTTTCCGGTGCCTTGCTCAATAGCTGCACCACCAGTGGGATCAACAAGTTTTATGATGATCCTCTCATCAAGTTCGGGAATATCATCACCAAAAATGGTCAGTGTAAGAAACTTTTCGTACTCTCCAGTTTGGAAGGTTAATGTCACTTCGCTGACTCTGTAATCTTTATTTTGCATGGCCGTACTTAAAGGCGATATTGTTGTCTTCACTGATACCCTACCAGATCTTCCTAAAGAATACAACATAGACGATAATATTACAACATACAAAAGGACATTAAACGGCGAATCAACGAATAAGTTTCACTTTCACACTCAAATTAAGTTATACAAGAGACGACAACTACCCATCTTGCCCACCTGGGACTAGAGATGACTAAAATATCTTGAGAGAAAACAACATTTGTCTGTACGTCAATCTCTACTGAGAACAAAACTGGTTGGGTACCTTTTCTTTTCAACTTGATGAATGAATATAATTTCCCAAAAGAATAAAAAACATTTGACCATTCACTTACCGCCTTCTCTTTGAATCACTAAACTAACAGGAAGTTTATCAGTTTCATTTACGAGCAAGACACTTTGGCTTTGTTCCCCAAATACTTTAAATAAACCATAAACGTGGTCATCATCAATGATGGTTACATTAGTACTGGATCGATGACCAATACGTGGCGAATCGAGTGACACTCCAGATTTAACAAGTTCAACGTGCTCCAACTTGATGGTAAAGTACTTGGTGAACTCGGGAAGCAAATCACCCACAATGACGACATCAATCAATGACATGTTGACATCATCAGAGATATTAATGCTCGCATTGATGCGTGGGATATAATCAATGTGGGATATAGCGGACGATGAAGAAGGATCGGGCAGAGTACTGAAAGAAACGAAAGTTGATAACTGACTAGAACGTTCGTTAATGACAGATACTACAACAGACTTACCTGTAATAAACTCTAACTTCCCCATGTCTGCCACGTTTTCGTGCGACAGGTATATGAATCGTGGTATTGTGATCATTTTCGTGAGCAATGTAATTGTCTTTTAAGAATTCTATTACACCATAGGCTTCGTCGTTCACAAGGATGGTTATATTCGCCACACGACGCATAGGATCAAGTTCAGCTTTGCTTTGCTTCATACTCAATGATACAGAGAGAACCTTTTAATAAAATGAGTATCCTTTAAAAATGCTATTCGTTATCCTTTGCATGACGTTTTCTAAGTTAGAACGTAAGCTGTGAATTATGATGAAGAACTTCAAAATAGCCTAAAAAAATCTGTCAGACAATATGTTCTTCTCTATTTTCAATGTTCATATTGTGTACGAGGGTTAAAGATGATCATATCTCATCTACTTCAGGAAAATCTAGTCTTACATAAAGGTTAAACTTACTCTTACTCATTAAACTAAAATACATGGAACGCTATCTGAAGCAAATAATTGAAGCCAAATCTTACACCCAGATAAGCGTGTGTACTGTTTCGAGATTCTCTCGCAGAGGGAAAATTGACTGACTAACTACACACGCGTGTCTGGCTGTAATCTTGAGTGTCTGGGTGTAAGATTTGGCTTCAAAAAATGATTAGACTTTTCTATTACAAGTAGTGTTCCATGTATTTTAGTTCAATGCTCTTACTTCATCAATTTCTGGAACGTTGTCAGCCAAAACTATGACATCCACAAACGTCTGATTCTCGCCAGGTGGTATGAGCCCGCTGTCATTTGTCACCAGTACTTCATTTGAAGCAGGTATCCCAAAGAGTGTGACGTTCCAATTGAACCTCACGACTCCTACAGTTCCGTATTCTCGTACTACAAGAAGTCTGACGATTTTGCTGCCATTCAATGGTTCGGTCACTACGTGGCTCAATGATGAGTCATCAAACCCTTAAAATATTATACATTGTAGTACCCACAAGTACCTAGAAGTCTTGCATTCATTATGTACGTGAACTAAAATTTTCATCTTGCACATTTTAAAAATACTAATTATAGTTTGGAGGGGATTAGAGCGATCCAGTTCCATTGAAACTGCTGTCGAACTTTATGTTTTGTCAGCATCGAATCAACAGGAAATTGCCCTTAAAACTTTAGGAGCTTATGTACGACTATAAGCAAATTAGAGAACATTCACTGGACGACAAAATCTTATAAATCGTCCAGGTTAGTAGAGTACTGAGAAGGACAGTTAGTCTTGATGGTGACAGACGTTTCGACAACCTTGGAGGTAGTCATCTTCAGAATGACACACTTGCCTCAAAGGATGACTACCTCTAAGGTTGTCGAAACGTCAGTCAACATCAACACGAACAGTCCTTCTCGCGACTCTACTAACCTGGATGATCTACATCTACAAACACATAAGAATCCTTTGATTTCAAACCATTTACTTTATAATCTTATAAGCAAAACAAAGACGTACCTATTAATCCATAAGGGTAATCATTTTCTTCAATAGTAACAAAACATTGTGAAGGATCAACAATGATCACACCACCAATGGAGGTGATGAGACGAACGCTAAAAGTTTCATCAAACTCAGGTAGACCATCATCGACGATAGATATTGGTACGGCAGCAGTTCGTTGACCACTTAATAAAGTAACTCTAGTGGCATTAATGACGTAATCTTCACCAGGAGTGGCGCTAATTGGAGTAACCACAATGCCGACACTGATCTGAATTGATTGAATTAATTTTAATAGGTATGTAAACATAATGATAAACATAGCTAGTGACATAAAACTTTTTTATGATCAAATATAGTAAAACACTACGTTTACTACCTCGCCAAATGATCCAGCCTTTCGAACAATGTTCAGATATCCTTGTTTCGTGTCTTCTTTCACATCAACGGCATTGGAGGAAAGTTGCAGCGTACCACTGGCATTGTCATTACGAAGGATGATAACATGCATTAGCCTCTGAGAGCCAATTCTAGGAAAAGCAGCCCTTCCTCCTTGAAAAGAAATGTAACAACAGCTTGAAGAAAAAGTTTCCATGTTCTCCCATAATAACTAATTGTACCTGAATGTTGATTGGTAAATAGCAGTGCTGACGTCAAATTGACGACAACCGTTTCGTTCTCCTCTGGTTTTACATCGTCTAATATCTGTATCATAAAAGTTTCCAAAGTTTGGTTGGGCACAAACTGAAGAAAGCCATCAACGTGGATAAAATCTTCCTTGTCTGACGCTCTGTTATCTCCAGTCCTCCAGACGTGACTGATGCGACTTGTATAATTTACACGCACACTACCCAGAGTACCTTGGTGTCGCACAACACGCAGAGTGATATTACGCGTGGCTTCTCTGACAGCAAGAACACTGGGCTCAAATTCAAATACTCCATAGGGGTCGTCGTTTGCCACAATTGTTATGTTTGAAACAACACCACGAGAAGAAAGACGACCACGGGTCACATTGACAAGTCGCACAGTATAGCATCTCTCAAGTTCTGGAATCTAAAATTAAATAATAATGCAGAGACGAACGTACGGTTAACTTAATTTCAAAATATATAAACATTGAAAATAAGGTTTGATGAAAACAAAACATGACTGAGAATTTTGAATATATTTTGATTGGTTAAAATTAAGATCGTCAATTCTAGGTTTTATCGAATTTCATACCTTATCATTTTTAGGAACAATAACGAACGTTGCCTTAATGTCACCATCTTTCATTGAGACGAAGCCACTTCTGTTCAACCAGTCGACTCCGGGGTCATCGATTTCCCAACCAATAAGAATATCTCCCAAACTACCACGTGATCTATGCAATTCAAGACGAATCGTTTCACCTTCCATGGCGTTTAATCGAAGAAAGAAGACGCGAAGCTGACCACACCAAATGCATCATCGCTGGCGAGAATTGTAATGATAGCTAATCCTCCTGTGCCTATTTGAGCTGTGAATGAACACCAGAAAAGGACATTCAGTATATGAACAAGAAGTATTTATTTTTACTTTTCAAAAACCCACAAACGGATCCATGGACACCCTCTCAGTAATTCATCAAACTATTTTTTCCATACCTCCATTTTTGGGATCATACAGCTCGACTTGAAAAGTCTTGTCGAGCTCTGGATTATTATTATCAATAATGGTAAGATCAATACTTGTGCTCAGAACTCCTGCGTTTAGTGAGAAAGTATCCGCATCATCACGGTAATCTCTATTAGCGATGGCAGTCAATGGTTGTAGCTTCCATGAGCATCTTATGTTTCCTTGGAGAAAAGAATTGTGATCATAACACGATATCATCATAGCTTTGCCTTTGGATACAGTTAAGGCTGTTCCTGTTCATTCATCATTTCACTGTAGAAACTAATTGGTTAAAATAACCATAAAAATTGGTTACCTCTTGATGCATTTGACCACTTTAACCAATTTTTTAAACTTACTTTAACCAATCATATCGTTATTTTAACCAATCAGTTTTTAAAGTGTTCCTACACCTACACATGTTAAATTGCGTAGTTTATATTTTAGCTAGTGTAAAGACTGTTCTTGTTCTCTGTTGTTCATTCATCACTTTCTACATTGACACACGTTATCTTAGTTTATATTTTAGGTAGTGTAAAGACAGTTCTTGTTTTCTGTTGTTCATTCATCACTACCTACACTGACACACGTTATCTTAGTTTATATTTCAGGTTGTGTAAAAACTGTTCATGTTCACTGTTGTTCATTCATCACTACATACACTGACACGGAAGTTATTTAAATTCCCATTGTAGGTCCGCTAAAAAAATGCCAAAAGTAAAATAAAGGTTTCTTGACATTTTGAGCAAAGGTTCCTCCCTCGTATATCAACATAATATTAACAAGATATAATATTTAATTTAGGTTTTCCTAACCTAACATTCCTTGGGCTCTGACAATGAACAATTTAAACGTCCCAATACTTTCGCGCACATTCATTTTGAATACATGATTTAGCTCTGATATATTTTCCCGAGAGACTGGCATTTCGCTGGCAAACTGCAACAAGCCATAGGGGGAATCGTTTTCGGTTATGGTTATGTTCGCTACGAAGAAGTTAAAGCTGACGCTAGCACCGCTTGTTGCTGTACTCTCGTCTTTGCCGTCATTTGACTGGGCCGAAATTAAACGTAGTTGAAATCTTTCAAGTAATTCAGGCATATTATCGTTTACAACAGAAATAGTAAGATCCTAAACAAAATACACAATTCGAAAGATCACTTTTACAAAACTATATATAGTTAGCAGTAAATTATACAAGTATCAAAGAATAGCCAAAGAAATAAGGACACAAACCAACACAACGAAAGTTATGAAAGTCTTTACCTTGACCTTTTCATTGTCAACAAACGTCAATAAACCAGAAGAATGCACGAAGTCGTCTGAAGCAAAAGATCCGTTTTCATTAAAAATCCTCCAAGAAACATCAACCGTACCAAGAAAGCCCAGAGTTCTTTCAACTCTAAATGACATATTCCCAACGCTTTCAGATACCGTTCTCGCCAATGATTGGCCAGTTTCAAACATAAAAAGACCATTTGCATTGTCGCTTTTAACACTGAGAAAGAAAAAAGTTGTGAGATTAAAAATGGGCATTTAATATTCCTTTCGGGCATAGAAAGTTTTTTAGTTCGGAATTACCAGTCAGCAAAGCTTTAGATTTGCTTGAATCGTCTACATCAGCACCTCCTAGACCGCTGACCAAAATGACCGAATAAGATCTTTCATCCTCCGCCCGAGAGTTATCCACTGTCGTTAAGTTAATGAAACGAAACGCAATGCTTTGTGGGTAGTAAAGATATCCATTAATGGGAAGAATGTCAGACACGGGAGTGGCAATGACGCTCACCTCACTATAACGTAAAGAATCATAAAATGTTTAGAGTATAGATTAAATTGTCGTGGAGCAAGGAAAACGCAATGCTTTGTGGGTAGTAAAGATATCCATTTATGGGAAGAATGTCAGACACGGGAGTGGCAATGACGCTCACTTCACTATAACGTAAAGAATCATAAAATGTTTAGAGTATAGATTAAATTGTCGTGGAGCAAGGAAAACGCAATGCTTTGTGGGTAGTAAAGATATCCATTTATGGGAAGAATGTCAGTAAAGAATCATAAAATGTTTACAGGATAGACTAAATTGTCGTGGAGCAAGGAAAACGCAGGGGCCGGTAGCACGAAGCCTGGATAGCGTTATCCATTGGATAGCAATTTTTAGAACTTTATAAAACCTTTTAAAAAACAAAAAATGAAAGATTCGAACTGAGCAACCACTGAAATAAAATATTGTTTCGAAGATTACGAAATTTCCTTTTCGTTTTCGTAAGACAAATACAAACATCTTTTTTAAAAATATGAAAATTTGTGCTGTCCAATGGACAACGCTATCCAGACTTCGTGCAACTGGCTGCAGATCTTTATCATTGATATCATCTGCTTATCACAAGTCAATACCATAATAACAATTTCTACATCTCGTTAAACTCGTGGCTATGAATATCGTGAGATCATGCAACCGGAAATATTTTGGAATGTTAGTGCATCAACAATCATCTTCTTTTTACATTAAAGAAATATAACTGCAAACAGTGACCATGCGAATAAAAGAAATACATTAACTGCCAACCAGTTACTAAATCAAAGAAAAAATAACAACTGCCAACCAGTTACTAAATGAAACAAAAACACGATAACTGCGAACCAGTTACTAAGCAAAAGAAATACAGTAACTGACAAGAAGTTACTAAATCAAAGAAAAAATAACAACTGCTAACCAGTTACTTAATCAAACAAAAACACGATAACTGCAAACCAGTTACTAAATCAAAGAAAAAATAACAACTGCCAACCAGTTACTAAATGAAACAAAAACAAGATAACTGCCAACCAGTTACTAAATCACAATAAAGATAACAACTGCCAACCAGTTACTAAATCAAACAAAAACACGATAACTGCGAACCAGTTACTAAATCAAAGAAACACAATAACTACCACCCTCATATTACAGAATAATACACACTGTGCTATGTGTAATTTCACCTTTGTTGAAGAAATTTTGTGAAGATTTTCACGTCTTGCAACAAGCCATCATAATGATCCACTTTGGGTTTTGTTGCTCCAAGATAGAGAGAACTTTTCTTGTCACCCATGGCGCTGCTGAACTGGAAAGAACTGAAACAATGACACACATTAAACAATTTTCATTTCTTAGTCAAAATATAATTATCTTTTGTCATAAACCGCAGTATAGATGTATCAAGAGATGCACCTTGATCCAATAGACCTTCCATTATAGTAAAACGAGATTCTTGTTTGACTGGAGAGCGCGACCATTACATTATGCCAGCTACCATCAAGGATGTTTGAACCGTTTGGAAATGGTATCTGCAATATTAAAGACAATTTGATTCGACTTACTACATGTGGCGGGTGTTTCTCTAACACGAACCGTTCTTGGACTTGCAGAAACGTTTTTTAATCATTTAAAACCATTAAATTAAACACAAATGGAAGGCTACTTCACGCCAAATAGGAACTCAGCCATTCAACTAATCCAAATCTTTCCATGCATGTTAAAAAAGTTCATTACAAAGTAAGTTATAATTCGGAACTCATCACTTGTCTGGAAGTAAAATTTATCTAGATGGAAGTACATAGGAATGCTTTTCTCTCGGTATCCTTCCAGTTATATATTGGTTCAGTGTTTAAGACCGAAATTACAAATACCTGAATGGATAAACAGGTACATTGAGAAATGAATAAACAGGTAAATTGAAGATGGATAAACAGGTACGTTGAAGAATCTCTTACTGTAAAAGTTCGTTTTCCAGTTGTTGTCATTACTTCAAAAGTTAAATTCACTTTACTAGGATGGCATCAACGAGAAGACGAAATGCGACGTCTCCTGACGGAAGAACTTTTGAAAGAATCGTACCATTCCGGTGAGATTTCGGCCGCAACCAGGCACTGCATTATGACAAAAAAGACATCAGCAAAAGTATCAAATTAATTTTCTGGTTTCACCAGTCAATTATGAATCGAAAAGTTGACAAAACATAAATCGTAGACAGAAATGTTTTTGTAAATTAAAAGTTTAAATGCTTGAGTGAAACTCCTCTACTTTGAAAAAGTGAAATCAGGAATTGAAGTCGATCCAGCCTGCAGCGAGAACTCTATATGAGTGGTGTACATTAAATAAAACAGAGTTTGCAATGCAGGCTGTGTTTGATCAAAGCGGAGTCTAACTGACATCTTGGGTACACAATACATGAACTACGCACGCTTCACATACAAGATATAAAATATTACCTCACTGTGAACTCCTTATCGAGAACAGAGGACAGAGAGTTCAAAACTGCGTAAGAATCTGTCATAAAGTGCAGATATGCTCATGAATTGTTATTCAATAAATAATTTTTGAAAAAGGGAAGTTGCAAATTACATCAAAACATAAACTATCACAAACCAACCATTGCTTGGGGTAAATTCCAATGCAAAACTCCCAGTGTTTGGTCTCTTTATTTCACTATCATCCACAATTCTTGCTCTTCTGCTGTCGCTCAAAAACACGATATCCCAAATTTCTCCTAGATTAGCTACGCCATTAGCTTTATAAATGCACCAAGAGACCTAAAGTCAATAAACAAAATAAATTAAAGTGAATCAATGCCAAAGTGCTATGGGTTTAATAAAACGGTCAATAATCGATTTGCAAAATTATGTTACGAAACTCATCAGCAATAGCCTTTTTACTAAATAAAATGTTAAAAAAACGTGAGTGTGTGAGTGAGTTTTGATTGGCTTGCGGCAACTTTTTTCTCTATTATCTGTTAATCACGTAAATCTTACTCCAACATCTCTGTCCAGTCCGCGCGTTCGGGCTACAGTCAGGTTAGCAGTTGCCTGAAATTCGCGTCCAGGTAACCTATCTTCAGCAACTTTCACGTCTCGAGATGAAGGTGCAAAGACAAAAAGTCCATAAGGATTGTCATTGGTTGGAATATTAATGAAGGCGCGAGTGTAGTTCGATGAAAGCCGAGGGGGTGACGAGAGTGAACCACCTACAATAGACAAGATATATTTACAGACAGCTTGAATTTTTTCAGTTAAGTAATCTATAAATAGGAGATAAAAATCTGGGGCCGGTTACAAGAAGGCCGAATAGCAAATTTTTCTGAACGTTTAAAAAACATCTTAGAAAAGAAAAATATAGGACTTGAAATTCAGCATCAATGAAGAAAATATTGCTTCCGAGATTACAAAAATTTCTATGTCGTATGGAAAATATAAACAACTTTTTTTACAATTTGAAAACATTACTATCCAATGTATAACGCTATCCAGTCTTCGTGAAACCGGCCCCTGTATCAATTCTCATTGTAAACGTTAGCTAAGAACACCATTAACTGGTATGTTTTGAAATTAGATTTAATATTACTATAAAATTTGTCAAGAAAACTTTTTTTAACGAAAGACAAAAAACCACATTTTAAAATCATCCATGTCGCCCTGCAGAAAATAAGTACATCACAATCACCCGTTACATTTTCCAAGACAACTTCAAAAGATTCCTCGTACTCGGCCATATTATCAGATGATATACTTAGTACTAAATCCTTGCTATTCTCACGTTCTCCAAACACCAGGGTCCCCGAGGTTTGGTCAAAATCTTCAGAAATCAAAGCACGAAGGGAGCCGTTACGATATACTTGGTAAATTTGCCAGAAAACAGAAACGCGTCCGAAGGAGCCACGGTCTCTTTTCACCCTGATACACAAAGACGTTTCAAATATCATTTTGAATGACAATGACACATTTCTAGAATAGTTTGGACTTTATCGTAAACATGTTAAACAAAAGATCATTTAGCTTGACAGGCAAAGGACTTCATGTAACAATTCTTAATCTGATAATGATACAATTGAATGCAAGAGCGGATCCAGGATTTCATTCAGAAATGGACGAATCATTAGGAAATGTTGTAATACAAGAACATTAACGTAAAGAAGCCATGAAATTATCTGAGCTCAGGTAGGGATGTGAGCCTCGTGCATCTCCCTCTGGATCCGCGTCCGGTTAACATTGCAAGAATTTCGTTCGAAGTCTTTTATCTTCGTGTATAGCAAATTATAATCCTAAAATATGAGATTTCAGCAATCATAAATATATCATTGTTCACCTGAATCTTGCGTCTTGTCCTTCTTTTGTAGTTTTATTCAAATCATTTCTTGGATCAAAATGAAATATCCCATGCGCATCGTCATTGGCTAATATCGTCACCACAGCCACCACATTGCCATAAATGGACGTATCTCCAGTAGATGACGTAAGCACGACAGTGAAATTTTCATCAGGTTCCGGGCGGTTATCATCAGGAATGAATATCTTTATGTACTTCTGTGTCTCGCCTCGGGCAAAAAAAATCTGTCGGTTTCTGTGGTCATAATCATTGTCAATTGCCATGGCAGTATCGTCAACTATTGTATAGTTCACTGAGATTAATTCACTTGTTCGACCAAGTCGAATCACCCTAAATGTAGCATTTCCACCCTCCAAGACCTTAACTGAAGTCGGGGGTGCAAAATGGATTGCGTCATCATTCCTCAAGACAGTTAGTTGGGCTTCTCTTGGCTTCCCAAGTCTCGAACCACCTTCACTTTTTGTTAGCGCAATGGTGAAGTTTTCATCAGGTTCAGGAATCTATAAAGATATTTTTACACTTAGTAAATAAAAGATGGTTAAAGTTGCAACATATAGCTCATTAGCGAGAGTTTCGGAAACAATTTTAGGGTTTGTACAGACAGTTTTCAACAAACTAACACAATAGCACATACAGATGCTGTACGATACAGATTTACTGTGATCGAATGACATCATCGAATGACATCATCACTGCTACGTTTGGTGGATCTGATCCTGATCATGGAAAAAATTGCTCAAATTTACATTATCAGATGAAAAAAGAATTAACGCAGTTTCAATCTTCCAAAAAAAGATATTACACTAATGTTATTTTGATTTATTCACAAACCTCGTCAGGTAAGGAAACGATTTCAAAGAACGCATATTTTGCACGGTCACCAAATGAAACGTTTCCAGAAGTCGGAGAAATATCCCAAGATGCATTTGCACGCGGTGTAATACTCCACCAAACAATGATGTCACCAAAACGACCACGCTGTCGTTCAAGAACAAACCTTGTTGATCTCCTGTCATCTCCTTTACTCTCCACTGCTCAAAGACAAACGAAAATAAAAACAGAAAATATAATATAGACATCACCTTGTCTATCTAAACACTAAAATGCCAAGTTCTATTATACAAACCAATATAGAGCGATGTATTGGCGAAGACAATAATCCCATTCGCGTCGTCATTCGCTAGGATTGTTACATTAACTTGTGTGATATTACCCAGAATGCCTTGCTGTTTTTGAGGACCATATGGCAAAAGCGTAAATGTTATAGTCTTGTTTGGCTAACACATGAGAAATACATGACGATCAATGATTGGTTAGTTTATGATATGTAACTAAAGACTAGAGTACATGAGAAATACGTGAAGATCGATGATATGGTTAGTTTATGATATATAACTAAAGACTAGAGTACTAAAGGTCAAGACTTTAATCATTACTACTAATAGCAATTTCAGCATTAAAGCTAGCATCATCCTTTGACTGGAAGCTGGTACTTAAAAAATTTCATTATCACTCTTCATTTTCATCAATGGATAAACAGTTTTAAATTCCATCACGACCTAATTTTTTCGTTGTTCACAAGCGATTTGCTAATTTATAATTTTTACATTTGGACAAATCCGGATGATCCTTAACATCAATAAACATCAAATTTCGATCATCAGAAATTGTAAGTTGTGGGACATGAACTTATATCTTGGTAGAGATACTTTTTCAATTCGATAAATACCTCTGGGACATTGTCATCTTTCACATAAAATATTTTCGTTTTTCGCGTAACACCGTTTGGCTCAAAAATTAACACTCCTTCTCCAGATTCAAACTCTGCTGTATCTAAAAATTGATAAGAGACGTTGGTATTCAAAAGTTTTATGACTTCTTTAGGCAAAAGAACCAAATCACCTGACGCTTGAATTTTAACCAAGCGTTTATCCAAATTACCACGAAGCCGAACAACAGTGACTTCCACTTCGTTGTTAGCAACTTCCTTTAAAAATGTATGTTACATATCATAAATGAAGATATTATATTTCACCATCTACTACTCTAACAAATGTTTAAGCTGCATAGCAACTGAAAACTGGTTGCTCATCACTTTATATAAGTCATTTTAATAAGCATCTCATTTCTAAGATCCGATTCAATACATCATATTTATTTTAGAGACAATATGGAGGGTTTGTTCAGCTATTTACGAGGTAAAATGTAAGTTTCTTCTTCCCCCCAAAAAACCGTCGATGGAGATAGATGCTTCTCTCAAACATAAAACATTCTTAATGTCAACGACACTCAAAACTTACAAAAAGCTCCACAGGTTTGACTGCAGCAATTTCGAATATTCCTTCAGCAAAGTCATTTCTGTTTATGGTCAAAATTAGTTCCGACTGTGAAAGAATTGAGAAAATACATAAAACTAAGCTGGCGAGGACAATTTACATCACAAGTTATATTGCGCAAGAGCAAAAAGGCTTTTAATAAAAAATGATCACATGAAATAACTGGAATGTCCTCAGTGCTGACCATAAGAAAGTAATACTGTAAAAAAATTAGTTGTGATCATGGAAGATCATTCTTGCACATACCGAGCTCTCCTGTAATCTCTGATTCGACTGGGAAACATTGACAAGGCGAATTGCGAAAACTTCGTCCAGTTCCGGTTCATCATCGGCAAGAATATTAAGAGTGATATGGACTAAATTCTCCCCTAAAAACGAGAAGACGAAAAATCTCAAATAAAACTGATTATTGTGGTAGATTATACACGGATTGCATCAATGGAAACCATTTTTCACCATCATGATGTTTCATAAGTCAGGCAAATATAGAAGGGTCAGTGAACATCAAAAAACTACCTTTTTCAAATACTAGACTTCCACTGGTCGGTAATACGTCATCACCCGAGTCTGCTCCAATAATACTCCAGGATAATGAAGCTCTATGAAGTGTACCATCTCTTACAACAGGAAGAGTGATGATAGTCTGACCATTCTCCGGTTCATTCACTGACATCATGGTTGACTTAAATCCAATCTCGCCATCCGCGAACTGCGCATGAACTGTAAGGCGTACGGTAGAGCGTGGGCCCAAACGAGGGGACTTTGGTTGAACTAGTAAGTTGTCTATAAATGGAATATTCACACAACCTTGATTTGTAGTTAACTAATTGACATTTACTGGTTCTCTAAAATTACTTTGTCATCTGTAGTTCATTCATTACAACTTCATTTATAAACATTGTCTTTTTTTATATTCTAAATAAGACTTTCTTCGATCATCCCTACCAAAACCCACACACGTTATCTTAGTTTATTCTTTCCGCAGTATAAAGATTGTTCTTGTTCTCTGTTATTCTTCCATCACTACCTACACTGACACACTTTATCTTAGTTTATATTTTAGCTAGTGTAAAGACTGTTCTTGTTCTCTGTTATTCTTCCATCACTACCTACACTGACACACGTTATCTTAGTTTATATTTTAGCTAGTGTAAAGATTGTTCTTGTTCTCTGTTCTTCTTCCTACACACTACCTACACTGACACACGTTATCTTAGTTTATATTTTATCTAGTACAACAGACTGTTCTTTTTCTCTGTTCTCTGTTATTCATCACTACCTACACTGACACATGTTATCTTAGTTTATATTTTAGCTAGTGTAAAGATTGTTCTTGTTCTCTGTTATTCTTCCATCACTACCTACACTGACACACGTTATCTTAGTTTATATTTTAGCTAGTGTAAAGACTGTTCTTGTTCTCTGTTATTCTTCCATCACTACCTACACTGACACATGTTATCTTAGTTTATATTTTAGCTAGTGTAAAGACTGTTCTTGTTCTCTGTTATTCTTCCATCACTACCTACACTGACACACGTTATCTTAGTTTATATTTTAGTGTAAAGATGTTCTTGTTCTCTGTTATTCTTCCATCACTACCTACACTGTGTTATCTTAGTTTATATTGTACTAGTGTAAAGACTGTTCTTGTTCTCTGTTATTCTTCCATCACTACCTACACTGACACACGTTATCTTAGTTTATATTTTAGCTAGTGTAAAGACTGTTCTTGTTCTCTGTTATTCTTCCATCACTACCTACACTGACACACTTTATCTTAGTTTATATTTTAGCTAGTGTAAAGACTGTTCTTGTTCTCTGTTATTCTTCCATCACTACCTACACTGACACACGTTATCTTAGTTTATATTTTAGCTAGTGTAAAGACTGTTCTTGTTCTCTGTTGTTCATTCATCACTGTTATCTTAGTTTATATTTTAGCTAGTGTAAAGACTGTTCTTGTTCTCTGTTATTCTTCCATCATTTCCTACACTGACATACGTTATCTTAGTTTATATTTTAGAAAGTGTAAAGACTGTTCTTGTTCTCTGTTATTCTTCCATCACTACCTACACTGACACACGTTATCTTAGTTTATAATTTAGTTAGTGTAAAGACTGTTCTTGTTCTCTGTTATTCTTCCATCACTACCTACACTGACACATGTTATCTTAGTTTATATTGTAGATAGTGTAAAGACCGTTCTTGTTCTCTGTTGTTCATTCATCACTACCTACACAGACACAAGTTATCCTATAGTTTATATTTTAGGTAGTGCGAAGAAAATTCTATTTGTTTAATCATTTCAATGATTATACATCACATACCAGGATTTATCAATTTGAGCGAAGTTAAAGTTATCTGAAATACAGAATTGGCTTCAATAAATCCGTCCTTTGAAATCACCAAAGTAAACGACGCATTGCGTTCATACGACTTAAGAGTTACAACGTCGTGATTTTTAATGCCAACGTTGCTGGTCTCGTTTCTGCCATCACTTGTATAATATGTTATCAGATAAGCAACAGAGACGTCACCAAATTCACCCCTCGTTCGTGATATTGTGAAGCTAATTGTACGAGAAACATTTGTCTACAACGAAAACATTGACAATGGTTTTGAAAAATGTGGCAAACATGATAAACAGTATAGAGATTTTAAAGAAAACTCTTATTTTAAAATCCACTCGTAAAATAATAAAAATGTCGCCACCCTCCGTTGGAATGCCATTCAAAACAAGGGTGTAATGTAGTGGAAACAGCAACGAAACTGGTTAGCTTATTTTGCCAACCACTTGCAAAGCCGATTCCTGTCTAGAAGTCTAGATTCTAGGACAGATTGGCTCATGATCCATATTATACAACTTACCATATTGAGGAAAGTATCGTTTGCGATTTGAAATAGCCCATAAACATCGTCACTATCCCTCACAATCACCCTCACGAATCTGAAAGACGGATCATTTGTAACTCTTCCATTGGTGACCGACTTGAGTTCAAAAATAAACGAAAAGGCCGTTTCAGGTATCACGTCATCAGTTACATTAACGACCACCATCTTTGTTCGCTCGCCATCAAAAAAAGTCACCGTACCATTTAAAGGTGAGATTTGCTGAGCTAGATCGTCAACGGTGGCATGCAACAGCCATGAAACGTTGACCAAACCATGAGTACCAGCATTTCTATATATCGTCAACACAAGACTATTTCTTGTTCCATCTTCATCTAATGTAAGGTTTTTCATATCATCACGCACTATCACAAATACACCTGCATAGTCGTCATTTTTCTGTATCTGTATGGTACACACGTATGGGAATACTAAACTTAGATCTGCGCTCTGATTGGTCAGACGTACGGTAAAATTTTCTGATGTCTCTGGTACGTTGTCATTAATGATGGTAACATTAATTCTAGCCCTAGTCTGCCCAGGATGAAACATCACTAATCCCCGACCGTGTGTAAAGTCCTGGCCAGCGACGGCACTACCTGATTGTAGGTACCACGATACATTACTGGTACGTGTGACAGATGCTATCGTATTGGTACCACTCTGGTCCAGACCTTTATACACCCACAACTCAACGTATGTTTGATTCTCAGGAATGGTTATATGTCCTAGAGCAAATCTGACAGGAATGTCGTTCGCTAGAATTGTGACTGTGGTCTTTGCAAGAGTCATGTTTAAACGAGCGCCACCTGATACTGACGTCAATTCAAAATTAATAAACTCATCCTTTTCTGTTTTCTAGAAATCAAAAGGAAAAACGTCAGTTGAGGTGAGCATTTACAACAGAGCTTCAGAAGGTCGTTTTGCGAAAATTACAAAGTTTTTCATGACATTCAGATAAATATAAAAAGGTGTTAGTAAATGTAGTATAAAATGGAGGAAACTAGGAGAGGAAGAGAGACAAAAATGAAAGACGAAGAAATCGAAACGAGGAAAAAATAGAGGAGAGAAAAGAAGAAAAAGGACAAAATTAAAAGAGGTGGAGAAAGAGGAAGACAAAGAGATGTAAAAAGAAAAAGACAAAGAGAAATAAAAAAGATGAGAAATGAGAAAGAGACGAAATATATAGGAAGGGGAAAATAATACATTATAAATTTAGGTTCTTTCGCAATCACCAACATGTATAGTCATAAATTAAAAGACACCTAATTCTGCTAGTAGCTAAGCACACGTCAAAATCAATTACGGTCAAATCAGTCAACTAAATTCAGAACAAAAACAAATTCATAAACGCGGCCTGGAGTAGTTCTGGTAACCAACCATGTCATGACGAACATAAAACACAGCGTGGCCAACACTGATTCCATCTTTGAAAATCAATGAACCAGACAAAGGATGAATATCGTTTGCCGCTGTCAAAGATGTGGCCTTAAAGAAAAGAATAAATGAGACGTTGTAAGCTGTACTTTCTACAGGGTAACTGTATTAAGGAAAAACTTATAAAATACTTTAATATTCAATTGTGCTCACATTCCACTGGACTGTAATTTGTCCAAATGCACCAACGCTTCTTCTTATTTGTAATTTCGCCATTCGATCAAATGAAGAAGACGCAAGTGGTTCTTGAACACGTAAACCGTTGGGCTGTTGTAAGAAAAAGAAGATTCATCTGTTTAAGGCTTGCAGTTATAAGAGCCAACATCTTCACCCGAAGCCACATTGGGGTCCCCTAAATATTTGTGAAATATGTAGAGGAAGTCGCTCCCTGTCGCTATCAAATACAGTCACAACAAAAGTCACTCCAAGAACGTAAAACAACACACAATGTTTTAGGCGAGGTTTGTCTCCGCAGAAAACTCACCATGTCAAAACCTAACACTCCGTTACCATCATCATTAGCTAAAATCTTGATGAGAGACATTCCAACACCAATCGTTGCATTTCCTGATAGTATCTTCAGTTGGACGTAAAATTTTTCATCACCTTCTGGTATGGAGTCATCACGGACAAAAAATTGACATCTAGACGATCTCTGATCCTTCTGGATTTCTGCAGTTTGCACTTGAGGATTGTGGAAGTCAGCTGTAGAGTTCAGTATCTAAAGATGGAATGGTTTAAGTGATTATTTGTCTTTTGAAAGCAGGGGGTCATCCATCCTTCTGTCGAATATTTTCACAAAGGATGAACAAATGTTTCAATTTGCATCAATCTAGTATCCTGGAGTAATCTCATGTAGAACTTTGTTTCCTTTTACACTCCAATCTGGTGTCTTCGTTAAGATAAGAGAGATGCGGCGACGAAACTCTAGGGTCTATGTACTCCAGTCTAATATCTTCGTCAGATTCTTCAAGATATGACATTCAAATCGTAGACATTATATTTACAAAGCAGTTTTTTCATGTGCATACCATATCGATGTGAGCGTACAAAAATACAAACCGTGCATCTAAAGGAAATCCTGCTTTTGGTCAATGAGCTACTGTCGATATTCAAAATCACTTCATCGAAATCCCTTTCTTCCACTTCCACCACTGTTTCATTGAATGAGATTGTCAGCGATGACGTTGAAGACAGGGCAGAGATAATCATGAACGATGCCCAGAGACTTTGATTCATCTAAATTAAAAATAAGTCAAAAATATGATTCATACAATATGTATATATATATATCGGGCATCGTAAATATATGTAGTGATGTTGAAAAAAATCACGAAAACTACAGATTCATCCCGACAAGCCTGTTTCGTGGTTTCTCACTCTTCAGGGGATTTAAGAGTGAGCAATCACGAAACAGGCTTGTCGGGATGAATCTGTAGTTTTCGTAATTTTTTTCAACATCACTACATCTAGCACTTTTTATACGGAGAATCATCATATATAAACTTCTTATATTAATATACATATATATTGACGATTATGTAGCGAGTGCTTTAACCTCGTGAGAGTTTTTGCGATGTACTGTGATTTTTGTATCGCTCCGGTAAATCACAGGTTCTTTTTTTAAACGTGTCCGAATAATCATGCAAATCATACGGCGGGCAGGGATTGCGGGTATGAAAATTTGGATTATTGCAAAGTGAGTGCTTACAGCCATGAAAAAACTCATATTTAAAAACAATAGAAAAGATGTCTTTCTTAGGTACACGCACGTTCGTACACCTGAGAGAGGATGGCCAGATATGCAGCAGTACATCGGTGTACATTCTGAACTTCTTAAGACCAACTACAGCTCTATTGCCGAAAAAAATTAAGTTATCAACAGCAAACCAAAGATAATCTGCTCTTCTTCCTTGAAAGTTGAAAGTCTGTGTAATCCGAGACCATAACGCGTGGTGAAGTTTACATAGCAACGGAAAACGAAACCACCACGTTCAGCAAAACCAGACAAAAATCACAAGAGGCAATACTAGAATTCTTTGCGTGAAACGGCTTTTCATCATTAGGAAAACGTTCATTTTCTACCGCCATATATGATGATGGAAAAAGTTATTTGTACGAAAATAAATGTCAAGTTAATTGATGTTTATAAACAAATAAATTTATGAACAGAAGAGAAGTCGGCGTTTTGCATTCTGTAAACATTAATCTATAAAACAAGATAAAATTCAATTCCGAATCCTTATGTATCATTTCATAAAAGGAGGTTATTTAACTTCAGGAGTCAGTTAAATTGTCTTGCGCAAATTGTTTTGATTTGGTAACCAAGGACGCTTTGTCGCTTGATTAAATGCACTGTAACGAAAACCTATTCTAAATGTGATTTACAAACTTAATGTCTAACTTACTAATGATGGTGCACAGAAGTTGCAGCTACGTTTTGCAAAACAAATGCAACGATAGATTGCGATAGAAAATTCATTATAGTTTAAAATATCACAGCTTATGACAGGTCGCTAAGAACGACGTCTTCGTATGAACGAGCAAAGAAATTTTGGGAAAAAAACGAATTAAATAAGCACAATTCAAAATTTTCAGCAAATAGTAATTGGTGCACTCGAACAAATAATCACGGAAATTTGTTAACTATCAAAAAAATCTGTAACAGGATTATACATACCATTCAAATACTCGAACCATCAATATATATATATATACCTTTCTGGCTTTCTCTGTCTGCGTAAACCAGATTGTCCTCACAATCAATTTGGACGCCTCTGAATTTATTCACTTGAATTTGATCCTTCAAACAGCCGAAACATGTTTACTAAACGCTCAGTACAATCAAGTTCTAGTATTCTACTTGAAAATTTTTGTTGAAATTTTCGTACATAAATTAAATTTTGCAAAGTCACTGCTGACCATTGTCTTTCTTGAGCCCGCACTATGACAACGCGTTTTTCACACTAATCAGTGGTTTTTCGTAGTTTTTCAAGCATTGTTCTCTTCCTGTTGCCTAGATATACCAATCACAAACTCACAATACCGCAAGGTTTTTACAAAAGATTTTTTTACCCAGAAACCTGTGGTCTTTATTTTGTTTGAAAAACGTGTATCACTCACATTTATGGTACGCACAGGCATGCCTTAAAAGTGAATTTTCCTTGGACTTTTTGCGTCGATCTTTTGGTTACTAGCATAAAAATGTCAAAAATATTCAACAATAAATATATAATTTATTTGGCTCATATTCTTCCATGCAAGCAAGGAGTAAATTGGCCTAATTCATCCAGGTTCTAAATGCGGTCTTTGACTTACACAAGCACAGCTAGATTACGTCATAGTTTATTCGAAATATCAAATATATAAAAATATACAATCTACTTTGGCTATGTGCGCAAACATAACAGACAGCAATATGGAAACTGGATGAAATGGGCTACGTAGGATTTTTGAAAAATCCAGAGTTACATACAGCAGAGACTAAATGGCACAACTAATATTTTCACGACACAAAATCTCTATGCCGGCTGGCTATTTCTTCTCCACGCAAGACTCCTTTCCATCCTGGTTGTGTTATATAATTTACGCAACAATTAACATGATAATCAGTCATATCTAATATGACTTGAAGTAAATAATCCAAGAAAATTTATCGCACAACGAACAACTCAGTGGAATCCACAAAGAGTATTGACTTCTTAACTTCTTAAAAAAGCAATTACTTTTAAGTTTGCTGCAATGTCCAGTCCATACTGAAATGAATTCGATCTCACAATGTGAACATAGTTTAATTTATACAAGTTAGCTACCTCGTCCTAAAGGTCAGCAACTAATGTCTAGCAATGCCTAACCCTTTCTTTACCACCATAATTGTTTTACAAGTCATATTTACTATAATATAATACATTTATTAAACGGTGGGGACATAAAAGTCCCGTCGGTAAAAAAAGGGTAACAGAACACGTAACCAAGAAACATTCACGGACATTTTCAAATTTCAAACTATATCCACAACGAAACTTTACAAGATTCCTCGCACATACACATCAATGACATCATTGCTTCAACATAGTTGCCAAACGAAAAGGGGACTGGGACTGGCATGTCATCCTCCGAATCTTAGCTTCTACTACTCACTTCAATATTTGTGCATGTATTTTGGGGCAGTTTTCACAGCATCTCTCTCTCCATGTCTTGAACAAACACAATTCGCTCAACGATGGTTTTCGCAGCAAATTACAAAAGTGAGCATCGCCGTATGATTGCTTACATCTTCTGTTTATTGGCGGCTTTCGGTCAACTAAAATAATAGCATGTATATTATTGGTTGTAACGATTCACCGTTCATATAAATTGCGATGGCATGACAACCAACTGATTGTTCATAAGAGTCTTTCAAATAAAGCTCAATTATGTTAATTATCCACAAAAAAAGATATACATGGACAAGAGAATACCTAACGATGAAGGGCATTCCACAAGTGCGCATGCTTGAAAGTTGGACGGCTTGCTCTCTCTGTTACAACCTCTAGCAAAACCACCAGTTTCCAAATCCCTGCAAATGACCCTTCTTGATCGAATACCTCCGCCACAGGACACTGGGCACTAAAACAGCATGGACTCAAACATTACGTCAGGCAATCGCCAACAAAGTCTGAAACAAAATCCCTCAAAGTCATGGACGTTGAATGACAGAACCATTCATAAATTACTCACCCTGTACCAGTCCCCAGTCTCCCACTCTTTACACTTAGACAGCTGACATCTTTTTCGCCCAATTGGTTTCGTGCGCATGTCACACCTTCTGTCTTCACCATGACACCAAACACGACGCGTCATTTCTGCCTTCTTGCACGAACCTTTACACTACCAAAAGTGTAAGAGGAAAGTTAAAAAAGATCAAAGACGTCATTGTTCAAAAAACAATTTTGCTGTGGAAACACTTGATTATTGAACATTAATAAACCTACTTTACTCCAAGGACCCGTCTTCCAGCTGGGACATTCGGCTTTACAATGCCCACGCACAACCGGTTTTTTGCTTTGGTCGCAATCAAGTTCATTTTCCGAAGTGCATGTGACAAAACGCGTCCGCATTCCATTGGGACATTTACGTAGAGTAATTTTACATTTTGACCAGTTACCAACAATCCATACAGGACAGCCCATATTATTACAATCTTCACGGTTAACAGGCTTCTTTTCTTTACATTGTAAACTTGAACTACCCGAACATTTAACTGTACGAGTTCTCTCTCCAGAGCCACAAGACTTGGAACATTCACTCCAATTACCTACAATCCATACAGGACAGTCTATATTATTACAGTCTTCACGGTTAACAGGCTTCTTTTCTTTACATTGTAAACTCGAACTACCCGAACATTTAACTGTACGAGTTCTCTCCAGAGCCACAAGACTTGGAACATTCACTCCAATTACCTACAATCCATATAGGACAGTCTATATTATTACAATCTTCACGGTTAACAGGCTTCATTTCTTTACATTGTAAACTTGAACTACCCGAACATTTAACTGTACGAGTTCTCTCTCCAGAGCCACAAGACTTGGAACATTCACTCCAATTACCTACAATCCATACAGGACAGTCTATATTATTACAGTCTTCACGGTTAACAGGCTTCTTTTCTTTACATTGTAAACTCGAACTACCCGAACATTTAACTGTACGAGTTCTCTCTCCGGAGCCACAAGACTTGGAACATTCACTCCAATTACCTACAATCCATACAGGACAGTCTATATTATTACAGTCTTCACGGTTAACAGGCTTCTTTTCTTTACATTGTTGACTTGAACTACCCGAACATTTAACTGTACGAGTTCTCTCTCCAGAGCCACAAGACTTGGAACATTCACTCCAATTACCTACAATCCATACAGGACAGTCTATATTATTACAGTCTTCACGGTTAACAGGCTTCTTTTCTTTACATTGTAAACTCGAACTACCCGAACATTTAACTGTACGAGTTCTCTCTCCAGAGCCACAAGACTTGGAACATTCACTCCAATTACCTACAATCCATACAGGACAGTCTATATTATTACAGTCTTCACGGTTAACAGGCTTCTTTTCTTTACATTGTAAACTCGAACTACCCGAACATTTAACTGTACGAGTTCTCTCTCCAGAGCCACAAGACTTGGAACATTCACTCCAATTACCAACAATCCATACAGGACAGTCTATTTTATTACAGTCTTCACGGTTAACAGGCTTCTTTTCTTTACATTGTAAACTTGAACTACCCGAACATTTAACTGTACGAGTTCTCTCTCCAGAGCCACAAGACTTGGAACATTCACTCCAATTACCTACAATCCATATAGGACAGTCTATATTATTACAATCTTCACGGTTAACAGGCTTCATTTCTTTACATTGTAAACTTGAACTACCCGAACATTTAACTGTACGAGTTCTCTCTCCAGAGCCACAAGACTTGGAACATTCACTCCAATTACCTACAATCCATACAGGACAGTCTATATTATTACAGTCTTCACGGTTAACAGGCTTCTTTTCTTTACATTGTTGACTTGAACTACCCGAACATTTAACTGTACGAGTTCTCTCTCCGGAGCCACAAGACTTGGAACATTCACTCCAATTACCTACAATCCATGCAGGACAGTCTATATTATTACAGTCTTCGCGGTTAACAGGCTTCTTTTCTTTACATTGTAAACTTGAACTACCCGAACATTTAACTGTACGAGTTCTCTCTCCAGAGCCACAAGACTTGGAACATTCACTCCAATTACCAACAATCCATACAGGACAGTCTATATTATTACAGTCTTCACGATTAACAGGCTTCTTTTCTTCACATTGTAGATTCGAACTACCCAAACACTTAACTGTACGAGTTCTCTCTCCAGAGCCACAAGACTTGGAACATTCACTCCAATTACCAACAATCCATACAGGACAGTCTATATTATTACAATTTTCACGGTTAACAGGCTTTTTTTCTTCACATTGTAGATTCGAGCTACCCGAACACTTAACTGTACGAGTTCTCTCTCCAGAGCCACAAGACTTGGAGCATTCACTCCAATTACCTACAGACCATTTAGGGCAAGGCATTTCACCACAAGCTCTACTGAAAGATGGTTTGAGAACATCTAAGCATTTACCAACAAGGCTATTCTTGCAGATAACAGTACGTCTTTGAATACCTCCATCACAAGATTTCGAGCATTCGGACCATTCACCAGTTGACCATTCAGGGCATGGTAAATATGAGCACTCTTGGCTTGTTATCGGTTTGTCTGCTACTGAGCAATTACCAAACTTACTATTCACACAAGTGACATTTCTAATCTTAATGCCCCCATTACAAGATTTTGAGCATTTTGACCACTGACCAGCAGACCATTCCGGACACGGTTTGTTGTTACAATCTGAGGTAGTTTGAGGTTTGTCACTCACTAAACAACCGCCAAATTCCTTGTTTTCACACGAGATGTTTCTGACTTTTAACCCACCACCACAGGACTTAGAACAATCTGACCAATCACCAGCACTCCATTTTGAACAAGGTGCAACTGCGCAAGACCGACTACTGTTTGGTTTTTCATCAATAGAACAATCACCAAATTCATTATAAACACAATGGACGCTTCTTGTCTGAAATCCACCACCACAGGATTTAGAGCACTTAGTCCAATTGCCAAGAGACCAAACAGGACATGGTTTAAGACCACAATCTTGAACAACAATTGGCTTTAAATTGTCAGGACACTTCCCAACGTGCTTGTTTTGACATGTCACATTCCTTGTTTGAATGCCTCCTCCACAAGACTTACTGCAATAGCTCCAATTTCCGGTGGACCATACAGGACATGGCATATTACTACAAGTCTGATTTGTAGTTGGTTTAGTGTCAAGACGACACTCGCCAGACATATTTACACATTTAACTTTCCTAAATTGCACCCCACCATTACAAGTTTTGGAGCATTTGGACCATGATTCAGTTGACCAATAGGGACATGGGACATCGCCACACGTTCGATTACTCACAGGTTTAGTACTTTTTTCACACTCACCATCATCATGGTTGTTGCAAATGACTTCTCTAATTTGGGTTCCGCCATTACAAGACTTGGAACATTCGGACCATGAACCAGTAGACCAATAAGCACATGGTAGATTAACACACTTCTGCAAGCTACTAGGTTTGTTGGTTGATGAACAACGTCCGATCCTGTCATTTCTACAAGAAACATTACGTGTTTGAAATCCATCTCCGCATGTTTTAGAGCATCGTGTCCATTCGCCAACGTACCAAAAAGGGCAAGCCACTTGTCTGCATTTTCTGACAGTACGTGGCTTGTTTTCTTTTACACATTTTCCAACGTGTGAATTTGCACAGAGAACAATCCTAGCCTTCTGACCACCCCCACAGCTCTTAGAACACTTTCCCCACTTGCTAACCTTCCATTGAGGGCATGGCAGTATACCACACTTTTGATGAGCTGGGGGTTTGTGTTCAAGGGGACAATCGCCGACTTGGCTGTTGTTACATACAACATCCCGATATCGAACACCACCATTGCAAGATTTTGAACAACGAGACCATTTAGTCGCAGTCCATTCGGGACAGGGAAGCTCTCCACAACGTAATGTGGACGCAGGTTTCTTTTCAGAACTACACTCTCCGATTTCGTTGTTCTTACATGACACCCATCTCGTTTTGAAGCCACCATTACAAGAACTTGAGCATGCAGACCATTCGCTAACTGTCCATTGAGGACATAATACGTTGCCACATGGCCGACTACTTATAGGTTTAATCTTCTCCAAGCAATTACCTACATGACTATTGTTACAAGACACCACTCTGTTTTGTATTCCACCTTCACAAGTTCTTGAGCAGTCAGTCCAATTGCCAACCACCCAGTGTGGACAAGGAAAATTATTACATGTTCTTCGATATCCTGGCTTCTTCAAATGTTTACAACTAGAGCCAGAGTTACTTTGGCAGTACACAAGTCGAACTTGAACACCACCACCACAGCTACGAGTACATGGTATCCAATATTTCACTATCCACTGAGGACATCGGCCAGAATAACACGATTGGTATGTAACTGGTTTGCTGACATTAGAGCAACCAATACCAGCACAGCTCACGTTTCTTGTTTGTGTACCATTTCCACAAGTCGTTGAGCATTGAGACCAATTTCCCGCAAGCCAATCAGAACACTTCTGCTTTTGGCAAAATCTCTCTACGATCGGTTTAGGTTTTGTGCAGTTGTTTTCACCCTCATCACTGCACCTTACATCACGTTTTTGAACACCTTCACCACATGTTACGCTACAAGAGCTCCAATTACCAATTACCCATTGTCCACAACTCGGCATAATACATTCTTTAAACGACAGTGGCTTTTTGGAAGCTAGACATTGTCCACCATCGCAAGAGACGATGCGCCTTTGTTGACCACGTCCACAAGTCACGGAGCATGGACCCCATTGCAACGAGCTCCATTGACCACAAGGAGTCTCCTTGCAAGGTGTCTCAACTGTTGGTTTACCGGAGCATTTCCGGATATCACTGTGGACACAAGATGCGTTACGCTTTGAAAAGCCATGCCCGCATGTTGCATTGCATGGTCCCCAGCGTGACACAATCCACGAGCCACATCGCGACACGAAGCAATCGCGCGTTGACTCAGGCATCTCGAGAACATCACACTGTGAATTATCGTCATCACTACAGTACACTTGTCTCTTTTGAACGCCCTCACCACAGCTTCCTGAACATGGTCCCCAGTTTCCTGTCACCCATACCATGCAGTTGGCATTATTGCAAGGCCTAGTCGCATTTGGTTTCTGTGCATTGTCACAGGAATCGCTTAGACACCATACTGATCTCCTCTGAATACCTCTACCACATGTTTCTGAGCACTAAAAAATCAAAAACATGTTCAAGTCATACTCTTTTTTTTCCATGGCCGTTACTCAAATCCAATTGCTCATAATACCTACCTCTGTCCAGTTTCCAGTCTCCCAAATGTTGCATGGACGGTAGTAGCACGGTTTAACACTTTTGGGTGCGCTTAACGCACATTCTTCAGATGCAGATGCGTTACATGAAATGTTGCGAGTCTGTACTCCAATACCACAACTCACTGAGCATTTACTCCAGTTACCCACCGTCCATTTCGAGCATTGCGACCTGTTACATGGCTGGACACCAAAGGGTCTTGTTTTTTCATCACACGAGTGTACAGGATCACTGCAGGTAACGTTACGTGATTGAAACCCTTTTCCACAACTGACAGAGCATTCCGACCATTTGCTACGTAACCATTGAGGGCACTTTTCCATTGTACAATTTTCCTCAGTTTTCGGACGAGTGGAATTCGAACAAAATTTGAAAGTACATGAAACGTTTCTCATTCTAACACCTTTGCCACACGATGCAGAACAAGCAGTCCATTTACCCACAGTCCAACCAGAACACTACAATAAAATAAGGGAGCAGCACGTGTAAAAAATTTACTTTGAACTCATGAGGTTTTAAAATTCACACAAAGATAACGTCCAGCAATGTAGGTTGCTGAGTAAGCTGTAGGGAAAGAGAGAATTTTTTCAATGCCAATACATAAAATATAACTATAAGATAATGTGAGTCAATGTGGGAAGGGATAAATTGATAACTATTTTTTTTCCACCTTAAATTCATCAACGCACCTTTTCAAAGCAGATCTTTTCCACAGACGGTTTTTGTGTTTCATCGCATGTGAAATTTTCATGGCTTACTTCACATGTCACGATTCTACTTTGAACACCTTTTCCACAGATCACAGAACAGTTGCTCCAGTCTCCTGTCTTCCAAACCGGGCACATGAAGCTAGAACACGATTGCAGAGACTTTGGCTTTTCTTCAGGTAAACATAAGCTTTCGTCACGATCGTCACATGACACATTTCTACTCTGTGAGCCATTACCACAACTCGCGGAACATTCACCCCAAGGTCCAACGCGCCAACGAGAACAGGCTTCACCAAAGCATGTGCGATTGTTTATTGGTTTAGTTAAAACGTCACAACGAGACTCATTCCCAGGACACTCTACTGCTCGATATTGGCGCCCAGGACCACACATAGAGGAGCACTAGTAAGTATTAACAGCAATTAGACACTGAGTCAAATGACACAGAGTGGCCATACATGCAAATGTTTTTACTGGACTTGGTCTGATGAGATTAGAACGTATAAGCTAACCAGCATCTCCGCGGATATCAAATATTATTTACACAAATTTGAGCAACGAATACTCGATAGGATATTTTTATGATAGTAACATGTCTGGAGATATAAAATCAAAAAATATACGCCTAAATTTTATCAAATAGCAGTCGCAGCGATATAAAGAGCAGCCAGGTATAGTTTACCATCAATGTTACACGTCAATTATGCAAGCATTAATACTTACTGTTGTCGACAGTCAACAACAACAAAAACAGTTCTTCTCAGGACTATACTAACCTGGAAGATCTACATTTACAAACATGTAACGATATTCCCGAGTCCAAACCATTTACTTTATTAATACTTACATTGGACCATGGTTGTACAACCCAGCAAAGAGGCTGTCTACAAACACCTGTAGCGCTTGGTTTTTCCTTGCGACAGAACGAATCATCGATAATTCTTTGTATATTTCGAATAACACGAGTACAGATCACAGGACGAATTTTCACACCTTCGCCACAAGTTGTCGAGCATTCGTGCCACGCTCCAATCCACCAACTATAAGGAAGAAAAGCGACAAAACTCCATAACTGTAATAATTAACAGAGATATGAGCAAAATCAGCGATATCAGCGTAATCCTCCTTGCCATAACTATCACAGAAAACAGTTATAAAGCCCATAACTGCTAAAAAGAACAATGATAATCCCCATCCCATAATTGAAACCATACAAAAACCAAGGAAAAAAGCGGATAAGATTGAGGTCATCATGCTTATCATAGTGCGATCAATGCATTTAGTTGCTAAAATACATGCAACAAAGGCATGAAATACTAATAGTAATAAAATAGTAAAAAAGTATCTTTCTCACCTTGGTGGGCATTCCTTACGTCGACAGCGTTTCTTCACAAAGCGAATTAAATGTCTACAAAGTCTATCATCTACAGCATTATCCTGCTCATCAACACATAGCTTATCTCGAGTTCGAATTCCTAGAAGTATTGAATGATAAAAAACAATCAAACTTTTAACAGCGTTTTGAATAGCGACTAACAACCCGGAAGGTCGACTTTCGAAAATGGCTTGGAAGTTGTCCCGGCATTTTCCTTTCATTAAAGATTTCCATTGCGTGGAATATTGTCGTATAATCAGAAAGAAAACACTTATTTTCCTTATTTGTTTCCTAATAGTTTAAACAGCCACCTTTATTTGTTTTTCGTTCTTCGGGGAAATGCACGAAAAACAAATAAACTGTTCTCTGGAAAAACACTGCGACAGATTATACTTGCAACTGTTTTGGATCATTTAAGGAAAAATCAACCAATCTATATCAAAGCTCTACATTAAAAAATAACAATTCCACTATAGCGCTTACCTGAGCCACAGGAAACTGGACACGGAGACCAGCGGCCGAATTTCCAGCGAAATTTCTTCGGTTTAAAGGTCCCATTTCTGACAACGTCATATTGCACTTTTATGCCAGGATTTTTCACACCGTAGGTCTTAAGCACCTAAGATGAATGTTCAACTTGAATTTTAACAATCAGATGAACTTCGAATAACGCAAACTGACAAAGTACTACGAGTTAGATGTCGCAAAGTCGACGTCCCTACCATTACATGCACGTCTTCTTTAATTGGTCCTTTTGTCTTGAATGTGTCTTTGTTGTGCTTTCGTATGTATTCACCAGTCACTCCCGCTACATCATATTCCCTACTCCACTGAATGATATAATTACCATTGAAGTAGTAATCACCTGATGGCGATCTCAATGCGATAAAGTTAGACGAGCCCCTCCTTTCTTGTATTATGATGTTACGAGATCCAGCAGGAATTACGGCAACCTCAGTGTAGCCTTGAAAAGAAAAATATTTCACTTAAAAGTTAGACAAATCAAGTGCCCCAATCCTATCAGCAAAAACTTCCATTAGCGATATAAAAACTTGGTGTAATATCTAATGTATTGGTGAAAAAATTTTTTCAATTTGGTCAAATTGTCTTCTTGCTATGGAGGTTTAAAGTTGCCTTTCAATGGATCTTGTCCGTCATGGCATGAGGTCTGGGTCTAGTCAAATTCTGACGTCATCCAAGGTAGTTGGGATATATATCTTGTATCGAGGAATCCCTTGCCTGACGTCACAAAAGTAAGTCATTCCAGACTTTTCGGAGTCCATTATAAGGAGTATTTTTGTTAACTTTAAATAATAATAATAATAATAATAATGGATAATAATAATAATAATAATAATAAGCCATAATAATGGAATGATTTGATAAACTTAAAAACGTTTTTCACTGATACGTTGAAAATAACACTTAAATTTAAGAACGCAATTAAAATATTTTGCTGAAAGGGGCAATTTAAGCGACGCATACATCATTATACAAAAACATGAAAAGACAGAAAGTTGGGCTTAATACTTCAGAAAAACGCACATCTGTGACATAAGTGGACAGCGAGCTAGACCTCGGACAGTAAGAAGTTTGAGAATGAATCGTTTTACGAAAAAATTATTGTTTGAATAGACTTAAAACGTATAACTTCAAAAATCAAGACCTCACAACAACAAATGGTCATATTTTCATCAAGAGAAACACAAACGAACCGTAAAACACTACATACAGTGCATGCCGACATTTTTAAAGCCGCACTAATATTGAAACATCACTAATCGAGTTATGCCCATTGAACCAAAATACATCGAGCGCTACCTGTAATAGAAAAGTCTAATAAATTCTTGAAGCCAAATTTTACACTCGGATACGCGTGTGTAGTCAATCAATTTTCAGAACTCGAAACACTGCACACGCGTGTCTGGGTGTAATCTCGCGTGTCCGGGTGTAAGATTTAGTTTCAATTGTTTGCTTTAGGTAGCGCTTCCTGTATTTCAGTTCAATGGTTATGCCGACATATATCATAAAATGTACCTCCTCCAAGTGGTTTTTCATATAAAACATGTTTCGTTTCACAACTACTCCCATCACCACGACATACGCCACATTTGTCCTCCCGCGCGTTTGAATAAAGTACATTATCACAGCCAACGTGCTGCAAACATAAAATGCACTAAGATTTTGGTGTCAAACTTCATTTTTTCCAATCTGATGATAAAAGCTTGCACCGTTTAATCACAGTTAACAGCAGGTGGAAACATCTGCTAACTTGTAGCAAAATGTCGCATAAAAGCAACTCGACCCTTCGACCAAGGCCTTAAAGAGATGCACGCTACCTCACATTTTCCTTGGACACATATATTTCTTGTTCCATGATTGCACGGAGTTCCATCCACACCTTGAATGAATTTTCTGATCATTACAACACCGTCACCAACCACAGGAGTACATCGCAACTCACAGGGATTTTCTAAACACATTCATTAAATTAGGATGTGGTCGATCTACAAAAGATATACTGTAATCCATCCATCAAAAACACTTTATGATCAAGACAAACATTTTTCATCGGCGAGCATTTAATTTGCTCTAACCGAGCAAAGACTGCAAATGGCGCGTAAAATATAGGCCAGAAACAAAATTTCAAGATCTCTATTGAAGAGAGTTTTTTCCTCTATAAAAATTATGTTAAATGAAGTGTACTGAACCCAACTTAACTTGTGACTTTCTAAATATTTCTCATCTTGAAAACCAAAACTTATTTCGACAAGCAACCTACATGCTTTGCCCCTACATTTGTAATGTGCAATACTAACTTTCGTCTTGTCGAGCCGTCCATTCGTACGTCCTTCCGTGAACGACAAAACTTCGAAATTTTTGGCACTGAATTTCGACGGGATTAACAACACCTTCAGGACAATCCTTTTAGAAAAATCAAGAACAATGAACACCATAACATATTAAAATGAAGTGACGGAGAGAGGATATTCATCAAAGGACATACTTGCAGGTTGCACGTGCTGTGTTGTTCCCACTCCCCAACGCAGTAAGTCCCGCCGTTTTTTGGCCTAAAAACACGTCATTTGATAAACTTGTATTCAAATAAGAAGTCAAACAGGGAGTAGCCTTTTGGCAACTTTACAGGAAAAAGGGGGAGGGTCATCAGTAAAAAGGGGGAGGGGGAGGGAGGTAAAAACAAGACTGAGTGTGGTGATAATGGCAGTTGTAAAAGTGCTCGATTTAAATCTCTACTATTCCAAGTTTCCACGTTAACTCGAATTAATTCAAAAAAGTGCATTTATTTTTACAGAAAGTGAATACCTCGGATCATTACACTTTCGAATTCTTCTTCGAACACCAAGACCACAAGATCGTGAACATTTACTCCATCGTAACCAGCCACCCCAATTACCGTCGACGCGTTCTTTCAAAATCCCTCTATCTACACACTTCGAGTTCAAACACCATTGGAACTAAACGTAAAACAAGAAAATCAAACATAATGGACATTACCACTTAAGAACAGGTGGATAAGCAATTATCTTGCCAATTGTCACAGGATAATGTAAAAGAGTACAAAGCTAATGACAGAAAGTATTTATGTGAACACAGTAAAAACTATACAGAGGAAAGAGTATATAGCTAGAGAAAGCACTTATACTTTACAAACCAAAGAGATGAAAAAGAAGATAGCAAGAGGAAGCACTAATACAATACAAACTAGTGAAACGAAAGAGAACAGAGACAGAGAAAGCACTTATACTGTACGAACTAAAGAGAAGAAAGAGAAGAAAGTAAAGAGGAAGCATTAATACAGTTCAAACTAGAGAAAAGAAAGAGAACTGGGCAAGAGGAAGCACTCATACTGTACGAACTAAAGAGACGAACACGAAAAAGTAGATGGTTAAAAGAAGCCTAATACTATAAGTACAATACAGAGAGCAGACTTTAACTAGGGGGGGAGCTGGCTAAAAGAGGTATTGGTTGACTAACTTGGGTAAATTCATCACATTTTTTAAGATACAGCAACAATGTACAGCTAAGAAAAGTATCATTGAAGACATGATAGAACAGTCAAATTAATACACAGATCGAAAATTGTACTACAATAAGTTCAAGTGTTTTCACCTTTGTCTTACCACAAGGCGTTCCATCTAGAGCAGGAGATCCCCTACTATTGCCATTAAAGTGCTTTGTAGCACAACCACCGTCGTGAACACACCACAGAGTCGAACAGAGTTCAGTCTACAAGAAAAGGATGTCATATAGAGAAGGCGTAAAACGAAAGAAATGAAAGCGCTATTGAAAGTGATTGTCTCAAAGTCTTAATGGTGATGCGAATTCTTTCTTGCTACGATTACCAAATGCAACTTTTCGACAAATACCTCAGACCCGCTGCATATTGTGGACTTGGAACCAAACAACATCTTACATTGAGCGTCCGCATCAAAGATCTCGCCAGGCAGGATTTGACGATAAAGATCGGGCTGGAGATCTGTGAAAGGCCGATCATTGAGACACCAGCCCCAACCTTTGCTAAATATAAGTCGAGTCCATGTAAGGATTTAGTGAAGGGAGAACATCACAAGTAAAAATAATCCAAAGTGAAGGGTGTGTGCAAGTGTAGGTAGAGTAATAAACAAAATAGAACGATGAAAGTCCGTTATCTATCTGCATGAAATGGTATCGTAAGAAAAAATATGTATATAAACGTTAAAAATCAAATAGATTGTCAGCACTTACTAAAAGAACGATCTCAAAGCTTTTTTGCTACATTTTGACCAGAGTTTTTTTTTAGGATTGATAACAAGATTGCTCGCCATAATGTGTTCTCGAAGACGAGAACAACCACTATAGTCATCATCATGAAGGACGCCAAGACTGCAAGAGAGCACAAATTTCTTTGACTCATTCATGAGCTACGAAAGTCCCCCAATAATGGCAAACAACTCTTACTTGTGTCCCAGTTCATGAGCAATGGTGTATGCCAATGTATAGCCAGTATCTTCAATGTAACTACACTCATCACCAGATGAACACATACCGTCTATTTTTGTAATACCTAGTGAGTATAACATATATTATCTAACTATCTAAACATACAACAAGAAAGGCGCATCACATATTTTGACTATCAAAAGCCTTGACGAAAAAGCCTTGTGCACAGATTTAACGTTACTAAATTTTACCAAATGTTACCTAAAGTGTCACAATGTTACCTAGAGTTACCAAATGTTACCCAACGTGTCACAATGTTACCTAGAGTTACCAAATGTTACCTAGAGTTACCAAATGTTACCCAACGTGTCACAATGTTAGCTAGAGTTACCAAATGTTACCCAACGTGTCACAATGTTACCTAGAGTTACCAAATGTTACCCAAAGTGTCACAATGTTACCTAGAGTTACCAAATGTTACCCAACGTGTCACAGTGTTACCTAGAGTTAATAAATAAAAGATGTTTACTGTTTTTGCACGGGCTTATGCAAACCGAGGAGACCTTTAGGAGAACTCGAGAGAAGATCAGTGCAAGCTCGAGAACGAAGGTCACGGCTCTAGACCAATCACAGCACGCGTTTTATTGTTTTTATTTTATAACTACCAAATGTTACCTAAGGTCTCGCAAGGTCGATAAGAATCCCGACAAATATCTTTTCTTGTGATAAGAACTGCTGCGTCAGCATGATTGGGATCCATATCAGATGACGGGTTGTTCTTTTGGACCCAACGGCAGAATTCAAAAAGCGTCTTCGTCGCATGATTCGTGACATTGAATCCATTCTTGAAACGGTAAACATGAAATACGATAAGAGTGAAAAATACTTTTATCATAGCAAAAATTTATGTACCTTACCTTGTCTTCTCTGTCAAGGATAATCATTCTGACCAACACAACGTGAATAGCAGAACCAACACTTCTATGCTTAAACACCATTGATAACTAAATAAAAAAAACTTGCCACTCAGACAAATCTGCTTTCGGTAATACTGAAATCACAGTTCCAAATACTGCCAAATTATCAATCCCCACGATACCCGGCTTTTGTTGTATTCTTAATTCCTATTATTGCCAGGTTGCATAGCATGCACGCGGCGGGTATTGCCAGGTTGCGTAGCATGCACGCGGCGCGTTCTATAAGCTATATATAAGCTCTGTACATTCTGTTGCGATTTTCTACTATTGCAACGCTGAACACGTCATCCTCGGTTCCCTTCTTGGATAAATATAGTAAATGTTCAGGTTAGTAAAATTCTGCTGTACTCACCATGTTCATTACAGTAAAAAGATAGCTTTCCAAGTCTCTATCACTGTAATACTTTGTCATGGAATAATCAGCAACAACGAGCAACTCGACGTGTTTCATCAGGCTCACAGAGCGTCTGCTTCTTCGCCTAACAGAAAATCCTTTCTTCTCGGAGCTGTCTTCTTTTTCAACATGCACGAAATCTTGTGTATCCTTGACTAAAATCAGTAAACAATAAGGTAGTTCATGGCAAAGGGTGGTAAGGTATGGTGAGGTTAGGTGAGGTAAGGTGTGGTGACGTGAAGTGAGGTGATTTAAGGTGAGATGAGGTATGGTGAGGTGAGGTGAGATGATATATAGTGAGGTGAGGTGAGATATGGTGAGGTGTGGTGAAGTGAGGTAAGGTGTGGCGAGGTGAGGTGAGGTGACGTGAGGTGAGGTCAAGTGAGGTAAGGTATGGCAAGGTGAGTTGAGGTAAGGTGTGGTGACGTGAGGTGAGGTATGATGAGGTGAGGTGAGGTAAGGTAAGGTATGATGAAGTGAGGTGAAGTAAGGTACGGTGAGGTGAGGTGAGGTGAGGTGGGTCAAATGAGTGAGATGTGCATAATGAAACAGTTAAAACTACAAATTCAAAAGAAAAGCAACCAACCACTTGCACCACAAGCTGGCTCGCTGTGATTCGTTTTCAATCCCTCGTCGATTGATCTACGATAGATCACGTGCGCATGCTTGCCGTCAACATGACTCGGGTTCACTCCCATAACAGGTTCGATAAAAAACTCTCCCTCGTGACCAGCACGGATCAAGCCTGACTAGTAAAGAAACGAGATCAAAATGATATCCAAGGAGGCGCTGAATTAGACAATGAAAGACGAATGCGAAAATGAAAAAGGGAGTGGGAGAGGTGTGGGGAATATTCTTATATTCAGCTCTTGCCTACCGATTTCATTTGAAATTACAATTGCCTTCAAAACAATTCAGTTGGGGGCAGAGCTGAATATATAAATATTCAACTTCCAATTTGCCAATCAGAGTTCTTGCTTTGCCCCTGTCTATATGACAAAGAAATTCTTTCGTGAAAGACATTTTAGGAAAGTCCATTTTATGTACTCACCAATCCACCACAATTGCTAACTGCCACTGAGCTTTCACTATAGTTACGAACTGAACCAACGAAATGACAATTTCTGTTCACAAGGCTTCTCCTCCCAGACGCCCACTCGATTTCAAATCCGGAAACCATCAAATCAGCATTCGGTTTCAGTTGAAGATGAAGACGTTTGTTCTTATATGGTATATGATAATGTATATCTGATGTGTCTAGGGAACGTCTGGAACGATGATGGATGTGGTGTGAAATAAAGTTACCCATATTGTCTACGACGTATGGATACACGATGTGGTATTCAGGAGAGGATTTTACCGCTTCCGCTAAAAAAGCCAGATTAATGTCGATGAAAGAAAAATAAACGGAGCGATGAGCGGGAATATGTAAACTGTATTAAGAATTCCTAATATCATTTCAGGTGAAGACAGTGCATTGAACATCAGAGTCAAGTTTTAAAAATCAGATTACTCCTGATGACAGCACTGGATTGAATCATGTAAAGACTCAAGTTTCAACATCAGATCAATCTTGATGAAAATACTAGATTGCACAACGCAACTGCATGATTATTTACACAATCAACTAACCTTGAATTTTGTCGATAAATTCAACATGAGACTCGCCCAGTTTTTTCGAAGAAGAAAGGCCAAGATACATGACAAACAGCAATTTCAATACCCTTTGAATCATAGCGTCTATCAACAAGTTATCACTAAGAACGAAATAAAAAGCTTGAATGAACGGATAAACAAATACAGCGATAAATTACTGGTTAACTTTGAAACAATAAACGAGGACATAGGAACATCACAATAATAGTTTATACAGAGAAATAGCAATACGATTTCTTTGAGCCTCAAGCCACACACCAATATCCATCGACACATTAACGCGAATTATGCAAGTTATTTCGCATTCTCAATAGAACCTTTTTAAGGTACGTACGCAAACGATGTAAGCCACTGACGATGCACAGTAGAGATCTAATTGTGTTCCCAGAAAAATCTCTCCAATGCCAAAATACACACAAGAGAATTGATGATGAACGATGCTTCGTCAGCAGCCAAAGTCAACTGTAAAGAAAGCAATCGAATTACGAGAAAATAACAACACTTCGTTGACAAAACACGCACATTTCACGGACAATGGATTATTGATGAAATATGAACGTAAAGCTATAAATGTAAACGTGATTTGAGGGATCAGATAAATTTAACACGATAGCTTTCATCACTTCTCGTAAAACCACCTAAAGTACGAGTGTAATTAAGGAGTGCATCCTGGCCTGAAGGACGGATTATTTATTGTACATATCATGCACGATGCATTCTGGAGAGAACTTGCGGAAAATGAGAATAACTACTAATTAGTTTGTTTCTAGCCGTTGTTCATTTGCTGCAAATCAAACAGGAACAACTTATCTTAGTTTATATAATGATATTATGTCGTGAAAAGATACTTCTCGTTCCCTGGTGTTCATGTATCATCACCTTTATTGACACACGTTATCCTAGTTGACATTTTAGGCAGAGCAAAGACTGTTCTCGTTTTTTGTTGCTCATTCATCACGACCGACATTGACACACGTTATCTTAATTCATAATTTAGATAGTGTAAATACAGTTCTTGTTCTCGGTTGTTCATTCATCACTACCTACACTGAAATAAGTTATTTTAGTTTCGCATGTTAGATGGTGCCAATTCGTCATGAAGAACCGTGACTCACACTATCTTACATAGACTGTTCTACTTCTCTGTTATCTATTCGCATGTACCAACATACTGCCACAATTTGTTTCGGATGAGCAAAAAAATCAACATTTTCATAAACTTTGCACACGGTGAACGAAATATAATAATGCAACGCCTTAATAGCGTCAAGCCATACCCGCAAGAAGCAACGAAATTCAAACCAGGTCCACGCAGGAAATGTAGCTATAGACGACTTCACAATCCAAACTGTTCGCTTATAAAATAAGAACACCGGTTTCCAAAGAATTCACTCAGATGATACAGCTACCGGAATAATATCAGTTTGAACGAGCAGAGCTCTTCTCCCGACCCTTATGTAAGTCGTGATGTCGTAAATTAGCACGGTAAATTAGCGTGAAAAAAGAAAGGAAAGGTGAGGTACCCGTCATCGCCATAGGAGGTAAATCGTCACGATAATGAATCGCAACAAACTCATTAAATATCGTTAATCGTTAACATTAATCATGTAGACAAATTAAAGAAACGGAACCAGCATGAAATCATTCGCAACCACTTGGCAAGCGACTTGAAAACACAGTTTCGACAATTTCCAGGGAAAATGGAAAAATGACGAGGTATACCACAGCATATAATTCAGGAAGTTTCCAATTATTTGCCGTGAAAAATTTTCAGTAGTTCATTCTTATATAAGGCGTGTCGGCAAAAACTTAAAACATTGATCATACGAAACGAAAACTTTCCAATTCTCTCTTTCTCTATACTGTAGCCTTATTTTGTCCGCTCTAAATTTACATCAACGTAGCTACAATTGTCGTTTTAATAGAACCAAAAAAACACATCTTCTAAACGAAGATAGATCTTATTTACCAATCGTGTAAATTACTTTAATGTAAAAGAGGAAAAGCATAGCAAGACCCTCAAATTTTCGGTCCGTTGTGCAAAGTTGAGAGCAAGTGTTGTTCATTTCATTAATTTAGAAATCTATTGTCTTTCCAGTGGAGTTGCACGTATTATTGGGCATAGCATGATTAAGTAAATAGGCTGGCACGCTATTGTTCACGAGAAGGACAAAAGAAATTCTAAATGATAGAGCATCAAGGTATAATCTAACTGAACAATAATCCTAAAAGACAAAAATGCTGATTATTTGACAAATGCTTTAGCGTTTGAAAATAATTCAAAAACGACAGGTTTATAATTGAACGAAATTCCAAACAGATACTAATAACTTCAAGTGAGATTAGTGTTTCAAAAAATTATCATCACTTTTTAAATGAAACGAACGTCAAACTGCATATCGATCGAAAACTAGATCCATTTTCGCTTATCATATTCAAGCAACATGCAAACAAAACGACAGGAAAAAGTCAAAATTTCTCGGGGAAATAAAAACGTTTAAAACTGCGAATCGTCGTCCGAGTAAATAGCGAAGTTACAATGCAAAACCGTTTCTCGTCGTATTAAACAAACTTTGGGCGATGAATGACACCTCGACAGGGAGAATAAGATTAAGGCATTTTTTAACAGATCACGTCAACTTAATATGAAATGATGCAGAAACAACAAAAACAAATTACAGAGGATCGAGTTTTTCCTTCCAACCAGACGAACAGCTTCCTGATTTATCCACAGAACGCAATAATGACATCAACGGGATTTTTTCAAACATGATGTCACAACTATTCGTGGTGTGAACGTATAGAAATCTCAGGGGCACAACGAGAATGGGGTATTGAGGGAGGGTGCACAACCACGTTCATTAAATTATGCAATATTCAGATACTTTGATCTAACTAGGGTTGTTTTTTCATATACCTTTCCAATTAAGATAAATTTAAAAGTAAATAGCTTTGTGATGTTTTGTGATGTTTATACTGTGTTTTGACCAAACAAATACATAATATTCTTTTATAATAAAAACGAGTATTGATACGTAGCTTCGCAAAAGAATGGTAAAATACTACGATGATATGTTTTTTTTAAGTTATTATCGGGAGTATATTCGGATGTCTAATTTTCCATTCGGAAATGTTTTCACGGCAGTCCCCCCCGTCTGTGAGTCTAGGTACAGCTATAAGAAATCTGGTCATAAGAAAGTCCTCCTTCATTATTTGTATTACTAAAACCTCTTTTACAGGAAATACAGCAATTAACTTGTTTCGTGACAGATTTATCCATTATAACAAGCTAAACTAGCTTATCACAATCAAAACAAAATAACTAAAATATTTTGGATGTTGTATGATTTGCCAGCGACCATTTTCAAGTTTGAACAAGAGCAAGATATTTCAAAAAACACATTACACATAACCAAAAATCATGAACACGCAATCTGTTCAAGGACACATGCGCGTTACCAGGACTGGTCAAATTATCATAAAATGCGAGAGCGCGCAAAATGAACAAGAGGTGTACATTTCAAATATTTGAATTGCTCGAAAATTATCGTAAAGTGTGCATACGCCATGTTGGATCTTAGAGGTTCTCAGTTTTATCACAATCACCGATAATGTTAAGCAAATTTAGTGAAAGTGTATTTGGTTAACCAGCTCATTACAAACGTTAAACATTAAAACTCAGACAAAGACAAATGCCGGGTAAAGTCAACACACAAAGCAAACAGGCACACGGACTTATTGCGACTGACAACTGGCGTTCTTGCTAAGAGCTTTCACGTTGAAATAGCAATTAAATTCACAATAAGCGATCATTATTGAAGACTTACAGATGTGATATGCTTGCGCCGCAGCCCAACTATCTGATGAAGAGTTGTCACTGTAGACTTAAGTCATTCGGATGGTTTAGGATGTGGTAAAAGTATAACTTTATAGCGTCAGTATTGACATTTTCGAGGACGTTTCTCTTTCCTTTTTTTTTAATAGCCGTTTATAAAAATATAAAAATGAGAAAATGCGTTGTAACAAAACGAGAACTGAAACATAATTTCGCCGGAGCTCGAACTGGCCTACACGACGTTCAAAACAGAACCACTAGTGATATAACACTCGCCTTCCTCTTCAACAGGTAGTCGTCATTTTTACAAAACGGATAAAACATAGAAGCTACAAGACGAGACTTGACAGTTTAAACCGCTTGGCATTCGTACATGGCGTGTCGCCATTAAGAACGCAGTGAAACCACATCCAATTATAAGATCGATCAGCGACTCGCTGATTAAGTAGAAATCGAAACCGAACGCAGGCACGTTGCCAAACAGCATGCTGGCATGCGCAGATGTAATGCAGGAGGTTCAGGTTAGCTTTTAATACGGGACTATTAACTATGGAGGTCATATTAAAAATTCAGCCTTTAAATGATACGTCTCACACACTCAAATTTTTTCAAATTTTGATCGCACAATCCTGGTGATATTCCATGGAAAAAAGATGCTGGCTACGGGACTATCACGCGTGTATTCACGTCGTCACCAAACTAATATAAAAATAATGACCGTCTCCTTTTCGCGTTTCCTGTTTTAGCGTGCGCATCAATAAATTTGCTCCTGAAGACGAATAATTATGTCATCAACTTTCAAACTTACAGTCGCTCAAAGCAAACAGCAGCTTAAAAAAAGAAAAACAAATTGTTTTTTCTGAGGTTGATCAGCCTTACGACACAATTCCCCAATTAAATCGTCGAATATTTGTATTTATGTTTCAGTTAAGTTTTCACATACAACTGCATATATCTTTTATAAAATTCAATTCAAAAGCAATGTCGTTCAAATTTACTTGATAAAGATATGTGTCTAAAGCGAGAAAGTCCTTACTTGACGTACTAACAGGTACTAATCAATAAAAGATCTACTGTGACCTAAGATCATGGAATTTAACGAGCAGCTACAACCTAGTGTTCGAAATTCACAAGAATAGGCAAAAATTTTGTAACGAATCTTTGTGTACTTACAAAAATTAAAGGTTCAATGTTCAATTTCTGAGATTCTTCCAACTTTTATGATGTGAGTGGCCCGAGAGCTCAAAATAACACTGAAAAACAAAGATCGAAACTTTGTGGTTTTGTTGTAACGTCAATGGTAACTTTATGTTAACATTAGACGAGATTACTCTTCACCAAAAAGCGCCTTATAAAACACACGCCTGACGCAGCTTATGCAAAGTATTCGCGTGAGCCAAGTAGGATTGGCGCATTAACATGTTCTGGAAAATTTTTTGATTTCTGAGGCGGCTGCCGCCCACGACGACCAAAATTGGAAGGAAAACAAAAAATGGAGAAAACACATCAGTAGACCATGTAAGACAAGCATTCCTTTGGATTAGTTCATCGTCATTTGTGAGGATCAAAAATTCTGCTATGCAATAAAGATTAAAGCTATTTATCAAAAACATTGGGAAATACCAATCTAGAATGGCTCAATAGGTATGTAGTTTTGCTGACATGCAATTTAAAGGTGCTCAAAACACGAAATCTTGTTCATTGGAACGAATTAAATTTGCACAAAGATGCAAGTTAAGTTGATAAAAACAACTTATATTTATCCGAAGAATCATACATACAATAAATATGAACATTAAATGCGCTTGACGTATTAGACAAATCTAAGAGTATCGTATTCATGAGTAAAACAAGGACTACATCACTGATGTGATCGCAGGCGCAATTGCATGCAAGGAGAGAAGTTTTATACATATCTTGTCGTGTGTAGCTAACAGAGGTAAACACTTCTACCTAACGTGACACTTATTTTCTACAACACCTCGACCAAAAATTTTAACATGTTGTACTCTAAAACTCATTTGATAAGAGTTTATCAAAAAGTGTAGGTATTCGGATGCAGCATTATATAAATTCCTCTGAGGTTCAAGGTGAGCTTACAGAGAGCCAACAGGTGGTCGTACTTACTGACTTATCAACCAACAATTCATTTATTTTTAGAGAATCTAAATAAACATAGCTGTCCATCCCAGATTATGACCCATTAGTACTATTTAAGCATATAGCAACGATAAAGACAGTCGTGAAATAAATAACAAAGGGGCAAAAGCTGTCTCGACATTAACTAAAATATAAACTGAGATAAGGTGCGTCGGTGGAGGAAGTGATGAATGAACAACTGACAACTAGAACCATCTTAACAATACCTATAATATGAACTCTGATAACATACGTCAGTATAGGAAGTGATGAATGAGCAAAAGAGAACGAGAAAAATCTTAATAACACGTCGATACACTCTAAGATAACGTGTGTGTCAGTGTAGGTAGTGATGAACAACAGAAAACGAGAACAGTCTTTACACTACCTAAAATATAAACTAAGATAACGCATGTCAATTTAGGTGGTGATAAATGAACAACAGAGAATAGTCTTTACACGACCAAAAACATAAAGCAAGACAATATGAGTCATTGTTGAAGAACAGAGTAGGAGGAAATTTTATATATTACCTAAAAATAATTCTAGAGATTATCTTCAACGTAGTTCGGTTACTTAAGTATATGTCAAATCACGCAGCAAAAATAAATACAATATTTCAATAAAAAATCCACTCAAACCTGGCCCGCCCTCCACGACTTTGGCTGCAGGGTATTTGAATAATTAAATCATGAAAGCACATAAGGAAGTAAATAAAAATGAACACTGTGTAATCGTGCTTTGGAAGCTGGCTGTAAACTTCAGGTCAACGTTTCACGAACGTGCAAAATTGTGCAGTTGTTGTCTTAAACGGGTTCTTAACGCGAAGCCTTGAGCCGGATACAGGAATATCAAAGAGCAATAACAAAAAACACGTTAAAGAAAATAAAACAACAAAAGCAAAGCATCGAATTGCTGCATGCCTTTTTTGGCGTACGAGATGCGGTTAAAGCTACAAGTTATACTGTCAAATTACGGCAGTTTTTGTTGCAAGCATGCTCCGACGTCAAAACTATAAAAAAACACGTTCTGTCAGTGAGGATTAATATTGCAAAAGAAAACATATTTATAGTCATTTGATGAGAAAATAATAACTTTAATGAAAAGCAATGAGTAGTATTTAAGAGTTTGTACTTCAGCAAAAAACTTACGTAACTCGAACTGCATGTTTTGTTTTGTATATTTTGCAAACGCGCACATTTTACGTGGATTAATTCGCACGAAAACCAATAAAATCGTCATGAAATCGATACAGAACGTACATACAAGATGTCTCTTAATTAATTAACTCCAGTCACACGTCAAAGTGTATTTCACGCAAATACATCAGGAATCTATTGAATGCGTCAAACTCATGAACGCACGAACTTTGCTTTAAGTACATTCAGTCGATGTCAATGATCCTAGTCGGCAATGACGTTCATAATTAACATATGACGCGCCAACAGCAATGTCAGCTAAATGAGCTCGTAGTATTTGAATTAGAGGCTTTTACAGCATATGAGATAGAAATTTTTGAAGAAAAGCTAAAGGACTCGATTGATAATCACGTCAACATAAATCGCAAAAAATCTCGATGATATGTCAATAAATGGACCCAGCTGTGCCCTTTTTTTAAACATAACTTCGACGACTAAAACGGCTAAACTGGTTGTGACAGGATTTAGCCGGCTGTATAGCAGGTTAGGGAACGAGTAAACATAAGCATTTCTGGTATGTTTTCTTTTCTATTTCACGGAAGGTGGTCATCAATAAAGTACGACTTCAACGATAGGAAAAACTGTGAAATCTTGCATAAATCAATGAGTTCACATTCCACTCAACGGCAGAGTATTTTGATCCAATGTAAACATCTGTAGCCCTCAAAGTTGAGCAGACTTCTATTAGTTATAAAATCTGCAGTAACACCTTTCCACACGGAATTCAGAAATATTCAAATGATTTTCAGATGGTCTAGCTCAACGTTAAGAACGTCTGTGGAATATCAGATGTTGCATCATGAATTTCGAAAAAGTCTGACGAATTTCGGATATAAATAAAATCAACTTGATGTAGACGTTTGCAAATATACTGACAACAGCAAAAACAAATGTGACAACAACTTCTTTTGCACGTTGTTGTGACTCTACATAGGATCCTATATTTACGTTTCCCAACATTTATGGCCAGCCTTCATTGAATCACGCAGTAGCATTTCTCAACACCGTACACAAATTTTGTCGGTTTGATGCCCCTCTGCAGTGGCTGCACAGATTTTGTTATATTTGGTAAAAATCAACATCTTTTGAAAGATTTCCTAGTATCATTTCAAAATATCTGCATGTTGTTTTACGAGTCTGATAATCATTATCTAATGTCGGAAATTAGTATTTTTCTTATTATCAATCGTAAACATCTGAGATTTGCATGCTAAACACCATCGTCATTTGTAAACATCTGAATTTCCTTTGAGCATTTCTGATCGTCATTTATAAATATCTAAAATACGCATGGCAAATCTGATTAACACATAGCGCTGTATGAAACTCATTTCGATATTCCGGAAAAGGTGCTGTGCTATTTTTGTATAAATAATCCTACATTGGTATTCATAACTTTCTTGTTGTAAATAACTAAGCAAATTCGTCGCTCATATGTATCAGGGATCCAATGTTGGAAGCAGTTTTTAGCGACTATCCTTGCGTTTCTTTCTCACTCAGCTTTTGTACCAATGAGCATTTACGCTCATTAGCATAGAATGCGACAAGATTAATTAGCATAAAACGCATTTACGACTAAATGGAGTCCACCGGGACTAGATCATATTATTCAGAAGCTAATTCGTTCGTGCAATTCAACATAACGAACTCACCATGGTAATATGAAATACATTACGACCTAGTTGACCTAGTGGTCAACCTCCACTGACAGGATAACAAACAAGTATAAGATACAATGCAACCATTCATGGCCAGTGTGCAGGGATGAGGCGTTCAGCCAACCCCAATTGATTTTTTTTAAAAATGGATTCATTTCGGTAGGCGAATCCATTTGATTATCAAGCAACCGTGCGTTCAAAGCTATTAATAATAACAATATGTGCAGTATCTAACACCATATTTATGCTACACCCAGATCAAACGATAAAGACACGATCATTTTTCAAAACAAACTTACTTTGCTTTGAGTTAAATCCTCGAGTGGTGTTAATGGATGCAAACTCGTCGTGATCAGAATGTCACACGTCGATGCGCTTCTGCAAAACAGAATGAAAATTTGCAAGTTGGACGATAAAATCGACATGACGTAAAAGAAAATGTTAATGCAAGCTTTTGATTTAATGGGTTTTTTTAAACTGATGAATTGAATAGAGGCAAAACATAACGAAGATTATGCGACCTCACTTCAACTTATCACATATATTCCCCTGAAACACACTTCTCTCATGCATCTAGTTCTTAATGCGTTTTTTATGGTAATTTCAACAGTCGCATTCTATGCTAATGAGCGTAAATAGTCAACAAACATTGAATCCTGAAACAAATAAACAATGACAACTCCTCCTGCGCATTTATGATTCGGGGCCCCGTTCCTATAAGTATGTCGAAATATGTGTGGCTGTTGTTGATGTCATAATAAGCCTTTAATATTTATTCATCCAATAAGCTGGGAGCATGCCCACTAAATTCCATCGTTTAGTTTGCAGTATGAACGTTTGGCAAACATACTCAATGTAAAAAATGAAAAATAAAGATTCTTGCATATCGACCAGCAGACGAATTTCTGCTCAATCCTTCAGTTTGAATGCGAACGCTAACACGAACCGCGTAATTAGGTTTTTAGATGCAATGACAATAAAACAAGGTTCATTCCATATAAGAGATTTCTCCGCAAGCACGACAGATAAACAACAGCCTAAGATAACGAGTGACTGATGAGATGGTGATTGCTTCATAATACACACAGCACCCAAGTTGCTTCTAGATTGTACTTCATAAGCCTCGTGCACTGTGTCGATTATACTCTTTGTCAACAGAGACATTCATGTTTTTCATACATTTAAATATACGTGAAATATATTGAATAAAAAACCAAGCACTTTCAGCCATATAAGAGCTACATTTAAATTCATCAAGTGCTTTAGCACCTGTGTGTCAACAATTAAATCGGGGAAAATCTCACTACTCGTAACAAAATCAAACCATATCCCATCATACCTTTCATAACATCCATAATACAGAACAGGAAATCCAGTGCAAAAGGGATGCAGTAAATCTTTTGAGGAGCCCGCGTATGATGAAGAAGGCAGCTCTAGCAGCACTTTAATATTGCTATTCTTAGTGAACAATTTCTGAAGGACCCGGTAAGATATTGTCGCAATGGAACAACGTCTAGACGAAATATGATACTAGTTGCACGAAAATTTACCTCGAAATCAAGCCAGGTGTACTCATATGTACTCGTGTGTACTCGCGGACGCACCAGACATTCACGTTTTCATATAATGCGCAAAGTGATGCTCACAATGGACCTTTCAGTGTTTTTGAATGCAATGCTCGATAATTGTTACATAGATCGCGTAATACAGCTTGCCACCTGCAGTACGTTCAACCCTCGAGGGCACGCTTCCGTTGCGAGATCAATCGCACCACATGCGGATTGTTTGAAAAAAACGTTAGGATACATGGCAATGCCTAAAAAAGGTCTGGTACTCGCGCTGTGCGCTCCTAATTGGTTCGTCGCAAGTCATCTCGATGAAAAGCAGCTCGATGAGTGCACAACAAGGAATGTGTGTTGAAATCATGGCTGAAATCAAAAGACTTACGCAAACATATGTTCTAGTAATTGATGCATGTTCTTCTTCAACCGATGCTATTTAGCACACAGCACTATTTAGAACAGAAATGCAGAAATCTTTCGCATTCTTATAATAATCACACTTGCTGTACCTTATTATTATTATTGTTATTATTAGTAGAGGCAGGTAATCAAAATGACAATCATGTGTAAAGACTGATGCTTGACACACTAGGTGAGAAAACTTATAATAAATATTTTAATGATTTAAGGCATGGAAAAACAGGCTTACGTAATTCGCATTCGAGTGATGGAATATGATACAGGTGTTACTTTGAAACGCAAAAGATTTATAAAAATTTTGTCGCTTCAGTGCATGCTTTTCACTGGTTCGGGAGTCGGCTGACGATAATTTACTGTCTCTTAGCAACGTATTGTTGTTGCTATGGTTTTGCATTTTGGTGAAGTAACAATTAAATTATAGGTGTTTTCGAAGAGAAAGGTTTTATCTGTGATTAGAATCACATATCGTCGAGATATTAGCTACACAAGTTTCTTTGCTGGTGAAAAAGAAACTTGGCTGCAAGAATGGAAGAAAAACAGGAAAAAACGATACAAATTGCCGCTCGGGAGAGAGGTATTTGCCGTTTTGACTTCTGTGTATTTTTGTTTTCCCAATATTATATAAACTATAAAATGAAGTCAGTCATCAGTCAAAAGATGACTTTTGAATTGTATTATAGGCAACGCCCTTAATATTTAAAATAATATCCTTTTAAACGCAAGCTCGATAATTTTGAAATCAAACATTTCAATTTGAAACGAAAACCCTGGCGAAAAAACTCAAAACAATTTACTTCGAATACGAAGCAGTCGGTGTACAGTCTTCCGCAGTAAACTTCAAAATTTAAGTCAGTTGAAATACAAAACAATATTAGTTTAAAAGCTGTATGTAGTAGAGAGGCAAACAAGAGAAACGATTTCTATTGAAGCACAGCATGTTCTCGTAATTATAGTCTACACAACTTTAAATTGCCTGTATTAATCTTTTTTCCATCTTCTTTTCAAAGTATGTCAAATAAAACTGCTCTCGAACATATTCAGCAAAAAATTCATGACAGAGTTTTTAAAACGGAGAATTACAATTGAAAATATATCGTTGCTAGGAGACCGAACTAGACGACCTGCTACAATGAGGCCAACACATGTTTATTAATTTAAAAATTCTTCATTAAATATTAATAAAACTGAATATTTCATAAAATATTTAATACAGTTAAAAAATTATAAATGCTACCTGGCCAATCATCAAAACAATCAAATTCTTGTGGCAAGGATCGATCTAAAATATTTAGAATCAATCCAATTTCATTGGATGACATGACTGTAGCTCAATATCTACAATATAGGCCCCGGACCTGGGAGATACGGTTTACCAACAACCTGCGGATTCATGAACCATGACTGCACTAAATATAAGTCACCGGCTCACTCCATTGGCACAAGACTCAAGAATTCAAGTGAGTAAGAGCCAAACTCATGCTGATACATTACCTAAATTCATGCTGTGGTAACAGATATTAATTCCTACATGAACTGATGAACACACTCTGAATGTTATACATGTTTTATTTAAGGCCTACAGTTATGCCCATGGAAATTCACTTCCAGTCTTTAACTTACATTTGTAGTGTTTCGAAAAGACTGCAGTCCTGGACCAGGATATTTCATTGAGGCTCAAATCACAAGGACTGGAAAAGATGGAACACCCATCTATTCAATCCTGGGAAGACAAAAAGATCCCAGTAAGTCGAAACACACTAAGAATTAACCATTTTTGACGATAAGTAAACAATGATACCATTCAATCATTGCTATTTCAGATACATTCAAGGTACCAGGGCCTGGAACCTACTGTCCAGAAAGAGTTCATCCACAGGGCGAGAGGCATGCTCCTATTTATTCAATTGGTTCAAGAACTCGCTACAGAAAACGTAAATGTTCATATGTCTGAATAACTAAATTTCATTGTGCATAAATTCATACAATTTTGAATCACCTTTTGATCAGGGGACAGCACTCCAGCACCAAATGCCTATGGACTTCCTCCTGTCTTGGGAAGCAAGGTGATCAATAAGTCATCAGCTGCATCATATTCCATGACTGGTCGCGCTAAAACTGGTGGCTTTGCTGAGGATCTGGCGAAGACACCGGGGCCTGGTCACTACAAGGTCACGCCACCCGATACCGTAAAGCAGAATGCCCCAAAATACTCTATGCTATCCCGTAATCTCATGCCCGGAGGTTAGTAGTGAGATTGATACATGCATAGCCATTATTGAATGAGTGCAAGTAATATTTAGGACATCACTATAATATTGATATTTTCACGTAGATTCAACGTTAAAACCTGGTCCAGGCGCCCATAGTCCCGAGAAAGTTTACACTACAAAACCGAAGGCACCTTCGTTTTCTATGGGAATTCGGCATTCCGAGTTTATCTGTCCTCTCATAATCGACGTCCAAGATTAAGTGAAATCTACATTAAACTTTTTATAAAGGCAATACATATATAGCTTTAAAATAGAATTACGTAGGAACTGAATTGGAAATAAATACACACAATGAGTAGCAAACAAAATAAAATCAGACGGCTTATGCGCTAAAACAATTGCTCAATGATCAAGCATAAACTATCTTTGTTTGACGCGTTTTTGCTCTCACTACTAATAGGGAAAGAATAGCAAACATAGTATTTCAGTTCAATACAAAAGGTTTGGAATATTGTTGGCTAAGCTATGGTACGCTTTGCCCTGGATTTTATGATCCTCCCTCAAGGATGAGTATTTAAACGTTCCTTTAACCCTACACGTATAAACATTGAAGAATATTTCATTTTCACTTTCAATGGGGAATGTCTATTACTGCATACAGTTTATGAACAGGGATGGAACTGGCCTTCACCTTCATAATGGTATAAGCAAGAGAATTCTGACTTCAAGATTGTCGTTACTACTGCTTTCCACTTTATTATTTCCACCTTGTCGTTCGTAGCTTTCACACAATCGCCTCTATCGTCTGAACAAAACAAAGATCTATCCAGACGACTGATACGAAGGCTTGGGAGATTAAAGTAAAACTTTCATAATCCTTTATGTGATTTACATCATTTTCGAGGGTGCAAAAAAATATTATACATCAATGAGCTATTTCACTTTGAAGTGTAACCATTAATGGTTTTCGTAAGTAAAACGAAAAAAATGGCCCACCACAGTTGATGAATATTTGCAATCCAAAATTACGTGAAAAGGTTGTCAGTTGTAAATCATTCTCACTTGTATACATCCACCCTTCCCCCAGTACAAGTCGCTGTTTTTGATTTACATGCAAGCTCGAATACAAACCACGAGGGAATTGGTGTTATCTTCGATAACGATAACGCTTGAAGTGAAACCAAAGTTGAAAGACTCCGTTGTGAAACTGCGATCTAAAACCATGTTTATGTGAGTACTCCCATTCTCTGTTCACTACTTTAAACGCGATATCCTGAAAGGCAAAAGCAAATAATGCTTCAGGGAATTTTTATTCAATATGTAATCCCATAAGAGGAAACCTGACTGGAGTGTCGAAATAATAAAGCAAAACATTTAACATTTTCTTTACAGAAATTTTCCGTTTAGTTATGTATTTTTGTTACATATATCGATACCTCGTAAGGTGGTCCTGAATTGAATCTTAAGATGGCAAAATCTTTTTCACTGGCGCATGGCTCCTAACAAACGATTTAAGGAGGAAAAATTAGCCTTAATTCTGCGATACATAAAGAAACTACAAACTAATAAGGCTAGATTTGTGCAGTCTTGGCATTTCAAAATATAACTAAAACAAAAATCAACATAAAGACAGCACAGTACAGTAATGTCGTATACAAATTTCTAATGAAATCGCATTGTGCAAAAATCTAGTGAAACATCATACCAAATAGTATTGAGGAGTTTCAGTCTTGTCAATAAGATCCGGATAAAATATCTATCAAAAAGAATATGACATCAATGACTTAAGAACTAAGTTTTATTATTGATCAGATGAAAAGAAAGTTAATGAGGTGCATAAGCTGGACAACTCTATCAATGGCAATCTCGCGTAGCTTTGTTGAAAACCAGTGAGGAGGAAAATGTAGAATGGAATTGATTTACAGAAACACAACATAACAAATTGACGTATTTTTTCCCATGTGTACATCAGTGAAAAACTGGCTTCAATAGATATGAAAAGCAGAGGGGCGACAGAGGAAGCAATTTGCCCTGGGCCCCTGACTTAAGGGGGGCCTTCCAAGCGAAAAACCAAAGCAAAGGAAAATTGTAATGTGTGTCCAGGAGTCACGGAGAAAGGGGCCCAAAATTTGATTGTGCTTCAGGCCTTTTAATTTCCTTTTTTATTAAAGACAATAAAAATATTACAATTGTAAAATATTGTAATATTATCTACAACTTAGCACAATATTACAATAAAAATAATGGCTCACAGGCACTTCCATTTTTCTTTACGACTATCGCATGTGTAGTTTTGAGAGAGCCGTTCTATGTACAACATACTCACATTGAACTTATATCCCTGAACGATTTTCGGTGGAGGGTTGTCCATATCGTAATGTGTTTGATTGTACTTGTTCCACTCGTAACCCTATAAACACAGGCATAAAACAGCAACTTTATGAAGGAACTGAAAAGACAATGGAATTTGAAACATGTTATGATGTTTTACCGTGTGAACGCGGTTGAAAAATCTCGGCTTTCTCGGTCGATATTTATCTTGCCACAAATACTTCTAAAAGATGACATTTACAAGACAAATAAAATGCAGAAAAAGGCAATATTGTGAAAGCAACTGCAATGACAAACGAGTGTAATTGTTGTTGTTTTTCTCCTAATTTTGTTATCAACAATGTTAAAGAAGAGTAAACAGTAGCTACATCCTGTAGCTATATTTCTAATTTACTGAATAAGATGGTTTTGATCTTAGATTGTTCAATAACTTTACGTACATCTTAGACTTCCGCATTTTCGTTTCTTTGGTTTTTAAAGCAATGATATTTATTTATGTCTCGTGAGATAGCTGACAATGAAAACACCCTGTACATTTAGTCTCCCGGGTTAGTTAGAGCACTGGAGCACACCCCCCTTGTTAAAAAATTCCTAGTCAAGTTTAGCAAGGGGGTAGGGGGCTAGATGTTGTAGTATATATCAGAGAAACAGGAAATGTATATTGAAATTTTAAAGGGAGTGTACACACCTTTTGACCAAGAGGAACTGGAACATTAAACGTTTCTTCATCAGCTCCCATATCCTTACTCGCCTCCTTGGTCCTCATATCAATCCCGGAAATACTTGATGTAACACCCTGGTACAAAACATGTTTTAACAAAAACCCGCTAAAGATGAAAGCAACGCGGGACTGATAATTACGAACAAAATGATAAATACCGTAAATGAATCGGAAAGCATGATTCTTTCACGTTCATTCTCCTGTAGACAAGAAATCATAACATACGTGAAAACGTTTAACTTGCTAAAAACCTCCAAGCATTCTTACCATTTGCGTTCAACTGGTAACTGTCCCGAATTTTTCGCGTTTGTTTACGTTTCAAACGTCACGTTTGTCAGACGAAACGTCGGCTTTCAACTGATAAACCTTACGTTTGTTCAAATCGCGGATTGCTAGGTTTGTAAACGCTCTTTCTTATATTATATGGTCAATTAATAAACTTTGCAAATCGCCTAAGGTACACAGATGTAATTTTCAGTTGCTACAGCTTTTTATCAATGTAAAATCGTATAAACATGTTAATCACATGACCAAAACCTGTTCAAACTGTTCCTCAAACGTTAAACATTCCTGAGCAAACGTTACGTTTTTTAGTTGAAACCTGACGTTTCGTCTGACAAACGTGACGTTTGAAACGTGAACAAACGCGAAAAATTCTGGACAGTTACCAGTTGAACGAAAATGGTAAAATTTATTGTGTTTGTAGAGTGAACAAAACGTCTTATCGACATAAAGCATCACAACGAGATGAACATAATGACATAAGGAAATAATCCACTTTTTCAATGTCGTTATGTTCATGTCATTGTGATGCTTTTACGTCGATAAAATGTTCTGTTCACTCTACAAACATAATAACACACGAGGTGTAATGTTACTCTCCTTAAGTCAATAGTGTGGACCAGGCTGAAAGATTATAAATAATATAACTTCTCACCAATTCCATGAAATCCTTTTCCGGGTCAACAAGTTTTTCCTGCGCAGAATAAGAAAGATCAATAATTAATCTCTGACCCAATGCTTTGACCTTGTATGTAAGATCAATAATTAATCTCTGACCCAATGCTTTGACCTTGTATGTAAGATCAATAATTAATCTCTGACCCAATGCTTCGACCTTGTATGTAAGATCAATAATTAATCTCTGACCCAATGCTTTGACCTTGTATGAAAGATCAATAATTAATCTCTGACCCAATGCTTTGACCTTGTATGTAAGATCAATAATTAATCTCTGACCCAATGCTTTGACCTTGTATGTAAGATCAATAATTAATCTCTGACCCAATGCTTCGACCTTGTATGTAAGATCAATAATTAATCTCTGACCCAATGCTTTGACCTTGTATGAAAGATCAATAATTAATCTCTGACCCAATGCTTTGACCTTGTATGAAAGATCAATAATTAATCTCTGACCCAATGCTTTGACCTTGTATGTAAGATCAATAATTAATCTCTGACCCAATGCTTTGACCTTGTATGAAAGATCAATAATTAATCTCTGACCCAATGCTTTGACTTTGTATGAAAGATCAATAATTAATCTCTGACCCAATGCTTTGACCTTGTATGTAAGATCAATAATTAATCTCTGACCCAATGCTTTGACCTTGTATGAAAGATCAATAATAATTAATCTCTGACCCAATGCTTTGACCTTGTATGTATGATCTAGTACTATCATGATCGTCTTACTTGATCGACATCCGAGACACGGATCAAAGGAGGGCTGTAACGGCCGTCCTCGTAAGCTTTATAACCTATCACGATATGAATGCATTTCAAAACTACACCTCAAACAAAAGGTTCAATAATTTGCAATTTATAGTTCGTATACCTCTCTCCATTAGCTCTTCTGCAGTTAAAACAATTTCTTTCACACTAAAAAAACAACAGCCATGTTGTCAACATCCTCCCTGCTAAATGCTAACTCGACCAGCTTCATAGTAGCTGTCAAATGTTTATTAGACTTTTCTAGGTTTCCTTTTTCTCATCCTTACGTACTTTCTGTCGTCAGCTTCATCCGGGTTACTTTTCTCGACGTCATCATCTTCATTTGCATTCTCCTCGATTTCATTCTCATCATTTGATGCGTTGACACGCTCTTCCTTTTTGTCAACTTGTTCACATACAACATCTGTTTCCTTCTCACTATCTTTAGCCATATTTTCTTCACTATCAGCGTGAACGACAGACTAAAGTAGAAAAGTACGTATGACCTAAGGTATGACATAAGATTAATGACCTTGGAGAATCAGAATCAAATGTATTGTATTACTTATGGAAAACACATGTAAAACTATATTTTGACTACAATGTCCTTTGGTAAACCCAAAAAAGCGAATTTCACTAAAAAATCAGACAAGGCTTTTGACGTCACAAAGTTCACAAACATGACCTAACGCATTTGCCTCCGTATCTCTGAGATGGATTGAAAAAAAGCTACAAACGCAGCATATCTTTTCAGACGAAATTACCCTAAGGCATAATATAATAAGGGCCAGGAATGACAACAGAATTACAATGTGAATGTCACACACGTGACGGGGGATTCGCCTATATACATTTAAAGGCGTTTATGTTTTGTCACAATCATAAACCCAATTGTTAAAATATAATTATTTGGATGCGATACTTCGTCCAAGGAATATAGAGGTCAGTGTATAAAGAGGTCGGTAAAAGCCGATTAAATTGGACAAAGGACGGTAAAAATTTCATTACCTCACGTTTTAACGTGGCTAACTTCTCTTTTAGCATTTTTTGATGATTTTCACGAAGCCTGGACTTCGCCATGAACACGTTCAGCTGCTGCAAAAGAGATTCCCAGTAACCTACACCATGAAAAACACAAGAAATCAAAAATCTGTTATATTCAGTTAAATCAATACACATACGTAGCCACAATCAAATGCAAAACATCTAGAAAACATCTGTTGGAAGAAATGTAATAGAAATGAACTTGTGAAGGCATAAGCTGACCAATGTCGACGGCTCCGCCACTGGAGATTTTCTCGTTTATTTGATTTCTCAAAGCAGAAAGTTGCGTAGATGTTTTGCCACGAAATATTTTCTCGATATCATCATTTACAGACGAATTGATCGTCTCTCTTCTCTCGTGAAATTGATCTAGGAAACGACGCAATTGTATGACAAATTAAGTAAAAACATATAGAAATTTTCATTCAATGAATTTTGATCAAAACCATTACCACTATTAAACCCTTGTTTCTGCAGTTTTTTTTCTTCGTTTCTGGTCACTGCCAACATATCCTGAAGAGGAAATTTATACATTTGCATCCTTAAGCGTTTAAACGGTAGCTGGCAATGAACGTCCGTTCTCACTCTTCAGAGAGAGCGTGGAAAGTAGCATTTCTATTCACTCTAAGACTCAAAATGCAAAAAACAGTATTGCTTTTTTGCTTTACAAAATTAAAACTTAAAATGTAAAAAACAATACTGCTTCTTCGCTTTACAAAATCAAGACTCAAAACGTAAAAAAAACAGTATTGCTTCTTTGCTTTACAAAATCAAGACTCAAAATGTAAAAAAACTGTATTACTTCTTTGCTTTACAAAATCAAAACTCAAAATGTAAAAAAAACTGTATTACTTCTTTGCTTTACAAAATCAAAACTCAAAATGTAAAAAAAAACAGTATTGCTTCTTTACTTTCCAAAACTGATGGTTCTTTGTCTCATCAATCTCAAGATACAGTTTCATATCTTCAATCAAATCCCCAAGATCATCCAGTGATAGTCCCTAGAGATGCATAAAAATAAGAAAGAATGGGAGCTCAAACGTACTGCAGCAATACATTTGAAGTTTATATCAACACAGTATTGATGAGGAAATAGCGGAAAAATTTTCTGGGTGTGTTTTACAAGGGGTAAAAAAATTTTCTGGGCGTGTTTTTCTAATCCATAAAATTTAAAAGCAAACAGCCACAACAGTCATCAATATATTACCACAAGAACAGAATATGGTTCATGCATTTGGTACTCCAGATTATCTTCATTAGGGTTGATGTATTGTGCCAACAGATCAATTGGCTTAGCTCGCCCATCGCGAATACGAATTTTGGATCTCATCCTCGCTTGTTCGATGTGGAACTGTATAAATCAATAAAATAACTGTAATGAGTATGTGCTATGACAGTATAAATGCATCAAGAGAATCTACCATATCTTCTTGTTTTTCCCATTCTTTATAATAAGCACCTTCCTTTTCTCGTTGCATCAATTCCTAAGTGAAAAAAATTAGTGTAACAAAAGTGAAAAAACCAGCAACTTGATTGAAAGACTTCTAAAATTTCTCATTATTTAATTCCATTACAAAAGGAAGACCAATAGTCTAGATGGCGTTGTGATGTTCTTCTTTCCTCCCAAATAAATTATGCTACCTAAGCGCCAACCATACCCTCTCCTCCTCTCTTGCCATTCGTTCATGCTCGCGTTCTTGTCGTCGTCTTTTTACGCTTGCCAGTTCTCTCTGAAACAATCAATTTAAGTGCTTCAAAGATTAATGTTATCCAGGTTTGATTGGCACTATCACCAAAGTCATCAACAAACACAAGTTATGCCTGCCTTCATTTCCTCACGTTTCATTTGATTTCTTCTAACTTTTTCTGCCTCACTGAGATGGGTTGTACCCTCTTTTTCGTGTTTCTGGGAGGAAGAAAAAAGGTTTAAACACATTCAACCGAAGTGGAATTCATGAAAAATGCAAAAAGAGTTTGGAAACCTTGTGCCAAATGAATGTTTCAAGTAAATGTGTATCGCCATAAGGATTGTCCGTATTGGTGTAACTCTGGTAAAACAATAGAATGAAAGATAAAAATTACGAAGAATCACAATGTATATAGGTTTTGAAAAATGCCTTGCAATGTAGAGTGAGATATTTAGAATGGGGAATGGGAATTAAGGATATTGTTATTAGGATTAGGCGATAAAAAGATATGTGATTAATATTATTGATATTATTATTACTATTACTAATTCAGCCTATTTACTCATAATAATCTCTTGGTTGTTTTTTTATCTTTACCAAATCCTCTTCATCCCAGCCTCTTTCCCTTCGTTTTTTTAGCTCTTTCGCTTGCTGAAATGAAAAATAAAAAAATAATAGAACAAAATGTATGATGCGCCTGACATCATTAACCATCACATAAATTGACGTAGTAATCCACTAATTAAGTAAATATTCACTTTTTTAGCGAGTCTTCTAGCCCGTTTTTCTTCGGGAGTTTCCATAGCTTTCATCAGCTCTTTTTCTTTCCTAATTAATATAACAATAAAGAAACATGCATCATCAAGCAGAAAGTTTGAATTATCTTGACAAGACACCAACATTTTATCCACATTGCTTGAACGTCGCTTGCTTTCGTATTCAGACGATGAACTTTTTCTTTTAATGCGTCTTTTGGGAGAATTTGATCTACTGCGATGTTTTCTTTTTGAGTTTCTGCCCATTTCCTAAACTTTATTGGTTACATGAGGCATTTTACACACGAAAATTTTCAAAGATGTTTGCTTTCTCGTCCGCCATCTTTTAACACCACTAAATTCCATCCATCAAATTACTAATTCCTTGTTGGTTGGTTGGTTATGGTCGTGGTGAATTGGAGGTGATGGTATTTCATTTGAAAAAAAAACCAGCAAAAGAAATATGCTATATATTTGTACGAATAATCGAAATTCCATGAAGCAATGTATAAAAAATATAGGATTTAAAACTCTTAAGCTTTTCTTCTGAAAACTAAAACATAAAGTGTTTTGTTGTTGACAGATGCATGTCCATAGGTACTCCTTTTCAATTAATTACTTATTCCGTAGTAATAACTCATTAGTTAGTCCATAAATCTGTTGTTACTACATAGTTGTTGCAGGAAACATATTACTGCATCTATTGGACTAATTTCTTTGGTCAAAATATTAGTAAATGTAGGCACAACACAATACCACCGACAGAGCACAGAATAGTTACACTAACATTAGAATACTTGGAAGTCCTATTAAGATAGAATACAGAACAGTTATACCAATTTTAGAATATTGCATGAAAAGTCATTACAATAATAAAAATAGGACAGTTATACCAACTTTAGAATACAGGACAGAATGCATGGTTACACCAGGAAGTGATACCAACCATAGAATACTGTTCAACCATAAAATTTATAATGTAAAGTTTTTACATATACGTCTTTATTCTTCATCTTTCATACTTGATTTTGTTTCACTGTTGGAAGTTTCATTTTCAAGTATTTCTTCTACCTCAATCCACGCATTATAAAATCTGTCATACATATTGGAGCATTGTTTGTGCACAAAATATGCAGATACAAAGTTATGGAGAAAAATTAAAACATCTCTAACATTAGCACTGATATTACGAGTGGCATAACAAAGTCTTGATGAGTTTGATGTGCATTTGTCAAAACAAGCTTAAAAAGACAAAGAGCATGCCAAAAACATATGATCGAAAATTTGCTAAGGGCATATACAAGCACTTATTTCAGAGCTCGCTCCGTTACAAATTAATTGAGAATTAATCTGAGAATGCATAGTCAACTCCACCAAATCTCCAAGTTTTTGGTCATGGCAACGACCAACTGTGTGTATTAGTACCGATTATAGAGTAATTATCTTGCTCAGTCACAAATTTTCAAAAAAATTTCTGCGCATGCGCAATCCCCTCAAGCATGCGCAGTCAACTGGACCAACTGTCCAAGTTCGTGGGCATGGTAACAACCAATTGCATCTACTGGCACCGAAATAGCATTCTTACTAACAATTTAATAGAGAAATCATCTGCGCATGCGCTCGAACATGCGCAGTCCACTCGACTAATTGTTCATAGTCATGGCAACGACTAACTACATATACTTGCACTACATTTGTGGCAATTAGCTCACTTAGTTGCAAATTATCAAAGAAATCATCTGAGCATGCGCAGTAGTTACTGTAATAATACCATAACTTTCGTAAGCCTTTGAATTTGTGTATATATATATAAAGCTAAAACTTCATATAGTAGATGTCAACTAGCAGTGGAAGCTGGGTGCGATGTAGTATGCAGTGGCTTAGGGGCCCACACTTCGGTGGCGACCGCACTCTCCCTGCGTACCCCGAGCAAAGCCTATCGCAGGTGATCTCGGGGTCTGATGGGCGGAAGCTTGCTATTGCATCTCCCAAGTAGGATAGCGTGGAGGGGCCGAAATCTCCTACCGAAACGTTAACATGCGGCGTTCTAGTGCCTTAAGATTAACAAGGTATCGGGAAGCATGGCCCGAAAACGGGGTTTTTTTGCTTTCAAATTTTATCTTTTAAAATAAAATAAACCAAGCAATGCTTCAATTAAATTCTTATGAAACTGTGCCTTTTTATGACACATGTAATTTAAGACAACCTTAAATTATACAAATTTTATTGGTTTATAACTTTCTGATTTAACTCTCTCAATTACCGTTTCTCGTGTATCGCGAGCAAACCATCCATGGGCTTTATGGCACACTTCGGTGGCGATCGCACTCTCCCTGCGTATCCCGAGCAAAGCCTATCGCAGGTGATCTCGGGGTCTGATGGGCGGAAGCTTGCTATTGGCATCTCCCAAGTAGGATAGCGTGGGGGGGGCGAAATCTCCAACCGAAACGTTAACATGCGGCGTTCTAGTGCCTAACGCTTAAGAAGGTATCGGAAAGCATGGACCGAAAACGGGGTTTTTTGCTTTGAATTTTATCTATTTGTTTATCTCATAAAAGAAGCTACAACATTCAAGGATACTGGAAAGGTTCAAAAAATTTCTGCCTCTTTGACTTCTAATTTAAACCAACTTTAAACATGTTTATACGTTTTTTACATGTTACCTTTTACAATGTAACTTTTTCGTAACTCTCTCGTGATGAAAGAGAGCCTCTTTATACAATATAACTCTTTCATCATTAACAAAAGCATCCATGGGCTTCATGAAAAAAAGGGATTATCTACTTTTTAAATAGTTTTTACAAAGATAACATTTAACAAGTCAAGCAATTTGTATCGTCTAAATTGAACCTCGCTTTCAACCCTTATATTACAAAATTTTGATTCATTTCGGATAGTAAATTTATTTTTACCTTACAATATTTTCATGATTCAATCTAGAAAGTAAGTTCGTTTCTCGAGCAATTTTGCCATTTAACAGAACACTTTTGGGATATAAATGAATTCTTTTGATAGCATAGAGACAGCCATCAAATTTATTACATACCTAAGTGTATATAAAGCATTTCAAATCTCATGATACTTTGAATTTTTTCCACCTGAAATTTAATCATACACACTATAAGTCACAAAACACCTAACAAACTATTTCTTTATGTATAGAAAGCAAAAGGTGCAGCATAAGACATACATGTAAAAATTGCCTTTGATGCCAGGCTATTAATACCCATTGTTTTTTTAATGTAGGAAGTCAAGACTTCAAGCTGCATGCATCTTTTGCCAACAGAAATATGCTATTGACTTCACAAATATTAAAGTGTAAAGAATCTACAACTTTCTTATGAATTTTAAAGTAATTAAACAGGAAGACATTGCTACATATGCAAAAGGTAGGCCACTGCAGTAAAAAATGTGATGAATAATTGCACCAACTGCAGGATACAATTCGCGAGAAAATAAATTTATAATGTTTGATGGTCTTGTCATTTAATTATCTTTATCAGAAATATAAATATTTTTTGCTGCTTTTTCTTGTAACTTAATTCAAATGAATTCTTATTGCAAAGGTGTTTTGTAACTGAGTCTGATTGCACTAACGTAAGTTACCACATTGGCATAAATACGACTACAGAGTATTCTTTAAGTCTTTGTCCTTATTCTGAAAAAAAGAGAACGTGTGTTCATTAGAAACGATGTTTTACAAAAGTCAAAACGTAGCCAACAAAGAGTTCGTACGTACATAGTTAAAAGCACGTGGGAACCGATAAACTGGGAAGCACAGGTCAAATAAATCAATGTTTTGAACTTTAGGTTTTACCTTTTTTTTTATCATAAAATTGCTTGCCGTATGCAAAAAACAGACACTTTTTCCACCATCATTTTTCAGGGGGGAGTGAGAAATCATGAAGCAAAGCAGTCAATTTCGGTTTTACACACGAACAAGATGGCGATTTCTAGTACAGCAGTTACACGAGGAAGGCAATGCTTCCGTTCCGTTTTTAACGACTTCAACCTCGGAAAAAGGCTGCAAAAACTGTATTTCAAACAAGTATGTACTTCATTTATTTTATGTTTGAAGCTGCTTGTATTTTTCTCTAAAGAAAACATTTGACAGACCATGAAATTGACTTTGAGAACATGTATAAATACAATACGGCATTTGCAGTTGTATTGTTATTATTGTACAAACGTTATAGTTGTATTACGTATCTTTTTAGAGTTTTACGTTAAATTCGAGGCACAGTAAATGCTACATGAGCACAGAGGTAAATGTTTCGTCTTTCTATTTAATAAACAAAGTCAATTCTTACTAATTTTACAATTCGTCGCAAAAACATACGTATACAGTACAATTTTCAAAATATGCACGTGGAGTCGAGCTTTCTCAAATGCGTTGAAAGATTTTTCTGCATTCAAAGTGATTTTCGGCTAAATTTCAAAATGACTAACTTTTAAATTAGACAAGAAAAGTCACTTTAATGCCAGGCCATGGTATTGGTCCCGAAATCTCTGATGCAGTAAAGGAAGTGTTCAGTGTTGCGGAGGTGAGATTAGACATATTAAAAAAGGAGCTCAAGCATTTGATTCTATTCTAGGTAAGTTTTCAGACCAGTTACATTCATAATTGTTTGTAATATTTCTCCTAAGGTACCAATTACTTGGGAAGAAGTTAATGTTGAACCTATTGTTTTACCAAGTGGTAAGACTACAGTTCCTCCTGCAGTCATCAAGTCCATCAACCAAAACAAGGTTGGATTGAAAGGTACCGTCTTGCAATGTTTGATGAAAATGTTTGTTTAAAATACCGGTAACTGCTCACAAGTCAAGTCTCGCCATAACATTTCTTTATATAAAATTCAAAAATATTGAAATATCATCATGCATTGTTATGTAGTAATATATGCAGATACTTTTATTTTCAAGTCTGTCAATTATGGGGCATTTGACCAGGGTGAAGCAAAGGGCAACTGCCCCCCTTTTTTCATGACAATTTCAAAAGTGGAGGGATTTCATTTGCATTTTTCAGCACGCCCTAAGTAACTTGCTTCCCTTTTCATAAATTCTGCCTGCGCTTCTGTTAGGAATGCAATAAATATCACCAAAAGTTAACGTACAGTTACCATACCTTTACCATACAGTTATCATACAGTTAACATACAGTTAACATACAGTTACTATTTAGTTAACATATAGTTACCATACAGTTACCATACAGTTACCATACAGTCACCATACAGTTAACCATACAGTTACCATACAGTTACCAAACAGTCACCATATAGTTAACATACAGCTACCATACAGTCACCATATAGTCACCATACAGTTACCATACAGTTAACATAAAGTTATCATGAATATTAGTTTGCTTTTTGTGAAGCAAATAATATCATGGCTTGACAATTTATATTTTAAAACAGGGCCCATGGAAACCAAGATTGGAAAAGGACATGTTTCTTTAAACCTGACTTTGAGAAAGTATGATTGAATACATTTTTTAATGTGTATCATAATGTAACTTGTTGCTTGCTTGGTTAAGGGACAAAAACATTACTGCCAAAATATAGGGGTTTTTTGCTTGCTGGGACTGACTTTTCTAGTGTCTTTATTTGATAGAATAACCTACAGTTTTAGCAAGCCAGCCATTTTTTGTTCTTTGTCAATTTTCGGACCAACTTTTTGTACATATTTTACAAAAGCTATTGGCCCTTAATGTGCGCCTCTGCCAGGGTTGGTTGTTTTAGATACAGTGTAATGATTATGAAAAAAATTCTGATTCTTTTCAGTAACAGAAGTCAAATTTTTCTGAAAATTGCAAAAATTGAAATGTGTGTTCTACTCAATTTATTGTGTTGAAGTTGAAAAAGTCTTACTTTCTGCATTTGAAAGTGAAATATGTTATGCTTTGGGATACTCTGGCAAGGGAATCACTTTACATGTCATTTTGTTTATGGTTGCTGTTAAAATTTTAGAAATCACCGCTCTTTGACTTTTTTCCAAAGTTTTAAATTCTGAAATTAGCAATTACGTACCTTGTTTTGAGTTTTCACAATTACAAGAACCCTTTAAGTTTGTGGAGTATTGATATCTTGAAAAATGTAGTATAAATTGTTTCCGCACATTTTTACGTCCTCCTTTCAATAATGCTATTTCTGCTCCCAAGTCTGATATGTAGAATTTCCATCTGCAGGACATTTAATCTGTTTGCAAATGTTCGACCTTGTATGTCGATCGAAGGTTATCCCACTGCGTATAAGGATGTTAATTTGGTGACCATACGTGAAAATACCGAAGGAGAGTACAGCGGAATTGAACATTTGGTACAGTTTGAATAATAGATATGGTTCAAATCTTGTTTCAGTTATGAATCATGGAGCCATTGAATTGTTAAATCCGATGGAATCATTTTGCTTTAGGTTGTTGATGGCGTCGTTCAAAGCATAAAATTGATCACGAAGCAAGCTTCATCTAGAGTTGCGGAATATGCATTCAGTTATGCTCTAGCAAATAATAGACACACAGTTACTGCAGTACACAAAGCAAATATAATGTAAGATTTGGTGAATGTTGTGCGTTTGTAAGGTGATGTACTGATCACAGCGTAACAGAGCAGTCGTTACGTGTGTCGGTGTAGGTTGTGATGAATGAATAAAAGAGAACAAGAACAGTCTTTACACTTCCTAAAATATTAAACTAAGATGAAGTGTGTCAGTGTAGGTAGCGATGAATGAGCAAAAGAGAACAAGAACAGTCTTCACACTATCTAAAATATAAACTAAGATAACGTGTGTCAGTGTAGGTAGTGATGAACGAACAACAAAGAACAAGAACTGCCTTTACACTACCTAAAATATAAACTAAGATAACATGTTTCAGTGTAGGTAGTGATGAATGAACAACAGAGAACGAGAACAGTCTTTACACTACCTAAAATATAAACTAAGATAACATGTTTCAGTGTAGGTAGTCATAAATGAGCAACAGAGAACAAGAACAGTCTTTACACTACCTAAAATATAAACTAAGATTACCTGTGTCTGTGTAGGTAGCGATGAATGAATAAAAGAGAACAAGAACTGCCTTTACACTACCTAAATATAAACTAAGATAACGTGTGTCAGTGTAGGTAGTCATAAATGAAGAACAGAGGGCAAGAACAGTCCTTACACGATCTAAAATTCAAACTTAGATCATGTAAGTCTGTGTAGGTAGTGATGAAAAGTAGTGAATAAAAGACGACGGCAATCTTTCAACTAACGAACATATAAACTAAGTCTTTGCAATGTAGATAGTGAGGAAAACTCGGCACCGTTTACATTACATGAAGAAGATAAACTGTAATGTTTTCTTCCGTACTGTTTATGAGTAGAAAAGCCGATTCGTTTTATTACAGGAGAAAATCAGACGGATTATTTCTACAATGCTGTCGTGAAGCTGCAGAGAAATATAAAGATATAAGATACCAGGAAACCTATCTGGACACGACTTGCTTGAACGTGAGTGAACTTTAATTGTGTAGACTCAAGAAATTACTGTCTGGCCATTTTGCGGCATAGCGAATCCTTTGGTATTTTTCTCCCCTTGTAGATCGTTAAAGACCCAAGTCAATTTGACGTGCTGGTCATGCCAAACTTGTATGGGGATATTTTAAGGTAGCTACGTTTTGGATGTCAATAGTGGACAAAGTCCAATTTGTTAGGAGAGGTCTGTTGTTGTTTCTGACTTTTGTGATTTCATTTTGTTTTGCAGTGATCTTTGTGCTGGACTCATCGGGGGTCTGGGGGTGACTCCTAGTGGAAATATCGGTGAAGATGGAGTCGCCATATTTGAGTCCGTACGTTTTCTCTTTGATTGTTTTTGTCGCTTCCCGATGTCCAGCAAGAGAATAGCCGAGCTTCTCTCAGTTTAATCATATGAGTTGCTCTCTATTTATTCATAGTGTAAAGTTTGATTATCATTAAGCATCTGAATCGGAATGAAGCATTTTGATGAATGAATGAATGAATTCTAGCGAGGGAAATTGCACCTTTATAGTCCTGAAAGATCACGTATATATTATATTATTTGCAACTTTCACGTTAAAATCTTCTCTTTAGGTTCACGGTACTGCCCCGGACATAGCAGGAGAAGACAAAGCAAACCCTACAGCTCTCTTATTGAGCGCAGTAATGATGTTGCGTCACATGAATTTGGGTGACCACGCCGAACTTATCGAAAACGCTACACTCAAGACTATAAGGGAAGGAAAGGTATGTTAAGAGGATTAGTAATTTTAACAAAGAGGCATATGAAGGGATTGCTATAATCTTCTTGAAAATATTACCCTCAATAAAGATCAGGGAAGAAAGGTGTAAAGCCTGTTTCCACTAGCCACGTATCGTAACGTATTATAGCAAAACGTAACTGGTCGCATGCGTGCTTATGAATTTGATGGTCAATAGGTGCAAGCACGCATGCGCCATGTTACGTTTTGCTATGATACGTTACGATGCGAGGCTAGTGGAAAACAGGCTTAAAAGAGTATTAAAACTTCGAATAATAATACACACGAGGAAGTGAATTCCGGCCCACAGATCTTAACTTTAAACCAAACAATATATCATTATATCCTAAGGCTATGGGGATTTCCTGGTGGATTTCAGTGTGTGAAGTAACGGCAGGAAAGTCAACGGTCGAATGAGTGGCCCAGACACTCTTTCTCGGGCATTTCTTAAAAATTAGTTTTGGACCTAAGACTTTTTGTCGATTTCTGCCAAAATGGCTGTTGAAAATGAACGGTTTGTTGGGACAAGTTCTCTTCCTTTTTGTCTCTGGATATTATCCTTTGATATGTCGTAAATTCGCGCTGCATGATGATTAAAATGATTTTGACCTAATGAAACAAAGTACTCACTGATTCAAATTTACTCACCGTAGGTGCGTACGAGGGACCTGGGTGGTAATGCAGGCTGTGCAGACTTTACGAAAGAAATCTGCGATAATTTGGAACGATGTCAATGTTGAAGAGCCAAATCATCCAGAATCTGGTATTCAAACGTCTTAACATGTCGGAGGACGTACATAACGCATGCAAGTTTATTTATGCAGTTTCGGTATAATTTAATTATACTCTGTAAATATTTTAAGCCAAAGAAGCTTTGAATTTTGCGTTGAAGTTTTACACTGACTTTCGAAGAAACGATCAAGCTTGTTGAGTTTTTTTACGGTTGTTAACGAATGAGTTTTCAAAAAGAATGTCCCTTTCGAAGAAACGATCAAGCTTGTTGAGTTTTTTTACGGTTGTTAACGAATGAGTTTTCAAAAAGAATGTCCCTTTCGAAGAAACGATCAAGCTTGTTGAGTTTTTTTACGGTTGTTAATGAATGAGTTTTCAAAATGAATGTCCTCTCCTGTTTGCATAGCTGCGTGGTTAGACATACAGAGTGAGAAAATTTATTTAACCAGCAGCATTATGTGTACAGTACGTTGCAAATTTGCACGATATTTGGAAAAGCCTGCACGCATGATAAATTCATTCAATTTTTATTCAAAGGCATTTCAAAGGTAAAAGTTAGTTTATCTACTTGAAATTCTACATTGGATAAACGTAATGCGTGTGTAGCGTGATCTTTCACATTCGGCCATTTTCTACGTATCAATACTGCACGTGATTTATTTGCGACATGACCAATTAGTGACGTCACAAAGTTTAATTTGACCAGCGCGATATATTTTCTCGTAATAAACAATTGTTGTGTCATTGAAGAAAAGGAGAAGTATTTTGGAGCAGGTTTTTCGAAAAAGAAGAGGAGATCCGGTATGTCTAACTCACAAGAAAGGGTTAAGACCGCGGCGACGGATATCAATAAGCAGTCAGCTCAGGAAATTGAAAAATCTACTGCTGGTAGCAGGCCTCCAATGATGAGCAAGAATCGCCTTGAGGATCAGATAAACCACGAGGACCTGGAGTTACTGGAATCCATTTTCAGGGAGGCAGACGAGAATGGTGGTGGCGGATTAAATTTGGGCGAGTTCCGGGAAGCGTTGGGGCGAATTATTGCGAATAAGGGCGGTTTATTACCGGCAGAAGAAGAATTGGCCATTATATTCATGAAGGTGGACGCAAACTGCGACGGCACAGTTGACTGGGAAGAATTTTGTTCTTACTTGTTGATGGAAAATCAATTGAAGGATGTAATGGTCAGGTATGGTGAATTCATAGTCCTGAAGCTATAGGCCGAAAGCAGATTAATTTACCTGTAGCTATTTAGTGATTTTGTGACTATATACAAAACAATACCAGTAGGACATTTTTACGATAAGTTCAACAAAGCAATTGATGCGATTTTTAAAATTTACCATTTCGAGCTACGCACATTTTTACCGATAAATTATTCTTTTTTCCAGCGAGCTGAACGGAGATGCACCTTTCCCGAATCCCGTCCGCGAGTTGACGAGTGCACATCGTGACACGCTCGTGCGAATCTCGTACTTTCCAAAAATATCATACGGACCCGAGGACTTTGCTGATGGGGCAACGGGAAGGTAAGACCCGTGATTTTACATGAAATTATGAACTGTCTCCCATTAAAAGTAATTTCGTTGAATCATACAGCTTTGTAACCAGTGACGGGAACTTTGGGAAAGATATTTTATATGGAATTTAAAGTTTTATGGATGTTTCAACTGCGTTCCAATTCTTTAGTGAAAAATTATCTGATATTAATCGGCCAAACCGAAAACTGACAAATGCAAGATCTTCATTCTTCTGGCGACATAGAATAAAATCTTTTTTTAATAAAATAAGATCTTAGAATAAAATAAAATCATAGAATAAAATCTTTTTTAATCTTTTTTTAATCTTTTTTAATAAAATCTTTTTTTATCTTTTTTGATCTTTTTTATCTTTTTTCAATTTTTTTTAATGTCGATGATCTTTAACTTTTTTTCAGAATTTCGACAATCTTTATCTTTACTGTTTTTATTGCTGTGTTTTGTGCCCTTCCCTTCCTTTGCGTTTCACTCATCATCCTCGCCTCGTGTTTCCATCGGTGCTCAAAAATTTCCACCTATTTTTGGGTTGTAGATACGTGGTTGTAAGTCGTGATGGAGTTATGACGTTCTGGAACATGGATCTTAATCTTCAACGGACCATCATGTTGAACGAAGGACATCACAACACTGGCAAAGCAACTAGGTCTGTAACGAGTGATGGGCTTAGCAGAAGTATGTCTTAAGAAAAGGCAGACATCGCATATTTTCCAGTGTCATTATCGTTTATTTATTGCGAACAGGTCTGTATGGGTGACTGATTGTGTAGTGTTGGCGAACGTTAAGAAGATCGCCGTGTCAAGTACGGAACGTGATATTGCCTTCTATGATTGTGCTGCCAATAATTTCGAGAAGCATTTTGTTGTCTGTGGTTTCCAACATTCCGTCTTGTGTATGGATTACTGGTACAATCCTCGTAAACTGAGCGAAAGTGCATTGTATTTTGGTGACATGAATGGACAAGTTTTTGTCTTGATTTTTTCGTCTGCCACAACCGGTATGTTCCTCCATTGATGAATCCTTGATCCAGTGTAGGGGACTACCTATAGCATGCTTTCCAAAACTTGAAAGATCTCAATTCTCTCTCTCTAATTTCTGAGTCACTTAAATGTATGCGATAGTGACTTTCCATCTACTTTTCAAACATTGCCCTCTTATGCTCTACCCACTGTCGTGTAAAGCGATGATGGTGAAAGGAAAACGGAAAACTTAGAGCAGTTTCATACACTTTTCTTCAGGTCTATTTGACATCCACGTGGCAAAGAATCAAGGTAAACCAATGGCTTCGTATTGTCGAATTATGTTTAAGGAGTTGATGAAAGGCTTGCACCCCAACGTGCGGGCAATGCAGTTCTCCGTTCACGATGATTGGGTGAAGAAAATAAAATATTGTCCAAGTCTGCAGTGCTTTATATCCTGCGCGACTACCTGTGAGAAATCATTGTATATTGGTGACGCCATGAGAAAGCGGGTCAGTTCTTATATCAATGTTCGAAAGGGCGTCTTAAGCTTCGATTACTGCAGTACGTGGAATGTCATTATAACAGGAGGGATTGATCACTACGTACGCCTGTGGAATCCTTATTTGACCACGAAACCCACGTCTACCCTCAAAGGTCACTGCTCTGCAGTCATTCACATTGAGGTGAATGCAACTAATGGCCAATTCATTAGCGTCTCGCAAGACAAGGTATTAGTGATTATTTTCTTCGCTCGCGTGGTTGCTCTTTTTTGCTTCATCGTGTCTGTGTGCGATCAATTTGACGAGTGTTGAAATTTCGACTTTACCTAGTCATCAAAGAAGGTATAATTTTTTCATTTAGCGCGCGATGTTTTGGTTATTTTTAGGTGCTCAAAGTTTGGGATATTAGAGATGTTTGCTGTATTCAAACGATTCCTAGCCGACTTCTTAGGCTGGGCCCTGTTGTCATCTCTAGTGTATACTTTAATCAAAAGAATCACACGTTGTTGCTTGGAACAAACGTCCTTTTTGCATTGGAAAGGAAAGGTACTTTGTACTATTGACGTTTATGTAAGATAGAATCCAGGGGCGGATTTTCTTTTGGAAGAGGGGTGCAGGGCGGGGAATGCGCACTGCGACTTGTCACGTCTAGGTCACAGAATAATGATTATACAAAAGGGTCACTCAGGTGTACAACGTGTCCTCATGTCGGCCATTATTCCAGCCAGATGATTAGGATTTCTCACTTGTTTCCAACTATTAAAATTACATGACGTCAATACTTAATAATGAATTCAAGTATATTTTGACTCAAGAAATGACTTCGGATCATTTTAAAGGTTGGGAAAAAGTCAAAAACCCTCATCATCTGGCTGGAATAATGGCGGCCACCATGCGCAGCACGACATGCGCGAGGACAAAAACATCAAAGTTTCCGACACGAGTGACTTCAAGAACTTCAATAGGAAGACCTAGACGCAGAATAAGAATATACAGATATTCTTATTCCGTGTCTAGGTCTTCCTATTGAAGTTCTTGTCTAAGACATTATTATTTTATTCGCTCACAACTGTCGTTAGGAAACGCTGAAAAACTTCGTTTATTTGCATTAGTGTCTTAGTGTCCAATTTTTTATGGAAAATTTGTGTTTAGACAACCCATGTGAACGAATTATCTAGGTTGTGAAAAAAGATCAGATGATATGGAAAAAACCAGTCATACGAAGCCTATATGTAAAGCCCTGTACAACAGTCTTTTCAATCAAGTTGTGAGTGCTTGCCATGCGTCGCTTGTGATCGTGTGGAGTCTGGAAACCGGCGAAAAAGTTATCCAATTTGCAAACGCGCATCCTCATTCGGAGATTACGGCAATGTGCTTTGACCAGAGTCAGCGCAGGCTTATTACCGGTAAAGAAGTTATGAGATAATCATACATGGCAAAATGCTTTTGAAAACGTCTCACTTAAACCTCTATTAGGTGCCCGCAATGGGACCGTGAAAATATGGAATTTCAATAATGGCAACTGCTTACGGACTTTAGTGCCTGTGGATGAGGAGGAGATAACAGGGATCGTGTGCACCAAAAAGAGGATTATCACTGTTGGATGGTCCAAGAAGGTTGCTATATATAAGGATAGTAGGGATGAACAGGTGAATTATGTTGAGTTTTATTGTTACATGTTTACTCCTTGTCAACTGTTTGTTCATAACTACCTACACTACATACATTACAGGTAATGTAAAGACTGTTTTTGTTCTCTAATGTCTATTCATCTAAACTACACTGACACATGTTGTACGACGTAGCAGTTATAGATAGTGTAAAAACTGTTTATTTTCTCTGTTGTTTATCTTAGTTCACATTGTAGGCAATGTCGTCATTCATTTATCACTTTATCGTTTGAGGCGCATTTTCTCTTTCTTCCACTCTCTCTGTTTTGTGTAATGATTGCTCTTGTTCTATTTTACGTTCTCTTAAATGTAGGAAGAATGCGCGCCACGGATCTGGGACAACTTCCATAAAGATGACATTCTAGCTATCGATCTTTACGGCACGGGAACCTTGGCCACGGCTAGTTATGATGGCGACATTAAAGTTTGGAGCCTGGAGACTTTTCAAGTGACATGTGTTCTCAATGCTAATAACTATGATGACTATACACAGAAAAAAAGACCGTCCCTAATACCCAAGGATCTTAAAAAATGTAACCTCATATCCCTATAAGTTATATTATTTGCTTTTTCTTAGTTCTAGCGTCTTTATCAGGCTTCACTACACCTGATGTCCAAACTCGAGTCCTTATTTATGGATATGTATATAGTGCTGGATGTGATGTTAATGGTTTAGCTCTTGCATGCTTCAGCTTTTAGTGTATTTATCAGGGGACCTGCTGTGGGAACTTGAGAACTGATTTCCTGGCATGAAGTTTAATCGTCAGGAATGAACAAATGTCCAAACTTGAATTCTTCTTTTCCCCCAATTTAGCATCTGTATCATATATTCGTGCTAAAACTTAAGTTCTATTTTTTCATTCAACAGATCATGGTGAATAACGTTATTTTCACTGACCTAAAGAAACAGGAAGCTATAGAAAAAGAGGAAGATAAATTGGACTTGGAGAATCAATCCGTTTTGAAATTAATTCGAAACAGACGTTTGACGCAACGTCGTTTGTCTAGTATCACTAGGCGTCGGCAAAGCATGGCAAGGCGCAAGAGTATCGATCCTCTGTCCATTAAGGTACTGACGTGCTCAAACGTTTTCTGCATTTGCTTTGACATTCCAGTCTTAGATGCCATGACTCAAATATTTAATGAAATGACACGTATCAAAGAAACTAGCACAAATGCAATAAATAACATAAGACCTCGCCTTTTGTGCTCGTATTTCTATCAGGTTGATGTGAAAGAAACAGATCATGATTCCGGTGTTGACAGCATATTGTTCCTACAGCATCGCCACCATGCTACCGATACGGCCACTTTGTTGAGCACCGGATCAGGGGGGGTTATAAGAGCATGGTGTATGTTCGGTGGAGGCTTGGCTGGCGAATTTATGGCCTCGAACAACCACCGTGAATCTATCCTTTGTATGACGAGTGATGAAAAAAACGAGTTTCTAATCACTGGAGACAGTCAAGGCTACATCAAGATTTGGAATATAAAGAATTATTGCATAGCAGAGCAAAACAAAAGCGATAAAGGTTTTGTAGATGTCACTGAACATCTTAGCAAGGCTCGTAGACAGGTCCCCTACCCGAAAGTCTGCGAAAGCGTAAAATAAACCGAATCGCTCCGCCTTTGGTGTTTTATCTCCGCGCTCATCTCCAACAAATCGTGAGTATAGATTACGTTCCGAAGTATAACTTGCTCATTACGGCGTCTACCGATTGCTCCCTTCGGTTGTGGAAAAATAATGGTCTGTATATTGGTACTTTTGGTCAGCGGAACATTTGGAACTTGAGCAATGCCGGTGAAGGTGACATTCCCTCTGATTTAAGGCGGGCTGCGTCGGTCAATTCAATGAGTTTAATGCGAAAGACGTCGCGCAAGCGTTGGAGTGTTGCCAAGAGTTTCATTAAAGCTGCCGGCCGCCTCTCGTTGGGACTCAATAGGCTGATTGTGAATGAGAATCCTATACATGAGTCAAGTACTGCCAAAAGCATTGTACTCAATGAATCAGAGTGTAGGATTGACATGGACAATATATTAGGTTTGTGATATGTTGATACAAATCAATACTTCTTGTAACATGTGATGTCTGTATGAAACGGAATATATATCGGAAAGTTCAAATATATTTGGGCACTTACTTCGACAATTGTTTTGTTCAGGAAAATTTTACCGACCGAAATATCGTCATCATAAGCCACCGTGTCTACCCAAGTTGAAAATGAACAAAAATCAGGTTATGGTGTACAACTCATTGAAGTGTAACGAGTTGGCACCGATAGTGGAACCCAAGCCTCCCGTCATGACGTTAGTCATGCCATCAAACCCTAAGCCTAGTCCCAGGATTACGTCTGGGATATCGGAGAAAGAGGTTCATGATAATAATAGGTCGCGTCGTGTATCGCTGTCAATTCCTCGTGATGGAACTCGAGCTAATTTCGCAGCTCCTATGGGACGCGGAAAATCAAAGTTTCAGAAACTACCTGATTTTGCGAAACAAAGAACATTAGACTTATAAATATATATATGTTGTTTTAATTATTCATTAATTATATTCATATAAATACGTGTGCTCCTCGTTTTGGTTTTGTTTTTTGCAATCGTTCAAAACATACACACGTAAAAAATTAGGAAAATTAAAGAATATAGCTGCTCTTAAAAATTAGTTTTGACTCTTTAGTTAAGTTCCTAATACTTCCTTTAAAACAGATTCTGCTTTTCCATGCAGGTGTTCAAGTTAAGGTGAAGTTGCCTTTCGTTTGCGTCTAGCCCTCATAAAACCGTAATTAGTGTAAGTTCTTTGTGGATAATTAAAATAGGCATTATTGGTATTAGTGGTACTCCAAAGATTGTATGCAAATCGAGGTTGCGTTTGTCCGTAGTATTGAGAGCTCACATCTGCGTTTTGAAAGCTTCTACTTGGATAATAGTAGCCTGTGTTTTGTATCGACTGATAAGGAGTAATAGGCTGGCCTTGAATTGGTGAGCTTGGCGGAAAATTGCTGGTCCATGCAGCCTGTTGAGGTGTATTGACACTCGACGGTGACGAAGGTTGACTATATACATTTTTGACAGGTGTTGCGGGTGGGTGTGGATCTTCTTTATGCTCGTTCAGCGGTTTATACTTGACTGTTTCCAAATGAAGTGATGGTGCAAAGATGTAGGTAGGACCATCAGGGATCTTATCCTTTACATGAGTTCTCTTTCTTTGTGGAACCGGTTTGGTTGGACGAGGTGTCTCTGGATGTGTCACCCGCTGATAAGGAGGTTTGCCTTTCGTTCCATGTAATACTAGTCCCCATTCCTTTAAAAATCCGCGATTTGCACGAGAGTCGCCTTCATCGGTTATTTCCAGTGTCCAAGTACCACGAGGATCTTCACCCCATGAATGTGTCGTCATGAACGGCCATTTCAAGAAACCTTCGTCTGAGAGATCTTCTCCCCTTGGAGTAAGTAGACGGGATTTTGTGCCCATAGGAGACGTAAGATCGATTGCTAGATCGCCCCTTCTGCTGTAGTCGAGCGTTAAAACGAGCTGCACATGCTCCAAGTAACGTATCTCATCTTGGTTGCCTTGACAACCATTTGCTTTGATTTTCACTGCCAAACCGTTGGCGTGATGAATAAATCTGGAAAGAAACTATTTTTAACAGAGAAATCTACCGTTAAGTAGATCAACTGGTCTATTTTATTTAGCAAACGTCGAAGCTTTGACTGTACCAGCTCAATTAGTGCTGTTTCTACACTCCTCTGAATTTGAACCCCTGAAATACAAATCTCACTGGACCACTTACTTTCTATCCTGATTGATTTGACCGTGACATATTTTTTTTTCTGGTACTTTCTTACGAAGTTTTGCCAACGCTACGATAGCGTGCGCGTCCAGGAGACCGAACCCAAACTTTAAGCTCACGCGGCGTCCTAAACCGTTGATATTCCAGTCTGGGTCATGTGATAGCGGTCGCCATTTTGACGTCCATACGACAATATGTTGCACATCACGCCATGTCAGGTCCGAGCTATAGAATAAAAAATGTGAGGTTGAGGATGTGAATAATAGCGAACCTACAAAGTGAACAAATGGTTTGTTTTTTGCAGATCTTGTCATTCCCTTAACAATACTTGTATGATCCATCTGGTGTTTGGATATTTGGTAGCATTCATTTATGGGGAAATTTGCATGAGAAGGAAAGTCAGGAAGAGCTAATAGCAATCTTATTTTCTGATGGTTTTGTTCTGTCACAGTTTATTTATTACGTAGGTAGAACGCTGGAAACAAGCATTTGATGCTTTCTGTTTTTTCTATCTAATTTTGACGTATGTTGTTGTTCCGTGAACTATTTTCTTGGAAATTTTGTAATTACTTACACGAGGTAGATCTGTTATCTTTGCTGCCTCTCCCCCCTCCCCTACCTCCCTCTTCTACTAATTACTTCATTCCACTTACTTTGCCTCTAATGCCAAAGCAATGACTCCTGCAGCCAGGGGGCTGATGCAGACGTTCCCGTGTGCTTCTCGGTACATTGATTATGAAGATCAGTTGTTGCCTGTGAAAGATTATTATGTCAGTGAAAAAACACAAAGTGTGACTATCTAGCTCGGCGACACTTTAAATCTCAAAGATTCTTCACTTACAATCTTTTGCTCTCCTCTTGATCCGCTGCTGAAGGTAGTGGCAAGTGTCGACGAGCATGCTTCGGAATACCACGGAGATTTTCCGTGATCGGACGAGGAACTTATAGAGAGCGTGTACACGCTGTTGGTGTAACCATCACAGTTGCAGCTGTCGTCGTGACGACCACCGTTCCCCGATGCCCAAATAAATATAGAACCCTTACCGTCGCGTCCCTGTTGATGGAATTTATGCTCAATATTTGCTGTTTTCATGCAGTCTCAAAGTTTTCATGCTGTTTTCATGTCATAGGGAATAGGGGTTTTCCTCAATTGGGGTTTTCCTCTTTTTTCCAGGCCTCGTAGAGTTGTTCTTTGTCAAGAAAGTCAGTCTGCCGTAATTTGTAGACTGTAAGACACTGTGACTGCAGTCATAATGCAGCCTTTATAAAAAACTGTTACACTATAGTACTAACAAACATGGCAACTCATTTGAGAAATACCTTTTTAATTCCATTTAAGAAGGCTGCTGTTGCCAAGGTACCAGGCCCTTCTACAGTCGTGCCATCATCACTCGGTCCCCAACTGGCGCTGTATATATCAATATACTGCGGATTAAGACTCAATGATTCTGCTTCCACTTTATCAGTAACTCTTCCATCTAACATTCTTACTCCTTGAATAAGAGATAGGATTGAAAAATATTTCTAGTAAATTGAATATAAATAAGATTTTATTGGTCAACGGTGTTCTGTGTAATTGTCACTTTTTTTGTTGAAGTGACAACACGGGACTTTTTCACTAACTTATAGTGAAAAAAATTCTATCATGTTCGAATTAGTCACCTCCTACTCGAGCATTGTAAGCTACACCGACTCCACATTTATCATTGTTTGCTTGACCAGCTACCTCTCCCGCACATCTCGTCCCATGCCTATAAAGAAAACAAAAGACATCCCATACAGATATGGATAACTGCAACATGTTAGTAACTGCCATAGCAATGGCAATTGTTTGGTTTATTACTTGTTCTCGTTGGTCACATCATATCTTGGGAATGGATCAGGATCGCCACCATTGACATCCCAACTTGCAGCAGGGTCCTGAAGTATAAAAGACTTGCGACTTACGTATCTTGCCAAAAGTCGGTAGACTTCAACTTTTGCACTTACGTAATTTCTCATTAAATCTGTGTGGTTGTGCTCAACTCCTAAAAATAATTTTATAAAAAATTTCATGTCGTGTTAAATTCTCTTAACATATATCGGCGCCCGCAATGTTTTTGCTGCCCAGTTTACTTTCTCATGAATTCGCGCTTAACAATGAGTCCTTATATAATCCAATATGCGTCTAAGTGATCTGATCTTGCCACTTTAGTAATATTATAGGTCATGGTATTTTCACGTATTCCTTACCATCATCTAAGATTGTGACAACTACACCCTTGCCAGTGATGCCTTGCTTCCACACCGACATCACGTGGACATCCATGTCGTAACCTTTCCTCGTGTCATCCTGCTCAATGAAATCGCAATATTATCCATAACCTACGAACTTCTCCATCACGTGTGAACTTTAACATCTCATATTTATGTATCCATGAATCAATAATTATATCGTCAATGGCAACTCAAAATGTTCAACCAGTGGTACCCAGTGAGGCATGGGGAAATGGTGAAATGCCCTTCCACATGATATTTTCAAAACTATTATCTATCTTCATTTGTACAAATGGAAAGCATTGATAAGTGATATGTAAGAGATATTTTTCGACAGTGTAGAACCGCCAACACTTACTTATACTTACCAAATACCATTGATAGTTCCACAGGGGATCCTTAAAGATCACCTGAGCATGCCGTTTACCATTGCATCATGGTATGCCCCACGTTTCACCCGCGTTTTTCGTGCTGTTGCTCAGCCCATTCAACCTAAACATCGTTATAATCTCACTATCTGCAAAACTGACAAACAACTGGTTGACAACACAATGAACGAAACCCGAATTGTAGCGAAACAACTGAGAAATACCAAATGCTTTTTTATTTGGATAATTAAAAAAGTTAAACAAGTAATGGTGTTTTCGGTGAATGGCGTGCTTTGTGATTGTTCAATTCATTCAAGAATAACAGTCGAAGCATTAACTATAGGAGAGGGTGAAACATGATATCATATATACATACATTGGGATGTGCATGAAGCATGTCCGTCATCTCTATAGCGCTGCGTTTTGTGCGATGTGGATGAGATGGATGCTCAAAATGATAATAGTCGTCCAGTGTACCGATCTAAAGAATATAGCTCAACGCCAACTGGGTCATTTGCAGTTCATAATTATGGAGAAAATTTTACATAAACAGTGTAGGGATGTAATTTGGCGTAGGACATGATGACGTGTGCAAGTGTTGACAGTATACTATTTATTCAATTATTTTATTGGTTTTTTGAGGGATTTTCATTTGTTAAACAATTTCTGTCATTAAATTCGTACAACTTTAGTCTACAAAGTCTACGAACAGTTTGAAAGAGTGGAATAGATTTTCATTTGATTGTTCAAAACTCATGCATCTCGTTTACGGGTACCTGTTTTGAAATTTAGGAAATTAGCTGTGCAAAACAGTCTTATTTTCGCAAATCTCGCAACACATTCATTTAATTTTGTGTTTCAAACTCTTTCAAATTCACTACATATCCACAATAATATCATGGCTTTGTTTTCTTCAATTGTTCGCACAGGCTTAATGTGGAAAAACGAGTTTGACTTCCAGTGTCAAAGCAACATGTTATTAATCGCTCATTTTACTCGGGATCAACAAACCTTCTCCACTTTCGAAAAGCCATAGTTTTGTGCTACGATTTCCGCGTTTTCAATTCCACCGATCAGTTTAACAGCCCAGCCGTTGGTGTAAATCTTTTCCCTTCTGTTGGCGAGTTTTGTATTTACTTTGTGAGATTGTACCACGGTTATCCATATTGAAAATAAAGTCAAAATAGCAATTAGTTTTGATCTCATAAAAAGCCGAATGGCCGGCCCTTTACTGCACATTTCATTGCTACGAAAAAGCCGAAGACAACTGCTTAAATGCGATCCATAATCCGTTGCGACGACAACTTAAACATCTACGATATATCATTAAGCATTTATCGTTGTGATACTTTGTGATTCATTGTTTGACCGTGTATTCACCTGCATATGTTGCAGTCGAGCATTACGTCATAGCTTCTGTTGCAATCTCACACTTCGCCACTTCATGTACGTGTATAAATTTTGATGCGAAAGTAGTATTGTCGATTAATGACGAGGTCTCACTTCAATTTATGCACTTTTGAGATGACATCAAATTTTCATTGTTATTACTGTGGTGTGTTAGTGAATACACAAAGAAACTACAGGAATAGTCTTTGCTTTCTCGACGTTTTATTAACGCTTGTTTTTGCTCTTTGCAATGAAGAAATGTTATTGGGTTACGTTAGAAATCGATAAATTACTAAATCTGATTGGTTTTCATGTTGTTACCAAATGGTGAGGACTTACATGAAGTATCGTGTTATTGTAGAAAACATGTCGACGTCTTATGTAAAATGGAAATAGACAAATTTAGTGGTAATTTATTGAAACAGAAGAGAGGTTTTGGACGAATTGAACCTGGATTAAGGTATCCAAATGCCTCATATTATGAAATCCAACTATTTTTCACTTCAACTTGTTATTTATTTTGTATTTTAGTTCAGCACCTTACTTGTGCTTTCTGGTTGTTTCGAAAATTCTCTATGTCTATGGATTCTTCTTATCGTATGATTTATTAAAGAGCGTCCATATTGTTATATACTTGTTGATTATACGTGCAAGGTACAGAAAATTTTTTTAATAACGACATGAAGTTGCGAAATGACCCTTCTTGAAATGATCTTCTGCGTTTTAGTTCTTCTTTGGTTTTCGTTCTCCTGCAAAAGCCTTTGTCGTCTGGGAAACCGTTAACAGCATTGCAGGTATTTTCATTCGATAATGATTTATTTAATTTGATTGTAATGTACTTGATATGTTCACTGTTACTTTATAAAAAAACCTGTGAAACTTCCTACTGTTTCACTCACTGCAAGTCTAAACGTGTTAAAATCACGGAAGGGCGAAGTGATAAACTGGATTCGTAGCCTGTTTCTTTGAAATTATGCTCTGTGAAACTTCTCTACAACTGCATAGCCTGTGCTGCTTGTTTAAACATGATGACATAATAGGACGAAGAAATTCCTCATTTTTTCCCATTTAAAACTATAAGAATAAATTGTCAATTAAGAAATTAAATATGTTTACTGTGTTTGCACGAGCTTATGCAAACCAAGGAGACCTTTGGGAGAACTCGAGAGCAGATCGGTGCAAGCCCAAGACCAAAGGTCGCTGTGCTTCATTGTGTTTATTTTATAAGTGCGTTTGAAAGAGGGAGGGGGTAGGGAAAGGCAAAACCTTGTTACCGAAGTATTGAGGTCAACTACCCCCTACTAAACATATTAATACAGCCTTTTAAGCAAGTGCAATGTCACTCAAGATATCTTACATTTAATGCTCATCTCTTAGCCACATCCCTGCGTTCAGTGTAGTCATTATCTCGCCATAAGTTATTGTAATGCAATGTTTAACCATCATGTATGTTTTGATATTAATTTTAGTGGTACCAAATAGCAAAACATGCTTTGTTGTCAACATTTCTATCATTGTTGCTGTATGATGGATTGACTCTTTGTGGCCCATTAAGGTAGAATCATTTCCTTTCATGTCATTTGGACCAAAGAGATATTTATGCTGATAGTTCTCTTGTCACATATGTGACATTTGCATTGTAATTCTTTTGTCATTCCTGACTTTAAGCACATGACAGTAATCAAGACCTTACAAAGTATAAGATATTTATTGTATTTTATTGTGACTTTATATGAAAACATATGTTGTTAAGTTTTTGCAATCCCACTTACAGACATAAAGGCAAATGTGCTATGTGTCACGTGTCTAACTCACACTTGTGATTGGAAGTTTGTTAAAGTGCCAATGAAACGAAAATTTTGCTATCTGAGTAATACTTTTATTCAAGAGATATTTTAAAATGACAATGGACATTTTAAACCAGTTTATACATATCACTTTTAATTCTTGTGATATTGAGGTTTTTCCTTTGTCTGATATATCTAACTTGTGACGTCACATTGTATATGGAGAACTAGAATTGTTAGGTATATTTCCTTTAATTCACAAGGACAGAGTTCCTTCATTGTGATGTGGTTAATGGTATAAAATGCTACCTACTAGTATCAACCTAAAGTTGTCAGGAAACTGAAGAGAATTGGAAACATTGCGATAACTCATTATGAAACATGACGTCATAAGTTGTATAAATTGGAAATAACAAAAACGTCAAAATCACAAGAGTAAAAAGAGTTATGCACTAACTGTTTTAGAAAGTACACTGTCATTTCAAAAGTTCTGGTCATTTCAAACATAATTTAACTTTCAAAATTTTCGTTTCATTGGCAGTTTAAGTCTTCATTGACAAGTGCCACATTCTTTGTAATTTGATAAGGGAAAGTAATGAAAAATACGTGAAATACTACTACGTTCAATAATCCTAATTTAAACTAAAATAGTCATGTGGACAGATTGTAACATATAATATCAATAGTTTGAGAGAATTTTTTAGAGAATTGCCTCCATACATGTAGATTCTAAATTATTCTCGTTCCAGGACTTTGTTACTTTCGGAACATAGCGATGTCGTGGTCTTTGGCGTGTTGACAGTGCTCTTCAAGACTGGCAATGCTGGTCCAACAAAGGTATTGTAAAGTTAAGCACATCCTTTACTTTCTATTCTTTGATAATTTAAAGCAAAACATTGCATGATGTTTGTTGAATTTTTCAGATTCGTGGAGCGTTATTTTTCTTGTTTGCAATGATTGCTCTTTTGCTGTTTGACAACGATGAAGTCACTCGTGAAAACGAGCATCGTATCCTTAAGTGTACCTAAGTAATGAGTATTGTATCCTTAAGTGTACCTAAGTAATGCTGCGGCCAATTTACTTGTGTTACTACAAATGCTTTTTGCCATAGTTCATGCTATGAAAATTTCAGATCATTACCATTATTTATTTCTTTGAAGTTAACTGTTTTACAGTGAGTGAACATTAAAATATTTACATACGTAGCACTAGTAAACTTGCGGGCTGATTATGCCATGTTCGTATACTGCTTTATGGTAAACTTTATGCCATTGCTCGTATACTGCTTTATGGTAAACTTTAGACATTGCTCGTATACTGCTTTATAATAAACTTTAGACATTGCTCGTATACTGCTTTATGGTAAACTTTATGCCATTGCTCGTATACTGCTTTATGGTAAACTTTAGACATTGCTCGTGTACTGCTTTATGGTAAACTTTAGACATTGCTCGTATACTGCTTTATAATAAACTTTAGACATTGCTCGTATACTGCTTTATGGTAAACTTTATGCCATTGCTCGTATACTGCTTTATGGTAAACTCTTTAGACATTGCTCGTATACTGCTTTATAATAAACTTTAGACATTGCTCGTATACTGCTTTATAATAAACTTTAGACATTGCTCGTATACTGCTTTATGGTAAACTTTAGACATTGCTCGTATACTGCTTTATTTTAAACTTTAGACATTGTTCGTATACTGCTTTATGGTAAACTTTAGACATTGCTCGTATACTGCTTTATAATAAACTTTAGACATTGCTCGTATATTGCTTTATGGTAAACTTGACAGTGTTCCTTAACTCGTTGCCAGCGGACGGAGCAGAACGTAGCCATCTCGTTCATTATTTTTATCAGTGGAAAGTACTTACTCTTCCAGGCCTTCCACGTTTATCTGATCATAAGGTACAGTTTGCAAATACTTCATACATAGTTACTGCCGACATTTATTTTTTGCAGCAAGTTCAAACATTAAAGAGAATTCCTCCAATGACGAAGGCAATTTTTTTTAGTCGGAGGGGGTGTGGGACACGTAGTTCTAGTGCTAATTGCGAGTAGTAATGTGATGGTGATTGACTCTTACGTCATTGTATTGTGTGTACAGAAGAACGTAAGAACCAGATAACAAATACGGCTAACCTGACGTTTACTCCTCATTTGACTCTGAAGATGACTACCGCTAAGGTTGTCGAAACGTCAGTCAACAACAACAGAAACAGTCCTTCTCAGGACTATACCAACCTGGACAATCTACATTTACAAACATGTAACGATACTCCGGTTCAAACCATTTACGATATCATGTTCGTTATTTTGCAGTTCGTTATTATGATTTCATTTGAGCATAGAAATTGCAATTGTTAAGACATTCGCGTCATTGCGGCCCTGTCAACACTAACACGTTTTCGTACAAATGTAGGTACATTTCTATCCGTTTTATCTTTCTGTCCACGCTAATTCACGGGCGTATGAAAGTGCAAGACTGTAAAAACGCAGCTCTTTTATTGAAACGGTCTTTTCAAATATCGATATAGAAAACGTATTAGGTGATGAAATTTTAAATATTATCTGTGGTTTTATTATTGTTGTCAGGGTGGCATTTTGTTGCTATCTGCTGTTCTACTTCTTAATGTCGGCAACAAGAATTATGGTAGAAGAATTGCTGTTGAAATTGGAGGTACAATGGAAGTCATAAATCTTTAAAAGTCAATGCAATTCAATTGATTAACTATTGGGAAGGATGACTTGGGAAAAGATGAATGAAGAATGAGAAGGAGAACGATTCTATAATTGTGGAGAGTAGGTCGTAGCATTATTATATGAAAACCGATATTCATTACGAGTGTACTTTTTTTATTTAGGCTCAAAGAGATTCAATGCTCTCACGAATGTTTTGTCCGTTTTTTTCTATTGGTTCTGGCCATTATATTTTCCATCTTTTTCTGGGTGAGTTTTCGATCTGAATTATTTTTATTGGGGTTTTTATTAAATGAAAGTGAGATGATTTTCTTATACTTAATGGATAAGACAAGTTGTTTTTTTCAAATAAGCATGTTTCAACATCTCACGATGTTATGTTCGGTATTAGTGAGAATGTTATGTATGACACAGTGATGGTTGATAAAAACATCCGAAGCTTATACTGGAAGTCTAGTCACCAGTCGGTAATAAACACTGTTTTGAATCAATAAGGGTCCTTTACTAGAAGTAAAATATATCATAAATTTTACAATATATTTTATGACTTTTCGATAGTTTAACTGACAAGTTTGTCTCCAAGCACCTTAACCCTGCTCTAGCTTTCTTCACACGCTATTTGGAAGAGTAAAGTGCAAATCATGGCCAAAAACCTTCAATCTTGTTTTGTATATGTGATTTTTTTACAGGAAAGCGGTATTTCCTGGACCGATAAACTGTTATCGTTTGTCTTGATCTCCTTCACCATTGCGTTTGATTTTTACGTCGAGGCGATTTGTGCTGCAAAACTGGACGCTCATAAGACATCGAAATGGGGATCGGTTGTCACATTTATTTCTGCGTTCACCTTTGGAATTCTTTGGAACGATCATCACATTAGAATCTTCATGTTTCCCTTTGGTCAAGATGCTTTCGATGAGCACGGCATATCGGGAAGTGTTGTTCTTGCCGTTGTATTTTTTTCCTTGGGTAGGTTTTTATGATCTGTGTTATACGTAAAACATGATTTGAGTATCATTTATACGTCTTGTACATACAAACATGTATCCTTCCATCCATATATATACACACTCTTCCAGGGTGTTGTTGATTGCATTTAACATTAATATGATAACTTTTATTGAAGGCTTTCCCAAACCCCTACAAGGACAATTATGAAATATAATATTATATAAGAGAATTGAATAGTTAAACTCAAAGCAATACATCATGCTATTAACTTATCTAGCTGTTCTACTTTGGTCCTGATGCATTGTGCTTGACAATATTATTTCATTTTAGCTACTCATCTTCTATCTCGACATTCCCCGACTCAACAAGGTGTAAACAAAGGCATCTTGATTGGCTTCACAACTTCTGGCGATCCAATGTATAGCTTCACTTCTCCGCCGTCTTTATTGGCAAGGCTTAAAGAAATTCTTAAGCAAATTTTGGCAAAGAACGAATCACGACAAATATTTTACTTCTTTTGCCTAAACTTGGTATGTTTAGTATAATGCTTCTCCAAGGTTTTCCTCGTTCTCTACTATTTATCCTCTACACCTTACTCAGACACTCGTGTCTATAGATTTGCTCTATAGTCATTAGTAAGGAGCAAGCCAGGCAAATGGGGACGTCCACCTTAGCCTAGATTTGGCTTTTTCTATGAAACGTTGTGGCTTTCTCAAGCATATTGTTCTCGGAATTTTGTTGGTGTATTCATATATATATTTTCTCTCTTTTCAGACGTTTACGTTTATTGAGCTTCTACGGAGCTTGGAATAACAGTCTTGGTTTAATCTCCGACGGCTTTCACATGCTCTTCGATAGTTCAGCCCTCATTTTAGGCATCGCTGCATCTTTATTAAGTCGCTCGAAGCCAACGAAGCTCTTTTCTTTTGGGTGAGTTGATAAACTTCCGTAGATAAACATTTCTCAATTTTAGGACGAGTTAGTTAACGGTTATCTCTTCTGTGCAGATATGGTCGGATTGAGTATTTGTCTGGCTTTGTCAACAGTTTATTTTTAACTGTCATCTCATTGTTTATCTTCGTGGAAGCACTTGAGAGGTTATTTGATCCACCTGAAGTCAGTACTGACAGATTATTGGTATGTTCAGAGAATGTAGGAGGTGCATATGGGTATGCAATTGATGCATATGGGTGCAAATGGGTATGCAATTTCTTGTGTTAACTTAAAATTTTTTTATTTCCTTGTTTATAGATTGTTTCTATTGGTGGACTGGTTGTTAATCTTGCTGGTATTTTTGCATTTAGTCATGCACATGGCCACTCACATGGTCACTCACATAGCCAGTCACATGATCACTCACATCAGCAGTCACATGGTCACTCACATGGTCACACACCTGGCCAGTCACATGGCCAGTCTCATAGTCACTCTCCTGGTCACTCTCCTGGTCACTCACATGGTCACTCACATGCTGATCATCATGGACACAGTCATAGTGGTCATGGTCACCATGGTCATCATAAAGAAGGACATAGACAGGGTAATAAGGAACATAGCCACAAATGCACAGGGGGTCATAAAACTAGTGCAAATATGCAAGGTATAACCATTTATATCATATTACTTTTGATGAAGACAATATATTGACAGATAAACTGAGCATTTTTATAATTCATCTGTAGGTGTGTTCCTTCATGTCATGGCTGACACATTGGGCAGTGTGGGAGTCATATTATCTAGTCTATTGATAGAAGCATTTGGTTTCCAACGAGCAGATCCTATATGTTCGTTGTTTCTTGCTGTGTTGATATTTGCTAGTGTTTTGCCTCTCTTAAAAGAATCTGCATTTGTTCTTGCTTTAAAAGCACCCAATGATTTACACGATCAACTGAATGATGCCTTGCATAAGGTACATACATAGTAATCCAGGTACACACTTCATTTACATAACTTTGCTTTGTTCAATTTGCAGGTTTTATCAATTAAAGGTGTTATCAGTTTTCGAAATCAACATTTTTGGACACATTCTGATGATCTGAAAGCTGGTAGCATTCACGTTCATGTTTCTCCTACTGCCATTGAAGCAAACATAATTTCTCAGGTATACAGTGATTTTTCGACATGGCTTTTACTGAAACACGTTATATTATGTTTTAGTTTCAGTCAATGCCATTCTTGTTCTATGTTGTTATTACTCTTTATTTTCATTCATTTGACCCAGGTGAATGCAATATTTAAAGATGTGGGCGTGAATAAATTAACTGTTCAAGTGGAGAAAGAGGTATTTTTTGAACACATGTCCGTGCTATCTGCTGGATATAAATCTGTTTTACAGCTGAAAAAAAATTTAGAGATGAACTCTGTTAGGCTAGAGAGAGAACAAAATTTTATCAACTCAATTTAATGAACACAAAGTATCAAAAAATTATTTGAATTTTAAAAGGATCAGATTTAGTTGTTTTCTCTTGCATATTACACAAATGCATATTAATAATATTTTATGGAGGTGATTCAAGTTCATTATGTCTTGATTCCGCAGTTTCTAAATGTCCTTTTGTTAAAGAAGCTTTGAGCAATAATTTTGAGAACTTAATCTTCCAGTTATTTTCCTGAGTGGGATCTCGAATGAGTCCAAAAGATTGTTCAAAGATCCCTAAGTAATTTTGTTTTCTATGCACTGTTCCACACACGATGACTACCACAAGTCCATGGGGATCCTGTCTACTCTTGACACTATCATCAGAAATGTTCGGATTGAAGTAAAGCTGATCTACAATAATCATTGACTGTAACTTGTCACTCACAAGTTGAGAGCCTTCAATTGTCAATTCTTGTGACTGATTTTGTTCACTGTATTGTATTGTTAATTTGACATCATTCCAAAAGTGCTGTGGGCCCCAATCTGTGGCGGGGAGAACTAATGTTTCAAGCAGCTTATAGAACCATGTGGCAAATTGGATGGCCAGCTCTTGTCCCTGGTCTCTTGCTGTTTTTTTGTTCGTTTGTGTATCATTGGTTAATGTGGGTTTATTGCTGTTAATTCCTACTTCTGGGCTGTCCGTCTTTTCAAGTGGCTGTGGCAAAGAGAATCCAGTATCACCAACATCTTTCAAATCTTTCTAAAAATCATATTTATGGTGAGGCAATTTTTTTAATGACTTGTTGTTCACATCCATTTCTTTGCAACTGCATATGACCTTTCAATCTCACCACACTTACTCACCCCTTGTCTCCTTAGTTCCCACAGTTTCAAGATTTTTTTCAGTATTGTGCTTTTTTCTGCAGCAGGATGCTCAACATGACCTTCCATGGCCAGGTATTGTAGAGATTCTCACGTCTCACTTTTCTTCTACGCAACAATTCCTCGCTGTTTCGTGTGAAAAGTATTATAGCTTTGATGGCTTCTGGTGGAAAAAAGTGAGAGATATCAAACCATCAATGACAAACATGGAATGAATACAAGCTGCTGTATTGCCTAACATGTAAACCAAGATAATATGTCTTAATGGTGTAGGTAATTGTCCTTCATCCTTCCCAAAATTAAACTAAGTCACAAACTTACTACCATTCATATAAAACAATTAATAACAGTATAAAGGTGAAAACAGAAAAGTACCTTCTTTATTTTCCGCTGTAACTACTCGACCAGTTACAGTGTCGGTAAGAGATGTTAAACTATCAAGAGTCAAAAGATCCAAAATTTTTTTCAATTCCTTTCTCTCAAAATCATCCATAGTTGTTGATCGAGTTTCAATTTTACACGTCTTGTAGTCCCATCTTGGAAATCTATTTTCGGTGCTACTCCCTCCTGATTCTGTAAAATTGTTTTATGATATTATATTTCAATTTAATGAGCCGGGGAGGCTTGCTGAAGTGTGAGCTGTGGTTTCGCCAGGTTTCGCGGAGCTTTCAATTTCGCGCGGCGAGTTCAAAATGGCGAATGGCAGGAGAAAAGTACAAAACTAAGTATGTTTTAAATATTTGCTATTTTGTCTCATTTTTCATTTTTATTTTTCTATAAAATTAGTAAAATGTCTTGTTCGTATACCATTACAGGAAAAAGGCACGTTTATTTCGATGAATAAGGTAAACTTTAGAATTGTGTGCTCACTGACAAGTGTAATTTTTTAATCAACTAACCTAATTTACCAAACATATTGACGTGAACAAGGCTCTCATGGTCGTCAAAAATTTCAATCTCTGATTATTCTTTCATTGGGCTTTTGGCAATGCCAAAAACTGCTGATGCTATATTAAAATATAGTTTTAATTCATTGCAAAAATTATAGAAAAAGAGTGATTCAACAACACGTACCTTAATTCAAAGCCCTGGCATTTCATCACAATTTGCATCTCCATTGACAAGCCGGAACAAGCGTCAGCTTAACGATGATAGATCAAGTTTGGTATGTATCCCACAATCATTGTATGCATGTTTTAAGATGGACTTTAACTGGTGGAATCAAATGACATTTGTGTAAACTGTTATAAGTGACTGGACTTGACAGTAAAGACAGTGATTCCCCCTCCCCCTTTCACAGCATCTTGTATTTGTAGCATTCATAAATTCATGTTTTTGTACTTTTTTCTATGACAAGGAGAGCAAGCAAAACATTTCTGCCAAACGAATCAAGTACAATTCTCAAGGTATTAAAATCAAGTTGATCATTTAGGACAGGAAGAAAATTGCTTAATTGCATACCACAGGAATAGACTGTAGCCTGTGATAGTGTATAAAAAGTTTTTGTTAGCTACAAAGTCAATTTTGGAATTAAACTGGAGTTAATGAAGAAATGAATGAAACATTTTTGGTTGATTCAAACTACTTATCATAAGGCAACATTTTTTTAAACATTGCACCATCCTTGAATCCCTGGTTCCTTTTCACTTCAACTTCAACTTCCATTTTTTCTTTTCATCTTCAACAAAGCAGATCTTTTATGTGTTACATCTAATTTTATTCTTTATCTGAAGATTTAGCTTTTCTTTTGCAATGTTTTTTACAGATGATGATGATAGTACAGTGAACAAAATTAGTAGAAATGAAAAGAAAGAATTGGAACTTGAGTTGAAGAAGAAGGAGGACATTCTCAGAAAGCTGAAACTTGTGAAAATGTTCAGAACAAAGGTTTGCATGGGAAATTTTTACATGCAACTTGAAATGTAGATTAGTTAGGATGTTCAATATAAGAATATGATACATACTTTTGTGTTCTCGTGTATAGAATAGTCTGAGCGATTTGGACAATCTCATAACGAAATGGCGAGCCATCAGTCAAGAATCAGCAAAAGATTTATACGAGAAATTCAACCAGGAGGAAATGATGAGCATGGGGGAATTTTTGAATGGCTTAAGAGTAAAACATGAGTTGATAAGATACAGTGAAGAAGAGGAGGCGTTCTATTGATTGCTAAACATGAAAATATTAAGGTATGAAAACAATTGCTGTCGTGACGATTCATTCAGTAGCGAAGCCACATATTTTTGTGTTCGACCACTGGAAAACAGTGAATGGTATTAACTGAAGAAATGAATAGTAATTTTCCTGAAAAAATTTCATTCTTTAGAAGTATAAGCTACAAGTGTGGAGTTCATAGCTACAATTGCAAAATATCGTTGAGGAAAGTTACAGGAACTAGTGTTCAACGCTTTTCGCAACTGAAAAAAAACCTTTATAACTTAACTTAATAAGTCAAAAAAACGTCTTCTGTTCACGTTTGAGTGTTCTTATTTTGCCAAACAAATTCGTTAACTCGATAACAAAACACAAAGATTTTTCGACTCTGGAATAGTTACGCACAAAATTAACACTATTTGCTTTAGGATTAAAATATCCATTAGACATCTCACGAGAGATGAAACGATAAAACTTCAATTCATCGTTTGTACTGCGAATGACATTGACGCTAGATGTTTTGTCACATGTTGTACATTTAGTATACGTACAACGCTAATACATTGTGCAAATCTTCCAAAGCCTGTTTTTCCTTAGCATTGTCTCGACTGCTTTTTCATCTTGGAGATTGCGTATGCACACACATATCTTTACTATCCTTCGACAAAGCAATTTTTAAGAAGGCTTTGAGAGATAAATGATACGCTAAAGATTGGTATCGAACTTTACATAAGCAAGTGAAGATTACAACACGTTTGCAAAAATATATTAAAATATATAATCTGGTTTGTAATTGAGTTGTTAGGTACATTTGTACAAAAAATGAATTGAGTAAAAAAGAAGATTTACGAATACCGAGTCGTTCTAAAAATATGGTCTTATGTATCGTTGTCATCAAGCATGGCCTCCCTCTCTCTTTGGGATTGTTCGTCACGGATGTAAACGCACGGTACATTGTTATTGAGTGTTTGCTGCTGTGATTCAACGTTTGACGCCGAAGTGTTTTCTACTACAGTGTAACCACGCCTGGAACGGGATTTGAAGAGGCCAAAAAGGGCAAAGAGAAAAAGAAACGTTCCGCATGTTGCGAATGAGATCATTATAAATTTTTTTTCATGATTAGTGTATACTATGTGCGCGATTCTGTTGTCGTTTGTGCGACCAAGTAGCCATCTTCTGTCTGTAATATTCATGTCCACTGGACAGTCGTTTGTGCATAGTTTACATTTCCTGGTGTCTTCCTCGATCATATGAAACATCGAACATTGTTTCACGCATGTAGTACCTTCAAAATAGAGGTCAGCTCGACAGGATGTGCAGGTGTTCGGACCAGCCCCAACACACGTTACACAGGAGGGATGACATTTGCTACATTCGAGAATATCATTCGATTTCTTCTCGTAGCTTCCATACGGGCAATTTTTCACGCATGTATAATTGTACAATTTCTCTCCATCGTTACAGCTCAAACAGTCATTAATGTTTGCATCTTTGCAACTCTTACAACTGCTGCTGCACATGTAGCATTTTCCATTCTTGCCTCTATATTGATCTTCTTTACATGAAGACACGCATCGTCCTTTTAAAAACGATAGTTTCGCAACGCAGCTCGTACATGCAGCTTCACCAGGGCCACTACACGTTTTACACAGTGGATGACATGATTCACAAAATGAGGTCAACGGGTCTTTATACCAACCCTTCCCACATGATTTCTTGCACACGGATCCTTCAAGGCTCCATTGGTCATTTTACACGTGAGACATTCGTTTTCAGTTGGACCCATGCACGTGGCACAAGTTGCATGGCATCTAACACATATACCTTGCCTATGGTCCAATACGTAGCCGGCTGAGCACGTCCTCACGCACGTGTTATGCTGAAGCACGAAAGGTGAGATGCACTCTTCACAAGTAGATGGATCACTTCCTAAATAGTGAAATATGTACTTACAGTTTTAGTAATACACGGCGGATATTCAGATACAGCACAAGGAAATGTAATGAAAATTCCCAGAAAGATTTCATCACTTTATGCATCAAACATAATCAAACTGTCTGGGAGAGGCTGTCATTGGATTTCATCGGAAATGGGTAATGACAAGAAGAAATGGAAAATATAGGAAACCTTCATTCTTGTGATGATTTAAAAGAATATTTCACGATGTTAATAGATATTAGAGTATGCTGAAGTAAAAATTGTAAAATAGTCAGGCGATGTAATTGGCTGTAACTGATCATGTGATGAAAACAGTAAATCTCGAAGTAATTTGAACTCTCACCTTTACTACATCTGTGGCAATAGTTACCACATGGTTCACAACTGTGAGAAGCATTGTTGTGGTAGTAGCGTATCGGACAATGGGAACGACATTGACCCCGGAAAAATACTAGACCAGATTTACACAAAGTGCAGCGACTGCTACTTACACCAACACACGTCAAACATGAATTATGACACGGTAGACAACTTTTAAAATCGTTCGAGAAAAACATTCCAGAAGGACAATGCAACAAACATTGCTGGTTATAAAGTATCAGCGACGACGAACATTGTGTACATGAGGTTGCGGTTCCCGCACAAGATTCACACTTTCTGTTGCAAGGCAAGCAAACTCCAGCCGTAGTGCGATTGTCTGCATAAAAACCCTCTGGACATCGTGAAACACATCTCCCATTATGAAGGAACAAACCATAAATACATTTGGAACATTGCAAAGGGTTGACACAACTCTCACACTCTGATGGACAGTCCTCGCAAAGAGAGGATGAAAGACCTTCGTAGAAGCCTTTTTTGGGACAGTTGAGCGAACACAGAGCGGTTTTGGGGTTTCGGAATTTCACTCCTTTGCATCGGAGACAGTCGTATTTCATCGGGCCAGTACAAGTTAAGCATGATACATGGCAGCGTGAACAATGATCTGTTCTTTTATTTCTTGATGTTAGACCTGCTAACGTTACGTTATAAAATGTGCCGTCATCACACAATGATTTACACGTCCCGTTTACCTTTATGAAACCATCTAAACAAAAAAAAAATGGCAATTTAAATGAAGCCAAATTCATTCATAGCATATAAAGAAAACATATTTACCAGAAAAAGGTCTTCTCATTCGACAAAAAGTCGAATTAAAACGGTTTATACAAAGGTATTCTTACCTACGCAAGATGTACAGTTGGTTTTTTCACCAATGCATTCCTTACACGTCAAGGAGCAGCGTTGACATCGTCCATTATGGTCCACAAACATCCCTTTAGGACACTGCTTAACACAAGTGTTGTTAAAGAACTTGAAACCGTTGATGCAAGTTAAACATTGATTCTGGTTCGCCCCAAAACATGTCAAACATTCAGGTTTGCAAAACTGACACCTGCCAATGAAAATGAAGTTGAAACAATCGCGTTTTAGTTAAATGAAAAGTAAAGAAAAAAATACGTCTGCGTTGATCTGAAGAATATGTATTAGGATAAAACGTATAATGACAAATCTTTTTGGAGCGAGGGAATACTATGGACGGTTATGAAAAGATGACGATAAAAGACGAATAACTTATGAACATCATAAAACAAGGAGAGAATGAATGGATTTTACACTTACATATTATTCATACCAAAAGTTCCGTTTGGACAAACCAAATTACATTTGTTGTTATGGAGATAAGAATAACCAAAGCAGGCAGTACAAATGGTAGGTGAGTCATTACATCGATAACATGACGGATGACAGAATTGACAACGACTTGTGTTGAGCTCTGGGTATGTAGATCTTGGACATGATTCTGCAGGCAGACAAGCACCACGCCAGAGGAACTTTCCTTGGGGACATGCTGTGCATTGGGAAGGATTATCAGGATCACAAGCGCTGCAATTCAATCCACACTGGACGCACGTATCCTCTGATATCCTATGGCTTGATCCTGGAAGATGAAGAAAAATATCGTTTAGAATAGCTATAAGTTTTCTATGAAATAAAGCTTGCGTGATTTGGCTTTGTTCAGTTAACTATGATGAAAGATCACTTGGTAGTATGTGATACATGAGATTCATCCCCAAACTACTTAAAGATATTAAGAATAGCTCTAAGTTTTCAAATGAATATACCTAACGTAATTTACCCCCATTGGCTTTGGCAGTGGCAATCCAAAAAAAGTGGACGCACTAGATGAAGTGTTTAACGAGACCATTTGGTGAAGACATTAAATTAGTGAATGAATGATTTCTAACCAAGTTTTATCGCTCAGTAAAGTGAGTGACGGAATTTTATTGAAAATTTCATCCGGCAATTTTCATTCAAAGATCAACTTAGGTACTTGACGCCATCAGAATGTTCTGCAACACTCTCGGCTCAAAAATAATTTACAACATGCTGCTCACCTGAAGGACAGTAATCTAGACATAAGCCAGTTCCATTATCAGCACGAACCAAGCCGTCTTTGCATGTCGTACAATCGGTCTTTAAAGGTCCTCTACAATATTTACACGAAGAATGGCATTGTAAGCACTGATGACTTTCTCCATAGAAACCGGTCGGACATTGGACCACACACATTCCTCTGTGTAGGTACAGATCTTGCTTTACACTTTCTCGTGTGGCGAGGGTAAAATCGCATTTGGTGCATGACCAAGCTGTGTCGTTATTACAAGAGAGACAAGAAGGATGACATGGCCAACACCTTTCCATGGAGACGAACTCATTCTTCTTACAATTCATGACACATCTAGTGATGAAGGAAAGTCCATTGTATGAACAATATGCGTGAGAATGATAGCTTCAATACACACGTTTCCTCGTGGGTTAAGTCAACAACCACTAATTGGTTTCGTGATGTTAGATTTACATACATGGGAAATGAAAATGCTGTGGCGACAACACGTTGAAATATAAAAAAAATGCCTAGTTTTGTGAAAGACTGGTCACTTTTGCTGAAGTTTATCAATCAACTACTGGAAAAAACTTATTTAAAGTATTTTTTTAACGAAAATGAAAATCCCCACTTACATCGATAATCAAAGCAAAACCTTAACAAATAATGAAGCTAGCAATCAAAATAATCCGATGTCTCATAATACCTATTCATTTCAAGCTTTTGGTATTTCTTGCAAGACGAACAAAGAACAGCTTTCTTGCTGCAAGTCAAACAGTTTGAATTACATCTTTCACAAGTGTGATTATCGCTGATAAACCATCCATCTGGACAGTTTACCACACAACTACCGTCCTTGAGGTACAGTGATGACGTGCACATGATACAATCGTTAGTCCCAGGACCCTGGCATTTTTCACAAGTGTTGGAGCATGGTCGACATTCTTTCGTGACGTTATCTGAATACTCGTGTTCTTCACATCGACTCACACAAACCTGTAAAGACGGCGAAAAAACACGCTGTATTAAGTGAAAGGTTATTTTTACAATGCACGTGAGACAGGCAAGTCTTATAAGCTATCCATCGTTAGCAAATTACGTATGAGCAAGATAAACATGAGCGCATAAATCCCCACAAACGTGGATGATACTGAATTTTGCTTAATCCAATCTTGTTTGCTCTCGGTAGGTAATCGACATGGAATGAAAGTGCAAGTTTCTTACAAAACACATGTAATAACGATCTGTTAATTCAGGTGACCTTGACAAGAAAAGAAAATGCAATAAGACTTACTCCGTTCGATTTAAAGTTAGCACACTCGACACAGTCCCTGGCGCTCGGACCATGACATCCATTTTTGCATTCGCCGGAACAACTTTTATATTTTATATCCGGCGAGTCTTGCGTTCCGTGAAATCGCAGCTGCCAGCTGGTCAAAGTACCAGTGTTCTTAACGTCACCTGTAACATGGTGAAAATAAAAACTCTTGACTTTTAATGAATACTCGAGTTGTGATTGCTATTCTTGTATTATTTATGTTCGATTTACTTCGGTGAAATTCACTTCTTCAATACAAGCTGAAATTCAAACATACTTTGTTTCCGTTCAATGCTGCTGCTTAGCCAGGTTCGTTCAATGACAAATAATAATGTAATGGTTTGTATTAAAAACATTTTTCTGAAGAATACTAACCGACATTTTTTAATTCCAACCTCCACGTTCCTCGCGGATTTTCACCCCAGGAGTGCGTGGACATGAATGCCCAGTCATTAAAACCATCTGTCGAATAATCCATTAATCGCTTTCCAAGTAGCGTGGATTTTGTTCCTGGGGCGAGATGATAGCGATAGTGAGGTCCCCACGTCGTGTAAAGGAAAGCGAAATCACAACCTCCACGTGCTCTAAGTATTGTATAGAGTTTTTGCTTCCCTGGCATCCAACAACATCTTTTTCTACCACTAAACTTCCACTGTGTGGAATGGGTCTAAAGATAAATGAACAATTTCCAGATACAACACATTTGGACCAGCCATGCCAAACTCCTAAAAACTTCTCACCTAAGAAAGATAGACTTAAATTTCTAAAAGTGTTGGCCACAAACCACTAATTTTGTTCACGTCGTCAAACACCCAGCAGCGTGTATCGAGTTCTGAACAAATAAAGTAAAGAACTCCGTCTCCTACCTTGGTTTCATATCTTTTGCCTCCTCGCACTTATGTTTCTCAGGAGCGGTCGGCCATATAATGGCGAGGTCAACCAAAGCTCTGGCATCTAGAAGACCGTAACCAAAGCGATGGCTTATCCTACGACCAACGCCATTTGTCACCCAGTCGTTTGACTTAAGTTTATCAGGTTTTGAGGTTCGCACCACAATGTGTTGCATGTCGCGCCATGTCAATTTGGGACTGGGGAACGAAAAAGAATTTATTTATTATGTATTCAAATTCAGCATAAAAGTTCCCCTGAGATACACAATAACGATAGCTGACTATCTGACGCTACACGCATAAGACAAATTGCTATGAAAAACTATATATGTGAAATGGAAAGTACAAATTGGTTGGTGACATTTAACTCAGAGAAGACTGGTATCAAAGTCGTAGATCAGTACAAATAAAGGGCATTTTTCTTTTGAGTGTCTCGTGGCTTTTAAAACATTAATTGGCAGAGGTTCCTTTGAAATAAGTCTCATTATGTTACATACTTTGCTTCTAAAGCAAGAGCCAATATTCCAGAAGCCAATGGTGCAGAAGCTGATGTTCCAGTATGTTGTGTTGTACATTGGTGATGAAGATCTGTTGTAACCTAAAAATGAGGGCACTTTCTCTCATTTCAGAATTACTTCATTTTCATTACATGTCAAGGCATTTGAATTTTTATCGTCTCTTTCCTTCTCTACAATGTACATAGTTTTCCATTTTCCACTTACTATTTTCCTCATATTCCATCCTCCACTGCTAAAAGTTGATGCCAATGTGGATGCACAATATTCAGAGTACCACGGCGATGTTCCACGCTCTGTAGCTGAACTAATTGAAAGGGTATAAATACTGTTGGTGTAACCATCACAATTGCAGTTGTCTTGTTCACGTCCGCCATTTCCCGATGCCCAAACAAATATGTTACCAAGACCACCACGACCCTAAAAAATTGCATACAATAAAGTTATTAAAATGCAGTGTTATCACTTATCAGTGACTTGCACATGCTAAGAAAATATACATTTTATCAACTTGTGTGTTTCTAACAACAATTTATATTAATACCTTATCAATGCCATTAGAAAAGGCAGCTTTTGCCAATGGACCAGGTCCGTCCACTGTTTTGCCATCATCATCAGGACCCCAACTGGAACTGTAGACATCAATATGTGTTGGTTTGTAACTCAACGAATTGGCTTCAACTACATCTGTCACTTCACCATCCAACATACGAATACCTAGCAATCCATAAACATTTATTTAACATTCAACTTTCTTTTATTAATTGCTTCGTCCATTAAAATCTACAGATTACTTCTAAGTTGTGGTAAAAAGTATCAGCAGACACCTTTCTTCAGCAAAAGAAAAGAAATGAAAGTATATTATTAATTAACGACATTATTACCTCCAACTTTTGCACCATATGCAACACCAATACCACAGATGTTGTTGTCTGCAACTGCCGCAACTTCACCAGCACATCTTGTACCATGTCTGAGAAAAAAACGTTTTAAAGTGAGCTTGTGTATGCTTTCGTTGAAACATCCCGTGACGCATGTTAACACTAGCGTAGCAAACGCGCAAGTTTGGTCGCGCTACGTACATGAAATGTTCAAAGAAGTGGCCGTCTATGAAAATATGAAAATTTAACTTACAACCGGGGTTATTTATTCATACGACACACAAGAACATGTCATGTGTGAATTGTGTTAATTTTATCTCTGCACTACATTGGCTTTGCATGCTTTTAATAACGATCTTATGCAGGCACTTTAGGCCTAGTGGTTGCCATCCATGTTGCAGTACATGTGTCGATGATTTTGCGGTAATTATTTACTTTGCATCTTTTAGTGAGTGGGCCGAGTTTAGTTAACAAATGCTCGATTGTATTGTATAAACGTCAGATAATTGTCCTGGCAAAATTTATCTTCGTAATAAAATATAAATGTTGTCGGGTGGTAAACGACGAGAGCAGATGGAACAATGGTACCATAGAATTTTGCGCGGCACTAGCCCTGACATTCCTTTGATTCTATTTAAATAACCAACATCATTCCAGCAAAAACAATATCAGGCATTATTTCATTTAGGGATTTTAACTGTACCAATAAAGGACCAGCTTTTTTATCATCGCTGTTACTTGTTAAATGGTGCTTCATCACTCTAACTAGCTTCCTATTCAATGCTCCACATCCAAATCGGCATGTTTCTTTGCAAACGCACGTGTTCAGTGATTCCCAAGCCTTAAAAGATGGTTTCTTGAAATTTTTCGTTCTCCAATTGGAGTTTACAGTTTCGCCCAAAACCAGGAGTACGATGACCGTTTCCATTTGATTTAACTTAGCCCTGAGTTTCTTGACTTCTTAGTAGCCAAGGGAAAACTCCTTTGCCATCTTTTGACACCTGCCTAGGTTACATCTTGGGTATTTTATGATTTAGACCAACTTTTGCAGTTGCCTTCACTTCTTGAACTTGCCTTCGCGTCGCCTTATCTATTTTGATGGCATTGTTATGTGGACGATTCCACTGTAGTATGGCGGTTTTAACATAACTTTTTAGTGCTTGAGCAACCAGCAGTAATTGTGGCGCGATGAAGTCTAAGATAGGCACCTCAGTGCTGTAGAAGCAGGGGGCGCTTGGGGAAGGAGCCCCCCTTCTACCTTTGAAATAAGGAAATTTTAAAAGGTCACTATTGACAAAAACATCAAGAGAGCCCCCCATCTGATAAATTTAGTTCTACAGCACTGGCACCTCTCCAATGTTTTTTCTTATGCAACTTAGAAAGAAAAGGAAACTACCAATATAACCATTTTTCCTGACCACCCCCTGCAAATATTTTTGTGTGTTCACTGACTGTAAAAACAATAAATTTCAAAAGAAATGAAGAATGCCAATGATTTCAAATTTACATAGCACGACTAAACTTGAGGGCATACTATATATCAATGCATGTATTCAACCTGTTTTCATTATTATACGTAGCTCTTGGTGATGGATCACTATCATGGCTGTTGTAGTCGTAGCTTGCATCAGGGTCCTGATTGCACAATATTAATGAATAAGAATATATTAACTGTATTAATCATGAGGTAAATTCAATTCATTTTACTCACATAATTGGCCTTTAGATCAGGATGGTCCATCTCGATTCCTTTTATTGAAAAAGAATAGATATTTCCATAAATATAACACAAAATGTACCAGTGCATGCACAGAGCCTGTTTTATTGTGTTTTAATATTGCTGCAAAGGATATTTCTTCTCTACTCAACCATTTTAAATAGAACATAATAAAAATACCATAAAATATGGATATCGTGGATACAATCTAATTTTAAACATTCACATGTGCAATGTTATGTAAAAAAGTGAGTGGTTTTGAAAGACAGAGTATCATCACCCATTTGTGTATGCAGGTCATAATGGTTAGTGCAGTCCCAAGAAAGACTGTTGACGTTAGTGTTGACAGACATTTTGACCTCCTTATTGGTGGTCTATTTCTGAACATCAAGTTCTATGAGTCAAGATCTGAACACAAGGAACCAAAGCCTTTCTCAGGATTGCAATCACCTGGAGAACAATATACACTTAAGCATATTAATATGATGTAATGTTGATCCTTACATACCATCATCCAAGATTGAAACAGAGACACCGCGTCCTATGATATTCAGTTTCTTCCACACGGACAATACATTGTGATCATAGTTCAAATTTTCTCTATTGTGCTATGAATTGATATGGTCATTTATGGTAAAATTGAAATTTCATCTATTATGGTTAAAGTGAAAGAAAATATAGAAAGAAGATGGTTTGCGCAATCCTAATTAGTAAAGTGTATTCTAGTATTTCAAATAACAACAGGTGCCCAATTCTTAATACATATTTATATTTATGTAGCAATCACCTATTAGAATGTTTAAAATGAAAATGTTGCATATATGCCTCACACTATGATTGTAATAAAGGATTTTCACATCCACTCAAACTACAAATATCGAAACAATTAACAGCAAAGAAATTGACCCATGCAAAGATGATAATCACTTTGAAATATGCCCACACAGTCTGCTCGCATAAACAATATAGTTCCGAATATTACGCAACGAGTTATGGTTTTTATGTAGGCAAGAATATCAACCAGATTCAATCCAATTGATAAGCATACATGTCAACATCATGTTTGAGCTTTATGTTTAATTACACTGCATGATCATGAAGTGTAGCCGCATCATTCACCTTAATATTACTTGAATTAATTGAAACATTAAAAAAGTATAACTTATTTTGCATATATATACATACCAAATACCATTGTTGAGGCCATAAAGGATCCGGGTATGAAATATCTCTTTTCACACGCTTCTTCACCACTTGCTGTTCGATCCATTTTACCTAAGCATGTGAAACAACATCGAACGAAGAAAATAGTGAATTGAAGGAAGTAAACTGAGCAAAATGCCATTGAATATGAAACGTCTTTGACGTATCTATGAATTTATAATTTTCCGACAGGAAGACACGACATCAAAATAACTTTCAAACCTTAAACTCTCGCGATAGTTTAAATGTTGGAGCAATAGTCTCACGTTTCATACGTCTTGGATATGCGCGATGTTTAAAATGATAAAACCCTTCGAGAGATCCAACCTAAAGAAAAAGTTCGCCACACACTTTCTTAAGCAAATTTTGCACGAAGTAAATGAGTTATTATCAAACTAAAGTATAAGTTGTGAGAATAAAATACCTGTCCTAAATTTATCATGCCATGTCTTCGAGCTATTTCTTTGACTGTTTCTTCGTCAACCTGCGGTATATGTACAGCCCATGAATTTGTAAAGTGCGCAAAAGCTAAGTTGTCGCTTGAAGTCCCTAAGACATTTATAAGATATAAATAAACGCATATTCGACAAATTACTGCCCATAAAACCATCACAGAATTCGCGTTAATAACTTAAGAATAATTCTTGTCTTTTCTTTATGTCTGAAAAGCATTTAGAATGATATTTGATATGCCGCTTGAGTTAAAAATATCAAATACTTTCCACACGATATCATTGTGTTGATTTCTCAATGTTGCTAACTGACAACACTTAAGTGACGTCACAAACGTTTCCGGCTCACGTTCGTTCATTCATTTCATTTTGGGTGGAGTTTCATCAATGGTGGCGTAAGGATGGGCGGTGAGGATTGACGAACAAAGAAATAAGGTAAACCCGACGAGGAAATAGGAAGTTTGATGATGTTGGGGGGTATTTTTATATTCATGATATACCAGATTAAGGTCCTTTGAAATCCATTGTTTTTTCTGTGGATTGTGACAAGCATGTATGAAGGTCGTTTGGATCAACAGGGAGGAAGTAACAGGGACTTTGTGTTGTGTCGTGAAAATGTAACTCTTGACAGTGGCAGCGGAACATTGATAATTGAGGGGGGGGGCTATATTCATATATGTATATGTTATATTCCGTAAACACTATTGATTTCAATAGAAACTAATAAAGTAAAACATGCATATATGAATAATAGTCCCCCCCCAGTTATCAATGTTCCGCCGTCCTTGACTCTTCATGAAGATCAAATTCACGTAATGATTATGTAAAATCATTGGCGAAGCTAGTGATTTTGGTCATGCTGTGTAGATTTCATTTCATTGACAATCTTTTCTTTAATGAGAAATCTATTTTTAAAGTCCATGAAAACTGTAATATTAACCAAACTTGCTGGCTGGCCACACCGATTGATTAAGTTATGGAGAAAAATTAAGCCCTAAACTTGTTGCTTGAGTATATTAAGCTTCAGTGGCCACTGAATCACCCATACATGCTTTGCGTAACGAGTACCGTTAATTGTTTCTCGTTGCCATGTTCGTTTTGATAGTAAGTTTCGTCATGATTACCAAATTCGTGCATTTGTCTGTCTGGTAATTCCTAATTCCTCTAATGGCTAGTTTTTATTGCATTCCTTTGGAAACATGTGTTTATAGATGTTGATTGTTCAGCTTAGTAGTGTCCAGAGAACGCCGGACTGTTTATGGTAGTGTTGACTGACGTTTCCAGGGGGTGTAGGAAGATTGATAATTGTTGGGGGGGAGTAATATTCATTTATTCATGTCGAAATAGCAAATTGCTTGATGTAATGATGAGACATAACAATTATAAAAACTCACAATTATCTTGTCAATCATAGGCCATTTGCTCTGGTATAGTGGTTACAGTTCTCGTCATCTCCTGACATTCCTGTTTGAATTCCGTTCCGTTTCAAACCGTGCAAGTGAGCGTCTGCTAGAAAAGGGATGATTGTGGATGATGGTGGATAATTGTCAGGCGACTGTGAGATAGTCATTTGAAGGACTTTTTTTAGATGAATCATTTTTGTTGAAAAATTTGGCAAAACTCTTTTTCTAAACTTTCTTTCGTGCATGTTAATTGTACACAAAAATATCAAATGGAAATACCATGATCAAAAATCTTGGTCGCCATTATTCAAAGAATGATACAATTTTGTGTAAGTTTAATTTTTATAGTCTGATTTCTTATTTTAAATTTTAGATTTCTCAAAGGTTTCTGATGTTTTTTTCTGTTTAGTGTTTAAAGACGTCCACGAGCAACTAAAATTTCGCAGTTTTCAATGAAATTTGCAAACTTTCAAAAACTGATCATTAGGTTCTTCGACGCATTGTAAAGCCTTATCTGGATTTTTGCAAAAAATTACCGCTAGACAAAACAACCATAAGCAGGAAGCAACATGTAGAAAAAAATTACGCCTCCTGCAAGAAGTCGTGAAAAGTCATACTTTATACCATGAAAAGATACTTTATATCATGAAATGTATTTACAAAGAGTTTGTGAAATCTTTTTGTGGCATCATTTCGTCTTATTTTTCTTCACTAGATTGCTCCCATTCTTTTCTTGCATTAGCTATTTCATTTTATTTTCTTCACTAGAATGCTCTCATTTGTTTCTTGCATTATTTCATTTAATTTATTTTTTTTTCACAAGATTGCTGTCATTTTTTCATGCATTGTTTCATCTTATTTTTCGTCACAAGGTTGCTTTGTCATCTTTTGTTATGCAACATTACATGTTATTTTTTTTGTTCAGTGGGTAACTGTCTTTGAGTTGCTCGCTTTACTTTTTTGTATCTTGATATTTTCTCTCTGATTGCTATATCTGATCTGACGCCTTTGCGCATTCATGACACTCGCAAGAAAAGAAAAAACGCTGCACTTGACAAGAGTCCCTGCAGATGTAAAACATTGGAAATTTCTGACGTCTCAAGAATAGGTCATCGTCTTATACAACGGAATACACTGCACTTTGCAAGAATTGATGTAGTACCTCAAAAAAACGAAAGACGTTGCGCTTGCAAGAATCGATGAAGTTAGTTAAACTTTTAGCTAGTTCTGTATGCTGCGTTGTTTTGACACATTATCATCAATCATTTCTTTAGAAATCTATATGTTTCAGTATTTTTTCAACTGAATGCTGAATTTACTCCACTGTTGGTTATAGTCAGAAGGTTCATCCATGTGGTACATATCCACTAAGCTACATCACTTATATAAAGAGCTACTGGTTCATCATTGAGTTCAAAGCAATTAAAAAATTTTTATAAGCTCAAGAAAAACAACCGTCTGTACTTAATCTGTATCTAGTTTATTTGCATATGAAGAAAATAGAAAACATTTTCTTTTAGCTAACTGTCTTTATTTGAAAGAAAGACGAGGGAAAGCAAGAGTACCATCTCACCATCTGGGATCAAAATTTGGAATAAATATTTTCATATTTTAGCCAATCACAAGCAGAGCTCGAAAAATGTAACAAAGCTAGCAACTCATCAAAATCAGCCAATGAAATTGGCCACCAATTGATCTTAATCATCACGTCAATCACTTTTCATGCATACTGTAGATGCCCCAAGACTCGACAGTGAAAGGTGAGTTTGTAAAATTTTTATAAATTCTTAAAAAAAGTAATTCGAATGTTGATGAATTCGATGGCGAAAGCCTTGTTTTATGTATGGTTACGTATTGTTATACTTTTAATCTTTTCGTCGGTTACTATCGTGCAATTCGGCGTTTAATTTTAGTGAAATCTGCCATGTCTTCGTCGGTGTGTTTGCTTCGCACGTACCTTTTCAGTATAAGAACGACCAGTTTGCTATGTTTCATGACTTTCTTTCGATTTTACTTTAGTCTGTCGCCTATTGCTTGTATGGGGAATCTTCCTAAGCAAGATTTTGTTAAATATTTTCACTTTTAGCGTGTTTTTGTAAATCGATATATTTTCAAGGAAAAACTTGCTTGACCGACATTTTCGTCGTTTCAACGTCAAAGTATGAACAAATTTTAGGTGAAAAGTTACAGTATGGCAAAATAAGAGAAAGGCAGGATATTTGTTATGCCTTGGGTGGGTTGTTGTCCGTAAAAGGTGTTCTTTTAAACGAAATTTTTGAAGATAGTTGAAAAATGTGAAAATGTTTGTTCATTTTGGACGCGCGTTGGACGTTGGACTTTCAATTAAAATGGTGCCTTTTTGTTCCGCGTGAAAATGAAAAACACTGGGTACAAATGAAGCAAAACTAACCAGCTTGACATAATAATTTTTGACCAAAAACACCTAAAAAATACTTAAGTGGAGTGGAGAATTGGCAAAAACTTTTTCCATAACATTGGAATAAATGGTGGCTACAGGCTCTTCAATCTAATAAGTTCGGATATGACAGCAGTTTCAGCGATAAAGATTTCTAATGAAACATGAATGAAAGAGGGCAATACTATTTGAGGATAATTTAGGAATGTTTTACATTGAAAAGTTATTGACTATTTTTAGAGTAATTTACCAATAAACATGATTATATTCTATAGGAAACGAAGCTAATGCTCTTTTGAAATTTGACAATGAGCAATAATGATGAATACAACAACCGAACTCGTATCCTAATGTATGAACGAACAGTTATGGAAAAAATTGACGGAGAACCAAAAAGAATAGAAGGTAAAAATATTTAATGGGATTTCATAAAACTTTAATTGTTTACTTAATTTTCTTTAGAGCTGTTTATTTCATATTCTTATACACAATAAAAACTCTTTTGTAAATTTTTATCATAATATTGTGCAGCGTCAAAAGGTTGACACACAGAAACTCATAGCATTTATTTTGAATTGATAGGATACTCAAATGAAACAAAAAACAGACTGAGAGTATTTTGAGGGATTTACTTGTGCACACATTGAAAAATGTTCTTTTTTCTCAAAATTTTGTGTGAATAATTTTATCATTTTTTTCATACAATTAATGTCTTCATCTTTTGCTGCAAGTACATGAGTGCTATTTCAAAACAAAAAGGGGCTTTGTACGTCAGTTAGGGTAAGAATGACTGGACAATAAGTCAAAGGTATCGTAACTGAGGATCTGTCATTTATTCTATGACAAATAGGGAATTCCATACGACTTTCTTGTTTTGAAATCTATAAAATATCAATTTTTACAACTGGAAATCTACTCATGCAAGAAACAAAAATAAGCGTTGTGTCATGTTCTACTTCTTAATACACTGGCAGCATGAAGTTAAAATTTGCTTGCTTTTTTATTTAAATGTCAATGAAAATTGTTGTGAACGGTCTGTCTAAAATGGATGTTTAATGGCATATATATAAAGAAGCCTGTAAGACTTCCTCCAAAAAAATCGAATGAAACATTCATTGGAAGAAATCCACTCGTGAAACAAAAGTACTTAAATGTATAATGTACATTTTAAAAAAATGCTCCTGTGTTTAGAGTAAGGATTATTAGGCAAGAAGTCAAAAATATTGTTGGGAATCATCGATATAAAATTGACGTTTAATATTTAGAGCCTGAAGCCTATACGATAAATGAAGTCTATACGATAAATGAAGTCTATACGATAAATGAAGTCTATATGATAAATGAAGTCTATACGATGAATGAAGTCTATGCGACAAATGAAGTCTATACGACAAATGAAGTCTATACGACAAATGAAGTATATACGATAAATGATGTCTGGACGATAGATGAAGTCTATAAGTCTATACGATAAATGAAGTCTATACGAC